GTCGAGGCAGAGGTTAGGTAGAGGTAGAGGTAGGGTCTCCCCGCAGTAAAAAGTAACCATTTCCCTAAATTGTAAGGCAATCGAATTTACAAGGCAAGGCCAGACCAACCAGATTCTTCCAGAGCGCATTGGCATCCCTTTTACTGCATAAAAACTTCTACACAAAGATATTGAGATCAAATCAAATTGCTTAGGGGACTGCATGGAGATTAAACCCGAATCAGCCGAATGTCAGTACGCAATGCTAACCACTCGGCCGCCGATATTGCTGCTTTCCTCGATGATTTGCCTAACATGGAAAGCTAGTGAAGCTTAGTAATTGGATCAACATCCTAGTATCACAATGGGCCTACTCTGAACCACAACGAGAGCCACTCTAACCTAACTTAATGTAGTACATCCTACTACCGTGCAATTCAATCCCTCCGAGTGTATTTCTGACATGAGGCTGTTCGGAGGCGGCGTTATTTTCGAGATCCCCCCCCCATTTGATGGAGGCCGCCAACAACACAAAAAGGAGCAGCTCGGTCGAATATCACTTCAGCGGTCACAAAGCGCCAATTGTATTATTACTAATAGAGGACCGATGTAAAAATTTTGTACTTTTCCCTTCTATGAAGGTCCACATAGAATTGCATATGGCTTCCACGCGTCACCTACTATTGACTCCACTGGTGCAGGCCTATATCTTAGCAGGTACTTTGCTGAGGAAAGTAGTGTGCAGAGTTTATTGTGGCTTACCTTCTGGCTAGCTTATCAGGCGCATAGCTAACTGCAGTGTCTCTGCTTCCGCGGACCATACGAACCAGGAATGTTTCACATGCAATTTGAGAGTTTGTTTAAAGTTTTACGTCAGTTGAGATAGATTATCGTGGGTGACCACAGGACAATTTCTGTTATTAGAATTAGGTAACTCATACTTTATTCACAAAAAAAACTTAAAACTTCAAAGATTTTTTTAAGAAATTTTTCTTAGATGGTCTATTCCGAAGAACAGTCAAAATACTGATTGAAGAGTTCGATTTTTTACAACTTGTCTCAATTGAAAATGGCCACCACTGTATGTAAATAAATTCTGTGGTAATTTCGAAAACTCATACCCACAGAACTACGGTCCAGCTAACAGGTAAAATGGACAGACAGACGGACAGGCGGACAGACAGCCAAAGAAACGTTCTTGCCACCGGTCGCGATTAGCAGACATTACAAATGTGAAACAAAAAGAAACGAAAAGAAAGCCCAAAATGTTTATGTATATTTGTTTGTTGATATGTCTGCTCATAAACAACCACCAACGCACGCGAGGGCAAACAGTCAAAAAATGTATTAAATTTAATATTTATTTATGTATGTCCACAACGGTTTGTAACAATTGTTCTTGTTTTGTGTTTCTTTTTCATGTTTTTCTCTTTTTGGAGCTAAAAAAGAATTCTTTGTTCTTCATATTTGTTGTTTTTTTCCATACATTTTCACTTGAGTTTGCATTTTATACGTCAGAAAATAAAAACAAAAATATAAACATTTGATAATCTTAGTTAAGCGAAAAGAAAATAAAAAATGAGAATTGGAAAGAAAATTGAGAGAGAGAAAAAACGAGAGTTTTCAAATTTGTTTTGGGTTTACCATTGCATTTGCTTGCATTCCAGCAGCAACATTTGCGTAGGCGGTGAGTTATTTTTTTTTTTTTTTATTATTGTTTTTCATTTATGTTTTTGGTAGAAGAAGAGTACTAGCTTTTCTACTTAGAATGCCTGTCATCGTGCTATTTGCTTGCTTACTTGTTTCTTTTACGCTGAGAAAGTGCATCGTTATGTAAATATCTACAAATATATATATATATATATATATATATATACGAGTATATATATGTATATCTTTGTGTGTGTTTTTCCATCATGTTATTCAGCGCACTTAAAGATTCTGGCCTTGGCGCTTGCCCTTCGGTGGTTGGGTTTAGAGTTAGGCTACCAGTCAAGCCACACATACATATGTACATATATGCATAACTGTGTTTGAGCGTGGAGAATATGTAAACAATTTAAGCTTCCTCAGCTCTCACTGATTTTATTATAAGCCAAATGTATATATTTACTTTCTACCGAATTTTATAAATTTCTTAAACAGGATTAACATCTCACTACTAATCCTCCACTGTCTCTCGTGGGCATTAGTTTTGTTTGCAAATACTCAGGGCTGTAAATAAAAAATGTAAAACATTTTTGCCGCCCTGAACTACTCATAAGAATGTCATACTGTGTAGTTTGATTTTTTGAAACCATGATTTTCAATGAAATTTTATAAATAGTGCTGCCACCCTGCTCAAAAAAGTGTAGTTTGATTTTTTGAAGCCATGATTTTCAATGAAATTTTATAAATAGTGCTGCCACCCTGCTCAAAAAAGTGTAGTTTGATTCTTTGAAGCCAAGATTTTCAATTAAATTTTATAAATAGTGCTGCCACCCTGCTCAAAAAAGTGAAACATTTTTGCCGCGATGAACTACTCATAAGAATGCCATATTGTGTAGTTTGATTTTTTGAAACCATGATTTTCAATTAAATTTTATAAATAGTGCTGCCACCCTGCTCAAAATTAACTCTTAGCCTATGCAATTTTTTAAATCAATTAAGCTTGTACTTTCTTTTTATTTATTTAAAAAAAAAAATTAAATAAAAAATTAGGTGGCAACTCTAAAAAAATATTAAACTGCAAGCCTTTTGAAGCTTCTTTAGTGCAATGTTTTTTATTTTCTTAACTTTTTTCATTTAAATCTTTCTCAAATGTTTCGCAAGCTTTTTTTCAAAAAATTGGCAACTCTTCGCAAAAAAAAAGTTTCAATGTCACGTTATGTAATTAGTTGTATAAGCAAAATATTCAATTCATACAAACAACCAGGAATCGTAGTTTACTTAATAAAATTAGAATTTTTTATTTTATTGAATGTTTGAAAATTTTTTCATTTTGAATATTCAAAGAGTTGGCAATCCTAGTCAAAAATATCTTCATTTTAAACCTATTTAATTATTTTCACTTGAATATCTCAATTTCATTTCCCATACTTCACTGCAAACGACTTCAGAATGCCATAGTTGCCGTCTGCTTAGTCAGGTGCATTATCGTCTCTCCCTCTTCTTCATTCCTGCAGCTTCTACAGTATTTTCTGTTAGGTGACCGTAACCTTTCCGTATGCTGATCTATAAGACAATTCCCTCATGATGCCAATTACCTTGTGAGTCTTTTTTAGAGAGTAAAAACCATTTGAGGTTCTTCGATCGCATTTCCTTCTAGATTGCGTCCACTTGCGATAGCTGATTTTCTTTTTTCGCCACCTTAATGGAGTCTGTTTGTGAAATCGCGCCTTTGGCAGCAGTAACCAGAGGCGTATCAATGCTCTCTTTATCCGCAAGAATTTGTTTGGTCGCACCTAGCAAATTTGTCTGCATTTCAGCTCTATATAGCAGCGACCCTACCCATAAACGGTGTCATAAATTAGGCTCAGACATCCAAAGTAGAAACGCAACGCTCTATGCTGCTTGATTAAGGTTTTTGAGTGTTCTATTGGTAGACGGCCTTTAAAGCATTATAAGTCCTGGAGTTTGTAACAGTAAAATCTAAAACCGTAGGGCCTGGTATGGATACCTGGATACGCAGTAACATATCAGATAAGAAGTTGTCGGACGAGCTTGCAAGAAAGGGCACTTCCCGTCCACTTTCGTCATCATGGAAGAGTTTGGGCTACCGCTCTCCACTTGTAAGCTCAATACAATAGAGTTATTCTCTAAGGATGCTAATTTAAGAAGAAAAAGTCTAAATGCATGTAATATGGCCAAGACATTATGACCAGAATGGAAGTGAAGAAGGTCACATGACCTCATCGATTCAAAAAGAAAGGAGATATCTACAGTTGAAGGTCTTCTTACAGGGCATATTCTATTGTACAGGCACGCAGATCCGTATGGATGCGAATACTGCAGCTTTGAAAGTTTTCGGCGCAGTACCCGCCGGTGGAAGCAAAGGAAGAGGAAGACCTCTACACCGTATGAAAGACCAGGTCAAGAAGGACCTGGCTGTACTTGGTATTTCCAATTGGCGCCAAACAGCAAAAAGAAGAAACAAATGGCGCATTGTTGTAAATCGGCTATAATCTCGTACGCGGTGTCTACCAGTAAAGTAAGTAAGTAAGGCATGCAGACAGATTGGGCTTACCATCTAACAATTTCTACAGAAGTTACAGAGAAGAAGAACCCTTGTGACACTTTCTCAGCGAATGCCCCGCACTTTGGAGAAGTTGGTTGAAGTTACTGGGGGCGGCAACATTTGGAGACCTGCGGGAGATAGCGAGGGCCAAGATGCGGTGACTGCTCAGTTTTGCAAGCTCCACATACTGGTTTGATTAGCGCGTGGATGTCATTAGGACCCTCAGTGGTATTACATTGGACCCGCTTTGGGCCTAAGTATGCTGATGCCCCGCAGCTACTTTAAGTAATTATTTATTTCTGTCTAAAATGACTCTAAAAACTTAGCTTCCAAACGAATTCCATTGAGAACTGGCTAACTCTTTAAGAGAGTTAACACAGAGTCTGCAAGGATTGTGGGATCACATAGTGTTTTCTGCATTAGATCGCATAAGATTTGTGGGAACTTGCTTCTACAAGCTTTCACTATGTTTTCGGTCTAGACAGTAAGTTAGTCACCCAATTCGGCTCATTCTGCTCCAGTAAGAAGTGAGTTCAACCAGAGCATTACGTTGACTATTTCACAATGAAGCAACCGAATAATGGAGTTCACCAGTGGAGTATCACACCTAAGTAGATCTCACGGCATTAAGTTATATAAATAATTAAAAAACCTATTTCGCTGAATTTTTTTTATATATTTTTTACAATAATAATTATTAATTTTTATTTTTATAATTTTTTTTTCATTTTCATAAATATGCATATTTAAAAAAATTCTCATTAACCCTACTTAATCATTAATCTTCATTTTTATTACATTACAGCGATCTGCAAGGCAACAACATAACTGTCATTTTCGAAGCTGACTTTCAACGCCTAACCAAACTGCGAATACTGTAAGTATACGTAACAAAAACAAAAAAAAATATAATAATATTAATAAAAAATGAGAAAAAACGCACAGTTAATATTCAACATTTATGTATGAAATTTTAATTTATTTTTTTTATTTTATTTATTTTTTTTTATTTTTTTTTTTTTAACTGCATGTAAACAACGAAACATAATCAAAACAATAATTAAGCGTCTTGTAAAATAAGCGTTGCCGTTGGGAATTACATAAAAAGCTTGACGAATCGATTTAATGTTCGAAAATATAAATGAAAAAATAAGAACAACAACAAACTACGAAGTTCGTCGTCGCTGCACTTGGTCATTTCAAATGATTACAACGAGATAGCAACGCACGTTGCTTACGTACATACATACATGTATACAGACATAGTTGTTGGTTAAAGGCGATAGACGATTAGTAAAATGTATTTTGTTGTTTTTTTTTTAATTTTTTTATTTATTTCTTTTTTTTTTTTGTTTTAAGTTTTTATTTGTTTAGGTTTTACATTGAAGTTTATTGTAAATTAAATAAAAAATCTATATTTATGTGTATCTTTTATGTGATTTCGAAGTCAAAAAGCTAATCGGCGAAGTTGAAATAGGCAATCAGCAATATACACATATATAATATATATATATATTATGTATATTTGTATGTGGGTACATTAAAAGACAAGCGCTTGAAATTGATTCAAGCGCGTAAGCTTTGTTGTAGCAAATTTGTTGTTTCAAGCAAGGCATATATGTATTTTTAAACATTTTATGATAATTTATAGTGCAACGCCTTTTAAAAATTTTATTATTAAATATACAAATACATACATATACGCTGATTTAGTTGTGCCGCACGCACATAATTTTTTCAAACTTTTTTTTTCTTCTTTCTTATTTTTAATTTTTTTTTTCTTCCACTGTGACCTTTTCTTAGCATAAATCTTTAACTATTCTTGCGCTTTTTCCTATATCAAATATGCACATACATACATATGTATGGAATTATATGCATATTTATTTATCTATTTATTTATTATTTTAATTTTATTTTTTCTATAAATAAATTTCAACACTATCTTATTTGGCTGATAGTTGGTTGAAAGAGAGGCAATTAAGGCCCTCACATAAACCACTGAGCAGGCGCATTGTGTTCCCCCATGTATCCCAACTAGACTCTCACGAAAAATTTGCTTGGTTTTCACTTTTAGTTTCTTAAAACCATACGCGCCCACCTCCGTGTGGTTGCAGCTGGGCAGCTTCATAGAGGATCAGCTGAAGCCCGGACACTCGGACAAAGGTGTTGCTCCACCATTTCGACATACTCTGTGCATGATTTGCACACAGCCACAGAGGTAGATGCGCCGTAAAATACTAATTTTTATTTTGCTTAATGCAAGTAACAGTTTGGTCTGTCGGATATCTACGCTGCGCCACAACAACTTAGGGTACGTCCGTCCTACGTTGGACAGGCACCAAGACCTTAAGTGTTCCTCTATGCTCCTGTGTTTTAAACAACGTTTGAATTTGACGCTTAAGAGTCTGAGGCAGTCGATGGTGGCACGAGCTAGCTCGTCCATCTTTTCATTTTTGTCTTCCACAACCATGTGAGCTGCGGCCTAATTGATATCCACTGTGTTTTCCCCCCAATAGTGTATTAATAACCTCTATGCACATGTTCTAATGCATTTATCTAACAGAAGCCTGTTAGGTTTTTACGTCAAAGCGGTTGTTTATTTGGCACTCACCCAGTAAAACCCACAATTTCGGCTTGGAAAGCAGAGTTGGAATAGTCAATGAGTTAGAAGCTACTTTGGTTTTTGGCGTGATCACAGCAGAACTCCTGTGTTCATGTGCCTGTGTTCCATTTGAACCCAACAGTATAGATATGGATACCTTCATAGCTACCGATGGACCCTCTTTCCATCCAATTTTCTTTACTAGGGCTGGAGTAGTTGGCCTCTATACGGCAGCAGGTTTCCGCTTCTCGGTCGCATTTTACGTTTAGTCCGAGTTCTGATATAACGCCATCATTCCTTCATAATTTGGGAACTGAACCCAACTGTGGAAAACATTTAGGCGGTTAGCTGTTAGCGCTGCTTCATACATAGCTTATCTGTTAATTAACGTAACGTCAAGGGCCTTATTTATATTATATTTACTCAGCCATAAAATTATAATTTATATTTTTACATATGTATATATAATGCCATGCACTTAATCTTGCATCTTGCAGCCAACTAACGGATAATCAAATACATACAATTGAGAAGGGTGCTTTCCAGGATCTGGTGTCACTGGAGCGACTGTAAGTTTTTGTAGTTTCCTTTTTAAGCTTTTGCATGTTTTAATGCTACTACAAACAAACATCTTTTGCATTTTGAATGCTTCGATTTTATGACTAATTATCATAAATTTAACAATAAATGAAATATTTTTTAATAAATTCTTAAAATTTTTAGCAAATATTTTGTTGAATTTTTTTTTTAAATTATTTTACTTAGCACTTTTTTTTGGCTGTCTTTGCTGATGAAATACTCTTTTGTAATAATAATAATAATATTTTAATATTTTTATATATGTATATGTGGCTAATACTGGCATGGGGTTGTTTGAGAAGTGTAGCCTGCGGAAGTCAATAAAACTTTTTTTCAATTTTTTTTTTTTTAATAAAAAAATGTTTGCTTATCGATTATTTTTAATGTTCTTATTTGTTATAATAGCAAATATATTGTATGTTTCAAACTAGATATTCAACCGGTTAAAATAGATTCTAGTTGACTATTCCAATAGCCAAGACTGACTCGTGGATGAATTCTTGTTCCCTTAAGCCCACAGGAGAGTTCGATTGATTAATCATATAAGCTGTTTAGTTGAAAATTGATTTAATCCTTTCCAGTACTCTTCCAACCGACATTGAAAACGATAATGGAGTACGTATGAACCGACTTTTCTCTTTCGCAAATCATAATCTGAAATGCTGCTCTTCTTTCGAGAGAAAAATCTCTATTTTCACTGATGGCCGAACATTTTTTTACTAGTGAGCAGCCAGTTTACCTTGGGCCAGGAACCATTGGCATGCCGATTAAGTGATAGGACATAATGGCTTACATATAGAGCTTCATTATGAGAGGTTCTTATTCTCCCACTAATGCATATCAGCACTGTTCTTATGGATATTGGCCAGCTCCAGCGCCAATGCCAACTTTTTCAACTTAAACTCAATTTTTTGCCAATAACTCTATTAAGAGCTTAAAGAGCGCCTTTATCGCTCTATACGTATCTTTGATCTATATGTACCTTTTCGGTTTAATTGCCTGCCTTCTAGTATGCAGACTTTAAACTTTGGTTTAGCATTCTCTCTCTCACTCTCTTTCTCTCGCTGCTTTTAGGTCCGGTGAGCTAGCATAATAACTTCCTAAGTTTTATATGACTTTTCACTAGATGCTGAATAGCCCAAGCTAATTTTCTTTTGCATATATAGCATAATTTTAGGCACTGTATTTGTAATTTAATTTATTCAGTCACGCAAGCGTGTATTTCTCAGCCAACTTGAGAACAGTGTGTTATGTATACTTTTCCTTCGAAAAAAAGCAAGGGAAACACTCGTCTTTAGATTTGGTTCTTTAACAACCCAATATTTTGCAAGTTCAGCCACATTTTTATTAATATTTTTTCAGCATCACGTAATTTAGTTTAATTTTCCTTAAATTAACTTACTTTCCATTTTATTCTTTCTTTTATTCTTCTTCAATTTTTTAATTTTCTTTTTCGTCTTATTATTTTTATTTCTTTTCTTTTTGTTTATGTATTGATTGATTGGACTTTCCATATTGGATTTTTCTGCACGCAATATCTAAACACTACTGTTATCTACTACAACTCTACTACAACCAATGCATACATACAGGCGCCTTAACAACAATCTGCTAAAGGCGATACCTGAAAATCTAGTGTCAAGTTCAGCGAGTCTTTTGCGATTGTAAGTAGTCGAATGCCATGCTTTTTTTATTAAACACAAAAACAAAAACAAAAACAAAAACAGAACAATATGCTCTTTTAATTTCTTTGGAGGAATGCCGCCATAGAGATTTTATATTACACATACAAAATAGATTACAAAAAAAAATATTCTTATGTGCTTACAAATATAGTGTTGTCTTTAGTTTATAACTGTACTGCTAATTAAAAAAAAAAAATTATTTTAAACTTTTTTATGAGTAGAAAAATGCTTTAAAGCTTTCTTATTCTTCTTCTTTTTTGACAAACTCACACAGTAGAAGTATTTGAGTTTTGTCTTGAGAAACTCAATGAGAAAATCGGGTTGTTGCTTGTTGGATTTCACTTTTTTCGTAGTTTTGCTGATTTCTAAAATTTTGAAATTATTTTGGAGTTTAAAAATGAATTTAAGAATTTTTTTTTTATTATTTTTTCAATAATACTCCCACATTCCCCGCAGAGACATTTCGCACAATATCATAACGACTGTCGGCCGACGTGTCTTCAAGGGTGCGCAATCTTTGCGTAGTCTGCAGTTGGACAACAATCAGATCACCTGTATGGATGAGCATGCGTTCAAGGGTCTCATCGATTTGGAGATACTGTAAGTATGCGCTATGTAGTATTTTCTTTTTAAATAAAGGGAGTCTACTCTCGCCTTGTCAAAGTCTTCCTTTTTTTAATGAAATCTTAATTTTAATTTCTTCTTGTTCTTTTCAGCACTCTGAACAACAACAACTTGACTTCCCTACCGCATAACGCTTTCAGTGGTCTAAATCGCTTACGTGCTCTACGTCTCTCCGATAATCCCTTCTCGTGCGATTGTCATCTTTCGTGGTTATCGCGTTTCTTGCGTAGTGCGCCACGACTCGCGCCATACACACGCTGCCAGTCGCCTTCACAGCTAAAAGGTCAAAATGTGGCTGATCTGCATGATCAGGAGTTCAAGTGCTCAGGTAAGAAACGACCAGTAGAGTTAAGCTCAACGTAAGGTTGGTTAGAAAAAAACGAAGAAGTCGTTGCTCGGAATGCTCTGAAACTCTCATTTACTGGAGAGCTATAAACTATGTAAAGCACCGAACTTCAGTTGCTGATTCAATAAGCTAAATAATAGTTGGAAATACTTATTCTAAGCTTTATTACTCACTTATTAAATTGGAATGGTTCTTCAAAAAAGTTAGCTTATCTTTATCAGCTCTAGTCATGGAGGTGTTTTCTTTTTTTCGTGCAAAACACAGGCTTTAGATAATCCGTAGTACTTACGGGTCGCAAATTACTTTTAGGCAAAACCTTAAGCACCCGCCCAGGAATTTAGAACGTCGGTATTGGAAATTTAGCTTGCCGCCGTCCGTGCAAGTCTCTTCCATGCCTGCAAAAGCGCAATTATATGGAAATAATATGACAAGGCGACAAAAACTCCGGGAAAAATCAACCCTCTGTAGATATCAGTGAGTGCTGAGACCATAAAAGTCCACACGCTATCTATTCGCCTTTGAGCATAAGGGATTGAGTAATGCCGATACTACGGCGGTAAGACTTCTAGCAGAAGACTGTCCAGGAAACTGATACTGAACCGTGGTTGACTATTTTAAAATTTTGAACAGGTCTCGTCTAACAGACAAGATGGAATTATGGATTGACTGCGTAAGAGATTACAAGATGGAGGCTGGAAGGCTGAAAAGGTAGTGGTGCAGATTCGATTCACTTTTACGTGGATGAGTTAAAACTAGATAAAAGAGTATAAATGCATTCGCCATTTCGGCAAGGAATGTCCACTCCTCTGAGTGTATTTCTGACATGAATAAAAATCTTTTCATTAAACTCCATCATCGTTCGGAGACGGTTTAGAACAAACTATAGTTTCCTATTCTTCTGTTGGAATAACACCACTTTTGCACAGAAAGCTCTGCTGAAAGTCGTTTCCGCGATTATAAAGCCTACATTATTTGACTAGTTTGGGTAGACCCAAACCCTGATGCCCTGGAACCATTTACGAAGAACTCACTTCTGCGGAGCCGAAGAACTTTTTAAGAGAACTGATCGACTTTAGGAATTTTAACTAAGAAATCTAGTGTATTTACAAGCCGAAATTGGGGACCTTTAGAAGTTTCAATATGCATAGCTGCCTTGCGGACTTTTGAACTAGAGAAAGTTTTACTTTTTAAATAAAAAAAAATCATTAAAAAATTATTAAAATTAATTTATGACCTTTCAAAAACCAAAAGACAAACAAAAAAAGATTGTGGAGAAATTATATTTCATTAAGTATTTAATTTTATAGCTATTTTGGCATACGGATTAAGTTTTATGAGATCATTAAAGAATTATGAAAATGAAAAAGAGGACGGTAAAAGCTTTTTTTCCTTTTTTCTTCAAAAATAATTATTTGTGCCACAACTATGAGAGACGACTTTTTCATAGTTTAATGGCCAAAATAAATCATTAATATATTTGTGTGTATATATATAAGCACACATACTCACTGACAAATTTAAAATATTATTAAAAAATGTTGTAATTAAATACCCTTCGAATATTTTTTTTTTTTTACAATTTCTTATTTCATTCTTTTTTTGTATTCATTTTCATTTCCTCTCACACCTTAACTGGGCACTGACAATGTCTGCATATAATGAAAAAAAAAAACGAAAACACGAAAACAAAAAATACACCACCAACAAACACCCGCTCGCGCTTTAGGTCTCACCGAGAATGCGCCAATGGAATGTGGCATGGAGAATAGCTGCCCACATCCGTGCCGTTGTGCCGATGGCATCGTTGATTGTCGCGAGAAGAGTCTCACAAGTGTGCCTGTGTCGCTGCCCGATGATACGACGGAATTGTAAGTATATACAATTATATATGTATTTATGTTTGTACAAATATATACTACGGTATGTATGTATATTAATGCTTGAGTAACTGTCAAAATTTTTCGCTTGGTAAATTGTAATTTTTTGAATGGCTTAAGCGCTCACTCAAGCGCACCTCCAGCAATTTAAGAAGTCAACTTTAAGTTTTTGTTATTATTTCTTCTTAATTTTTTTTTTTTTTTTTTTTTTTGAGTTTTCGTTTCACCATCATTATTGTAATTATGTTTTGCATACTATTTCTTCTAACAAAAGACGTTTTTTTTTGTTAAAATATTTTTTCACTCAACTGTTTTTTTTTTTGTTCGTTACAGACGCTTGGAGCAGAACTTCATTACCGAATTGCCACCAAAGGCGTTTGCGAATTTCCGTCGCCTTCGTCGCATTGACCTCTCCAACAACAATATTTCGCGCATTGCACACGACGCTTTGGCCGGGCTAAAGGCGCTCACCACACTGTAAGTAATTGAAAGAACTTTTTCTAAGAGCCCAAAAAAAAACAGAAAACTCAAAAACAACAGACTTAAAAAAAAGATTAAAACTAAGACTAAAAAGAAATAAAAAAAAATTAATGAAAACAAAATAAAAAAATTTAGAAAAGAATAAACAGCGATTTTAATAAAGAAGAAAAATATACAATACTTAAACAAATGATAAATAAAATATTAAAAATAATATAACAAAGATAAAAAAAAATTAAAACGAAAAAACTGAAAATAAATAAAAAACAATAAAATAATAAAAATTAAAAATAATTAAAAAAAACTAATTGAAAAATAAATTCCAAAGATTTATATATATATATAATATAAGTCTTAATAAAATGAAGAATTAATATTAAAATTAAAAATAATCATAATAAATTTTAAATTAAAAAAATTAAATAAAAAATTAAAAATAAACAGAAATAAAAAATAAATTCAAAGATTAAATTAAAAGAAAAATAAAACATACAAATGAAAAGCAAGTAAGCGAAAAAAAAAACAAATTAAAAATAAATAAAAAAGCATAACAGGGTTAACAAAAAAATTAATAATTGGAAATAAAAAATAAATATTTGAAAAAATTAAATAAAAAGAATTTTGAAAATAAGAAAAAATAAAATTAAAAAAAATTTTTTAATTTCAATACATTAGTTTTTATTTATTCGATATTGAAATCCTAACAATAAATAATAAAATCTTAATACAAAAATTATCATATAATAAATAAAAATAAAAGGTCCTTAAAAATTAAAAAAATGCTTAGCAAAAAAAAAAAAAAAAATGTTATATAAAAATATATAATTAAAAATTAAAAGAAAAAAATTAAATTCAAAGCAGATGCGTTATATAAAATTAATAAAAATAGAATATAAATAAAAAGTATTCATAAAAAAATTGTAAAAAAATATAAAATATAAATGAAAAGGATTCATAAAAAAGTAGTAAAAAAAATTAAAAGCAAAGTAGGTATTAATAAAAAATAGAAGTAAATAAAAATATTATAAAAATATATAGCAAAAAATTAGTAAAAAAAAATTATTGGATGAGTGCATAAGTTCGTGCCCGATTTCAAATGCAAACTAAAATTGAAATTTTTTGAAGAAAGCGCTTTTATTAATCAATTATGTATTCGCCATCATGTTCGGCAATCCACTCCCAACGTTCAANTTTACAGTTCGGACTGTCACCTTTCCAACGCTATATAATATATATATATATATCTTTCACGAGCGCCACTCTCAAACGATTCGAACGGCATCCAGCGCAATCGGGCACGAACTTATGCACTTGTCCAATAAAAAAATAAATGAAAGAGATTTGAAAAAATCCATAAACAATTAAGAAAAATTATAAAATTATAAACATGAAATTTTTTAACCGTTAAAAGTATTTGCTGTTTTTCTTTTTGAAGTCTCACATTTTTCCCACCCTTAATTACTAACATACACACTTATGTAAATCCATATGTGGCTAAATGAGCAAAATGATAAACAACAACATCAATCAATGGAGTACGTTGAAGTTGTTTTGTTTTTATTTCTGATTATGAGCGTATGTGTAGTGCATATTATGGCCATCAATCGCTGGCTTAGGCAACATCACTTGGCCATCTGCTACTTTTTGGCCAAATTTTTTTTATTTACTTATTTTTTCTTTATCCGTGCGGAAACTTGTTGCGCAGCGGTTTATTAAATTTGTTCACTTCTTCACGGTTTTTATGCCAAAAATGATAGTACGCGTCTAATCAGACGTAAAATAATTCTGAGAAATGCCAGCAGCGCGGGCCAGTATGGATTAAGGTGAGGAAATGAGATGATTAGGTGAAGTGGTTAAGTTGATATTCTCAAGTCAGTGCTCTAAGTTAATTTTAGAGAGGAATATTGAACAGACATAGTGAACTGATTTGATCGGTGAAACTTGAGTTGCTCTCGAGGACGCTCCGTCATATTAACTGAAACTATTCCACTGCTCGTTACAAGTTGCCTCGTAGATCTCGTATGAACTTTTGAAATATTTATTATTATTGTTTGATCCGCTCGCAGTTTGTTCGGCCCTACTTCGTTTCATTCGTTACAGAAGCTTCATAAACACTCTTAGCTTTAGATTTTTAAGTGTAGCTTGGGATTAAACGTTTTTTTTTTTATTTTTCTCACACAAATTTAAAGTGATTCTCTTTTGTGTTTTTATAACGTTAAGAAGACTAGTGAATATAGACACACACACATACATATACACACTCATATACAAAAGCTTAGCTGTACACTTATGCATACACACATACATACATATACGAGTAGATAATCATATGTACTCATACCTGGATCTCGACTGAAGTTCACAGCTGCATTTAACGTCAAGCTTTTTTGTTCTTCAACCTTTCATGATTTCATTAAACGCAAGTGTTATTTTTCTCATAAGCGGTCGATTTTTTTCGCTCATAAATGTTCAGCTGACATTCCATATGAACATGCGAGAACGTAGTTTTTAGCGAAGGGAGGCTTAACTTTTATATATGTTTGTATATGTAAATACCATAGAGCGATTAACGAGGTAATTGATCAGAATATGAGTGGTCTTTTAGGTCTTGCAGGGTTTCAACGACTTTCGAGTTGTAAGAAAACGTCTCACGAGACATTCAAGAGCTGACTCTTGATCATTTTCACGACAGAAAATTCCAGCTTTGAACTTAAGGAGTGTTTATTAAGAATATAGATATCGTGGTAAAGCTTTCTAGCGCTTCTCGACAATTATTCATCCATTCTTTTGTTTTTAAAACTGTCAGTTCTTTGCTTGACTTACCAAATCTTGTAATTCCGGAACTCATAGGAAGTGAAAGCAATCTTATGCCGTATCAAGCTTTTATATTTGTGAAACTTACTTAGCAGAAGACACTGTACTTTGGTCTACTGAATCTGATATTCTTCTTCTTTATTGATTTCGAACCGTTTACAAGCACAAAGTCGAACCGTTTCTCTCTCAACAGCTGTGTATCTTCCTTCTCCGCCTCCATCGGAGGGTAGTGCATCGGAAACTTCTGAAGCTGGTAGGCATTCACTCATCCGACTCAACTTCTGAAGGTCAACACATTGAATGACGCACTGTCCACACAACAAAGTAGGAGCTACTTGTTAGAACTTGAGCCGAAGATCTATACTCAATTTTTACCTCTGCGACCACCTTGTACAACTTGGAAACATGAGCAATACTTCTTAAAGATGCCTTGTGTGGCTTCTAACAGAGTGGGTTAAGTAGAGCCACCTCGAAAAACGCGGCTCAAAGGCTCACTGAAGTTGTTTCACAGAGCCTGTTTACCAGCACCCGTCGGTCTCGAAACAAGCAGCTCGCTATACAAACAACATACTAAATGTGTTTTAATTTAAAACGCCAGGCGCGATAAGGTTGCGCGCATGGCTTGGGACCCGCCACTAAAAAGTGAGATCCAATGAAAACATTCAAAAAGATTCGATAGGCGATATTAACTAAAACTTTGATCTGCCAAAATCCGAGTGCGTTAACAGTCTGTCTGATAAAAGGATTTGATTTTGGCATTGGTTGCTATCCATACTCCTCGCTTCATTCCCCAGTCTGGCCATCACTAACGCCTATAAGTTATTTAGCTCTGGGACACATATTTCACCTTCAGTTTTAGAAGTCTCACTATGATAATTTCCCTTGACCTAAAATTCTTTTCGTACACAGAAGGGCTCGAAGAGAGGTACCTTCCAATTCTGACGGAGTTGCAAGTATTGTTCCCCGCGAAAGTTTTATGGGTGTACCAAATGCATTGAGGTAGCTTCTTTTCGCGCTGTCAACTGTTGTTTAAGAGTTTAACGAAGAGGTGGCCTGTGGTGCAATTCTCAAAGAACTTATCGAAGTCTTGGCATTAGATGAATGCTGGATCGCTGCTGGATCTGCTAGACTCAACCATCTACAAGTTGATTCGTTGGTTTTCAGTAGCCAGAAAAGTGTGTTTCTGTAAATTCTGCCTACCAGCGCCATCTGTTGGAAGCTGTTTGGCCTACGCGTAATCGTAACCTTGATTAGAAGCACTTTCTGTGAATTTAAGCTCATCGCTTCAGTAGTCTTCGGGTCTAAGAGAGGCATTTTTATTGTATTTTTTTGAAAGCTCACATAAATAAGCGCGTAATAACAATGTAAATAGCGTACATCGGCTAGTTTTTTTAGTAAATAAAAAATCCTTTTTAAAATTCAAATTTCCTGTCAGATTTTAGTCTTTCCTTAAGCAAAATTTATATGACAAAGAAGAAAAATAATTTTAAGATTTTCTTAAATGACACGCTGCTGCCTGCAAATACCACTTAAGTGCATGAGCTTAAAAATTAAGACTCATATATATATATACATACATACCTTATATATATGTATATATGTATCTACTTAAACCTATCTCATGCTCATTACTTTGAACTTTTTTTTTTTGCACGTGCTTATTATTTATTAATTTATTTTTTATAACATTGTTTTTGTTGCCCACAATAGCGGTAGTCTATAAAACTCCAGCGTATACACTTAAATATACCATTGACTCCGCTCCCAAACCGGTTCTCGGCGCACTGATTTTACCACCAAGATTATTTCTGCTTCAATTTTCTGCTAAAAAAATCTCATTGGCGGCTGCTGACTGCTGGCTGCTGGCAGCTAGTGGAAATCGCGCCACACTCCACACTCCACACACCACACACCACACTAGAGCCTGCATGTGAATGTGGTTACATGTGTATAATGGCTTTTTTATCATTTACAACTTTGCCAGCGAACTAAGAAACTACGAAAACACCACTTACTTAAGCAAAACAGACAGACAGACGGACCGACAGACAGATAGACATGATGCACTCACTCACTCGCTCACTCGCTCGTTTGCTCGCCCGTCCGCTGAGCTCATTCACTCAGTGACTCGGCAGTACTTTCAATCGTTCAACAGTTTATTTGTATCCCTCTGTTGGCAGACACATAATGTTGGTCCATATGCTAGCGGCCCGCACGTCATCATTGGCGTTGCCGACGTGCCCATTCGCCCATTGATTGTATTCAGAGTATTTTCTTACTTCTTCAATAATCCTCTGCCACCGCTAGCCCCTCGCAACACCTTTATAAGTTGCGAATTCCTGCACTCGCGTGCTTTCTTATGTATCCATGTGTGTATCTTATGTTTTGCCACTTTTTGCAACTTTTGTCTAAAAACCACTTCTTTTCAACTCAGCGAGAGAACTTCTTCTTCTTCTTTTCTTATTTGAATTGTAACTTCTTCTCTTCAACTGCTAGAACTTTTAAGGTATATTCGAGTAGGTTTATGAATGACTTTCGATGTGGGATCATACACACCCTCAAACCAGAGTATACCCATTGTTATACCTCGACGTTGAGCCAATAATTGAGCTTCACTGTTCGTCTTCTTCGATTCACTTATAGATTTTGTTGCATTTTTTCAACATGAAGTTCGCATTCTTAGATAACTTCCATTTAAAGCAGAGAGATCCTTTCTCTTTCAACGGCGTTTTCATAGTTTCCGTAGCACTTCTTAAACTAAACTCCTTCCAGACATTCTGTATGTAGCCCAAGCAGTCGACTTTCTGGACTCCCAATACTTTAGTGTTATCCTCTCTATTAAGACAGTATATTTCGTATGACCACTTTCGATCCCATACCGGCCAAGCTTGCTTTGGGTAGATTTACTGCAAGTCGAAGTGTGCGTCCATCTTAATGTGTCCAGCTCTTTTTAACTAATCATTTGAGTTGTAAATACCGCTCCTTTTCGTAGCGTCAAAAATTTCATTAAAATTCGACGGAAAGGTGGTGTGTGCCGATTCTACTCTCACAGATATTTTCCAGGTTTTGGCGGGTGAATATCTGGTCTGAATTGATAAGGGCGGATCGGTTCATTGACTTTGCGTTTTAAATTTTACACATTACGCTCGATAGGGTAGAAAGTTATATGTGATATTTAGGAGCTTTACCCCACGATAATTGACAGAGACTGTGAGATTTTCCTCTCTTATGGAGTGCACAGAGCACACTCCATTTGACGGGCATGCTTTCGTCCGACCTTATTTCGCTCAGAAGCTGATTAATGTACTTGTTTGTGCCTTTTCGCCGCCATACCTCAGGCGATAAGTAATCAGTCCAATTGTAAGTTATTCTTCACAAGGCCCCAGGATGCTCTGCGCATCGTTTGGTAGATTACCTCCTTGATTCCTACGTGAGCATAGCCGTGTCATGAAGCCTCTTATAAATTGACAAGTTTTTTTCACAGATTTTTCGCGCATTACCCTGGTCGGCCGGCTCACCAAGCACTTTATAGTAACATATTTCGGCTACATTTTTACACTCCCACCAAAGCGTCTCGCTCCCTCTCCTCGCCAAACGCTTTGTGGTGGGTCGCAACATTGCCAGATAGCCAAAAACGCTTCTCTCCGCTGCAGTACGACAAACCTCACTAAACCAGCTCTCTTTTCGATATTATCGAAAAGCATTTCCTTCTCAAGCGCCGAATCAAGAACATTCCTTGTGTTTGTAATTGAACTTTTACAAAGAAATGTGTGCGGCAAGACAGTGATCCGATTCGATGTTAGGTCCTCAGAACGTGCACAAATCTAGAACTAGCTGTAAAAGCTAAATTCACCGTTCGTTTGCGTCAAAGATATCTCATCTTGGCATTAAATTAGCCGCGCGCGATTTTGACAACGAGGCGCGCAACAGTCATGGAAAGTATATTTGTTAAAATAGTCCTTATTCTTCGCCGCTTGTTACCTTGGCGCTTTGTTACCACGGAAGTGATTTGCGGCTGAGGTTCTCGAAGAAGTGGACATTCCATGCCGAGGCAATTAATTTTCTACAATTTTTGGTTGTAAGTCGGATCAGGACCGTGGTCTTCCAAATGACAGTACGAACTGCTAATCACTCGACTATTGCGGCCGCCGATGAGTTGAACAATTTCACTTTGTTGCGGATTATGGCAAGACGTCCGTCTACAGCGTGTATGTCCAGTACACGACAACGTAGTATCCCACCCATTACAAAACCAACATCAAGGACCTACTTTCTGCATGTCCATCACACTTCTTGGATCTGAATAGTCTACTACACAGCAAAAAACAAATATTAAAAACGAATTTTAGAATTTTGTTTTTAATTTTACAACATTATTGAATCAGTACACTTAACGACAACTTGTGAATATCCCTATCGTATTACATCTGCCCTTAGCCCAAACATTTTATCGCTTTATTTAAAACACATGTCCACTTTTATCTCGAAAAATGCACATATCTACATTTAAAGAAACACAAATTTTATTAACAAATTTTTTTTTTTTTTCTCCCTCTCTTTTTTTTCTCTCTCTTCTAGCGTACTCTATGGCAATAAAATAAAGGATTTGCCCTCAGGCGTTTTCAAAGGACTCACATCACTGCAACTACTGCTATTGAATGCCAATGAAATCTCCTGCATACGCAAGGATGCCTTTCGCGATCTGCACAACCTCAATCTGCTCTCACTCTACGACAACAACATTCAATCGCTGACTAATGGCACCTTCGATGCGATGAAGAGCATACAAACATTGTAAGTGCAATATATTTTAATCCCCAACAAGAGACACACACACACATACACATGCATAGAAAGCGATATACTTTTGTAGATATGAGTGTGAGTCCATCAAAAGCAGCAAGTGCAAATAATAAAAACAAAAAAAAAATTTAACAAAAAATGTGAAAAAAGGAGAATTGTTGCAAGTGCTCTTGGTACACATAATAATAAAATGTACTGTAGGCATTTAGCGCGGTTGTATGACTTGACTAGCTGTATGCAAGTGTGTGTGTGTGTGTGTGTGGCAGTGTATTTAACTTGTATGTAGACACTTTTGTTGTTGTTGCTGTTACTGTTGCCGTTGTTATGTCGTCAGGAACAAAGGACATGACACCTAGGGCATTTAAACAATATGTCCGCAACAGTGTTGTCAGTGCGCACACACACACACATCAATACACTCACACATACACATCAAATAACTGCATATAAAAAGAAAATGCCGCAAAATTGTAAAGAAAGCACCGAAGAAAATAGCAACCCAAGTCTAGCGCAGTCCAACCCAACCCAGCTCAACTCAGTCCCACTCAGCCCAGTACAACTAAACTCAGCCCATTTAGCTATTGTTGCTGATGTTGTTGTTGTTGTTCTGCTGCTATTACTTCTAACCCAAGTGAGCAGTTTATCTCTGCCGGCTGACTTTACATTGAAGTGTGCTTATTTCTTTAATACGCGCATCTCACATCGGCCCGCAGAGATAGCAGCCTGTTGACGCAGTGCAACAGTTAGATTTCTAAGTGGTTTTTTTTTTTTTTTGTGTCAAAGACAAACAACAAAAGGGAAGAACATATATAAATAGAAGACAAAGGTACGCTTGGCTAATATGAGGTGAGATGTCTCAATATAATGGTTTTAGATGCGTCCTTTATGCTGGTTGCACATTTTGTAGTAAATTCCATAGAAATTTAAAAGCAACAATTACTTATTTTGTAAACCTAAAAATAAAATCAAGAAAAATGTAAAAAAAAGTCAACATTTCTGTTGTGGAACACCTTCTCCGTTTCTATCAGATCTTAACAAGATCTCTTCCTCTTGGATAACTAGAAGCTTCGCAGCTCAAAGGACTAGATGAATTATCAAAATTAGTTGCCGACTTGAGTTCGAACTAAACAGAACCTCTATATGGGCATTAGAAGGGACCAGCAGGTTAATGCATGGCGTGACAGTTGGTCAGTATTTGTTGGTGAAAACTCAATCGCCAAGAAGGAGAATAAGAGTACTGTCTGTAATGACGATTGCAGTTTAGGAGTGCAAGAATTTATCGGTAGTAAGACTGCCTTTCGTAAGAGGCGACTAAAATCGAGTAGTTCCCGTGACAGTCGGATTCTTATACCGGAACGACGTGAATTGTCCTTCGGCCAAGGACTGTCACTCCCGCAGCATACCCTCAAAACATATTTGGGAAATATTTTTATGATAACAATAACCACTGTACAGAAACACCTTCGTTTTTGAGTAAGTGTACCAAAGTTACGTGGTTGAGATCCGAATAATATACAAATCATCTAAGGCAAAGTCCAGAAAACGCACTGTTTCCACAGGTTTGGTATGCGGAGTGAATAAGTTTTCTAGTCTAGAATGTCTTTCTCAGCAAAGTATGATTTTTAACAGTTGGATCTGAATATTCTCGTCCCAAAAACACAATAAACAGAAATACCGCCCACGACGGATTCATCAACGTCCCCTTTCAACCAACCAATCAACCAACATCATCGACTGTGACATCGTGCTATAGACGACACCCCTTCGCCCAATAAACACACTCAGCTTCGACTTTTCGCAGCAATGAAATAAAGAGAGCATTTCACTTTCGCATAAGTCATTTCAAAACTATGGTAGTTGGCCAAATCGACCACTCATTAGTCATTGATATCAAAGAAACTTCTTCTGGTGATTGAATGAACTTCGAAAATTAGAAATTGAACTCCAGTGGGAAGAGTGCTTCATGGCATACGTCTTAAGTAGGTGTGAAGATGATTTCAGCCCTTTAATATTGGTGCATATGGCTGCCCGACAGAAGATCGTTAAAACCTGTTAACCTGATAATTCCAAGCTTTGCACTAGAAGCATCTAACAGATGTGGAGATCGCCGATTGGATGAGCAGCTGTAAGAATCGAAGCTGCTGGCTGTAAGAATACGAAAGTATACGCAGCTTTCCTTGGTCGAGACTACAAAGCCGGAGTTTATATCTATCCGAAAAGGTTCAGAGTGGATTTCTCTCTCGAGCGAGTTTAGAGAAACAGCTCGGCTGATAAACAATTCACCGGCAATTTGTATATGCTGCTAGGTAAACCGATTGAGCTTTAAATCGGTCCTATTATGTGCATTATAACCATCATGAGTGAGGCGGCAATGTTGGCCCTATCGTCGCCAATGATAAATTCAGCCATCGCAAATAATATTCGGAAGGTCCTAAACTCACTAGCAGGACAACTGTGGTCATCTGCATAACCTCTATTCCCGCACATTGGAGCATTTTCGGTAATGAAAGAGCTGGTGACTTGGTCGGAAGTATCTGAGGCGTAGATATACCTTGTTCGCTATGAACGATCACGAGGAAGCTTCCCTACATTTTTCTCAAGATTCTACGCATGGTGAATATCTGGTCAATGGTGGATTTGCCAGATGATGAGGGCGATGCGCGCTAGTCGCTCGATAAGACACGATATTTAGGACACTAGTTAGACAGTAATTCTCGCAGATCGTAAGGTCAATTCCAAAATGGACGCTTTTCCCATCATCGATTGGGGTTTCGACCTCACCATCTCCAAGTGTTGTACTTTCACCGGCATTTAGCAGGCTAGAGAAATGTTCCCTCCTTACAGCAAGTGACCTTTCAATTAATTCGCTGATAAGACGATACATTCTATATGGTAAGATTGGTCACTTTGGAGCTTGGGTATTAATTAAGAACCCTCGCGCTTTGAATTTCCTATGACAATAAAACTATGAGCATTTCACTTTAGAGCATCTCAATGAAGATTTTAAGTCAGAGCTAAAAACAAAATAAATAAAAATTTCCTTTCAAAACAACAATAGCAAAGCTTTTCATAAAATTACAGTTCTCTCTCCCCCTCACCGTACACGCATTTTGATGCAAATGTAAGTTTGTTAGCAAAGCGAAGGTTAACTCATTGTGCGAATGTAACTTTTCCAGCAATGGGCAAGTTTCTATTTCTATGTGAACCCAAGCAGAGTTGCATTAGCCTTTCACTATTTTTGGTTTGTAGTGACTATAAGTTTTATATTTATATACACATACATATGCATGTATGCATGTATATACTATATTTGCAAGCACTCATGTATGACACCTACGAACACTTGTAATTTCTTTTGAAAATGAATATTCTTGAAACTTTTTTTTTCTGTGAATTGATTTTTATTTTTCCATTTCTTAACTATTCAAAGATCTTCTTCTTCTTCTACTACTTCTTAGTTCATAGTATTTACATATGTATTTCTGCTATTTTTTTTCATATATGCTCATGTGTTTACCGCACACACAAAAAAGGCATCTGGCAAAGAATCCCTTCATTTGTGACTGCAATCTTCGCTGGTTGGCTGATTACTTGCACAAAAACCCCATCGAGACAAGTGGCGCACGCTGTGAGGCCCCAAAGCGTATGCATCGCAGACGCATTGAGTCGTTGCGTGAGGAGAAATTCAAATGTGAGTATTTACACATATACATACAAAAACATATATACATATATTTATGCATTTTTAGTATGTAGATTTGTGCACTTAAAAGTTTGTAATAAGCGTGAGTAGCAAAAATTCTAAAAATGTGCCTACGTATGTACAAACATATGTACATACATATGTATGCATGTGAAGTGCTGCCAATGCATAAAGTGTTGGTAGTCAAAAGAAAAAGGTGCGGGGGGAAAATGATCAAAAACAAAATAATAAGAAAATAAAAAGAAGTTAACACGTCCTTAAACAAGTCAAAGAAGATTTATGTATTTGCATTTATAAGCGCACAGAAAACGCAGATGTGAGGATGAAGACTCGCCATATTCCAAACTATGCAAATAATGAGCTAAAAAATAAAAATAAAAATAAAAAAAGATTAAAATAATAATAGAAATAAATTAAAAAATTAATAAAAATAAGGATATGATAAAATTTGGAAAAAAATAAACATAAAAAACTAAAAATTAAAAACCAAAATGTTTGAAATAAAATAAAAATCTAGATTATAAAAATAAAAATAAAAGCAAAAATTAAAAAAAAGAAAAAATAGAAAAAAACGAAAATTAAAATGAAATTGAGATTAAAAAAATAAAAATAAATAAAGATTAAAATAATAATAGAAATAAATTAAAAAAAATAATAAAAACGGATATGATAAAATAAAAAAAAAATTAAAAATTATAGAAATAAAAATGAAAAAAAAAATAAAAATAAAAAACTAAAAATTAAAAACAAAAAGTTAGAAATAAAATAAAAATCTAGATTGTAAAAATAAAAATTAAAGCTATAATTAAAAAAAAAAAAACAAAAATTAAAAAAAACGAAAATTAAAATAAAATTGAGATTAAAAAAATAAATATAAATAAAGATTAAAATTATAATAGAAATAAACTAAAAAATTAATAAAAAAAGGATATGATAAAATTAAAAAAAAAAACAATTAAAAGGAAAAATTATAGAAATAAAAATTAAAAAAAATATTCAAAAATTTAAACAAACTAAAAATTAAAAACCAAAAGTTTGAAATAAAATAAAAATTTAGATTATAAAAATAAAAATAAAAACAAAAATTAAAAAAAGCAAAAATTAAAAAAAAACTAAAATTAAAAAAAAAAACAAAAGCGAAAAAAAGAAATTAAAAAAAAATAAAAATTGAGTTTAAAAAAATCAAAATTAAAATAAAAAAATTAAAGAAAAAAAATTGTTAAAAAAAATTAAAATTTAAAAGTAATAACTGTTAAAGTAAAAAAATAAAAGTTACAATTAACAAAAAAAAAACTAAAAATAATAAAAGTTAAAATTACAAAATAAAAAAAAATAAAGTTTAAAAGAGTTTTAAATTTTATAAAAAATTAAATAAAAAATTTACGAGTGTTTTTCCGTTTTTTGTGCAAAAGCTCTGCCTGGAGATGAAATCGCCAAGTACTGTTGTGATATCGTGGCGGGGGCAGTGCTCGTAATTGCATTCCAAGTTTGCGTTCAGTCTACCATTGTGCTGAACTTCTGCTGTTGAATTGTTAATAATCTTAGCTCTATTATTGTTTATGGCGACTCAGCAACAGAGTTTCTCTTCCTCTTCTATCATAAGTTAAACATCAAATGTATGCTCCTTTAGATGACCTGCTATAGTATACATATGTCATAAGGACCTACTCTCATTCGTCCTCGTCTCGTTCATCGCCATGATATTAGTCTTAAAATTTCTAAAGAAACCCCCCGAGTACGGGGCGACACTCTCCCAATCAACAAGCTCATTACTTCAAAACTAACGACCGCTCGAAGTGCAACTCTGGTGAACAGACTTCAACGCTAATTCAAGACTGAACACCCTAAAAAGCCGCACCTGAGGACTGCAACGCTGATTGAATGGATTAAACCATTGTAATAAGATCTCAGTTAACCCTTTACCGGGATGCGTCAGAGCATCTCTACCGAAGCTTGCTCTCCGTAACCCTAGGCCATACACGGTTTAATCCCCGCATCTCGCACTCGCGGTTTTCTGGGGTGAACGACGAAGACAAAAGAGAAGAAAGTGAACATAGTCCTCAATATGAACTGCATACTACAAAACACGACTATCCCCCCATAAAATCTTTGCATACTTGGTCGGCGAATACCGCAAAAAATGAAACACGACTTCCGCTAGTGGAAGCCGAAAACGGTGAAGACCTACACCATATTGAAAACTTGAGAAAAGTCTCCGAATAGTTAAAAGATGAAATGGCTGGCGTGCTTTTGTGGCTATGATGGCGCACACAAAGTCCTATCCAATTAAGTAAACGAAGAGGAACAAGGGTAGTAAAAGTTGGGCTCAATTTTACTCAGAGCATTCTATATAAGAAGTCGTTATACGTCCTTGAACATTCATAGATTCTTCGACAATCCGAATATTCGAAAGGGCAGTGGCGGTCACACGCTTTATCTAGCTTGGAGAAAATCAGCTGCAAACTCGCAATTAGTGGAGAGCAGAACCCGACAGAAAAACACTCCACATTTTCAACAGCCAAACCGCAATTTTATCGGACCTCAATTGAAGTTAAAGCATTCCAAGAGCGCCAGAGCAATCAGTATTCGAGTTAACCAAGTTAGACCGAGCCTTCCAAGACCTAATAGCAATATTTACAGCAGCAACTCGCTTATGCGCCTAAAAGCATGCTATACCATAATCGAAATGAACACACTTGGAACTAGCCCACATGCATACATACATATGTGCTAGTATATTTAACTGAGATTTATGTGCCGTTATATTAATACAAATTTATCTGTGCACTTCCACCTAATAAAATAAACACACACATGCATATATATGTACATACACGTACTTGCGCGCGCTTTTAATTAACCACTCACTTCTCTTTTATACAGCACTTTACCTTTTTTACGATTTGATTAATGCACACGTACTTAAATTTATACATATATATATACGATACATATGTAATACATACTTTCAGGCTCTTGGGACGATATGCGTATTAAATTGTCGAGCGAGTGTCGCGCAGATGTCGATTGCCCGGCTATGTGTCAATGCGATGGCACTTCAATTGATTGTTCAGGTCGTGGCCTTAAAGAAATTCCGCGCGATATACCGTTGCATACTACCGAACTGTGAGTAATGCATATATACATACATACATACATACATACGTAAATTTTATATGAATAATTTCCATTTTCATTCATTTTCACTTACTTTTTTGTAACACTTATTTTTGTTGTTTTTGTTATTGTTGTTTTTCATTATTATTATTATTATTATTCATGCTGTTGATTATTTCCAAATATGCAATTGCATTGATTTATTTGACCCAAAAACATTTGCTGCCGCTCGGCCTGCATACTCGCCACCGACTTTCCTTTCATTTCATTTCATTAATTTTGGTTTTTCATCTGTTATTTTCTTTTTCTGTTCTCTTCCTCTCTCTCCTCTGCCTCTTTTCGCTCATTTCGCTTTTGCAGTCTCTTGAACGACAATGAACTGGGCCGCATCAAATCGGATGGTCTCTTTGGACGTCTGCCACATCTGGTTAAACTCGATTTGCGGCGCAATCACATAACCGGCATTGAACCGAACGCCTTTGAGGGTGCGAATCGTATACAAGAATTGGTGTTGGCTGAAAATAAGATACGCGAAATTTCGAATAAAATGTTTTTGGGCTTGCATCAACTGAAGACGCTGTAAGTAGTGGCATACATACTCGTACATACGTATATTTGTATAATTAAATCTTACGGAAGAGATGTGTACTTTTGTTTTTTGTTTGTGTGACTTTTATGGCTTTTACCGTTAATTTTTTTCACTAAACATCAAACTTGATCGCAAAGCGTTCCAGAATCAGTATTTCACCGTGCGCTTCATCGAGCGACATTACTTCGTCTGCAAGCTTTGTACAAATTTTCTCAATTCGAGCTGAAGTTGGGTTAAGTTAGGTAGAATACCAAGAGCATCTCACATAGGCACGTAGGACATCTTCGTTCGAATACCAGATGGAGTAAAAATATTCTGAGCGCCAGCCCATTTTTCATTCAGTGAACCGCTCAATGCAAGACTTTTAACTCGTTCGGGTTGTTTAACTTACTATGTGGTAAGGGATTTTTCTGCTTCGGCCTAGCAATCGCAATGCCCAGTCAGAAATCTTACCAAGTGCAAGTGTTTTGATCTGGTAATAGAAAGGAGCTTCCTTGGCTTTCACAGTCCAGTTTAGGCTAGAGGGATTTCGCAATCGTTGCTCACCTGTCCAGAAGTAAACCGCAAGTTGAAACAGTGCTGCTCGTACTTGCAAGCAATTCCGCTATGACCGGTTTTCATATTAATTAATTAATTCTGCAATAAATTGACGCCATAGACAGAGATGGCAAATATTGCTTCTTCACCGATGACTCGCTAGAAGGCTCTAGCCCTTCCGTCAAGCTTCGATTATTTGGAAAGAAGTTAACTGCTTCTTTCCTTCAATGGCTTTGTCCCTACCAGTGGAGAAATAGCCGTTCGGCACCTGTTTGGCAATACGATAACCCAAGCGACTGCAGGTAGATTGGATCCCCTCAAGAACAGCGAATGACCTGTGCTTGAACCGACTAGTGAATCAGACTCCGTGAATCTTATTGCGACTTTTGCGACTATAGAGCTACCTGCAGTAGTTCGTTATGCACCATACAGAGGATAGTTACAGTCGCGGAAGAAGTAGAAATATGGTTCTTATACACAGAAAAACCAAGAAATAACCAAGCCAGTGTATTTCTTTTGGTGAACGTGGCACCAAAGAAGGCCAATATGGTCATGACTACCACAGTTGGTGGGAAAAACGTTTACCGGCGAGTATTATTCAGATCTTTTGGTAAAAAGAAAGGTCATCAGTGGAGAAAACGTCTGGGAGAATGTGCTATTATTCTGATGAAATAAAAAAAAAAGTATAAATAGCAGAAATATATCTATCGAGCTAAAAGTAGGCTGAGTTGAGAAATAAAACGGTTATTTGGTGGATTCACCGATTTATATAAAAGTCAAAACAGTCAAGCTTGACCGGAAACCTATTGCTGATCCGAAGTATATATAGTATATGCATATATAAAATTAGCTTTCAAATTGTGAGACAAATGGTGAGATCTACAGTTTTTTCAAAACCTTTTTGGTTTCACGTCAGAAATCCACTCCGAAGGGTTGGCACTCGCTGCCGAGGAGCGACCGCAGTTATAAAAATAAAAACTTAATTAAATGCTCATTACGGCCATTATTATTAAATTTCGCCCGGTATATTGGCATAACCTAAAAAAAATTCCAAAATTCTGTGTTTATCATAGAAAAGTGTTTCGCAAGTTCATTTTTGTTTTAACAAATTTGAATGATTTGTTAAATGTAAACAAATTTATGATGTTTAACGGTAAAAGCACAACTTTTTCAACTGACAGTTATTTATTAACATAATTATACATACATACAAACATTTATACGTGTATGTCTTCGAGGCATTTTATAAAAGAATATTAATCTATTGTTTTTCTTCTTTTTTAATAAATGATTACTTTGCTGCCACTTTAAATCAATTACATATATATACGTGTACATATAAACACTAATTTCATTTGTTAAATGCAACTGACGTTTCATTAAATAATTAATTGTTCTTTTCTTTTGTTTGTTCTAGAAATCTTTACAACAATCAAATTTCTTGTGTGATGCCCGGTTCATTTGAATTCCTGTCATCGCTTACCTCACTGTAAGTATAAAACACACCTACATGTCGGCATATGTATATGTATGTGTATATACATATGTATATTTATTATAATTGCATTTATATGCATTTTACATACATTAATTAGATAAATTAATGAAAATTCTCTTTGCAACCAAATTATGTTATGGACCATATATCCTGCAGTCATACATTATACATACATACGAGTACAAACATATATTAAATTTTGTATACGATGTACACACAATAATAAGGAAAATACACCAATTCATCAGACACTGATGTATTTAGTGCATTTCATAGAAGACTAGAATACTGGAAGAGCTTCTTTATTGACTACCGCGCGCGCCTGGTGTGATTTGGAAAAAATCTATAGTTTGTATGAACGAGTGTATGTATGGGGTGTATGAGCGCATGAGTTTATAGATATTTACAATATGCACCAAATGCGTAATTAATTGCTTCTTCATTGTATAAATTGAGTAAATTGCGTACGGAGAAGTTTTTATCAAAGAAATGGGGTTAATGGGTTTGATTGTTATGGGTTCTGAACTTCACAGCATCGTACTCAGCGACTGTGGCGGCGGTGGCGAGTGTTTTTGCTCGTTGTTGGTATGGTTGTTGTAGTTAGTACTATCGTACTACCGGGTGCAAATGCTTACAGAAAGTGCATAAACTACTATTACGCGTCTATGTAAATTTGTAGTGCAAGCAAAACCGTAAAATCAAAATTTCGGAATCCCGATTTATTTTGAATGAAATTTTTTTTTTACAAATAATCTTGAAATTTGTATAATGTTTGTAAAAAAAAAAATGCGGCTCACCATTTCGGTGGTTCAGAAAATTAAAAATTTCGGGATCCCGAAACTTTTTTACGTAGTTTTGCTTTAAAACAAATTTTAAGTTGAAACTTACAAAAAAAAACTATTTTCGATCGAGCTTCAACCTCTTTGTCTGTTTCCATCGATGAATCAATTTCCACAAAACGAGAGACCAACAATTTTATTCATATCGATAATCCGAGCTTATAGCGGCCGCGGTAGCCGAGCATTGCGTACTGACATTCGGAAGGCTTGGGTTCGAATCCCCGTGCGACCAACATCCAAAAGTTATAGAAAATTAATTTAAATAATAAATTAAGATAAATTTTCTAAATGCGGTTGCCCCTCTTCGGACATGAAATAAAGGCTCCTCGTAAAAAGAAATCATCAGACGTTCGGAGGTGGCTTAGTATAAACTGTAGGTCCCTCCATTTGTTGCAAAAACATCAAACAAGCTCGGCCAAAAATCGCTTAAACAGTTACTAAGCGCCAATTATATATAGCGAGAACAAATTCAAAAGTCATTCAGCCCATCTTCCTACTACTTTTGTACACAGCAATTGCTGGTGAGCTCATGATGAGTTTTAAGGACATGTATATATGGTTCGAGAAATAGAATCCTATAAGTGCCAGTTTCTGAACTGATACGACAGCGTGATGTGTAAAGCCTCCTTTCTAGATATTAATAAAGAATGAAATCAAGTAGAAACTCAACTCGAATACCAGTTTCATTGGAACCTTAGATAACAGGGTCTGAGAAGTGTTTGCATAGGTTCCAACAACCATGAGAAGCTTTTAATACACGTCCAACTTCACGTTCATGCGCACTCCGTGACCGCACCTTTGCACTGAATGCATGTTTGATCCAAACCTATTTGTAGATGGTGCTTGCACTATCTCGACGGCATCAGCAGTCAATCCATTTATTAACCAAGGTGAACCAATGCGCTGAACTAGAGCAACGGACACTGGTTATGAGGCACCTGCACTGTCCTTGAGTGTGATTAAGTATTTTCTTTCATCTAATACTTCAAGAAACGTCATAACTGTTGTAACCTCTTCTTCGATTTCGGAATCCAGAAGTTGGTCCTCTTTCACATTTTTCCCTATATTAGAGTACACCGGCTTTGAGTCCATAAATAATTGCCGCGTTATCACCGCTGAACCGATTTTCGACCGAGCTTTCTATCCAAGCTCAAGGTCCATCGTTTCGGCTTATTGTAACTCTTGGATAGTTAAACTGCTGCAGCTGTATCCACGTCTTCGGCTTGGAAACCAGTAGCTGTTCCTTTCTCATATATTCCCAACGGCTAAGAGGTACATTAAAGTACCCAGGCATAAAGAGAAACTAACACTTTATAGCGTCATACACGACGTTGTCCTCAGCCGTGGAACTGAGCTGCTCATGATGTCTTCAATCGGCTACCGAGGCAGCAAAAATGCAAAGCGCGGAATTTGTAAACCTCTTTAGTGTTTCGGGATCTCTCATCTCTCCACTAGCTAGATACCTTGATATATGTATGTATACATTCAAAACCAACGTCTATACAACACACTCATACGAGTAAATATGTAATTCAGTTTCGCTGTTACTCGTATAAAATTGGAAACAATGCGCCACCGCCATCACCATCACTGTTGCTGCCGCTGCCGCTGCTGCTGCCGATAGAATAGAATGCGTCGTCGTTGTTGGAAGCGTAAAAGTACAAGTAATTTAATTGAACTCCAATTTATGGTCACAATAGACAGCGAGCAGGGGGCAGGCAGCAGCGAGCAGCAAGCGGCGTGCGGACAGCAGGGCGAGTAGTAAGCCGTGCGGTGCGGTATTTGAAATAATTGCTTATGTGTATGTATACGCGTGTGCTGATATGGTGGGGAGCAGTCAGTCAGTCAGTCAGTCGGCTCTGCTCAGCCCTGCTGTGTGATAACGACAAACAGACACTTGCACTGGCCCTAGCGCTGTTGTTGCCACCTTAGTTACATTATTTGCCATGTCCAGACTCCTCAGGCTTTGCCGCTGTCATGCTGATGCTCTTACATATTACATATTTTTTTTATAGTTGCTGTTGTTGTTATTGTAACTGTGTTCGACTTACATCCAAACAATATGTTGCCACTATCGCTGTTGTAGTACATGCAACCATCCAGCCCACTGTTGTTTTGTTGAATGATTTAAGTGGCAAGCTCACGTCGTACATACATACGTATGTATGTACTATATATACATATGTCTAAGTTCACCCAGAGCTACAAGTGCAACTAACTTACACATATATACGTAAGCATACATACATATTTATGTACTTTTGTATGATTAAACGTTAATTCTAACCTTAAAAATATTTTTACGAAATTTAAAAAAAAAAAAATTTTTGTTGCCTAAAAATTCTACTTCAGCATTTTACTATATAAATTTGTTGGTAGTTTTTATGTTCGTTTATACATACATATGTATGTGTAAGAGCTTATGAAACACTTAAAGCACAGAATCACCCTAATTTGATGTGCAAGTATAGTTTGGCTCTTCTTCTTCTTCTTCTTTTACCTCTTCAGTGCACATATACAAGAGCATAAATATGTATGTACGCATATATGAGCTACTCAAAAACCACCATAAAAGTTTTCTACATTTTCGTAAATGATTGAATACTCTTCTATCATCTCTACCCATAATTTTATTGTTACCTCGCACTCACACATTCATACAAACATGCATACCTAAATACATATACAGATAACTGTGTAAGAATCCTGCAGGGAAATTTCAAACTAGTCAATCAGTTTTCTACTAAAATCACTCTAATCCGAAAAAATACCAAACTGGTACTAGTTAATAAATTACTGTTAAGTCGACATTTCCCACTTATACACGGCACGATATTACAATTTACAGCCAGCGCTACCGACTCCAGCTGTATACCGAAAATCGGTGACTTCAAAATACCAACATTTGAGTTAAGCCGAAATGACTGGCCGTCACATACGACAGACTATACCCCCTCACTTCGCATATAACTGCGGTTAACACCGAAGTCTAAAAACGCCGTAAAATCCTCAAGTCGTTTGCTGACTGCAATTGGGGAAAATACAAGGAATCATTTCGAGAAACCTACAGGGTAATCAACTGGTCGATCGTAAACTACGCTCGACCAATTTGGACACCGTGGACTTCTTCTTCATTAGCTTAGACCCCAATTGTTCCTCCTCTTTGCTGTTAGGCGCCACTTATAAATTTCAAGTGAAATCATATCTCTCTACTACAGCGCCGTCCAACGGAGTGGAAGTCAACATCTTTTTAAACTTTGCAGGGGTGACATTATCGGCATTCATTCACCACCCATAACATACGATGAAAGTGAACTATTAATTTTTATTGCCCATTTCGGACTAGTATAAGACTGGAAGACTGAATGGAAGTATGACTATTATGAGACTTCGAGATATTAATAACACAAAATAGCAAAATGGAAGCAAGATAGTTGTCGGTCTGGTAGTAACAGTTTCTTACTAATTTGACTACAGGGAATAATATATATATGTGTGTCCATATGATGTGTGGAATGTGTGTTCTTACCATCTTTATGAATGCCAAGTGGTAGGGTTAGAGCAAGTTTTACTACAAGTGGCAATTGTCTAAAAACAGCACGAAAAAAAAACAGGGACACCTGCGCAATAAAAGCGTTGCTTTTGTATTTGAATCACACTTTAAGGTTTTGGGTGTTTTGGCACGGAAAGTGAGTCATTAAAAAATGTTGTTGCTGGTTCTGTCATAATGTTAAGTTAAAAAACACCCCTTATTATTTTTTGCTTAAATTTTTACTGTTTTATTTATTTTTCAATTTTAATTTCTTTAATTTGTGTTAAAAATATATTAATAATAATATATATTTTTAATTTTTTTTTATCTAATATCTTTCCGAATTTTTTTTTATATTTTTCTCTTTTTAATTTTTTTGTATCTTTTTTTCAAAATTTATTTTTTAAATTCTTTTTCATTTTTTGTTTATTTTTTTAATTCTAAATTTTTTTTTTTTTATTTAAATGATTTTTTAATTTTATTTTCTTATTTCATTTGATTTTTAAATTCTTGTTTAAGAGGTCAGGTAACCTTGCTTAGAGGCAAACGATGATAGTAGATGGCATCGTTGGCATCTAACGGGAGGTTCAAAAAATAAGCACTTTGTATGGGTTCGGAGCAAAGGGAAAGTTTTGTTAGATTAGTCGGTTTTACAGATACATACCAAGAGATGGTTAGCCTTGTGCAGATTGTATGCTGGACATACATATGTATATAAGTTTAGTATGTCGAGGTCGAGTCTGGATGAATGTGAGCTAAGTCGGCCATAACACTCAGGTCTTAATTGTACTAGAATTACTCGGGTCTTACATGTCAGCTTGAGCTTCTCGTCTACTATAGGTGCAGATCGTGTTCCGAGGACGCCATTTAGTAGAAGAAAGTTAATAAAATTATCGAATGACTCTCAGCTGGTGGCATTTAGGGTCTGTCGATAGTACGTCGTTTCTGCGATGTAATGTTAAATGTAGTCCATACTACTATAGTCTAGTACTTTATTCATGTTGTGCTTGAGATGATCTTGTGCAAGGTTGATCTCTGCGGTGCACTGCAGTATGGTGGCTCTTCCTGGTTTTAATAGCGGGACCACTCTATCAGCAGCTTCGTTGCCTATGTCGTTTCGGCCGAGTAGATGTAGTACACCTCACCTTCGATAGTCTGAAATACGTTGAAAATCTGTATACGCTGGTTGATACATAGGGTTAAGAACGCTGTCATTACGGTGGAAAAATTAGGCGGAGAAGCAGCTGGCTTTATTTTGCAGCGAACTGCTAAAGGTTGAAACGACTGACGTGCTCTTGTTGGCTCGGCTATAATCACGGTACCAGTGGCTGTGCTAATTAAGAATCAGCAGAAAGACTGCCACTTCTGTCGGAAACGGCATTTGATCTACGGAGGTGAAGCTCAGCGATATCAGAGACGTCGTATAAATAAATATTCACCAATCAAGGACTAAATAAGCTCCTTCCAGCCAGTTGTAGATGACAAGATTTTTGAATTGGCTTGTACCAATAACTGCACTGCAAGCACCGTACCCAGAGGTCTGCTTTGAGGTCCTTCGGGCAGACATCAGCACTCGAATGTTCAAGGCTTCCTATTTTTTATCCAAGGAAAATGTAGCATACCAACCCAGCCGCCACTTGCTCGTATGTACTTTTACTCATGCGGATACGTCAATAACGTAGATATTCTAAAAACCGCTAGGACAATTCATTTGTGCCACTTAACTGTTTCTTTTTTTGTTTTTTTTTTCATTCAACATTTTCCACACCCCACAAGTATTTGCTTTAGCACAAGCTCTATGCAAACTTAGCACCAGAACACAAATTCCAATACATACATACATACATACAAACGAGTACACATCTCTGTTAGACCGCACATCAATTTACACTTTTCTGCTTTCTACTTTCTACTCTTTGCCTCCACAGAAACTTGGCTGCCAATCCATTCAATTGCAACTGTCATTTGGCCTGGTTTTCCGAGTGGCTCCGCAAGAAGGGTCTTGTCGGTGGTGCGGCACGTTGTGCGGCCCCCTCAAAAGTACGTGATATGCAAATTAAGGATCTGCCACATAACGAGTTCAAATGCACATCGGACAACAATGAAGGCTGTTTGGGTGATGGCTATTGTCCGCCCGCCTGCACATGCACCGGCACCGTTGTACGTTGTTCGCGTAATCAATTAAAGGAGATACCACGTGGCATACCGGCGGAAACGTCCGAGTTATATTTGGAATCGAATGAAATAACAATGATACATTTGGATCGGATACGACATTTGAAGGCATTGACGAGATTGTAAGTAGCAGAGAGGGAGGGTAGTTAGTGGAGTGGGGGTGAAGCTGAAGGACGCTTTTCAAAATTTATGTTACTAATTCATGTTCATTCGTTCAATTGTTCATTTTACTTTTTTCTTCTCTCTTTTCTTGTAGAGATTTGAGCAACAATCAAATCACGTTCCTGTCTAATTATACCTTCGCCAATCTGACGAACCTGTCCACACTGTAAGTATGATTTACGGGTTTCATTTACAACATCTCTGAAAGGACGTTCGCTGTAGTCAAAGACGGCATATTAATGTCCTTCCAATCTTTTTTATGCTAAAATTCATTAATTATCCTTAAACCTATCGAAATGTGACATTCTTGGATAGTTTAATTTCTTATTGAAAAAGTTAAGACGGCCTTTTAGCGATGCATTAGGAGCAGGTAGAGCTACTCAGTCTGTGTCTCGGAGTTCATCCAGTATGAAACTAAGGCAAAGAGCAGTTTCGGAGCAAAGACATGATTAGCGTCGTGCCGGGATGTACGTTGAGTACGTCCGTTTGGAGTTCAGATAAGTCGGAGACGAGTGTACTGCAATAAATAGACATAGCGCGAGCTCCTCTTCAGCAATAGATGGTGATTGGGTTCCGATAACACCATTCATGGTAAGAGAGTTAAGAAAAGTATTGTGAACTCTCTATGAAAGTAAAATGCCAATCGGTCGTCGCATACAGCGATTCTTTGAAGTATTTTCCGTGTACTTTTGAACTTCCTACGTGTAGGGCTTGGGAGACGGCACTGTTTCAAGCACGGCACTGTCCTTTAGAGACTTAAGCAATTCAATTCGGCGCCAGTATGCCATCTTTTTCACAACCTCCCTTGGGTTAAACTCCAAACGACCCTCCTCAACTTTCCCCCCCTTATTCTTGATCCCCATCGCGGACTTACAATTGAAAACTCATCCTTACTACTCCCTTTGCAGCATCATCTCTTACAACAACCTGCAATGCTTACAACGTTACGCCTTAGCTGGCCTGCAAAACCTACGCGTACTCTCACTACATGGCAACCGCATATCCATGTTGCCGGAGGGCACCTTCGAGGATATGAAGTCGCTAACACACATGTAAGTATAAAGAAATTATAAATAGCTCTACATCTGAAAAACTAAACCGCACTATCCTCCCTCCATCAGTGCACTCGGCAGTAATCCACTGTACTGCGACTGCTCGCTTAAATGGTTCTCCGATTGGATTAAATTGGACTATGTAGAACCTGGTATTGCACGTTGTGCCGAGCCGGATTATATGAAGGACAAACTGATACTCTCTACACCCTCTCACAACTTTGTGTGCAAGGGCAAAGTAAGCAATGAGATTATGGCCAAGTGTGACGCCTGTTACACGCACCCATGTGAGAATAAGGCGCAGTGCATACCGCTGCCCCAGCGCGACTATCAATGTCTCTGCCTGCCGGGTTATCACGGCAAACATTGTGAGTTTATGATCGATGCCTGCTATGGCAATCCGTGTCGGAATAATGCCACCTGCACTGTGCTCGAGGAAGGACGTTTCAGTTGTCAGTGTGCGCCGGGCTATACGGGCGCACGTTGCGAAACGAATATCGATGATTGTATGGGTGAGACGAAATGTCAGAATAATGCGACGTGCGTGGATGGCGTGGAGTCGTACAGCTGCGAGTGTCAGCCGGGTTTTACGGGTATGTGTAAAAAAAATAGTAGTTTTAATATAAATATTTAAATTTTTCTTTCTATACGGCAGGTCAATACTGCGATACAAAGATCAACTTCTGCAGCGACGAGTTCAATCCCTGCGCGAATGGCGCCAAATGTCACGATCACTTCACCCACTATACGTGCGAGTGCATGGCCGGCTTTCATGGCATCAACTGCACACAGAATATAGACGATTGTCAGAATCACATCTGTCAAAATGGCGGCACCTGCATAGACGGCATCAATGATTATGTCTGCAAGTGTCCGGATGATTTCACCGGCAAGTACTGTGAAGGTCACAATATGGTCTCTATGATGTATCCACAAACATCGCCCTGTCAAAACCACGAATGCAAGCATGGCGTGTGCTTCCAGCCGAATCCTTCGGGTTCGGACTACCTGTGTAAGTGCCATCCCGGCTACACTGGCAAGTGGTGTGAATACTTGACGAGCATTAGCTTCGTGCACAATAATTCGTTTGTGGAAATGGAGCCGCTGCGTACCAAGCCGGATGCCAATGTGACAATCGTGTTCAGCAGCACCGAGCAGAATGGCATACTGATGTATGATGGTCAAGATGCGCATATAGCGGTTGAACTGTTCAATGGACGCATACGCGTTAGCTATGATGTGGGCAATTATCCTGTATCCACAATGTACAGCTTCGAAATGGTGGCCGATGGTAAATATCATTGTGTCGAACTGTTGGCTATCAAGAAGAACTTTACACTGCGTGTGGATCGTGGGCTCGCTAGATCGATTATAAATGAGGGCTCCAATGATTTCCTCAAACTAACGACACCAATGTTTTTGGGCGGCCTACCGCTTGAACCGGGCCAGCAGGCGTTTAAGAATTGGCAAATACGTAATTTGACAAGTTTCAAGGGTTGCATGAAGGAGGTGTGGATTAATCACAAGCTGGTTGACTTCGAGAATGCGGCCAAACAGCAGAAGATAACGCCTGGTTGTGCGCTACTCGAAGGCGAGGCGGCGGAGGATGATGAGCAAGATTTTATGGACGAAACGCCGCATATTAAGGAGGTATGTACTTCAAAAATGTCAATCTACAATTTCTTCATCTAACTGCTACCCTCTCATTACAGGTGGATCCTTGCGAAAATCACAAATGTCGTCGCGGCAGCCGTTGTGTTCCTAACTCCACATACCGTGATGGTTATCAGTGCAAGTGCAAGCATGGTCAGAAGGGCCGTTACTGCGAACAAGGTGAGGGCACTACAGAGCCCGCCACAATAACTGGTATTAATCACATTCTTCATTCATAATTCGTTCGGTGACTAGCATGCGCATGAGTTTGCTTCCTGCGAGTATGCTTATGTGTGGTCACATTCATTTCAAACATTTATGCATTTATCCTTACCTGAGCTTTGCATGTGCTTTAATTTATTATTATTCTCTTTAAATCTTTCACATTCGTGTATTTAAAATTACCTAATTTTATGGTCTCATTTTTCTACAGTGGCCTCCACCTGTCGCAAGGAACAGGTACGAGAATATTATACGGAGAATGATTGTCGCTCGCGTCAACCGCTTAAATATGCCAAATGTGTAGGCGGTTGCGGAAATCAGTGTTGTGCTGCGAAAATCGTACGCAGACGAAAGGTAAGGAGTCTGAATTATTTCCATAAATTTCAATTTGAAAAGTTGTCTTCGGTCACCTTTTTACTTTGTACTTGCTTTGTACTGAAATGAGACTTTTCGTGCCCTTGTGGAGCAAATAACTTCGGAGCTTACCAAATATAATTAACGGTTACTACACATATTTCTTTTCTTAACTACACGGCAATCACCCCACAAAGCATGTAACTTTAAGACTGCATTTAAGGTAAGCTGTTGTTATAACCAAGATGAGTCCGCCAGAACCCTTCGTCTGTTATAGATGCTAGTTGGATTCTAATAACACAAGGGTAGAGAATTGAGGAAGGCTCGTAATCACATCAAGTTTAGTTAGATTTTGTCCTTTATTGTCGCAGGCAAATAAAACCAGATTCTCGCTGCTCTGAACTTACAATCGGTGTGGAGATCTTCCTCATTATCTGCTTCTACCGGAAGGTACTGCATTGAATACCTTCAGAGATGCAGTGTTTTCAGCTTTACGAATGACATGATCTAGCCAGCGTAAACGTTGTCTCTCAATTCTTTGAACCGCCGTCGCAATTACGCAAAGGTCCGTAAATCATTGGAAAAACATTTCTCTCGAGAATTTCTAAGGTCGGCTCACAAAGTATTGTCTCGTACATGCTGGCGTTACTGCTTTCCGCAGTTTTGATAGCGACAAAGAAATGGTGCAAGTCGATCCTTTCCTCACGTGTCATTTTCAAAACTTCGCGCTTGGTGAATATCTGGTCAATATTAGATATGCAAGTTCTGGAGCCACGCTGATAAAACCTTATATGCGTAATTCAGGAGACTTATCCCACGGTAATTGGTACAGATCGCATTTAGAATCCAATCGGAGGGTATGCAATCGTCCAACCATATTTTGCAAGGAAGTTTGTTATTGTCCTGAAGGCCATTGCATTTTGGACTTTTTCATTATCGGTTAGGGATTGGGCTTCGGGTTTGCTACTTACTGAGTTTCCTTCATCACTGCAATTAAGCAATAGAGAAGTGTTCCCTTCATGAACTCAGTACAATGTGGACATCATTTACTACATCACCCCTTTGGATCCTAAAAAAGTAAGCTGCGATATTGTAACTCTCCGTAAGTCAAATTTTTCATAGAATTTGCGAGCATACAAATCAGTTACAAGTAGGACGCGTATACGCAGTGAAATTGGCTTTTCGATATGACTGTATTCTTTAGGGCTTTGTTCACAGCTGTCCGGTCTATAGAAAGTCTATTTTAATTTATTATTATTTATTATTATTGTTTATTTATTAATTATTATTTTTTAACTTCGCTTCTTTACAGGTCCGCATGGTGTGCAGCAATAATCGCAAATATATAAAGAATTTAGATATCGTGCGTAAGTGTGGATGTACAAAGAAATGCTACTGACTGGAAGATGCGACTACCCAAATGCACAAAAGTAGCTTAGATTTAAATTTAGGAGAACATAGTAGTAACAATAATTTTAATATAAATATGAATACAAATAATAATAACAGTAATTTAAGTGCTAGTTCTAATTCTAGTGTAAGCAACGAGAATGAATGTATATTTAACTGTAGTAACACGCAACAACATTTACTAATAACTAACAACAATAATAATAATAATAACAATAGCAACACTAAAACGGGAAGACAAATGATGGCCGCTCAAGAGACAAAGACTGCGGATGTAAGTGTGGAGGAGGAAGATGTGCGGAGCACAAATATAACAAGCACAAGTGGAAGTGGGCTGATGGTAGGTGCGCTGAGGGCACATAATCGCGACGACATCATGTATAATGCGGAAGAAGAAGAAACAAAGCAAGCAGTAAACAGAGGTGGCATATTGGTCGATGAGAGTGTCAGCTACGAGACTGACGCTAGCAACGACCGTATGCGTTCAAGCGGAGATGATGCTGGTTGGGATGATGAGTACGAAGACGAGGAGGAGGAGGAGGAGAAAGATGATGACGACGAAGACGAAGGCGATGATGAAATGGTTGGTGATGAGGACGATACGTATGCAGATGATGATGAGGATGAACCAGTAGTTGGAGCGGCGACGCCGACTACCCACTTCGAATCGCTGCCCGAAGCGAAAGGTCTTGTGCAATCGCTGGTAGGCGATGAGAATGAATCGGTTAAAATTATGTCGCCAGATGTATTAAATGCGAAAACTATTTCGGCAAGCGCAAGCAAAGGGACTCAAGAGGAGGAAGAGGAAGACATGGGTTTCGATGAGGATGATGAACGGATTGCGATTATTGTAGAGCGTCAACGTAGCAGCGGGAATGACAACGATAAAGGCTTCATGAACGAGGAGGGCAGTGGCGCGGGCGGCGATGGTGGAGCCTATAGGCGCACCGATGCAAATAGGTACAAAAACAGTAGATTTAGGTTAGATTACCTAGAGAAATATCGTAGAAAGCAACAAAAGTTGCAAACGGAATATACGAACGGTAGAGGTCTAGCCGATTCGCGAGAAGGCAGCGGCAATTTTGCCAACGATGATGATGATGACGATGATGATGATAGCGATGACGATGCCGATGATGATGATGGCGTTGACGTTGACGATGCTGGTGCCACCAACGCTGACGCTAACGATGATGCTGACCGCCAAGAAGGTGATGGTTATTTTAATTCGAAACATACGAAACCGAGTAATCGCTATTTCCGTAAGAATACGAATGACGCAATTAAAATAATCTCAACACCGCTGGGCAAGGTCGGTATTGTGTATCAGCAGACGCCAACGAATGAAGATGGCAGCAGCAGCAACAACAACAACAACGCCAATGGCATTACAAACCTGAAGAAACAGGATGCGCTTGGCGACAAGAAGACAAGTTCGTTTACGGACTTCGACGCGCTGTCGCCAGATCCTGAGAGCAGTCATCGCTTAGCATCATCTCATCCGAAAATTACGCCAGTCTTGACACCCGATGGCAAGGTTGCACTGCTTTATCGCGGCGACTCGGAGAATTCCAAGTACGAACCGATACGCAATTTAACCCATAAATTTAACAACAACAATAATAATAATAACGATTTTACGGACAATAAAGCAACCGCTAGTGGTACAATTAGTAAAGATACACCTGATTTACAAAACAACGATGGTAGTGAAGACGAATCGGCGGACGCGTCAGAGGACGATGAATATGATTTAGACAATGATAGCAGCGGCAATAGCGATAGAACACACTCGCGTAAGAGTAGCCTGCCCACAGATGAAACGCAGAAAGCAGCTATACATCCTGCAACAGATGCTGATGCGCCCGCCGCTGCTGGTGGTTCGTTCATCATACGCCCCACCGATTCTGTACTGCCCATGATCAACCGGCCACTTTCCGAAGTGCTCGGTATCAAAAAGAATCAATTCAAGCAATTCCGCATCAAAGATATACCAACAAATCCGCCGCCCATTGCCGAAGCGCCCGGCGATCCACGCTCACTTGCCGGCACCTCCATCGACCGCACTATCGATACAACGACACTACACTTCCTAACAAAAGTCAATTTAGCCGAATATCCAACATCGATGAAGACGCGAAACTTTGATTTCGATTTTAGTCGCGACAACACAATGCTAGACGAACGTTCACGACACAAAGAACATCAATATCATCAACAACAACAACAGCAGCAGCAGAACTCTGCAAGTGGTGCAACAAATAGTGATGAGGCGGGCAGTAATAATAATAATCTTAATACGATAGCCAACGAAGAGGTGCTCGCCAAAACCGAAGTGGTTAATCTGGCGATAATACCACATTTCGATGAGGAGCTCGAACGTCTGCAACGTTTGCGTGAACATGAAACACGTCGTCACTATCGTCAACGCTACCGCCAAAAGCCGAGCGAAGAGGAGCTCTCGGGTATACATTGCATCATGCAGGCCATGATGGGCATAGCGGCGATATCGACGGTATTCGGTATGTTGGGTACATTCTTTAAGCAACGAATACTTGATCAAATACGATTGATGCATTGGTAGTACCGAAAGGGTATTCGATTGTTGGAGAGCGGCGAATATGTTTTTTATATTTGGTCGGCAGTTACAATTGAATACCCCAGTTCATCCGCACAACAACACCAACATCAACATCAGCACCAAAAACAACAACAACAACAACACAATATACATATAAACAGAAACAATAATAACAACAACGCAGCTATTATAGGCAGAATTTTATGTAAATCTATTTCCATACACACATACAAAGGCATAGCACAAACGAAGAAGCTTTTAATCATACTATTTACTATATAAAAATATACAAACATACATACATACATACATACGAAAAACCGCATTTATACAACGCATATAAGAAAACGATCATATTTTGTTGTTGTAGGCTTCTGCCCTTAATTTCGAGTTTTTTCTTTAAGATATGCCGTTATTTACAGAGAATTATTGACAAAATATTGTTAAATTATTCGAACTTCTTTTGAATTTCTGGTCTTATTGCTTAAATATAATATTTATTTACAGAATTTTTTTTTTTTGTTTTTCAAAAAAGTACAATATTGGGTTTTTTTAATATATTCCACTTCTTAAAAAGTTATAATATTGAGTCAACGTAAACAAAATATTTTTTCCACCATAAATTTTTCAATTGCATTCGCACAACCAAAATTAACGTCTACAACACACATCCTCTATACGTACAAAAATGTACATGCCATTATTTACACGAAAAAATAAATATGTAAATCGAACTTGTAACTAATCGACTAATAAACATTTGTATTCATACTAACATTATTACACAGTTCACGAACATAAATACATACATGCATACATACATACATACATACATAAGTATTAATCATATTCATGCATTAACTTTTTAAATGTATTTCCTCCCCTCACTATAAGCTTAAGCTGAACAAAATACATATGTATGTAAACTATTTACTACCGCTACTAACTACTATTTATGTAATGCTCCTGCATACATTTAACAAACATACATACATTCACACATACATATATATGTACAACTACTACATACTAATGCTAAACACCAACAAAAAGAAAAAAAAATTGTGAAAAAAATTTATTAATACTTCCTTAAAAAACACACACACATATTTAATGGATTCGTGCAAGAAGCTACCCAGATGAAGAAAAAATAATATACATACATATATACATATATATATGTATGTCACGCGCTGCGCATGCGCTAAAGGCAAAGCGGCTTAAAAAAAATTACGTGAAGAATACAAAGAATGCATCAGAAGACCATCTTGCTAAGCGCATTGCAAGTGAAAAACAACACCAATTGTTGCCACAAAAAGTTGAAAAAGCGCATAAGCGTGACGCAAAGTGTTCGTTAAGGATGTTTTTTGAAAATTTGTTCGGTATTCCTTTTTTCATCTCTTCTCTACAAACTTCGTTACCAGTTGAAAATACCTGGAAGATCAAAAAAAAATAAATAAAAAAATACATAACACACTCAAAAGAGCTAGTTCTCTACCCCGCGTTGATGCAAAGCATTAGAAATGCAAACCAAGTCAATTTGTAAATTTTTAATAAACAACTCTCCACCAAGACACACAGCCACACTCATCGAAAAACACACACTCTCCACAGGCTAAATCCAACTACAAAATACACTCAAACACAAACGAAATACATATGAAGTTTCACACATTCATATATAATCCTAGTTCGTACACATTTTTATTAAAATATTTGTCTTTTAACTAAAGCACTTCTTAATATTTTTATACGTACATACATCCATTCAAAAACAGCACAAAAATCATTTAGCTAACAAAAAGCATTTCAGGACACAGAAAATATTTATTTGAGAAAGAAAAACGAAAGCATTCTTCAGCGCCAAAGCAGCTTTGAATATGAAAAAAAAATATAAAGAAAAAAAAAATAAATAAACGTTAAAAAATTGTTTCAAAATTAATTATGAAAGTGAAAAATAGTTGCAATAAAAATCTTTTAAAAGCACAATTTGCGTGAAGTTGAATGAAAGTGGCTTTTAAAATAAATTAAAAAAAAAATACAAAATAAGAAAATGTTGAAAAATTTAGCCCTTAAGCAGCAGAAAAAGAAAAGTATTTATTTAAATTACGAGTTATTAAAAAATAAGCATACTAAATATGTAAAAGAAGCAAAGGAAGTATGAGCAACAGAAATCTTCAACAACTTCTGTGTGTTACAAACAAGCAGATAACGAATTTTCAGTAAAACCAATTGAATGCAATTAAATTAAATTTAAAAAGAAATGCATAAAAACCAACGCATTAAAAAATAAAAAATGCATTGAAACAACTATAGTTTAAGTTTAAACTTAAAATGAAAAATTAACATCTAAGCTGGGTAGTCGCATGTAAATCTCTAAACTAAAACAAAAAACCTTAACCCTTAGTAATTAGCATAATATTACTTATAGTATATTAGTTGTAATGCAATAATGAAAGGTAATTAAAAAAGAAACTGTTTTAAAACAAAGCAAATAAAATTGAGAAACAAAATTTTAAACTTTAAGCGCCAACCAACACTGCATTTAAAATCATACACACACATACACAAAAGTAACAATGAATCAATTGCTACTACAAATGCATATTATCGAATAACGAGTACATATATTTTAAATGTTTAACATGTTTTTAAATACATACATACATAGTTACTTTTTTACTTTAAATTTATGTAAACAAAATTTTATGCAATTATACAATTTTACATAAGCTGATAAACATACACACACTTATTAGAAACATATGAACATGCATATATATATGTATAAATATGAATGCATGTAATTACTTGTTCGCAACAAATATTGTCACTTATATTTTTAATTTTTATTTATTTTTATTTCTTTCTTACCTTTATTCTTGTACATTATCTTTAACTCATGCGAGTATAACATAAAACAAAAATAGTATATATAAATATATTTATGTCCTGTATATGTATTGTAATTGTGTGTCGTGCATATGCAATATATGAGAAAGAATCCTTAAAACACACACACAAACACTGACACAGAAACACACACACGCGCACACAGCCGTTTAAAAATGTGTTCTATATGATTGTTTTATATCCAACAATAAACTACATAATCGGAAAATAATAAAAAAAATGCGTTTTATTGTACCAGAAAAAAATCTTTGTGCAAATTGCAGGAAACCAGACACAAAACGGTATTTTCTGTCAGAGCGGTAATTCGAAAGCTGTAAATGTAGTAACAGGAATTTCTGGTGGGATTAGAACACTGAAACAAGGTGATCAGGAATAATAATTTTTTTTTAATAGTTTCATGCTATTATGTTCGAACTTACCACAATTTAAGCACAATGCAACTCTTTAGTAGTTTTTTATTAAATTAAAACTTATTTAAAATAGTATTTAGAATATTTTTTATTTTATTAATTGCTTTTAGTTTGCGTTTTCTTACTATAGTTTTATTTGAAAAAAAATTCTGTATTGCTCTGAACAAACATACACTTTTACTACATAGCTAGGGAATTATAAAACAGCTACATATTCTATACAAAGCTTATCAAACAATGACCAAAAAATTTAATATCATTAAAACTGCTTTTATTATTTATGTTTTACATTGATTAAAGAAACGTCTTGATTGCTTTATTCGTTTGAAGAATTATAAAAATCAGTACTCCAGGTCATGATGACTTAGACTTTCACCTACATACATATGTATGTATGTAGTATATACGTTTGCTGCACAAGGCCGAAATGCCAATCCGTTTTTAATAGTTTTGTTATCGTTTACAGAAGAATTAGCATCTAAATTAGCTTAACAACGAGTAAACGTTATGAAAAATGCTTATTTTTAGCAGCCCAAATAGCCATACATTTGGTGTCTTAGTTACAAGAATGCACTTTGGTTATTACTTTTTGGATTTGTTTAGTTTTCCTTATATTTTGTCCTTATATTTATATTTATTGCCAATTACCAACCTAACCATGGTGGATGATTTATTTGAGCAGGTGGCACAAACGTTAAATTCACGGGTATATTCATAATGGCGTGTGGTCGTCGTAGACGCATCAACGTCGATCTAATCACAATACCATTTTTGCCTAGCAAAAATCCAGCTGGTATATGTGCATCTCTACTTGTATTGTCGTGTATCATTTCTATATAAAATTCAAATTCGTTCGATTCATTATTGAATTCTGTAATGATCGCTGCCTTAGCCCCAGCAAGCTCAGCGTTGATAGTTTTGCTTAAAAACGAACATTCGCTGTAAGTAAAAAAGTGGCAGAGAGTTTTGCAATAGCAAGAGTTAATATTAAACCGTTAAACATTTCATTTAATAATCTGTTATTTGAGTAAAACTACTGCTAAATATTGTAGATATTGTTTGAAATGATTAAACAATCGCAATTGTTATGGCATATCTATGCGCTCTCTTATCGCTGTGTCATATAACAAAAGCCATAAATCTTGAAAAAAATTTAAAGCTTCCGTTTTCACACCGTTTCCAATATGAATGTTAAATACACAGCAAAACTACCGCTAGCACAACTTTCTAAGTCACATGCAGTTACCAATAATAATTATATTAAATAAATATAAATAATAAGAATCAGTCACAACTTATGACTCTCATAAACCAATATGCCTGCATACCCTCTTTCTATTAAAGCCACATTCCCGCGTAGTTCTCGATAATTTTGTATTTTTGTGCATGCATCCGATGGTTTAGTCAACACTAATGCAACACCAAAGAGGCGTTGTGACGCAAACGAGATGCCAAAATCTTTTGCCGGTCGCAGTCGATACGTATATTCCAGTACGGCTGGTTCTGTTATCTCGAAGAACACATCACCAGCTATAATGTCCTGTGTTGTTACAATGTCGTGGATGGTTGGATGATTTACTCCTTTTAAGGGAATAAAAAAATAAATAATTGAACAAATTCATCTGCATTTCAACAAAAAAAAAGATTAATTAACTTACCTGACAAGGGTGCTATCACAAGCAATAGCAAATTTATTGCAATGGCGATGGGATTTAAACATGTCAACGCGTACATTTCTTAAATACTCTTCGTTATCATGAGATTTTTAACACCGGTGTCGGTGTAGCATTTTAAATATTTACATACACGTATTCGATTTTTTTTTTAATTTCCTTCAATGCCTTTAATAATTCACAAAATCGTTGATAAAAACAGATGTTTTCTAAAAATATAGGGTGTCATTAATGGCTAGAATAATATTCTCCGCTGAGAGATATGTGAAACACTAGAGGGCGTAATAGAATTTACGGTAATGAAACAAATTGTCGTGGTAATGTTAAATATTGTCTTTCATGAAAACAAAAATCTGAATGTATGGGCTAAAAAAAATCGACAAATAATAATAATAAATAATAATATAAAACACACAAAAGCCCCTCTTTCAATTTGATATGTTTACTTAAATTTGATTTTATGAAATATGCATTAACAATTCCCAAGACATAACTTCACCGCTATTTGCAATACTAAATATAATCTAATCTGTTGTTGTAACTTTTTCCAATATATCTTGCCGAATATTGCGGGTGAATAGCATTTTAGTAGTTTCTTACAACCGCATGCCTTGCCGTGGTTGAATTCTAGACACCCAAGCCTGTTGCCCCACGATATTCTAGGCAAATATATTCAAAGTCAAAACTTTCCAAAGAGCTAATTTCCTTTAAAATCTAGAGCCGAAATAAGGCGATACAAAGTAAAAAGTTGCCCAACTTTATTTTTACGTCCGCTTCCCTGATGAATGGACGTTTAAATTTCGCAGAGAAGCGTAGGTTTTTTTTAACCTCCTGACCTGTCAGTCAAGGCTTTTTATCCTTTACATGAATCAATCTTTATAGTTGTCCGTAGCTTAGGAATAATTTTGTATATCGGACCAATTACGTTAAACACATAACTTGCAGCCTTTTCAGTGCTGCCATTAACTTAAAATATCAAAATCTGGCAGCCATAATCAAGGGGCTTTGTTTCAGCATATAACTTCAACTTGGCACCACTTACATCACCCGGAGGGTATTGTCCGATGCATTTTCGATGTGTATCCCTTGCATTTGGGTAGCCCTTTGTGAGAACTCTATTAATCGCCACGAGCGCCATCTTGCGAGGATAAAATGAAGTTGCTGCCACGCTGACTTTTATGCAGAGAAGATTGCCTATTACCGTCATTGCTACTACTTTTGCCTCTATAATTGATTAATAAATAATTGGGGCATACGGAAAATTACAGTGCATTATGATAGTCCTTGCATATCACGTTGCAAATATGCACTTCTTTGGACCAAATGTGTTTTCAAGGATTGGGCAGCACTTAGGTGGATTGAAACGAGCAACCCTGGCTTTCGAATTTGGGGGCATTTTTGCGAAATAGTCGGAGGCGCTTTTGGACGAACGTCGACGTCGGCAGCCATTTCGATTTGTGTTCAGTGCGTGGAGTGGTGAAAGCAATTTTCACCGAGAGGAACGCGCTGCATTTAGTTGTTTTAACGTTTGGACTGTGGCAAAGACTTTTTAGTTGGTAAGACACCCGCGATAGCAGATTAGTGAGGAAGAAAAATGTCAGCTCCCACGTGTTATAAGTGCAACCGTCCAGGCCACTTTGCCCGCGACTGCAGTCTTGGAGGCGGCGGCATGGTAGGAGGAGGAGGAGGCCGCGATATGAGACGCGGTGGTGCTCGCGAAAAGTGCTACAAGTGCAATCAAGTTGGGCACTTTGCGCGTACATGTCCTGAGGAAGCAGAACGCTGTTATCGTTGCAATGGTATCGGTCACATCTCAAAGGAATGCACACAAGCTGACAATCCAACTTGTTATAAGTGCAACAAGCTGGGACACTGGGCGCGTAATTGCCCGGAGGCTCTTAATGATCGAAATGTAAGTAACATTTCATGCTATAAGTGCAACCGCACTGGTCACATTTCCAAGAACTGTCCGGATACAGCGAAGACATGCTACGGCTGCGGTAAGAGTGGTCATCTGAGACGCGAATGTGACGAGAAGGGAGGCCGTAATTAAGAAGTACGAAACGGCTTCGTATACTACACATATACACTACAATTGCAACCAACTTATTAAAAGAAATTAAAAATAAAAGAAAAAATCATAAAAACAAAAATTAAACTCACACTCTCCTTCCTCATAAACCTAATTTTCAATATAAAAAATTTCTAATTCCAATTTGAGCGCTGTTATGGCTCATCCTAGCAGATGGCGCAGATATAATGAAGCGATACTGCGCCTAAATTTATCCTGAGAAGTTGAAATTGTTTGTTGTCAATCGAAATTGAGATTTACTGCTGCTTCATATTCATCTCCTCCAGTGAACATACACAGTCCAACCACAATACACAAATCATCATCATCTAAAGTGATCTGACTTAAGCTTATTAAACTGGGCTGATACATCGGTAATGTTGACATGATGCATTTTTGTTTTTTACGGGACGGAGCCCAGTTGAAGCGGAGCGGAGTATATATATAGCAGTCCGGAGAATATTCAAGAAGGAATAGAACAGAGAAGAGCGAAGAAACCCAACTCAGAAGCACGAACCTTCAAAATAAAATTTCAAATATCACTGTGATTGTTTTTTAATTGTAAATTAAAATACTGGAGCTGCTGATTTGAGAACAAAAGCATTTGTTTCATTAAAGATTAGTTATAATTTTGGTAGCAGTTCTTTTTATTTAACTAGCTGTTTCTTAAAGCCTTCCCTATTTTTTTTTTTTTTTTTTTGTTACCTACATATACATGTATGTAGGTATATATTTATATACTTATTTTTGTATCTACACATGGTGCATAAAATATTTGCACAGACAAACATACCAATGTACAAACGTTGAATCGAATCTTTGGTGGTGGTACTTCGTGTTGTTGAGCACACTGCACATCGCACATTTCAGGTTTTGCTCACTGATGTTGTTTCTATGTGCGGCCGTGACCGACACTATTACTTGGTTGCTTTCGATGCTGTAAGGAACACATGATAGCAACAGCAGTTTTCTTGATTCTCCTTTCCCTACTTACCCGACCTTCGTGTTGGGAAAAATGTGTATGTATGTATGTATGCGGTGACTCGACTGACTGGGATTATTGGCTCTCTATTACCTCACCTCCCGGATGCATCGGTTGAAACTTTAACCGCTGTTTGAGCTTCGAAAGTTTTCCCATTCTTCTCACTATTACTTTTTGTTAGAATTTTATCTTTCACCACTAAAGAAATTGTGTTGAAAGTACAGTCACTACCATGGTGGAATTACGGCATGCGTAGATCATGGGCCTGATACCGATTTACCAAATGCATCGAGTGCTGCGAATTGCAAATTATTTTCGCCTTAATGCATAACATGTGCACGAACATGCACATACATTTGTGTAGTACACGTACATACATATGTATGTATGTACATATATGCACCCAATAAATAGATGTATTTGTTAGCATGCATTGGTATTCATATATGTATGTATGTATGTATGTATTGATTACGTTTTAGTAGGTGCATGTGCACGAGTGTGTATTTGCCTGCTTGCACTTCCATATGTTCAGGAAGATGTCGGCGTATATATATATGTATGTATATTTGTTCAAATACAACGCAGCAATCGGCGCTGCTTTCACTATCATACGGAGTTGCTTTTTAGTTATGTGTATATGTATAGATGTGCATAAGTATATGCGACGACTTAACACAAGCTGATTTCAAGGTCAAGGTCAGGTCGAAGAAGAAGCGCAAGCGCAGCTCTATTTTCAGGAGTCACATGGAAAATAATGAGCAGTTGTGCCAAGAAGGAAATGGACAAATTGTTCCATACTAGAATTGCTCTGCTACTTAAAATTTCAGATAATCATAGTGATGTAATAATCTTAGTAACAGTATATAATCGAAAGCCGTTATGTTACATTGGATGTAGCCACGAAACGTTAAAGATCGGTCTCAAGAAAACCGGAAACCTAAGCCTTGTAGCTTTATTTATCCTGTTCAAAAGATTTAAATTGCATACTTTTAGGCGTATACAATTTAGTATAATTATTCGTTTGGGCATAAATAAATCTCCCTTTCTAAGAGTTTTCGGTTAGGAGAACAAAAACTGGGTTGCGTACATATCATTGCCATGCTCTTAAACAGACACAGTATATTTATTAATTTTTATGTAATTTCGCTTCCTCGTCAGTGGGGTAGATATCTCTTACGTGATTATAACCGAACAAACAATAGCGCGCCAGTCGTTTATTCTATTCTTTATTTGGCTGTGTCGTCTGTGCCGTCGTTTGTACGGAGAGGACCATAAATCTTCAACAAAACCTTTCTCTCGAAAACTTCTAGAGACGACCGATCGTATGTCGACATCTTCCCCGTCTCTGCAGTAGATAATTGGACGGTAATAATTGATGCTGTGTAAACGCTTCGGCGATTTTCGGCCGAGCTCCTCCTCCAATTTTTGCTGTGCTCCCCACGAATGGCGAAATCTTCCGTTTATTCTAAGCCACCTCCGAACGGCCCATGAATGTTTATAAGAAATACTCTCGGATGGCTTAACATTCCCTGCCGAGGAGTGACCGCAATTAGAAAAAAATTCTATTATATAGTTTTGCATGTTATTGGGAACCGGACACGAACCTCGAGCTTCCGAATGCAGATACATAGCGCACTCAGCTTAGTGGATTTAAGTTCTGTATGTTGTAGTTGACCAAGTTCCTAGTTATGCAGACGGAACAACGACAGACTCAACAAGTTACCGCATGACATTTACCAATTATTCTTGCATGCCCCCTGAAACCAACTTTCCTAACACTACCTAGTGTTGTAGACAGATCTAATACAAAAGTTATAATATATTATATGAATTTCCATTAGGAACGTCGGGTGATCCCGATGACTTTCAGCAATTTTAATTGCAGCTAAACGAAATGGTAGTAACCGTTATAACAACAAAAACAGTGATTAACACACCTCTTCTGCTGTGAAAATAATATTACAACTACTCTCTGTTCCTCGGCCTTCTCAGAACCAAGTCGCGTTCAAGGAAAACATTTATCAGTTTGGTGAGTCCGTTCAACTCATTTATCCTCGAACATAACCTCACTTTCTTCCAATACTTCACGATCTGTGTACAAAAGAAGCTGTAAGCTTCTTTTAGTGACCTGAAACTAAAGGTATCAGTATGTACACGTAAATGTAGACAGGTTTTAAGGTAACTGAATATATTTTTTATTTATCGTTTGGTTTTTTTAATTGTTAGTAACTATTTTAAATACATTTATGTAGGTATGTGTGTACTAAGTATACAAACGTATTCGAGTATGCGAGTATACAATTTACAGGCGGGGAGAGAAAACAGAAATAATAAATACAAATCTATGTATATGTGTGTTTGTGGGTATGTATAAAATTTGCTTAACTAATAAGTTGACAATCACGAGAACTTAGACATATATATATGTATGTATGTATGTATGTATGTAAGTAATTAATTAAACATAATTGAAACTAATAGTTGAGCACCTCTGTTTATCATATATTTTTCTGCTTTATTTATTTTAAAATTCGCTATAAGCACCTCTTGCGTCTCTCCTCTCATTTTTAATTATTAATATTAATAATATTTTCTCTCCTTTTTAGGGCGTAATTTATTTTTTTTTATTTCTTTTGTTCAACATAAACGCTCGATGCTTTTTAAAAATATTATTAGACGGCATAAAGGCAAAAACAAAATAAAAATAAATTAATTTAATTAAATTAATTAAGTAAAGCAAAGCAAAACAAAATTAAATAATAAATAAAATAGTAATAAAGTAATTTTTCGTAGATTAATAAAAAAATATGAAACATTACTATAGAATGGAATTAAAAACAGATAAGTTAAGAAAATTAAGAAATTAAGTGAAATAATAGATTTATTTAATAGCGAAAGATAAAAAAATCCAATTAAAAAAATTAAAAAAACAGAAATAATAGTAAATCTGCAAAGAAAAGTATACGGAAAAATAAAGCACTTAAAATAAAATTAAAAAAAGCTGAAATAAAAAAATCAAAAACCTTAAGTAAAAAATAAATAATTATTTAAAATAAAATAAGAGGGAAATAACACATAAATAATAAAATAAGTAAAAAAACAAAACAAAGTAAAAAAATTTAAAATATAGCATATTTCGCCAATTAAAAACAAATTAAGAAAAAAGGATTAAAAAAAAAAATAAAAATAAAATTAAATTAAATTTAAATTCAAATAATTTGAGCTAAAAAAAATTAAACAAAGTAAATTAAAATAATATAAATATAAAAAATAATTAAAATAAGATAAAATAAAAAGGTAAAAAATAAAACTAAAAAATAATTAAAATAAGATAAAATAAAAAGGTAATAAATAAGAGTAAAATGATAATGACTTATTTGAAATTAATTGAAAAAAAAAATAAAAAATATTTTAAAAATTCATATCAATATCTAGGAATCTAAATAAAAATTAAATAAATAAATTAATAAAAAAATAAATAAAAACAAATTAAATTTAACATCATATACAAAAATTAAAATTGTATAATAGTAAAACAATAAATATTTATTTAAATTTAAATAAGGAAAATAGCAAACACAAAATTAAATATATAAAGCAAAATTAAAAATTGAATACATTAAAATAAAAAAAGCATATTTCGTTAATTAATAAAAAAAAATCAAATAAACAGATAAAACAAAATTAATTTTAAAAGCTCAAATTGAAGTGAAAGATAAAATATAAAAGCTTTAAAATTTATGTAAAATAATAATTATTGTTTAAAATAAAAAGGAAAAATATCACATGAAAAATAAATAAACAAGTAAATATTAATTATTATTTAAAATAAAAAAAAAAATAATTATTATTGCTTAAAATAAAAAAAAAAAAAATTATTGTTTAAAATAAAAAAGGAAAAAAATTTACACAAAAAAATAAAAAAGGAAAAAGATTTACACAAAAAAATAAATAAATAAATAAACTTAAGCAATGATTAATTGAAATTTTTTTAAAATAGCAAAAATGGAAGTAAAAATAAATCAAAATTACACAAACTAAAGTAATAAAATGAAAAAAATAACGAAACATTACATAATAAATGAAAAAAACTCTACAAAAGAAAATCAAAAAATCAAAATATGACAAAATTAAATTAAATAAAATACGAATAATAACATATAAGAAAAACTAAAATAATAAAAAAGTGAAATAAATTAATAAAATGTAACAAAGCGAAATAAATACAAATAAACCTAAGTAAATTAATGACTAAAAAAAATCAAAGAAATAGAAATAAAAACTAAAATAAAAATGTTTCAAAAAAAAAAAATAAAATAAATTAATTAATAATTAAAAATTAAAGTTTAAATTTAATTAAATAAATAGTAATAATTATCTAAAATAATCAAAAAAGGAATAAATTACACGTAATAACCTGCACTCAGGCTGCGCGGTTTACATTTCTGATATACACGTACATATATTGCATGTATAAACCCCGCAAGCACTTATCACATTGGCCACGTACAGAGATCCGCCTACACAGCATATAAAATGTTGAAACGTAAAAGCAATTTTAAAGCATAACATTTACTTCTTCTTCTTCTTTTTTCACGCATTTTCTTGCATTTTCACTTAAACAAGACAATCATTTCTCTTTTCTTTTAAAAAATGAGTTAGACGTTGGAGAGGCAGGAGGGGTGTAAGGGAAGAATAACAGTCGTAATACTTATTTAAAAAGGAAAACCAACCGCGATTCACTGCGAGTTGTACGCGTTGTACAATAGAACCCTGCCAGCTTTTAAAGTACAATAATACATATTAATGTGGGCAACAATTCAATGAGATTATGAAGTTTTGTTTTTGTTTTCCGCTGGTCGGTAATTGTTTTCTGATTTTCATTCATCGCTTAGCGCCAATTGAGTTTGAAGAAAGCAATTTTAAAAAATCCTTTAGCAACTTTCTTTAAGCCATTCCATACATTCGCTAAACATTTTTGTTTTATTGTTTTTGTTTTGTTTTGTTTTGTTTTTTCTTTACTAGAGTATTTTAAATTTGTTTCACATGCTGTTTTTCCACTCAGTTTTTGTTTGATTTACTTCTCCAACTTGCTGCTACGCGTTTTCGTTGTGGCCACAATAACTTTTTCAGACTTTTTGGTGCGTGGAAGCGTAGTATAACTAGATGACATAACCTGCAAAGAGTAAAAAACAAGGGGAAAAAGATGCATAATTAAAATGTGATTTCAAAAATGAAGGTGACAAAGAAAAAATAAATAAATAAAACAAACCGAAATAAAACAAAGTGCAAAACAATGCAGCTGCACATGCGAAGTACACATAAAGGAAGGCAAGCTTGGAAATGTAACTTATGTATGTATACATATGTATGTATATATTGCATAAGATAATATGCGTAAAATGCCTAAAATGTTGATATTGATGAAGTTGTCCAAAAATAGCATAACCGGAAGTACTTAAATGGTACTCACGCGTTTGTTAATTTAAATCGATTTTTGCTGTACAATCAACATCGATTAAAAATCGAACCGCATAAAGGACGCTTGAGTTAAATTTCTTTGAGCAAAAAATTCAGTTGATAGAAATATTATTATTTAATGCTATTCTTTCTACAAATTAATGAATTCTGCTGCGAAATGTAAACAAAACAAAGTTGATTTGGCCATTTTACATTTTGCCTGTTTGTGTGTTACGCGAAACGTAAAGAAAAAGATTTTTTTTGTACAAAAGTGAAGCGATTTTGTTCGCAATGCTGCGCTTTCTTGTGTATAGAACAGATCCAGGTTTCAAGCAATTGCATGAAAAAATAAAACAGCAAAACTTAAAAAATGTTAATGTCAAATAAACAGTAAGAAATACTTCTTAATTGCACCAAATTTATTAAGACAAAGTAACAAAGCGTAAACCACTGAAAGTAGAGACCTGACTCATAGAGCGCGTGTTCTCTGTAGGCATCGCATCTGATAAGTATGCATTTTCCGGAACGTGAACTTGGGAACGATCTAATCGAAAAAAGCATATTTGTGTGTTCGAATCGGCTGATATTCAGCGCTTTACTGAATAAAAACTCCCCGCGAAACTTAGAGAGCTACGAAAGACAATTTAGAGGAATCCGCTCATGACTACTAGCTCTGTGATTAGATTAATATATGTAGCTTAAAATAGCTTTGTTCTCCGCGAAGCCGATATGGGATCTATTAAAAAAAAATTAAATAAAATAATATGATTTCTGGCTCGATTTGCTTAAAACATAAAGCTCTTTGCTTCGGTCAATACTGGAAAAACTTTTTGTTATGGGAAATAAGACCGATTTATTTGAAAAAATCATATTTCCTTGTACTTGATACATGGATCCTAAAAGGTTTATATATTATACATACATATTTTTTTAAGTATTACAATAAGTGAATAAATAACGTAAAAACCAATTAACTTTTTTTTTTTGAAAATTTATGCAATGAGAAAAATATAGTTTTTAGCTACAAGATATTTATTCTGTTTTACTTTCTTCCTCATCACTGCTAATCAAGACAATTTGCAATTTTTTTAGGTTAGTTTCAGCAAAAAACGTTAATTATGCAGATAAGTGTATTGGTACAGGTGTAAATGAGAGCAAAGAGAAGTAATGACAAAAGTAGGGTTAGAAAGCAAAAAATTAAAAATAAGCCAGTTTCATTCATTTTTTTACATAATTTTTGTTTCATTATGTATTACTCCCTCCTCTTCAACGCCATTCTACACTTAACTTAACAAACAAAATAAGGTAATTAGCAAATTTTTAGGTTAGTTTTAGCAAAACAAGAGGCAAGCTGATTTTTTAAATTGTAATCAGGTATGTACATCGGCAAGTTTATGCAAATAGGTGTAATTTCACAGATACGCGTTTGTGTAAACTGTAGAAGTGTGCAACGCCAAGGATCTCAATTCAGTTTATGGCCAGCGAAATAAGCTCGATGAGGATGAGGATGAAAGTGGTATGTGAGTTGATTGTATGAATGTGTTCATATGAGAAAATGTGTAGGAAAATATATTCGACCAAAAATATGGAGCAGCCAAATTTCAAAACATTAAAAATCATTCACAGTAGTTCGCAGTACTTTCTAACAACAACAAGCCAAAACAAATATTAGCAGGAAATGATAGAAACAGTAGAGCAGCATTAGTGGGACTGCATCTATGTATGCATGTATGTATGTAAGTCCAACATTCGAACATTGCAACAAGAACTGATCCGCAGCGAAAAGGATGTTTGCTTACATTTTGCAGAAAAATTTTTCGAGGTTGTTGTTGCATATTCATACAGATTGATTTCCTTTCTTGACTCCGACAACTCTCGGCACCCGATGACAACTCAAAAAAGCTACATCTTTTATGCCTCGCGTTATGCTTCCGCTCTGTCAACCCATGCTACGAGTCTAACTGTAAAGTGCACATTTCTCTCTGATTGTGTTCAAAGTGCATTGGTATTCTGTTGCTTCGAGTGCTCCATTGCAATTTGCGTGTTATTTGTGATTAAGTGCTGCAACTAAAATGTCTGGGTTGCTGGTCTCAACTAACAATCTATAACTGTGTCTCGAATGGCGGTGTGGCATGTGCAGCAGCTGCCTTTTCGCCCGCAACCTCCGTCGGCTTGCCACTCAAGCTGTTGTTGCTGGCAAAACGAAAGAGATTTGTTTTTAGATTTTTGAAAATGCTACGATGTGGTGCTGGTGATGGACTGCGTGATGACATGCTATCAGCATCTAAGCTACCAGTGGTTGGAACAGCGTCCAAGCTGGATGTAATTGAATATCGTATGGGACGCGGTGGCAGAGGTGGTGGTGTAGGTGCGTGCGCTGTTGTTGCTGGGGCTGGAGCTGGTGGCGCAGGCGCTCGCCCTTTGTTATGCGTGAGTGGTCGTGGCGTATATAGTTTACTATCTGTGTTTGCTATTGCCGCTGTTGTTGTTGTTACAATAGTGGCACGAAAACTTGCTTTTATTTCATTTAAAGTGTCTTGCAATTCTTTAGCGTTAAATTTCGGCTTCTCTGCAAGTTTTTGTGTGGTTACAATGTCTGTTTGTGCGTCAAGTTCACTTTCTTGTACATTTTCGGCGACTTTATACTCGACCAAAGCCGCCTGTTCAGCTTCGTCTTCAACCAGCGTTGGTAGTGCATCCGCAAACTCTGCATCGCTCTCGTTATCCTCATCGCTACTTTCGAATGTGTTGTAGGTGTCAGTGTTACTGCAAATAGAATTGTTATCGTCCTTAGAATAAATTTCGTCCTTTATTGCTACTTCATTGTTCGTGGCAATGGACTCCGTTAGCGTTGGGCTTTCCGCAACTGTATCAAGCTCGTCTATGACAAACTCATCCTCAGGCACTGCCAACTCAGGCAGTTTTGTGTCAGCATAAGTTACTTCCTGATCCAGCAATTCTTGGTCTTCCTCAATTGTCTCATTAAACTCGTCATCAAAACTACTGTTTGGATCTATTGCTGGTAATATTTCATTTGCTTCATTTGTCTCCTTTGCATTATCCGCTTCTGTTTTTTCTGCGCCTATTTCCTGCGGCATCTCCTCTATAATTTGTATACATTTTCGTACATCGAAAGCCGCCGGTTCCTTCAATACCTCAAACTCGTTAGCGAAAATTTCATTTTGTGTTGGACCAAGCGCGACTCGAGGCTGAGCTGCACTGTTAGGAAAATAAATTTGTTCTTTTGTTGGCCTAAATTGGGGTTGGGGCTCATTAAACATCTAAAGGTGTGGTGGATTTAAAAATAAAATTTATAGTAAATAATAAAAAAAATATAAATTAAATTAAACTAAAAGATTGTACAAAAATGCATGAGGAGAAAGGTTAAATTTAAAAAGTGCGAGACGCTTCAAGTCTGTATCCATTCGGACTCTATTTGTATGTCAAAAAATGTATTACACCTGAAGAGAGCAGCGTTTAAACTGTGAAGAACTCCACTGTGATCAACTCAATGGTGAATCAAAAGGAAAGGTCGGTTGAACATCAGCTCACTGCGAGAGACTGCACTTAAGTTAACAAAAGTCTTCCTCCAACTAAAAGAACCGCTGCACGTTTTACCCAGTTTAGTCGATGACCAAGCTTGACGAGTTCACCTACTTCTGTTTGCAATGACTCCCATTAAAGCCTACGTATCTAACACCGCTTTTTGTTTGGTCGCAACTTGTTTGGACGAGTTGGTTTACTAGGCATCTCGTTAAATAACCACGCCTTTCATAAAGAGAGTCAACCAACACCTTCTGAAACTTGCTTACGGTAAATAGCTGGGCTATGGGCCACCATCAAGTCATTGTCAAAAACCGACCAAATACGATGGGAAGATGGAAATTTCATTCGGGGAAGGCGAAAACCTCTAAACCCATCGTCCTAGTTGGAAAAAGTACGCAGATTTCAAAAATGATTTCTGACCAAAGTCCTCAAAATATTTCTAATCACTCCAATGCACGACAAGGTGAAAAACAGTAGAGTAGCTCTGCTACTGAAATCAGAGAAACCAGAAACACTTACGTAGATAATCTATGGCTTTAACCAAAACCAACCCTTCACATGAACTGAGCACTGGATTTCAAAGACTTTGAGACGGTCAATCACGCAGCGCTTCATTACCGACGAGGTTACAGATGCCGACCATGAATTATCTGAGTGGTCAATAGTCGGCGGTAGAGCTTTAAGTTCACAATTCAAGTCTACGAAAAATTAGGCAAGCAAGAGCTTCTATAGTGCAGTATGGTATGCTTTCACCGGAGTTAATTAATTTTTGTATTTCAAAACTTCATCCCTGACTTTATATGCCAATGACTGTTCGATATTAGCTCCTTAGACCTTTCCCACTTCTTCATTGCACGACATCTGGATCTATACATTTATATATGTACCGGAGCAGCTTCACTCTCTCGAGCTACAGCTCGTTCTCTCGACTTCCCGTTAACTGACTTCGACGACTAACTTTATCTGCTCCTAGGCGGGGTTAAGCAATTGGCTTAAAACAAACAACAAAATCTCGAGCTGCCGCATGAGATTCCAGTAAAGTTAGTGTAATTAAATTCTGTATGGAACCATTGCTTTATACGAGTATAACATTAAATCTCGACTCGGACGTAGCCAAAGAGCACATTTTTGCAGGCCCTCTTAAATCGACTTATCTAACATTTCTGTCCCATGACCCGGCGAAACAGTTCGTTTCTGGTTTTTCCATTAGTTAACCGAGTCGTTCTTGCCTACTTCTAACCAACCGCTAAAACCATTAAACGGAGCTACTAAAAACAAAAGGTCATTTCTCCTCATACATGTGGAGGAGTTGTTGTTGGTCTTAGCGAAGCTTAAAGCCACTTCTTGCCAACCAAGTGCCTTGGATTAATTAGCTGAATTATTTTTTACTGTTACTAGTAAGTTATGCGCCCATAATTATGCAACCATTTTAGATTTTTGTGCTCCATAAGCGATTGTGATAGTTAAATACGTTTAGTGTAGTATCTTTCAGGCGCAAGAAGTAGTAATACGGACATTTCGGATCAATTCAGTATATAAAAGGCTTCTTGCTTTTTTCTAGCTTCTTTCCGGCAGCTATTGTTTTGTGATTTAATGCCAATTTATTATTTATTGCATGCTAAAAATATTTATATTTGATTTCTTAGCTTGCAGTTATATTTTTTATGATTAAATTTTTGTATTTTCTTTGCAAAATAAAAAGAATTGCATGCACTGCATTTTACCAATTTTTTTGTTGTTCGTTGCAAAACTGCTTTAGAGTGAATCAATTTTTTTTATTTGATTTAAATTTTTTTTTTGTTTTGGCTTATACACAAACTACACATGAATGCGCTACAAAGTATTTGAATTAAAAAAAAAAAGTTGATGAGAATTTGCAATATAAAAAAATTACCTCTGTACGTTTGGCTTTCAAGCGTGTCTTCGAAGCATTTGTCATCGATGAAGTTCTACTCAAACCAACCGAAACCGGCTCTGCGCTGGAATAACCCGAACTAATGTCTTCCGATGATCTTATATTGTAGCTAAGGAGCGCAGCAAGCAGCATATATATGGAATGGAAACAAAAGAATAATTCTTTGTTAAGTGCAAGTACGATGAAAATGCGCCTTTAAATACTTATATATGGATACATGTATAAAATTTATATGTATATATATATACATGTATAATATGGACATATGTATGTATACAAAATAAAGTATGTCTGTCATGCTTACTTAAAATCATCCGCACCCTTAACAACATCCACCTCAGAGAAATACATGCCGGTCGAATGGCGTGTACCCGACGCTGAACGTGCAATACTTGTGGCATGTGGACGTGGACGTAACATGCGTTGCTGTGAACGCATTTGTACAACATCGTCGATCTGTTTGGGTAGGTGCGTGTGTGTGTGAGTGGAATAAAAAAAAAATATATTTATTTATTGACAATAGTTTACACAAAGGTCTTGTTAAAAATCTTGCTTATTTTTTTTAAGATTTTTTTTCTTTTTGCGCTGTTGAACTCACCTCGTCCTGTGTGCGTTGCACATCTGGTTCGGAGAGATCACTTAAACTATAGCTGCGTCGTATGGTTTGCACCAGATTTCCGCCACCCTATTATATAGATGTATATATGTATGTATATACATTTGTTTATATATACATATAATAGGCGCGTATGTTTGTATATATGTATGTATGCATGAACAAAAGAAATTCAATCAGTTGTGCTAATAAATATATGCAAATATATGGACATACATATGTGAGTATATATTACATATGAGACATTTTCAATGCAAATGAACTCAAATGATGATTGGTGTTGAGGCGTTACATGATTATTAACATACATACGTTATTTTTAGTTATTTGATTTTTTTTCTTTTCTTTTTCTATTTTATAGTAAGACACAAGTATTAATATAAAAGTGTTGTATCAAAAAGTTTATGCATATATGTATATTATTACAAATTAATTATAAAAAGAAATTACAAACTAAAAATGTACTCGCTTAAACTAATACAAGCATGAATAAACTACATTTGCGTTTAATTAGCATTTTATTAATAGTTTTTAATTGTGACGTTGTTTCGAGGTTTCGAGCGTTGGCTGGCAAAACGTTACCATCGCAGCGGCTAACAGCTAACGTCTGCTCAGAGATCATATACAATGTATGCACGTATTAAACTGCGTGCATTTTCAAATTCGTTTCACATTCAAATGCAGGTCGCCAACTACTACAATTTTACACACTTATTCAATGTCTATATCCATATCCGGTGTGGCATCACGAAGTTTACGTCGTCCTCGTATACCTGCCGCACCGGTCGCCTTTGCACTTTGTTTAGTCTCCCGTGTGGTTGTTGTTGTTGCTGCTGCTGTTGTTGTTTTACGTCCCCTCGTCTTGCGTGTACGCAATTCACGCGAACGTGCTGCACCCCTTTCCAACGGATCCTCCGCCATATAATCCACCTGCTCTTCGATCATAATCTGCTCTCTGTGCATCGCCATTGCCATAATATCGAGCTGTTCATCATCTTCGGAAAACTCTAATTGTGCAGCATTTAGTTGGCCCAATGATGCAGAGCGTTGCAGCCAATTATCAGCACCGTTGGCGCAATCTGGGTCATCTCGCTCTTGACGGGCATTGCGATATCTAGCTATTTCATTGTCCGACTGTGAAGTGTTCAATTGCGCTGGAAGCTGATTGTTGCCCATTGTGCCAATGCCGAACTGTACGGTCTAGTCGGGCGTAGTGTGCCATGTGGCGTGAGGCATGTGGGTGTTTTTTATTTTTATTTTTTTATTTGGTAGTGGATGCATGCAGCATTCGGCAAGCGTGTAGAGTAGTGAGGCGTGTTTGTTTGTTTGTTTGGATGAATTTGATATTGTATGCATGTATGAGTCGTTTTGTTAGATTTTGTTAGGCGCGTTGCGTGCGTTATAGAGCGCGGTAGTGGTGGTGGTGGTGGTAGTGGTAGTGGAGTAACCAAAGGAAAAGAAAATAAATATTAATTAAAATAAAGAAACAAAATAAATAAATAAAGCAAATAAAAAAAATAGGAAATTATGTTACACCAATAGCAAAAGTTAAGCAATTTTTTAGCTAATGGCTTTAAAAATATTATTATTATTTTGTTTTTTTTTTGTGTCAACAAAAGTTTTGTAAAAATAAAACATTTAATTTGACGCAACATAATACATTTATTTGAATTTTGTATACAAAATATTGCAATAAAATGAAGCATGAAATCGTTTTAACTAAATTCAATTAAATTGATAAATTATACAAAATGTCAGCGAGTTGCAAATGATCAAGTAAGGCGTACAACAACAGCAAAAGAGCAATATTTAAGCTTATGTTATACAGAAAAGTATTTATAAATTCGAAATGAATGATTAAAAAACTAAATTACAAATGACATTAAAGCATGATATTGATCTAGAAGTGAGCTTAAACTATATTCTGCGCTGTTGTAGCACTAATACTCAGTAGTCGATCAGATGCAACCGTTGTTATGTTTGAAGTGACGCATACTATATTATCATGATATGTATTTAAATTTCTTAACAGAGTTTATATAAGCATGTATTATTATTTTTAATTAAAAAAATTAAAAAATCTGTATTTTATGTGTTATTATTTGTTTTACTTTATTTCATAAACATTTTTAATTTTTTTATTTTGTTTTAGTTCTTTTTAATATGTTTAAAAATTTTATTGTTTTACATTTATTTATTTATTTTATTAATTTATTTTTTGTTTTATATTTTTTTCTTTTAAAACCTTTTATTCAATGTTTATGATTTATTTTAATTTTTATAAATTAATTAAATCTTTTATTTTATTTCACGTTTTATATTACTTTTAATTAAAATTCTTATGTTTTTTAAATATGATCATATTAATTTTTTATTTTATTTTAATTTTAATATGATTTCATTTTTTATCTAATGTATTAATTATTTTAGTTTTTAATTCGATTTTTATTTGATTTAATTTTATATTATATTCATTTTTTACTTTTTACATAATTTATTTATTTTTTTTTATCTAAATTTTTATTTTATTTTAATTTTTATATTTTATTTTTAATTTTAAGTATATTATATATTTTTTATTATATTATTTAATTTTTTTATATTACATTATTTTACTTTTATATATTGTATTATTTTATTTCTTACATTATATTAATTTTTGTATATGTATTTCATATATTATCATATTTTTTTTATTTTTATATTATAATTTTTATTTTTTTATTTTTTATACCATATTATTTTTTTATGAATTTCATCTTAATTCTTATATTTTATATTATTTTTTTTTTAAATTATTTTAATTTCTTATTAATTTTTTTAATTTAAATATATTTTAAATTTATATAGTTATTTAATATTATTTGTAATTTTAATTTATATTATTAATTAATATTATTATTATTTTTATTTATTTTATATTAATATTTTTTATTTTATTTCTTATTTATTTTTTTACTTTTATTTAAATTTTTTTTATTTAATATTATTTTTGTTCTTATTTTATTTACATTCTTTATTTAATTTAATATTTTAGTTTAATTTAAATTTGTTTGTTAATAATTTATAATCTCTACTGTTCTCTAACTTATTTGTTAATTTTTCTTGCTTAATATTTAATGGCTCTCTAACGCAACGATGCTTTTTTTTTGGTGAATATAAGTTAAATACGAGTATTTTCTTGCAGTTTGTGATGGTGATGAACACAATGTGGTGAACTTTGTTTACATAATGATTTTGGTCTCTAGAAATATTTGTAAAAAAAAAATTTATTCGTTGCAGCGTTGCAAGACATTTACCTTAAGCGCTGTTTGCATGATGACATTAGTGGCATAATTGACGCCTTTGGTGCCCAATTGTAGTACAGCAGAATAGCCGCGTTCTTTGGCTTGATTGAGGTACTCATCGATTTCCTGAAAGGAGAAAATAGCATTTTTACTTTGACTTAAAACAAAAGCTATACAAAAGTGCATTTCACGCATTTGGCAATTAATATCAGCGCGTTGACTGATCTCAATAAACTCTTAACTACAAAACATTCCCCCCTCACCTGTTCTCTGCGCGTGAGCATCGGATGTACGAACTTTCTGTATAATGTAGAGCTACCCTTTGTAGCTGGCGATAAAAGCCATAAAACAATAATCACTTTGACTTCATAGTAAAATGGGAACCAAGCAAGAAAGATATCTGTAAATGTTTCAATGCATGTAAAGAATGCATAAACAATCCAATACATCATCCATTTAACCTGAAATGAATAAATATACATTAATAGCTGCCTTCAGCACATGAACAACCGACGAACTACTTACATATTCCTTAACATTTTTAGTGCGCACCGCCTTATAGGAAGCATATGCTGGATATAAAGTACCAAAGGATAATCTGAAAGCAGGAAATATAATATTTTCAGCCCATATACGTGGTGATATAAATGTCGCGAGTAACACTAAAATACAGGCTGTTGTGAATGAGACACGGGGCAATGGCCAACTTTGCACTACTTCCAAAAACCGACCAAACAATGTCAAATTATGCACAACCTGCTCTGTATTTATAATATTTGCGTCAAGTGTTGATGTTGTTGTAGCGGATTTTGTGTGTCGCTTTTGTTTAAAATAGAATGGTGGTACTGCTGATGCTGGCGCTAGTGGCTCATCGTCGTCGACAAAACTCGGATAGAGTAGCGTATTTGTGGAGCCAGTAGGCGTGATGTCATCATTCTCAAGTGATTGATCAATAAATGATCTTTTCGTATTATAATAAATAAACGATTCAGGTGGTGCATCTAGGGAGTAACGTCGATAATAACCATTACCATCAGCTGCTCTATACATTGGTATTGGATATGGGCGTGGATACTCCTCGGTCATACCGTTCCAACGTCCATATAACGGTGTGTTGTCTAGCTGTTGACCATGATGTTGTGTACGTTGTATTGGTTTTTGTAAAAATTTCCTTTGCTGGTAGGCTGCCTCCCGTGTCGAAGACCACTGTCCGCTGCCAGCATGCTGTTGTTGTTGCCAATCACCTCTTTGCATTTTACCGTACAACCAACAACACCTTTATGGGCCGCTTTTATTGCGGTTGATTGGAGTTATTTGTGTAGGCATGCAGTTTTATTAAATTTTTTTCCAGCAAAGAGTTTCAAATAAAGAACTTTTAAATGCCAATAAAAATTTTGGCTACAGAATAGGCACAGTCTGCTTGGTCCTCTAGTATACGATTTGCAGAATACAATGAAAAGTTGCCTGAATGAGTTTTGTAGTGGCAGCATCACAGACGCTCATATTTAAAAATAGCCAGAACATTTTCGAGTGGAATTTCGAAATGATTTTCGAAACGCCAGTACTCTCGACTGCCGCGGACACTAAAAATACGCTCAACAAGAGTGAAAAACAGGCAACAGTTGTGCTAGAAAAGCATAAACAGTTGAATTGGGCATGTTGAAATGATTTAATGCCAACACGCTGAGAGCGACGCCGATGGCAGTGGAGGATGCGACAAGGATTTATGAAAATCTAGTGTTGTTAGTGTATCAATATGTAATAAATGTATGCATGATTTGTTTTGATAACAAATCTATAAACATAAACACATGTACATAAATGGATGAATATTTATTAGGTAAACATTTCGTCTATGCACACATCAACTTTGTACTATTCTCGCATAAGCTACAATATCTATGTAGCCATTTGAGTTTAAATTAATCCCTTAGATGTTTTTCTTGTGTGAAGCTCAAATTTTAAAAGGCATTGTATTGTATTGGGAAAGTTTAATGGTGCACAGCTGTATTTGTTTTTGTTTTTTTTTTTTTTTTTTTTTTTTTTGTTTTGCTGGTTTAGTTTGGGCACATATTCTATGACACATTTCAGTTTGGCGATCGTGTGCGATTATAAAACTCCACGCTCAATTCATTTTTGTTTGCGAATTGTTGTGTGTGTCTGTCCAACTGTCTGTGTGTTCAGAGTACTTGCGCTACGCCTATGCACGCATGAGCTAGAGCAAATGAAGCGAACTACTCGTACTTTTTCTTACTTTTTGTTGTTGTAGTTGTTATATTTTGTTGTTGTTTTTTTAGTAATGAAATTGTTGCAGTTCAGTTACCCGAAAAGTGGTATTTCTAAATATGTTCGGACTTAAAGGAAAACGGGTAATGACGTGTTGTCGCCGTCAATTGCTTCAACAGAAGAGACAATGAAAGCAAAAAATAATGTTAACTAACAAGGTCCAATAACTGTTTGGCAGTTGGTTGTTTTTTTTTTTTTTGTATTTCTTTTATTTTTTTCTGCTACGTTCTGGTAATTAGAAAAACAAAACGTCTTCAAACGTCTAATCGTGATTTTTTGCTTAGGTATAAACCGGAAGTAGTGCTAAAGTGACATTATATACTAAATTTACAAGTTTGCAGGTTGTATTTTAGATTTACAATGCCTAAAATTCGCTTTTTTTTTACCTCCACATTTCAAAAACCAAGCGTACTTACATTATAATCCGCGAGAGCAATGCACTGATCATGGTGATAGTGTAGATATGCTTCTTCGTTTCACCAATTCACACTTGTAGCTAGCACCTAAAGTTGCACCACGTCGTCCTGCCCGTCGTTGACCAATATCTGTGCTGCCTTCTCGTGTAGCAAGTAGACAATGAAGTTATTAAACGTTCACATTCAAGTAGTTGGGCTGCGTTTGTTTGCCTAATTTGTTGTGGGTAAATGGGTGAAATGTGTGAGAATAATTTAATTTTGATATACTCATACAAATGCGTTAGAAATGCAATGGGTTCTATGTAAATATGTATGTATGTATAATAGTTTTCATGCATTAATACGTATGCGGCTACTTCTAGGTACCTACATACGGACCGCCATACATCTGTCTACATATGAATACGTATGTAGTTCAGCACGTATTATGTCGCATAGTTTATGGTTGATCAGGGGTTTGGGCACGGAAGACATATGTCCCGTTTTCCAAGCCACAAGAAAGTAAATTCATTATGGGATAGTGGAAATATGAAATTAATAATTTTCTATTTTAATTTCATATCATTTGTATAAAGAGAGTCGTCTTTTTATTTTCAATACACAGTGCGAAAACTTCCGCCTTTTGTTTTGTGAACGCTTTACAGGAGGAATGCACTCATTTATCATTGTTTTTTTATATATATAAATCAATGAATTTAAAAGCATGTAAATAATAGGGCAATACACACATATATTACATATTTGCAATTTTCTTCAATCCAACCATGTATTAATATATGAACAAGAAAGCTTGTGCAGCTGAATATTAAACTATATCCAGAGACATTATCCCGTAAATCAACTTCAATTAAATTTTACTCATAAGTATACACGTACATTCTATAAAATCTACTTTATATGCATATGTTCAAACATCTTCGCTAACAGCATCCAAACCGCTAAGCCTTGCTTTTGTTTTATTTACTTTTATTTTGTTATTTTTTTTTTCTTTTTTTTTGTATACACATCTAATAAGTATAGGTAAACGATAGACACTTTCATATAATACAAGTTCAGTAATTTGTATGCTTTTGTTTTTAAGTAACCTTGGTAAATTCAATTCTATTTCATCACGTTAATAAGAGCAGGTAGTATAAAATCTTTGCAACCTTGTATCCTCCCGATTTGTTTAACGATTTTTCCTGTTTTTCATTCTCTTCCTTGAATCACATTATTTATTTTAACAATTGAGTAAAACAATATCAGTGGAATGCAATAGTAGTTATGTAGGTGCAAATCTTTGAAGCACAGTCATCTTCTTTAATAGTACTTAGTACTTACCTTTGTTAGTTGACGGCTACAAGCCCAATACTTTAGATTCACCAGCTCTATTCTGTATGGGGAGTCCTAAAATTTTGTATGCCTTATTGGCTACTTTTGCTGCAATTTTCAGCCTTTATTCTATTTACACTAAAAACTTCATATTTTCTTAAGAACCCGCTTTTCTTAGCTACACTTATTTATTATATGCTTAAATATTTTCACACATATTAGTTTTCAGCTGTTCTCCTCCAGCGACTGATTTTTATAATCCGAATCAACTGGCCAACAAATATGTATAGAAACAAACAACGCAACAGCGAAAATACGGAGCAGTGTTGCGTTTTTTTGTTGTGGTTCTAACCGTTTGGTGCCTCTGTGTAAAGTTACAAAGTTCATATATACATTTATTTTTCACATAAAAATGCTAAAATAACTCACTTCGTACTTGTCATACAAAGCAATATTAACCCAATTTAATTTATTTAATTCAGAACTTAGTATAAATGCTTACATGTTCACACAAACTCAATTTGCTTTCTGCCATAAGATGGGATTTTAATTTTGTCATCGTTATGGCTTGGCACTACTAAAACTCACTACAGGGCGTTTGAGATGGCACAAAAGGTACAAATTTAAACTCATCGTCCGGCGGAGCATTGCAATGGCGGCAAATTTTATTTCCTGCGGTGACAAAACTGTGGAAAGGCAAATAATTTGAGCAGCTTTACAATATTAAGCATTCATAAAACTCTCAAGCTTCTTTTGATAATAAAGCCAGCAATAGAAGTAGAAATAAAAACCAATAATATAAGTAGTTGAAGAATTGAATAGTAAACTTATTTATTACTCACTATTTATTATTACCAACACGTTTATGGGTTTTTTACGTTCTTATAATATATATCATACTTTTAAAAAATACCTATAATTGACGGATTAAGGCACATGCCCAATGTTAAGACTAATATCGATATCGATAATAAAGTGCAACAAAGATAATTGGGTTGGATTGGCATTTTGAAAATTTTCGCAGACATTTGTAAGGACGATGAAAATAAAAGTGTAGAATTTAAATCCTCTGTTGAGGTGCTGTGATAAACAAAGGGTCGCGCTCTAATATGATGACCGTTAGACTGAGCCTTCTGGCATGCATGCGTTACTGAAGCGGCCAACACAAATGGTATAACTCCGAGCCAAAGCCAAAGTAATACATTAAAAATATTCAAAATAACAACTTCCAATGCAGAATAATGAAAATCTAAATCATTGAAAATATATATTAAGCCAGCAAAGGCATATGCTAAATTCATAATTGTCAAAAAGCACACCGGCACTGCAGCATGACGATTTAGATGATCTAATAATTTGTGAAACTCAAGAACTTCCTGTAAATGAAAATAAAAGGCGGTAAAAAAAATAAATAAGCATTGTAGACGAAAACAAATTAAAAAACAAAAACAAACATACACGCATCCAGTCGGTGGTCTCAATGGAATGCATCAGAAGTTTATGTGACAACGAAGAAATATGCACACGCAGCAAATAGCACTGGATGCAATAGTTGGCGAGTATTATAACCTCAACTAAATCCTGAACAAATAGCGTTATGATCAAAACAACCTATGTGACGGATATTAAATTAAGATAAACAAATAAAAGTATCAAATAAACAATAACAAAATAAATATTACCTTAATACCCAACTCCCAGTCGGCTAATATCCCAGTAAACCACTTGACTTGTATAATGTGTGATTGCAGCAATACGGATGGTACTGTGTATGCGAAGAGCAATAATAACAATACAAGAGCACAAAACAAGTAAAGCCATAAGAATCTGCATAAACGACGTGGTACCAAAGTGCTAAGGAAAACACGTTCAATCAAATTTTGTAATTGCTCCTGATCAAGTATTTTGAAAACTATAATTGCCGATATGAAGCTTGATAAATTGAGTGCATTGGGAAAAATGTGACCGAACAACAATTGACCCACAGTGTAAGTGGCATTCGAGCTGGGATTGGTTGGCAGATCCTGATCGTGTGCTATGAAACCTCGATCGCCGCTGGAGAGGAGTTAAAGGATATGTCTTACTGTCTTAAAAATAGCAAAAAAAAATGTATTTACCGATATGAACATAAATATTGGAGAAAATAACCAAATAATAATGTTAGCAATACCACCAAAGCTTGCGTGTAATTTAAGCAGGAGAGTATTTTAGATGTATCCGTTGGTAAGGGATTCACACCGACAAGTGATAATACTGTAATAAACGGCCGCAGAAACTAAAAATGAGAAATAGTTGTTAACTTATTAACCTTATGGGTATGTTCAGTGAGTGGATAAGTTTAAAAATAAATAAACTGAAAAAATTTTGTTCCCTATGGGACTTCCACTTTCTCTTTCATGTACCATATTGATCGGTGCTTACCTTGCGTTTGCAATAATCAAGCAATTCAGACGTGGGTTCGTGCATATTCCGCAAGTCGTCCACCTGGAAAAGATTGGTAAAAATACGGGTTTAATTCATAGGAAGGCTAAAGAAAATTGTCAATTTATAATGAGGTTTTGATTTTCATTGGAGGGAGGGGTTGACTGCCGAGGGAAGAATAAACCATAGCCTTCCGAATGGCAGTACGCATTGTTAACCACCCGGATAATGAATACATATAGTGAACAAGAGATATTCCACTATAATAGAGTGCTAGAGCCAAACGAATTAAGATCCAGCGCTTACAACAGTTGTTTGGACGAACAGAAAATATCTTGAACACGCTTTAATTCTTATTTTTTATTGGCGAAAGCATCGTCTACGCGAATACAAACGAGTCAACAATAAAATGCCAGCCGTTTGGCAGCTTAGTTCCAATTGGTGAAGTCGGGATCACCTGATTTTCCAACAGAATTGATGTCTTCCGCTTCCTTCATCCATCGGCGTGTACTTCATCGAATATTTTCAGAGCTAGAATGCTTTCGCTTATTCGGCCACTTAATTGGGCTAAAAGAGGTTCGGCATAAGGTTCACATAAGTTTTCCTATAACGCTTGCTATGTGCTGTCGACAATTTTGGAGCCAGCAGATCGTTATATAGAACTTGGAACCCGCTAGGTTGAAAACAGCTCCAATAAAAGCGCTTTGGAACTAGGAAGAAATGATCGGTATGTGAACCAGATAGTCAACCACTCGGACTGACAAGCCCATAGTGCTACTGCTATGAGTTCCAACAACAAATTTCGAATGCAAGGAGGCAAATGTTTGTATGTCCAGGGAAAGCTAAAAAATAACCCTCCAGATCTCCTTACCAAAGACGTAAATTTATTTATTATATAAGGAAAGATTTGGAGCTCGCCGTAGGGAGCTGAGCTCTATAGTGGATCTGTCGACTGAATATATGAGTTTGGAGGATCGTTCCTACAATGCCGTATGGGCTCTCTATTCTTTTTGAGAATCCAAAATGTGCAAGAACTTGACTTCATACACAGCTTCGAACTGCAAAATCATTATTTATTATTATTATTATTACGTGAAAAACGAACACCACTATTGCGGTGTTTAAGCACACATATGTACATACGAGTACATATATGCACAAAAATAAATAAATTTGGAAATATTTGATTACGCATGACACAAGATCTTCAATTAATTTTTCATTAAACTTGCACTTTTACTCTAACAAGCATATATACATACAACAACACTATTTACATGCAAACATTTATATGTATGTATTTATATATAACACAAACTATCCCTTTACTCACAACAATCTCCGTCATGCTATCACCCAGCAACGATGAGCCCACTGTTGTTGTTGTCACTGAGAATGGATCAAGTCGATTTGTTGATAAATGCAAAAGAGCGGCTGAGCTGCTGCCCATAGCTGCAGCCGCGCCCACTCCCACGCTCACACCCGCACCCGCACCCATACATGTACCACTGTAACTATAACGGTTTGTTGGGTAAGTCTGATGCTGCTGATTGACATGCTGACGATACTGAAGCTGATTGTTGCTAATACTTTTGTTTGGCGTATTTTGCTCACTGCTCTGTCTTAAGTATTGATGAACCTGCACCGCTGATATACCGTCATTTCCTCTTCTACTCGCCGTGCTGCCCGCAACAGCACATCCCATACTATGGGGTATATTATTATAGGCGCCATAACTGCTGGGTCGACTTGGTTGTGATGACCCGACGGCGGTGGTAGCGTTATTGGCTATCGGATTACCGGCATCCGCACAGCCGCCATACATACGAGGTACACTTTTACTACGCTGGGCCACAGCATTCTGATTGGACCAGTTGACGAGCGAATCCTCTGAGTTGCAGCGTGCGTTGGGCGAGGGGAACATCAAAAGTGTCTCAACTTCTTTACACAATTTGTGGTCAATATGAACTTGAATTTATATTTCAAAATTATTTTAAAGAAGTTTACGAGGTTCACTTGCGCACATCTCACTCCGTTGTTAAATCTCGACTGTGCTGTATGCGCCGCTGCTTTGTTTTGCTGCTCTTCACAGGCGGTAATGACTCAAAAAGTGCAGTGATAACCTTATAAAGATTGATAAAATTCATTTTATTTACATTATGCACATATTTACATACATTCATACATACATATGTGTGTATGTGAAAGCGGATGTGTATGTTTATGGCTGTTTATATATATTTCCAATGTCATGTGCATACGTAGACTCGTAAAAGCTAAGCCGAAGCCAGATTATATCTTTACACTTTGCTGTTTGTCAAAGTGGAAAGAAATTTCATTGCAAACGGTGGTCCACATCACGTAAATGCCGTAAGTGATGAAGATTTCACTGAGGATGCGAGGGAAAGAGCTCTATTCGAAATAGGCCCAAGGATATGGCGCAGATTTTGGTAGTGAAGAACAGTAAGGGTATCAATCGTCTAAGTACAAAAGGGTTAGAACGCTCTCGTCTTGATTCCTTCCGTCCGCCCGTCTGTTGGACACCTAACTTCCTGGTATGTTCATGTATGGGTTTAAATGCATAATATTTTTCCGACCTTTCCCTTGGCTTTGTGGCCTGAGTATTAAAGAAGGTGGAGTTTAAGATGAGTCTGTTTTATGGGACATACATTGGGTACGTGGGGTTCGAGGCTGGGTACGAAGGAGTAAAGTCTACTGTAATATGTACGTCTTAGTTACGTCAAGAATACAGTAGGCTCACAATGCAGTTAGAGCCTTCCACTCTGGGAAAGGTTGTAGCCGCGTCCAATCACACTGTTCACGAGCATAGGGTTTAGAAAGGTGCAGTCTTGGGTTGTACACTAGCAAATATTGCACGAAAACCATTACTACATGCTACCTAACTGGGACCAATGATTCTAAGCAGTGAAGGTGATACTCAAGTGATATCAGGTCTTCTCTATGCGGTGTTTCAACAGGACCGTCGCTTTCTTATCTGTATTTCGACGACTTGTAAATATCTAGAACTATTAGCGTCCGCGGTAGCCGAGTGGTCAGCATTGCGTACTGCCATTCGGAAGGCCAGGGTTCAAGTTCTGATCCGATCAATATCAAAAATTTGTAAAAAAAAAATTAATTTAAATGTAAAATCAAAGTAAATCTTAATGCCGTCGCCCCTCGACAGGGAATGGCAGCCCCTTCTAGTGAATTTCTGTTATGAAATAAATGCTCCTCATAAAAAAGCCATAATTCGTTCGGATGCGGCTTTGTACGCAAAACCACAAATTGGAGGAGGAGCTCGGCCGAAAATCGCTTATATATATATACATGTATATGATCAGTACCCGAACGAAGTCTTATAGAAATGAAGTCGCTAGGACTGGAGATTGGCACTTACGACCGCTCGTGCTTGCGTTCGTTTAAGCGTTACAAGTTGTTCGATTCAACTCAGGTAAGGAACGGAGACTTTGAGGGATTTGTTTAGGGTACTTGGAGTGAAAAAGTGGAAGATCGAGAAATTCTGATCCCTCAATTAACAAAAAACCTAAGCTAACGTAATCTATCTTCCGTTGATGGATCCCATGACTTAAGGCTGCGCGAGTGGGCATGTCTTCCAAATAACATGAAAACCGATTGTAATTAAATCATATACTTTATTTATTATGAAATATACAATTATATATATATATACACATATATATATATAGTGTTTATTATTACGTGGTCTGTGTATATATATGCATAAATGTATATGTATATATATGTATATGTATATATATATAAATATAAACTTTTAAACATTCTCATCTTTACACTAAATACTTTATCTCCTCATAGCCCCGTTCAACGATAAATATGGGGATGGGTAAGTTGGATACATTGAATTTTGTTGCGCCCTCTGAATGGCACAGGCATCGGGATATTGTGATTGCATATTCATTACGCCCATTTGCATTGGAATCTGTGAATTGGAATAATCACCGCCAGCTGCATAGGCCGGTGTAGCCGCCGACTGTGGTGTGGTCATGCGATAGCTGTTTATGGCTCCATACGGCGGCATCAAATTCGGACTGATGTGTACGTTTGTGGTGCGACTGGTGGTCGATGAAGTGGTCACCGATGACACGGCTATATGTTGGACCGGCGCCGATGCTGTGTTACGCGTATTGCGATTCACATTCTGTGATGTGGCAATCGGTGCGATATTCATGTTGCTCGAATAATATTTATGATACTGCAGTGGATTGATTTGCGGTTGTAGCATGTTGGGCGGTGTACCGATACTGCGATTTTGTGTAACCAAGAGATGTGGTGGCGTATGCGATACCGGATGGTGTGGTGGTGGCGTCAAATTAACCTGACCGGCCGGCGAAGTGTTACATGGTTGTATGTCTAGGCCGTTGGTCAGTTGCTGCAGCTTCGAGAGACTGCATAGATTGCCAACTTGTTGTGTTGGTGTGCCGCCTGCAGCATTCGATGAGGACGACTCGGAAACATTATCCTGTGCCAATTGTGAATCGCCACCGCCGCTCGATGAGCTAGCCGAGGGATCTGGACTGATATGTATAACGCCGCCGCCGCCGCCGCCATTCGAATTGTTTCCTGATGAAGCGGGCACTGGCACGCGTGTTGAGCTCGTTTCATTTGCGGCTAAATTATTTTGCAAATAGAAATTGTTGACCGCACATGCGGATGCCGAGGACTGATCCAACGTTCGTTGATGCGGACTAGATAGCGAATGTGAGGCGTTGCTTATGGCAGCCATACGTTGTGGTATAACTGCAGGCATAGAGACGATATCATACGAATTGCTGGCATTCGTAGTGTAGTTTGGTATGTTTGGTGGTATGGATGTTAGATAATCAATATGCATATTTTGCTGGTGATGATGTTGACCACTTAATTGGGAATATTGTTGCATGTTGTGTAAGTGCTCTTGTTGTGATTGTAGTAGGTTTTGATTATTATTAACACTTTGCTGTTGTTGCTGCTGCTGCTGCTGCTGCTGTTGTTGTTGTTGTTGCTGCTGCTGTTGTTGTTGAGAAACATTCACAGATGTATTACTGGGTGGTGTGCTCTTCGGCTGGCGATGTTGCTGTTGTTGATTGCTGCCACCCGAATTACCACCACGCATCGTTTTCGGTGTAGATGCTCGCTGATTGGAGCTACTAGCGACGAGCTCAGCCTGAGGAGAAAGAAGAAGTACAATTAGTTGAAATGATAATTAATAACGGGTGAATGAGTGGTAGCAAATTGAACTTGGCTAAAAGAATATTAATTTTTAATCAAAAAGTACTCTCTATTGCGTTTCGATTTCTCAGCTCCGCTGACTAACTTTGTAGACCGATGAACCAAAGGTGAGAATGAACAACATGCAGAGCTCCTCGAACGAAACTAGTAATAAAGGAAATCTAAGCGTTTTGGGTGGCAAAGTATATGCCAAGGGCCGATCCGAAATTCAGCGAAAAAAATGTTAAGTTTACTGCAGTATGCCGGGCTTAGTTGCGTCATGATTACTTGGGTCTCTCAGTGTAACTTGAGCTTCTGGAAGAGATACTAGCAGTTCTGTTAGGTACAATATAGTTCGGTCCGTATAATCTTGTACTTCATTCCTGATATCCCTGCGGTCAAGCTAGAAATAAGGTATTTGTTGGAGGGTACATCGAGATGCTATCATTCCCTCGCAAAGAAGTTGGTGAACAGACGACATTACTAGATTTCCCACTACGGCCCTCAAGGCGTTGTTTCGACGAAGAAGTGGGCTTTCATACCTACTTCATGCATCTGTGTACAATTACGGTACTGTGCACTTCGCTGGAGCGATACTAATTGATTACTCGGTTCCGATAGGTGTTCGCTAGTAGAGGGAAAAGAGATATCGGAAGATAAGAGACCTCGACGTTGGCATGGTTCTCAAGTTTCAGGGACTCCGCACCTTATTTTCACAAGTCGGGTAAAATCGAATAGAGTAGTGAAGTAGCTTTGGCTACCCGGCTATCAGACGTAGCTATCCCTTTCTCTTATTTCAATTATTAGATAAATCTTTACTTTTTAGTTAGTACATACCTGTTGACTCACTTTTCGATTTTGTTGTGCATGCTGTTGCTGTTGTTGTTGCTGTTGCTGCTGCTGTTGCGTACTTGTTAGCGAGTTTAATGCCTGTGAACCGCTCGACGTCATATTTAAATTGAGATTTGCTTGCTGCTGCTGCTGTTGTTGTTGCTGTTGAATGTGTGCCGTTTGTATGGCCATATGCATCGGTGTGTTACCCGAATGACTATGGCTCTGCATCGAACAATCGGAATATTGTGATTGCTGCTGCTGCTGCTGCTGTTGTTGTTGTTGCTGCTGTTGCTGTTGTTGTTGTTGCTGAATGTGCGGCGTGGTCGATGGTATCGGTTCGCTGGTATTTTGCTGTATATCACTACCAATGCTCGACGGTGAATCCATATTCATCGGCACAGTCATGCCGCAATCATAATGATGCAAATTGCTGGCCGAATGATTCGAAGACCCACCCGAACTGTACGACAAGGGTGTGGTAATGTCTTGAGAAGTGCCCTGCTGCTGGTTGGCGACATTGTGTGCGCTCAACTTTACTTTATTCTCCTCAGAGGCACTCAAACTGTGTTCACCACTGCCCCCTCTGACTTTCTGGCATAAAGCCTGTTGCGAGAGCGCATTGGTGGGTACGGGCACTGTGGACAATATGGGGTTGTAAAATCTCGAGCTTGCATTTGGTAGCAGATTTTTAATGTGTTGTGTCTGATCTGCGGACATTTTATGAGCTTTGCTCGATTGCACATTGTTGCATTTCTGTGCGTAGCTTGCTGCGGTTGCATTGACGAAACCACAATTGTGTGCATCTTCAGTACGACTGTTGAAGTTTTGACCATTGGAATTGCCGGCTCCACTCTTAGAGGACGATTCTTCCTTCTTGCAAACGCTCATCTTTCTTTCGCTCTTCAGCTTTTCTTTTGTATGTTGCTGTTGCTGTTGTTGCTGCTGCTGCTGCTGTTGTTGTTGCTGTTGCTGCTGTTGTTGTTGCTGCTGCTGCTGCTGTTGCTGCATATGCTGATGTGCATGATGCTGTATAGCCGACTGATAGAAATTTTGGGTAAAATTATGCGAATAAGCCATGGATGTGGCCAGATCCTTAGCGAATTTATTTTGATTTTTTTGACTTGCTGCGTCTAATGTGGGAAAATTGTAGCCATAGTAATCCCATTGCCAGTACTGAGGCGTATTTGCGTAGTTGGTTATTTGATTGATGGGAAAATGTGAGGCAATCTTATTTAAGTCCATGGAATTTTGCATTTTCTGATGCTCGACGGCAGCGGCTGCTGCTGTGTTATAGGGATTCTTCTCGTGCAACGACAACAATGCCGCATCCGCGGTCTTACTCGTTATCACTTGTACTTGCTGCTTGTCCTCTTCCTTTATTTTTATATCTGTATGAGAAATTATCGACTTTTGCTTGTCCTTTGAGGTTTTCATAAAAGACGAGCTGCTGCTAGCTGCATCATTGCGGCTGGTGTTTAGGTTGTTTGCATTTGAAATCACCGCTGGATTCATGCTTTTCTTCGCCGTAGCTTGTAGCTGTGAGCGTTGCAGTTCCAAAGCGGCGGCTTCAACTATTTTCTGCGCCAGCTTCATTTTGTTGAGCTCCGCACTCTCGTGCATATTTGTTGGTTGTGGGTAAAGCTTCTCTTTGCGCTCGCCTAATGTGCCTTCGTGTGGGTTTTTTGATTTCTTCTCGATCGGCTTAGATTCCAACACATTTTCAGCATGCTGCAATTTGTTGGGCGGCAATGTGGTTTTGGTATTCATTATTGGTTTGCTTTCCGTTGTCAGTTGATCGTTGATTACAATTTTCGATTCACATGTTGTTGGTACTGGTTTGGGTATTTGCAGATGTGTGGGTGCTGGTATAGTAGATGCGGCTGTCATTGCTGGTGCCGGTGGAGGGGTCGGTATAACCACGGGCGGTGCTGGTATTGGCGCTGGTGTAGGCGTTAATACCGGCGCTGCTGTAATTACGGGTGGTGTTGTAGCTAACGCGATGGGCGAAGCGACTGGTGGTGCCGGAACCACAATCGGTGTTAGCATAGGCACGCTCATTGGCGCCATCGCCGGCACTGTGGTGGGGATTGCAGGCGCGGTCGATACACTTTTTAACTCGCATTTACTTTCTGCAACATCTTTACGTTCATCATCTTTGTTCTTCTCTGCACTAAGGCACGGCGAATTCGCTATATCCGTTTTTATAGTTTCTTTGGGCGAAATTTGTGGCATCATTTTCGGTGAGGCCTCACTCTCAATGCATTCTATTTTACATAACGGCTCCTTGATGACAGCTGTTTGTTCCGCTGCTGAAATTGTTGTTGTGGTTGTGGTTGTTGTATTTGACTCTGTAGTGTTAGGCTCACTTTTGGTGGCTGCCTTTGTTTGTATTGTAGCTTTGACTTCGGTCTCGGCTATTTTCTCACCGCTCGTGCTGTTTAGCTCTATGCCCTCTTCGGGCTTTTCATCGGCCTTAAGCACTTTGTCGTCTACTACTTTGATTCTATCATCGGGCGTGTTAATAACGGTTTGCTTTACGCTATCATTTACAGCAGCTGTGCTCATCTCTTTTAACTCCGGCTTGTGCTCATTGGGCTGCTCTTGCGATTTCTTGTCAACAAAATTTTTATCCTCTGTAGTGGCTGCATTGGTAGTCATGGTGTCATTGTTTTCCACCATTAATTCTGCAAAAGTCTTTTTGGTCTTTTTTGCTACAGCTTCTAAGACTTTTTCATCGTTAGAAGTTGTTGTTGTTGTTGTTGTGTTCGTTGAGGGAGCGTTTTCTATTTTTCCCACACTTGGTGACGTCGTTGTTTGCACTTGCTGTTGTTGCTGCTGCTGCTGCCGCTGTTGTTCTGGTTGTGCTTCTTGCTGTTCGTGTTTTGCTGCTTCAGCTAGGGGTTTTTGCATTTGTTTTTCTTCGTCTTTACCCCTCTGCTGCTCAGCAATTGCAACATTGTCCGCCTCATTTGTTTGTACACTCTTTATCACTGTTTCGGCCGTTGCATTGCTAGCAATGGCTGTGGGCGCCGCTTTCGCATTGTTTTTCGTCTCCTGTTTGTTAGGTTCTTCTTGTGGTGTTACTGCTTTCGGTGTTTCAATTGTGGTGGTTTCATTTCTTGTTACATTGGCGTTGTTTTCTTGATACGCAGCGGTGCATTTTTTCTCACTGCTATTCTTCTTGCCACGTAGTTTAGGCACTGTCGTTATGGGCTTATCATTGTTAGACTTTTTTACTGCTTTCTCTTCAATTACCTCATTCACCGCTTCTACTTGCATGCTTTCCTTCAACAAAACTTCGCGCTCTGTTTCAGCTTCAAGTGCTGGTTCCGGTTCAGTGACGATCTTCTCTGCCGCAACTGTCTCTTCTTGTTTTATGCTCATTTTCAATTCATTTTGACGCTCAAAATATTTCCTTTTATTCGTGCTTACAATGGGCGTGCTTTGTTTACGATTGGCCAACCTCTGCGCACGACTTGTTATCTTATCATCATCAGTGCTAATAACCACATCCATCGCCTCGCCTTTTGACTTTTCCACCACAGCCGCTTGAGCCGGTGGCGTTTGTATTCTACGCCTTTTATCGGGCCTATTAAAGACTTCGGTCTCCTCCGCCGGCGTAACATCTGTGTACTCTTTACTTAACTGTCGTTTACGTGGATTTCTTCTCACTTCCATGGTGGTTGCTTTGCCGACGTCATTACTTACATCGACCTTAGCGACCACTGCGTCGTTTTTCTTTTTAACGCTCGTGTCACTACTCGGCGGTTCATTGCTTTCGTCTACCACCTCATGCAGGGAGTTTTTTAAATCCGTATTACTGTTTTTTGTGTCAGCAGGCTTGCGCTTTTGAAAATTTAACTCCACAGTTGCACCGGCGATTCGGCTCTCCTTCGCGAAACAGGCAAGTTTACTTTTATTACCTTGCATCGAGCTATCATTTGGTGTATTCAATTCTTTTTTGATGAAGTTTGTACTATTCGAAAACATCGAATTAGTTTTACGCGAACGCATACGTTCAATCACGGTCGCCTCAGAGCGATTGCTGCTATCCATCAAGCTGCTTTCCTCAGAGGATTTCATGCCGTCGGTAACTAAAGATTTCGACAACAGTGGACTCCAACGCAAGCAATCTGTTTCTAACGGTATACGTTTGGAATTTTGTAATTTCTTGTAATGCGACATGACCTTCTCCCAATCGACTTTGATATTAATTTGATAACGTATATCATCCTCATTCTTTCGCAATTTAATAAAATTCAATAATTCGAAAGCCAAAGCAATATCGGACACGGTAAGACCGGTTTTATTAGCAATATCTTTGAAAGTTATGCGTCCATCATTGCGATGACTGTAAATGTATTCTAAAATTATGGATTTCCAATAGGAGAAATACGACAGCCGACCCAAATCAGATAGTGGCTTCTCCGGTGTGCCATTTTGACCCTCCTCACGACTTAGCAGATAACTAAATTCGATTAGAAATCTACCAAAGCCTTGTCTTTGAAATTGTGGCATTGTTAAGATGCAAGAGACATTGAATTTTTGCGCACAATGTTTTTCCTTGGAGAAATAACCAACAAGATGACAGCCTTTTCTATCATTTTTGGTAAGAATGTAAAATAAAAACGGTTCCACATCGTAGTAAAGGGTTTTGTGATCCAAAAATAGCTTTGCCAGCAAGCAAAGATTTTGACAGTAAATTTTATTGATATTACCATCGACCTCGAAAACGGATATGTCATTATGGCGGTAAATCTCAGTGCCTGGGGGCTGCTTCCAGAGGCATTTATTTTGATGGCGATCTAAAACAGAGCGACTTTTTGTGTATTTCAGGCAAAATTCGCAAAGATAGAGCTTCGGTAGTCTGCAATAGAGAGAGAGAGAGAGAGAGAGAGTGAAAGCGGGAGTGAAAGATTTAGTCTTCAAATTTTTGATTTGTGCTAAGCGCTATGAGGGTAGCTAAGTTAAGGGATTAGCATACATACCTAGCATACTCTTGTGGGAAAGGGCTTGAATACCAAGTTTCAATATGCCACTTTCCGATTTCAATGGCAGATGGACAACGCTCTTGCACTGGTCCACCTGCGTTCGCATGGGCTAAAGCGTTTAAATTTTTCTGTTCCGTTATTTTCTTTGCAGCGTTTTCTCGTATTTTCTTATAGATTGCAATATCGGTTTGCTCTACGCCATTTGGCAGCGGTTGATTTTCTATATATATATATATAAAATCATACATAAGTTATTGTGAGCAATAATAAATAAAAACAAAAGAAACACATGTAAAATTCAATTTGTTTTTTATTATAAAATCAATTTTATGTTCGATCAGTAATTTGTTTTTTATGGTAAGTTTTAATTTTTTAATACTGTTTTTGTTTTTTTTTTAGAAAAAAAGGTTAATTTTATTATTTTTATATAGTTAATTTAATTAAATTTTATTGTGTTCACTTTTTCAAAACTTGTTTTGAAGCTTATTTTAAAATACTTTCAACTTATGCATACATTTTAATAATTTTTAATACTATATTTTTGATATTTATATTTAATATATTGTACTTTCTTTCACCTTTTCTTTAATTGTTTCTTAACAAATTGTTTCTACATACCAAACGGATTTTCTGGATACACTTCTTCATATTCCACTTTTTCATTGGAGGAACTTTCTTCATTTGGAAAGGGTTTCTCACTTCGAGCATAATTTGTATTTTCCATTAATTGAAATTTCATGACTGTGCTTTCATTTAAATACGGCACTTCATCATCATCACTCTTATAAACGGCGCGTTTTACCGTATCTAGCGGTGCGGACTTGAGTGTGGCTATTTTCTTCTTTTGCACTTTTTCTACAGGCTTTTTTGCGCTCTTACTACCAGTTGCTTCTATGTTGTTCGTGTTACTGCTCTCTGGCAAATCATCTTTCTTCGTAGTCACTTTCGCTGGTCGCTTTTCTGTTTGTTCAACTTCGTTGCCAGCGTTTTGTAAAGGCTTGTAGTTTATTTGTTTATTACTTGCAGCTTGCTCGTCCTGTTCGAAATTTTTATTGAAACCAGACAAGAGGTTGCCACACGTCTTGAGTGGCGCAAAACTTTCTGATGTTTCCATATTTCTCGTTTGCGAAAATATATCCACACGATTTTTTGCCACAGCTGCGAAGCCCCAATGTTCATCTTTCGGTTTAGTATTTTGTGACGTGTAGTTTTTTGCAGGCACATTGATTTCCTTCTTCACTGGTATTTGCGAAATAAATATATTGGATTTGGACTCACTTTTATCCGAATCGCAATCGTCATCATCATTTTCCTCGTAATTATCCTCCTCTTCATTATCAAATTCGGAACTATCACTGCTGCTCTCACTGGAATCGGAGCCCGAACTACTCGAGGAGCACGAACCCGATGAGGTGCTATCGTCTTGATTGTCGTCATCGAATTCCATATTATCATCTTCGTCACTATCACTTGACGAACTGGATGAGGATAAATCTGAGGGTGTTTTCTTTTTTGTACGTTTCGTCTCGCTGTTAAGGAAACCAGCAAATTGTTTACGTTGACGGAACATTTTCAAATGTGAATTGTGTGCAATAGTTTTTTGTAAATTCTGGGAGGTTTTTATGGCTTGGCTTAGTGAAATGTCTTTGTACATTTCCTTGTTGCTCTCATATTTTGAAAGTTTTGATGTTGTTGGACTGTTATCGATTTCATCGATAATTTGGCGTTTGCAAGAGGCACTTGCTGCCAGGCCGAGATTGCGTTTATCCTTGAGCTTACCACCGATCCAATCTTTATTTCGCATACCAGCATATTCAGAAGTTGAAGGCATTACCGCCTTTACGCTCCTTGTGCCCTTGGATAATTCACTTGCAGATTGGCTCCTGAAAATAATACAATTTTTAGTATTTAAACAATTGTGTACTTGAAAGCAGTCTGGCAACACAAATGTATAAGTCGCGAGGACATAAGGTAAGCAACTACCGGCTATGCAAATTAGCAACAATGTTATTATCAGCAGAGTTGTTTAAGTGCGTGAAAACACATTTTATGCATATAATGCATATAATTTTGACAATTTGCAATACTTGGCATGCAAAGTGGATTGCGCTAGCAATATTGCAAATATAATATATATAAGCCGCTTTTTCTGTATTTTAGAATTTGATTGCTTTTATAAACATTCGTATATTTTAACTTACCGACTTTTAGCTGTCTCCACGCCTTTTTTATTTACTTCCTTTTTAACAATATCCACATTTTGTAGTATGCACTTCTTGCATCTAAAAAAAATTTAAATTAGCAAATAGATGTATATAACGTCACAAATTTAAGCATCACTCTTACCTATAAGGGTGCTTGGGTTTCTTATCTGGTATAGTGTCCAGACATGTCAAATGATATAAATTCTTACAAGTTGTGCATTCAAGCAAACATGGACCACGATCAGTGTTGCAAACACTACACTCAGCGCAATTTTTACAATACCAAATGGAACCTTTTATTACCAACATATATAATAAAACATATGATTGTGATTTGCATTTGGCGGCGATATTCGCACATGTTGTATGCAAGGACATGCCACATTTTTTACATGAACTCAACGGTTCAGGTATACCGTTGCGATTTTTTTGCGCGTCACCCGAACAATAGGAACAGTTATCATCACCCTTAAAGTTTAGCATAAAGTAAAAAAGAAATATGTACAAACATATAAAGATTTGTTATTCAGCAGCTTTTTTTTCTTTTACTTACAGTTGTTACTGGTATTTCCAAAGTGGATGACGACTTTCGTGGTGTTGTCAGAGATCTTCCCTTTTTATATAATTTTCCTTCTTGTACCAGAAAACCTGCATCCACCGCCTTTCGAATTGAACTTTTTATAATCGCTCGAAAATCCACATCTGGTCCGAGATCAATATTATTGAATTTTTGTATGTAATTTTCAATTGTTTTTATTGTTGAACCCTCACATTCACCCAAATCATGCACTGCTTTTGCAACTATCTTACATAAGTTACTGTTCTTCTCTACTTTAATACGACGTTTTGCCATGGGCGCTTTATAGGAATGTAATCCTTTATTATATACTTTAATAACGGCACCTGATTCCACCGCTTCTTCTAGTTTTTCTGCAACAATGTCTTCGTGAAACTTATGGTGGCTGCCAATCGCTTGACAAATGCGTTGAACGCTGGGCCGTTGTTTTTGTGAACGTATTTTTGAAATGGCTTCCAAAATCCATTGCTTCCAAGTGTCAAGACTTATGTCATGAGCAGATTCTCGCATTTTATATCTGAAATTGGGCAGATATTAAACAAAATTGTCTTATTAAATCATTCGAATACATATATATGAATATTATTGCATTCATTAATATTATAATATATTTTTGTAATGTAATTAGCTTTTGTTTGCTTCACAAATATTATAATTTCCAATTTTTGTTCAATTCCGCAAAGAATCATTTGATTTGGAGTTAAAATAGGGAGTATATAATGAGTTGACAAGATTAATGGCGAATTTTACTACGTAAATTATGTTTAGATGTTTGTTTAGTCTTGTACATATATAAAAATGCATGTACTATATGTATATGTGCATGTCATATTTAATAACACACAAGTGTTTCTACGGCATTGCATTTGCACTCGCGATTTGTCAGCATGATAGAAAATTTACAACATACATTCATACGTAAATATGTATGTATGTACGTATTAAGTATGCTTATATGTAAGTTAACGCGTTTAGATATTCCTTGTACCGGATGAATGGTAGCAAGCACATAGTATACAATATATGTATGTGGATATGTAGGTCAATTGGTAGTTCTACCAGTATTGAAAACCTTATGTATTTTATAAGCAGTTTAAAATAACATATTTTTCAATTTGGTAAATTTTTTTCCATTACGCATATAAATTAGTTTAACACATTTAGCTAAATTAATGCATAAAACTGTTGCTGGCAAAAACTTGTAAAATTGTTACAAGCCAAATACGACGAAACACACACATATTGCACATACAGAAACTTTTCATATATTTCTTTTCAAAACTTTTATTTATAATAACTTTTTACCACATGTATAGAAACTCTGGAATAATTTATATACCTTATAGATTTATAAATTCTATCCCAATAACTTTTATCTGTATAATAAAACGTATCTTCTAAGAATTCTGGCACGCCAAGATGCTTTTTACTTATAATTCGTTACTTATATGGTTACCTTTAGGAAAACCTGCAATGCCAGATAACGATAATTGATGTTTTTCATCGAATATGTTTATCGATATTAAATTACTCGGTTAACCAGTAACGGTTGCATAAATTTGTTCTTAACTTTAACGTAAAAAATTATAGAATTGAAAAAGCCATTATTAAAAAAAAAAAATGTTTTTATCCTTGTTTATACAAAATAAAAAACTATGATTCTAACTGAAATATTATTGAATTAATGGCACTTCAGGTAAATGAGAATTTATTCAAGGGAAAATACCGACAAAATACGCAATGAAGAGTTGCGCTGTCCGTGTTTTGAACATTTAAATCTCTCGCATATGATGTCCGGTGAACAAAATAAAGTTGGCGGTACCGATGTCCATAACTAAAAGAATTTGAACATTTTTTTTTTCTTTCAATAAAAAAGATTTTTAACCATATGTCCATAAAAATTATTATTATTTTTTTTTTTTTTGCTAATGTTGTTCACTTTATATTTTTTTAGAGAATCCACAATTTCTTGACAGATTTGTGTTTTTAAGGATGGCTACTTTCCTTTTATCGATAATTCTAATACCGCTGTTTCTGTAATTGTATTACTACTACTCGTAGCCACTCTGTGTCGACTGCGGATTTTTTTTTACGGGTTCTCTGTTCTCAATACACATCTATCTGTCAACAGTTGATTTGGTGTAAAGAAAAAAGTGGTAGTCATTTGGATATCCTAATTTTCTGCTTGTAATTGATTTAAATTGGGAAAATGTTGTACAATAACTTGAACAATTACAATATAGACTTATAAAATGTTGCAACTATTATAAGTTTAGGTATTTATTGTTGAATATGTGGGTAAACTTCACATGCTTATAAATAAAGTTACTTTGGAATACACTTGTGAATAACAGGTACATAATTTGTTGTTTATTGTAAAATTAAGTGATAATATTAAGTGTTTATAAACAACGGAGATACATATAATATTACACATCAATTCCTTTATTCTATGTACGTAGGTACCAAGAATACTAATTTATGGCCAATATAATTCAATTGATTATACTTACATGTGTAAATGTTAATATATGTATTAACATAATGTGTGTATATTATGATTAGAATGCGGTGGAAAGCGAAGTTTAGATTTACTTGCCTATGTACGTAAGGCCATATGTATCTTCAATTATGTATGTGAAAGAAAATTTTCATTTTCCTGTGCTTTCTTAAACTCGCCGTAGCGAAAAGGTTGCATTCTGTGTGTTAGCATGGCCTTTTTGTGTAAAGACAAAAGAAAATAAATAAACCTGCAGATCTTAACACACAATTTTCATTTTTAATTGTGACACCATTCTGTGCTTTGTGTAGATTTATGTGTTTTACATCTTAAATTGTGTTTGCAAGTACAATCATAATTGTTGTTACAAAGCGGAGGCAATTAGATACTTAAATGTACGTTTGCATATACGTGTATGTATGTATGTATATGAATGTAACATAATAGGTGTTAAAGGATTAATATTAATATTAATAATTTTTACATTCCGGCACTCCTTTTTCATTGGTGGAAACACTTTACACACATATACATGCTTAAAGATTTGTGCGTATAGCGGGGTGTACAACTCGTTGCCCTTATGCAAAAGCAGATGCGTGAAGATTTGTATATGCTTGAAGTGCTGATACGATATATTGTAACTACATAAGCACATACAAAAAGATTTATACATACCCATCTACCTCCTATAATTTTGTTGGTTATACTTAATGCCTGTATTTAATTGGACACTTATGAGTTAAATCGCTAGTCGGGTATTCATTGACAATACGTCATTGAATATTTCTGTACAAATACTATAATTAATACAGTATGCACAAAAATCTTTAACAGTTATTTCTCTTACAGAAAATTGTCATGGACTCCCAAAATCATATGGATACGTACAACGAGCATGCCGCAATGAATCCGCCTCCTACGGCTAGACCAACAGAACCATTCCAACCATTCTTGCGACCGGATATAGCGGGTGTTAACCCGGAAGATCCCTATGGACAATATCTGAGAAATCAAGAATCGTTTCTCTTGAACGATATGAATGCTAAACAATCATTAGATATGCTAAAACAGCAAACCAGCGCACTCGAAGCATTAGGCGGATATCCCTGTATTGGCAGTACCATACCACCACCCAACAGTAGTAGTAATACCTATTCCAATGACAATTTTGGTGCGAAAAGGAAGAAAGACACCACGGATGCCAATGATGAATTCACAGCGAAATTAGCAAACAATAACATGTCTGCGGAAGAGAAAAAGACTGCAAACATGCGTAAAAATATACGCGATGTCTTTGACGAAAATCAATTGGACACAAATACACTTGCAGCGCAACGCGAGGAATCAGAGCGTTTGGCACGTGTTGCCGAACAACAGAAAATCATACGCGAGACTCAACGACAAGCTGCAGTAAATAGAAGTTTTGTACGCACACAAAATAAAGTACTTTCACTGCTTCAGAGTGGCACAACCTTTGCGAAGGTGACCAGTGAAACACCATTTGAAGAAATCGACACAGCCTCTACAGAGTCGGAACAAAACGCCAGTCCCCAATCAGCATTACCAAGTATTGTAAGCGCCGATGATAAGATTGCGAGCAAAGTCGAATCAGAAACGGTAGAGTTGCAAAAGGACGTTGCAGCAATTTCACCAACACCTGTCGACGATGAAGATGATGATGCTGTAAAACCCGCTGAGGAGCAAGTCATTAGCGATGTGGTAACTATAGAAGATAGTTCATCCGAAGATGATTGTATTATGCTATCCGATGATGAGGAGGAAATGGATGATGAAGAAGAAGTTGATGATCCCAGTAATAGTGGCTTACACGTTAAAGATCTGTACAATGTGGCCGATGAACAAGGACGTATTTTGGTTAATATCGGACACCCAGAGGGTGAAGATGACATTTTCGTAGCGCCACAAATCGCACGTACCATAAAACCACATCAAATTGGTGGCGTACGGTTTCTCTTCGATAATATTATTGAATCAACGAAACGTTTTAAGAGTTCAAGTGGTTTCGGTTGTATACTATCACATTCAATGGGTTTGGGTAAGACACTACAAGTGATTTGTTTCTGTGATATCTTCCTGCGGCATACACCTTCGAAAACGGTCCTCTGTGTCATGCCTATTAATACGCTCCAAAATTGGGTATCTGAATTTAATATGTGGTTACCGAGATATTCAGATAATCCTGATTATGTGCGACCAAGGCAGTTTGACGTCTTCATACTTAACGATCAGCATAAAACGTTGAGTGCCCGCGCTAAGGTTATACTCAAGTGGGCCGAAGAAGGTGGTGTGCTGTTGATTGGCTATGAATTGTTCAGATTGCTGGCTTTGAAGCTAATGACAACACGTAAGCGTCGTAATGGTAAAGCGGGCACATGTGAGCGAAGTGGCACCGAAATGAATAGACGTCTCATGGAGAGTGTACATCAGGCACTAGTTAAACCGGGTCCAGATTTGGTAATATGCGATGAAGGTCATCGGATTAAAAATGCACATGCCGGCATATCACTTGCGCTAAAACAAATACGAACACGCCGTAGAATCGTCTTGACCGGCTATCCATTACAAAATAATCTACTTGAATATTGGTGTATGGTGGACTTCGTGCGTCCCAATTATCTGGGTACACGTAATGAATTTTGCAATATGTTCGAACGACCCATACAGAATGGCCAATGTATTGATTCAACGCCCGAGGATCGCAAACTGATGCGTTATCGTGCCCATGTTTTGCACTCTTTGCTCTTGGGTTTCGTGCAGCGTCGTTCACATGTTGTACTGCAACAAACACTACCGAAAAAACTGGAATACGTTATACTCACGCGCATGACGACGTTTCAACGACAACTTTACGATACGTTCATGAATGATATTGTGCGCACTAAATCTGTTCCTAACCCACTAAAAGCGTTTGCTGTTTGTTGTAAAATATGGAATCATCCAGATGTTTTGTATAGTTTTTTAAAGAGAAAAGAAATCGATTTGGAGTTGGAAATGGAAGAGTCCGAGACAATTAGCGAGCCTGTAGCTGCTTCAGCAGGACCTGCAACAATAACTACAACAACCATACCATCGAGTGCTACTACGTCACTTGCGGTAGGCGATGAAGAAAAACCCACGCCCTTGGAGGAGAAACCAACAATTGAGAGCTCTGGTGGGGGCACAATATGCGAAGATGTCAAACCAAAAGAAGATCCCAACTCAGTCGCCAATTCACCGGCAACAGAGTGTAAACCATTGGAACAACAAGTTGTTGGACAGATGGAGCAACGTGACGGCCAGACTTTGGTCGCTAACAAACCGAACACAGAGTTTACCAATTTGATGAAGAGGTATGTGCCTGATTTTTGTTCTTATATTTCATATACACACAGAGATTTGAGATCAATTGAGCGCCTTGAAGTATACACCAAAAGAGTTGCGGAATATTTTTTAAGGCTAACTTGAAGGCAATAGTTGCATTAATATTGTTGTACGCCTTGAAGTATGCAATATTTCATTTAATTTCCATTATTTGTGTGCCACGAATCTAAATAATTGTAGTGAGGCATACAGTATGTACAATATATATATGCGTAAATTAACGCCATAAAGTAAGCAATGCAATTTCTCAAATGAGTACAATTTTGTTTTGGAATTCTCACGAAACTAGCTGCAACGTCTTAAAGCCCGTTTTATTTAATAATTTTATATAAATTAATCAAAAAAAAAAAATGTATTCATTAATTAATCTTTCAGCTCACTCCTCTCCGACCCTTACAATCAGCAGCAGAATGATGTACCATCTTACTTGGCTGGTCATGGCAATAATTACTGGCAGGAGTCTAACGTAAATTATTTCAATTATCAATCGGTTAGCGACAACATTGATCCCCTATCGAAACCGAACTACGTTGGCATGGTACCGCAGCGTGCCGAAGAGATCAACACCAACGAAACGCCTGAGGGTGCTGGCTCTTCGCAAATTGTCGACTTGGATACGAAAGAAATCAAAACTGTTGAAACTGATATAGATATGACACTTTGCCCGGTCATTAAAAATGAGGCATTAGGCGACAACAATTCCATATTAGCTGGCGGTGAGGATGGGGCTGCCGCTGCTGGCGCCGAAGCACTAATGGAAGATATTAAAAATTTTACCAGCGGCAATGCAATGGGAAATGATAAAGATGTTGGCAAAGTGAAAGCGGATGACACAACAATGCATGATTGGGCCATCGATCTAATGAAGAAATATCGTCCCGGCCTCGTGGAAAACTCACCAAAAATGGAAATATTCTTTTGTATACTAAATGAAAGTGTGAGAATGGGCGATCGTGTGCTTTTATTTAGTCAGAGTCTCTTGACGCTGAATTTGATAGAGACTTTTTTGCAAATGACGCGCATGCCGGACTCGGATATGTGTTGGCGGCGTGGTGTGTCCTACTTTCGTAAGTGGAGTGTAAAGGAATTTGAGTTGATGATTAAAAGAAGAAGTAAAATTTGTTGAAAACTATTTATTTTCAACTATTTTAGTCCAGCCGTCCCTTTTGTTTCTCAATTTTAAACTATATTAATATTTACTTCGGCAGTAAAATACAAATATTTCTTACAGGCTTGGATGGTTCAACTACTTCCCAAGAGCGTGAACGTCTCGTAAATGAATTTAATTCAAATACAGGCGTTAAATTGTTCTTAATTTCAACGAGAGCTGGTTCGTTGGGCATCAATCTTGTTGGTGCGAACCGTGTTATAGTATTCGATGCTAGCTGGAATCCCTGTCATGATACACAAGCAGTGTATAGAATTTATCGGTATGCTTTTAGTACTTGAAATTATGTAAAGATAATTTTAAATATAATCCTTTTTTTCGGTTTATTCTTTTGTTAGTTATGGCCAGATCAAGCCGTGCTTTGTTTATAGAATTGTAATGGATAAGTGTTTGGAAAAGAAAATCTACGATAGGCAAATTAAGAAGCAAGGCATGTCCGATCGAGTTGTTGACGAATGCAATCCCGATGCGCATCTCTCAATCAGAGACATAACCAATCTCTGTCACGACTACGATGATGATGAGAAAAGTCAATCTGAGACGCCTGAATTTTGTACGCCACTTGATTCATTCGAAGACATCTTAATACGAAAAATAGTTGAACAACACAAAACTGGTTTATCGAAGGAGCCATTCTTCCATGAAAGCTTGTTGATTGATCGCAAAGAGAAGAAACTCTCACAGGCGGAGAAAAGGCAAGCCCATCGTGGATATGAAATGGAGAAGAAGGCGAGTGTTAAACAAACCTTTAGTATGCCTATTAAGAATCAATATCGCATTGTGCGTAACGACGGCACTATAGTGACACGTCCTGTTGCGTCGGTAAATAAGCAATAAACTAATTTTTAAGAAATATTTTTTAGTATAAAAATATACCAAAAAAATGTCTAAATCTCAAATTTTCTCTGTGATTTTCCAGATACGTCCAATGCAAACGACTAAGACGACAACAACCACTAAGAGTGGCGGTCTACGTACAACACGTTGGATACCGGCAGAGGTTTGGCAACGCCAAGGCATGACGGCACAAGAGATGACTTTACCTTTGGGTAAGTTGAAGAATTTCGCCCAATTTTTCTATATTATTATTATTCATATTCATACATTACGCATAGACGTTGTCATACCCACGCACTCGAATGATAAATCGAATATTATTTTGAAATCTGGTCAACGTGTTATGGTATTGAAGTCCGCTAAAGGGATATATATGCAGTTGGAGAGTGGTAAAATCATTGCAATACGTACATCTAGTAAAGCAGCTGAGGTGAATAAGACAGATAAAGATGAAGTGATCGATATAACAAATGAAGCCGATGGTACCACTGAGAAGAAAGGTGAAGACGGTAAAATCGAAAACGCGAATCAAAAGGAAAGCGACAATGCGACAAAAGGTAATTAGATAGAAAAATTAATTGAGATTCTTTTCGCCAACTCAGGTGTATTGGATAATAAATTTCATGTTTACAACAAAAGGTATTAATAAATATTTTGCTTTTACTGTCAAACCTGCAGGATCTCACAACAGCACTGAAACTACCGATAAATTATCAGGCGGTTATGACAAATGTGCTGATAGCAATTCCAAGAAATTGTTGGATGCCAAATCAGTTAAAGGCAAAGAATTCACACAACAACATCAATATAAAACAGATATGCAAATGCAAAAGGACGATATGAATAGTAAATTTGATAGTTTAAAGAAAGCTGACCCCAAAATGAGTCAGCAAAATATTGAAAAAGTATATGCATCACACACAAACGATAATACCACCAAACAGGAGTTTACAAATATGGCGAGGAGTAGCCAAAAGCTGCTCGCACCAAAGCCGCCTCATCAGCACCAAATTGATGAAAGCTTAGCTTTAAGAAAAAATGAGAGCAATCAACTTCACCCACAACAGCAACAAATGGTACAACAACATGAACAGGAAAAACAACATCAAGAGAAAAAGGAATTGCTGTATCCAACAAAGCATGGCCACGACAAGAACAACCCACCACAAAATACCATACTCAATCAGGTATATCAGTAAATACAATATAAGAAATATACAACTCACTAAATATGAAAATCATTTATTTCTTGAATAAATTTCAAACAGCAAAAATGTCTACCACAATATCCTAATAAACCTATGGTGGATCCAGCACCATATTCTTACAAACAAATGGGCACATATCCATTTTGTGGTCTAACACCGCCGGATCTGTCGAAATATACGAATCAAAGAGGTGAGTCAGTAATGCAATGCATATACATACATATATCCATCAAAAGAAACTTAATTTTGTTTTTCCTCCCAAACAGCCGACATAATGACATCGACTGAGTCATATCAGACATGCAATTACAATAAAAGAAAACTACAAAAAGAGATGCCAATACCAACTGATTATACGCCTTCACCCACATCTTCATCATCATCAGCATCGGCAGCATCCGCTGCAGCAGTGGCAGCGGCGGCAGCAGCAGCAGCCGCAGCAGCAGCAGCATCGTCATCATCATTATCCTCATTATCTTCATTGTCGTCATCTTCTACATCGTCCACATCACAACAAAGCCAATCGTTGAAACACACACACAGTCATTTAAATGCACCTGCTGCTGCACACCAATCACCATACACACAATCGCCCTATTCATCGTTATTCCATCAACAACAACAATCAAAACTACACCTATACGGCTCCAATTATAATTTAGATAATGAACATTATAGTAATTTAGCGCAAACATCTCATAGCACCCAACAAAGTTTAAATCAAAATCATAGTCTTATCGCCGATACATTCGGTGGCGGTGGCGGTGGTGGTGGTAGTGGCGGTGGTGTACAAGAGAATAGCAGCACAAGCCTTATGCATGCCGGCGGACAAAATGTATCATCAGCAGCTGCGGCGGCGGCGGCAGCATGTGATTATTCAACACATTTTCCAGATTATGCCGCCTACAGTTCATATAATCCACATCCACACTACTTTCCGCATTTTGCCAATTCATATGGCAATGGTTCAACAGCACCGATTGCCACCAATCCATACCACCAAATGCATTGGTCACCGTTGATAGCGCCAACCACAATAAATGAGCAATGTAATCCTGTACACTCGTCCGTTTATCCTCAAAATGGTGCTCAGCATAATCAATGGCATCACAAATTATAAATATTGTAGTTATGTAAGATGAAAGAATTATCAGCATACAGCCGCAGAAAGGTTTTAAATTAATTAATTTAATTGCATGGTATTATCGTAAATTTGAAATATAGAATTAAACTAAAAAAATATATAATTAATTAAAATTAAACAAAGAGGACTTTTATTTTAAGAGTTGAATAAAAAAAAAAAATAAAGGGAAATTTTTAGTTTATGGAATACCTAAAAAGTAACAGCATATTTTAGTGGTATTATTGAAGATCAACTCGGCTGTTCTCTAATTTTGTTTCCGCGCGGTTTCCTATGAGATGTGTTTCACATTCACTGAATTACATCATTTAACAGTATAACTAATAACATCAGAAGTACAAAAACAACAGGAGAGGCTGAAAATCTTTGCCGAGGGTTTTGAAAAAAATTCTGTAATTTAGGATAATGTTTTGACCGGACTAGCACCTACGTTGTGGATAGTCCTGTACAGTAGCCGTTGTTAGACAACTTTTTTTTTTCCAAATCTATTGCATACCACCAGGCGCTAAATGACGCTCAGTTTATTCGTTTTTTGATCTAAACAATTTTTGAAAAATGATTTAATACGTATATGTGTCTGTTTAAACTTTAACATTTTTATGCTTTATTTACAAGAATTGTTAGTTATTAACAATTTATTTTTTTTTAAATAGTTACTTTAAAAACTTCAGGCTTTATGCTATTTTTAAAAGCTATATTACAATAAAATAACGTAAACTGCATGAGATTCATTTTATTTTTTATTGTTTATGAAATAATTTGGTATTTAGCCATACAACTTTAAATTAAGTTAAATAAAAATTTTGATTTTTTTCCTTAACTATAAAAATTAAAACTAGTTTTTTGTGTATTTATTGAATTGTTTTGGAGCTTGCTTATATGTAAATAAAAAAAGGTAATTTTTTTTCATTATAAAAGCTATAATTTAATTTTTTTTTTGATTGTCTATTATAAAATTGAATTTTTTTTTAAGAAATTAAGTTAAATTTTCACTATATATTTTAAATTTCAAACTGTTATTATTATTTAGCACATTTTTTATTAATTTAAATTTTAGATGTATAAGATTTATTTCAATTTTATAATATCAACTTTTACTATTTTGCAATAAATATTTACATTAAGCAAAATATAAATCAATTAAATTAATTGTTTTCTTTGCATTAAAAATTACAATTAATTTTCCTGTGCTGCTTATTTATAACTTTTTTTTTTATTAGTTAAGTTCAATTAACCTGGTTTTTATTAATTTAAATTTGAAATGTTGGAGTTTGGTATATTTTTTTTATTTCAGAGTTTATTTTAATACAATATATATGATATTTTATTAATGAATTTAATAAATATAAAAAAAAATTTTTGAGATGACTATTTTTTAGTTGTAAAAAGTGAAATTGACTTTTAAGAGTCAGTAATTTAAATTCGAAATACTTTAGAACTATTAATTTTTTTTACTTGTTTAAAGTCAAGTTTTAGTATTTATTTCATTATTCAAATTTATATAAATTGAAATATAAAATAGAAATGTTGTATTTTATAATACTTTTTTATTGTTCAAATAAAATTTATGATCCGGTTCTAATTATTAATTAAATTTGTTTTTTTATTTGAAGTACTTTATGAATATTACACTATATTATAAAAGTTTGAATTAATTATCCTGTTCTGCGTATTACTTTAAATTTGAAATTAAATAGAATTTATTTGATTCATTCATTTTATTATTTATAAAATATTATTTCAAAATAAGTTTTAGGATTTTTCTATCACATTTTAAATTAATTTAAAAGTAAGATTTAAATTACTGTATTTTCTTTTCTATAAAAAAAAAGAAATAAAATTAGTAAACTATTCTGATTATTTATTACTTTAAGCCTGATTGCAACAAACAGATGTTTTATAATTATTTTAAGGTTAAATTTAGTATTTTTAAATTATCATACAATAATAAGTTATACTGAAAAAATTCCCTTATTTACGTTGCTGATTATATATCACCTTAAAAGGAACAATTTGTATGTATGTATATATTTTTTATATTTTACTATTTTGAAGAAAATGTTATAATTTTTCTATTACTTTTTTATATAAACTTAAATAAAAAGTTTAAACATATTTACTTTTAACTTTATTATAAAAATCATAATAAGTAAGGTTACTTACTGTTTATTACTGCCAATTTTATACAAATTTTTTATACAATTTGTTACTAGCATAACCACAAAAAACTGCAACTAATGATTGAAATACATTAAATTTATTTTATTTTTATTTTAAAGCTCAGTGTTTTACTTACTATTAGATTTTATTTATGTAAGCTGAAATAAAAATTGTCAGTGTACTTAATTATTTTTTGCTTATCTATAAAAATTATTGCTAATACAACTGTGCAGATGATTATTACATTTTAAAATTCAATTTCGCTTTAAAATTTATTTCTTTCTCTTAATTTCATAGAACATATTTAGTATTTTTCTATTAAATTTTACACAATCTAAAAAAAATATATTTAAAAATATTATCACATTTTTTCTTTATTTACATTCATAAATTTTGTTATTATATATTTATTTACTAATACTAAAAATTGAGAAATATATGCATTCCCACGCATTAACCCTGCGGTGCTTGCGATTATTCGCATGAAAATTTAACAGCGCATACAACCCTGCTGTGACATGCGCTCACCACAAGAAGTGTCAATGCTAACTACATACACTCAAATTGGTACATTTGCGAAGTTAGTATCCCATTCTGATTGGATGCATTGTATTGATACACATTAGATATTTAAAACCTAAATATATATATATATATTTTTTTTTGTCAATTGACTGTGCTGTATTATTTGAAATTAATTTGCAACATATACATATGTATGTATGTACGTGCAATGATTTGTGATTTACAATAGATTGTGAAGAGGAGCAAAGAAAAAAAATTCCAATAAGTGTTATAGAGATTACCAACGAGTACACACCAAGTACATACATATATACACACATATAAGTATATACGAAACAACAAAAAAAAAAAAAGAAACGAAAAGAAACCAAAGAATTGGCAAAAATGTAAAGAAATACAAAGTCTTCTTTCATTTGTTGGAAGATTAACGTCGATGGTAGATTTTTTCCAATAGGTACGTTGTTGCTGTTCTTGTGTACGCATTCGCAATATAAACTATATTATATATATGTGTATAACTTTTCTTTTTTGTTCTTTTAATTTTTGTGTGTTTAATCGGGATTGTGAAGAAAAGTGAAAAGGCATTTAACAGTCAGTGAATTAACATACATACATTCGTACATACGTACCATATAGTGTGCACCTGTGACGGAAAGGGAAGAGCAGCAGCAGCAGCACCAGCAGCGGCAGCAGCGGCAACAGCAACAAACGCACAAACATGGCGGACTTGGAAGCTGTGCTGGCGGATGTCAGCTATCTGATGGCCATGGAGAAATCCAAGTGTACACCAGCAGCAAGAGCCAGTAAAAGGCTTGTTTTGCCTGATCCGAGGTATGTACATATGAATGTACAATAGTTGGTTACACACTCTTATATACATTTCGTTTATATATGAATGAATTGAAAGATGAATGTATTTGCATACATGTGTACATATATACATACATATGTGTGTTGTTAGTAACAAAAAAAGAAAAAAACGCCCAATTCTAAATGCAAAACATATACTATGTATCATGTACGTGTATGTATGTAAATTTACATGCATGTGTATGTGTGTATATGTGTGTGTGTGTGTTTAGTTAGCCACATCAAGATTTTTACACACAAAAAATGTGTAAGCGATTTTGCTGACTAACTAATCGAAAATTTCAATTGCATACACATTTATTCATTTCATTATAAGTACATATGTACATACATACTTACATATTAACATACAAATCTATATAAATATGCAGGTATGTACATACAAATGTATTGAGTATATTCAGGCTGTATCGCTATTTAGCAATTAAAGTACCTCCGATCACTCAGCGTTTGTTTTTTTCCTCCTTTTACATTGCGTACATACACTTGATTTTACGTTTATTTATTTTTTGTTTCGTACAAACATACAAACATACATACGTGCATTTGTAAACGGGTACATATCAATGTGTATTGTGTGGAAAAAATCAGCAAAAGAGATATGAAATTTGCACAGTAGTTGATAATCGACAACTTCAGAAGTTCAATGGTGTACAAATGAAAAAATCCATATATGTATGTATGTATGTACTCGTATATATGTATACTTCCACATGTCTGTATGTATGTATGTACGTATGAACTGCATCGTATAAACATATTTTTGTAAATATCTACATATAAACATAACTACATACACGTTATGTATGCAAATACATACGTCTATGGCAGATTGTGTTGCTGTTGTTGTTGTAGGTGGTCTCAATTTATGCGAGTAACAAGTTCATACAATATATAAACATTGTTGTTGCAGTTGCGTTTAGTGGCTGCTGCTGTCACTGCATTCATAACAAAAATATTTTCACTTCACCACTGATAATACACACAGATTACAAATGATTGGTTACATACAATATATATGTTTATATATATATACATATATATGTGACATATGTACCTATATGACATAGTATGTATATACATATGCAGGCTTACAGCTGTTCGTACTTTGTAGTTCAAAGTTTACAAAGTACTTACCGCGGTATATATATATATATATGTGTATGTTTATTAAATATATCTATTTCTGTTAAAATATATAAATATCTGTATTTACAAAATATAAAATAAACAATCTAATATGTTGACCAAATTTAACAAATTAAATTAAAACATTGTAAAATACCTTATGATTGTGCGTTTGAATAAAAAAAAGATTGCAGTTGCAAACACTTGCATATATATACATATATAAATCGAGTTTTTAAGAAATTTTTTATTTTCTTATTTTTTTATCTTTATTTTACTTTCCTTTATATTATTTTATTTTAATTGATTTTCTTTTATTTGAGTTTCTTTTTATTTTATTATCTAATTATTTATATTTATTAATTTAAAAATATCAATTTTTTTACTGTTTTATTTTATTTAATTTTAATTTATTTTCTTTTATTTGAGTTTCTATTTATTTTATTATGTAATTATTAATATTTATTAATTTAAAAATATAAATTTTTTATTGTGTTATTTTATTTAATTTTCATTGATTTTCTTTTATTTGAGTTTCTATTTATTTTATTATCTAATTATTAATATTTATTAATTTAAAAATATCAATTTTTTATTGTTTTATTTAATTTAATTTTAATTGATTTTCTTTTATTTGGGTTTCTATTTATTTTATTATCTAATTATTTATATTTATTAATTTAAAAATATCAATTTTTTATTGTTTTATTTGACTTAATTTTTTAATTTAGTTATTTTATTTTACTTTGTTTTAATTTAATTTAATAAATTCTTTGTTTTGTCCTATTTTATCTTTTTATTTTTATTTATTTTTCAAGTTTTTAATTTTAATTCATTTTTTTTATTTTTTTTTTAATTTTATTTAAATGTATTTTTTTTAATTTATTTCATTTTATTTTATGTTATTTTTCATTTTACTTTCTATATTATTTTAATTTATTATAATTTTTGATTTTATTTCGTTTTATTTTATATTATTGTATTTTATTTCATTTTTTTTATTTTATTTTACTGTTTTATATTTTAATTAATTGTACTTTTTATTTTAATAATTTTTTTTTTAAATTAATTAATTAATTTTGGATGATGGGTTGAATTGATGAGTTTTCGTCTTTCTCTAAAGAGTTGATTTTTCACGGTTTACTCAGGATTTTTGTCTGTCAGTCCAATTAGCTTGGATACCAAGTTTTCCCTCTACAAATTTTATTTTACTTCTTATTTAATTTATTGTAATTAACGTATTTTAATTTAACATAATTTTTGTTTCACTTTCATTTTCTCTTTCATTATTTTTATATTTTTTATTTTATTTAATTTCTGGGTTAATTTATTTCAATTTGCTGCTATTTACCAATTGAAAATCAAAAAAAATCATATTTTACCGCAAAAACAGTTCAATATTTATATCATTATTGGGGTTGAGATGGATCAACACACAAGCAAACGTAACTCTATTAGATAAGTTCAGATGCACTTTTGTGGCTTATCTATAATTGTAGCTATTTTCGGTGTTTGCAGAATTATTTCTGTGCATTCGCAAATAGGGTGCGATTTTAGGTAGTATACGTAGAAACAAGCATGCAGATAAATATTTCATATATGTATGATATGTAAATACATATATGCAACTATAATTCCCAATAGCAGTGTTACTGTGTATATGTAATTTGCAGTGAAAGAGCAAGGCTTTTAGAAAAGATACTAGTTACTGGACCGAACAATACCAAGCTAGTACTACCAGTCCTTAAACTATTGATTAGCATCTGAACTAAAGTTCTGCTTAGTTTTTTTTGCACAGATATCAATATGAGTCAGTAAGGTACTTAAATTCTTGTGTCCCTAAAAGTATTTATAAAAATACTGAAATTTTAATTTAATAACTAAAAACAAAATTTAACGAAATTTTGAGTGGAGAAAAAAGTTGAAATGATATGATGATATATGTATATTGTATATTTACAAACTTATATTATGGCAGTTACTTTCGAAAATCACTAATTTTAATACCAAAACTTAACTAGTATTTTTTGGCCCATTTTTAACTGCTATAGGAATATTATATATGTATTGAACAAAAATCTGACTACTCGAAGAACATAACCATGATTTTTTTGAAAAAGAATACAAATTTCATGATAGAAAACATCTAGAACTTCTTCTGGAACATCTTTTTTTAAGTAGGATGCTTAAGCCATACTTTTATACATATGAATATGTATTAATATATAATTATTTATTCACAAATATGTCATTCTATGTATGTACATTATTTAAGCCTACTATGTGTGATTGATGGTTTTATACAATTTCTGAATTTTTTCTTTAAATAGCGTCCGGAGTGTGATGTATAAATATTTGGAAAAGGAGAACGAATTGAATTTCCATAAAATATTCAATCAAATTTTAGGTATTTATATATAACTTCATTTTGTTATTGTTAAATTTTGTGTGTAAAAATAATTTTTTATTAATTTCAGGTTATTTGCTCTTCAAAGATTTTTGTGAAAATGATTCCGAGGAACCCATACAGCAGCTAAAATTTTACGAACAGGTAATATGAACTTAAATATATATTACTTATTTGACGGTAGTAAGAAATTTGAGTGAGTAGTGTGAAAGAGAAAACAATTTTGCGTTACTCTGTTTTTTCAAGAAATGCCGAAAAGTATGCAACTTCTTTTTATGTGTTCAGTCATTCATTAGTCACGGTTGAAATACTTAACAGAGTTATAAAAATATATCATATATAGTATAGCAATAGTAATCACAAAATTAAAAAATATTATATAATATATATGCATATTTATTTAAATTAGGAATTAAATCAATTATTTTTTCTACAGATAAAAAATTTCGAAAAAACCGAAAGCTATGAAGAGCGGAAAGAATTAGCACGAGAAATATATGACAATTTTATTATGGAGGAAATGCTCTCTCACACATACGTAAGTATTGAGTTTTATATATATTTTTTTTAACTCAAATTTCTTTTAAACCATACAAAATGTTGTGACTTTACCATAGGAATATTCCAAAGAAGCTGTAGCCAGTGTACAGAAGTATCTATTGAAAAATGAAGTACCAGTAAATTTATTTGAGGTAAGCAAATACTTGAAAATAATAATTATAAAAAAAATAAATTTTTAATAAATATTTGTAATTATTATAATTATTTTATTTTTCTGTACAGCCTTATATTGAGGAGATTTTTAACCACCTAAAGGGCAAACCATTTAAAAAGTTCTTAGAGAGGTTCGTACAACATTTTTAATCAAATTTTTATCATAGTAATTTTTCTAAATTTTAATAATACTTACAGTGACAAATTTACACGCTTTTGTCAATGGAAGAACTTGGAGCTTAATATACAGGTGATTGATTACTCTATCTCTTTCAACCATCTTCTATTGCTTATACCCTTTTTTCTATAAAAAATAAAGAACTAAATTATTTCAAATACTCCACAGTTGACCATGAACGACTTCAGTGTTCACCGTATTATCGGTCGCGGTGGCTTTGGCGAAGTTTATGGCTGTCGAAAAGCTGACACTGGCAAAATGTATGCCATGAAATGTTTGGACAAAAAACGCATCAAAATGAAACAAGGTGAAATGTTAGCGCTAAACGAACGAACAATGTTGCAGGCAGTGAGCACAGGGGTAAGTGAAGAAAGTGAAATTAACATAAAATAAGATAAAACACTAAAATTAAATAAGATGAAGGAAATTAAAATAAAACAAAAAAATAATATAAAATTAAATTAAGTAAAATAAAATAAGGTATAATAAAATAAAAAAAAACTAAAAAAGAATAAACTAAAAAATAATAAAATAAAAAAAAAATAATAAAATAAAAAAAAAATAATAAAATAAAAAAAAATAATAAAATAAAAAAATAATACAATAAAAAAAATAATAAAATAAAAAAAATAATAAAATAAAAAAAAATAATAAAATAAAAAAAATAATAAAATAAAAAAATATAATAAAATAAAAAAATATAATAAAATACAAAAAAAAATAATAAAAAAATAATAAAATAAAAAATAATAATAAAATAAAATAAAAAACCTAAAAAAAAAATAAAATAAAACAAAATAAAATGCACTATAATAAAATGAAATGAAAAATATTAAATATTATATAAAGAAACTTAATAAAAAAAAGTAAAGCAAAATAAAATGAAATAAAATAAGAGAACAGAAATATAATAAAACTACCATTTGACATAAATAAACAAATAAAATAAAATGTTATTAAGAAGAAAAAGAAAGTTATATAAATTCGAATTAATGAAATTAACAAAAAGTAAAACATATTAATATGTTTAATTTATTTTTATTTATTTATCTATTTATGTTATCTTTGTTTTATACTCTATACGTTATAATTTTATTATTATTATTTTTAATTTTTTCATACAGATGGATTGTCCATTCATTGTTTGCATGACCTATGCATTTCATACACCTGACAAGTTGTGTTTCATACTTGATCTAATGAATGGCGGCGATTTACATTATCATCTATCACAACATGGTGTCTTCAATGAGGATGAAATGAAGTTCTATGCCGCTGAGGTAAAAGGAATATAACTATTATCTATTTTCATATATGTATTTATTAAAAATTTTCTCTCTCTTTTTAGGTAATTTTGGGCTTGGAGCACATGCACAAACGCTTTATAGTCTATCGTGACTTAAAACCAGCTAATATTTTACTCGATGAAAATGGGCATATACGTATATCCGATCTGGGTTTGGCATGTGATTTTTCACGTAAGAAACCACACGCTTCAGTTGGCACACATGGCTATATGGCGCCAGAAGTGCTATCGAAAGGCACTGCCTACGACTCATGTGCCGATTGGTTCAGCTTCGGTTGTATGCTATACAAATTGCTTAAGGGTCACTCACCGTTCAGACAGCATAAAACAAAGGATAAACACGAAATCGATCGCATGACATTGACTATGGTGGGTTGATGGTTGGGTGCATTGTTTGAGTGAGATTTTTAAAGTTTTTCAATTTTTTTTTTATATTTCTATTTTACAGAATGTTGAGTTACCCGATTGTTTTACGCCCGAATTAAGAAGTCTTTTGGATTCATTGTTACAGAGAGAGGTTGAAAAGCGACTGGGTTGCATGGGTAATGGGTGAGTAGAAGCTTTTGCTATGAGGTTGTGGAGTATTATAAAAAACTGTTGTTATTTCGATTTATAGTGCTGACGAAGTGAAAATGCATCCATTCTTCTCGGGTATCGATTGGCACCAAGTTTATGTTCAAAAATATACACCACCATTAATACCACCGCGTGGCGAAGTTAACGCCGCTGATGCATTTGATATTGGTTCATTCGATGAGGAGGATACGAAAGGCATTAAACTAACAGATAGCGATCAAGAGCTATATAAATTCTTTCCATTAACAATTTCCGAGAGGTAATTGAAAATAAGGCACGATAATATTTTATTAAAAATTATATTACTAAACATTTGCTCTTTTGCAGGTGGCAACAGGAAATTGCCGAAACAGTATTTGAAAGCGTCAATATTGAAACTGATAAAATCGAGCAAAAGAAAAAAGCCAAACAAAAGCAGCATTTCGATGCTGACGAAAAAGAGTCTGATTGCATTTTACATGGCTACATAAAAAAATTGGGCGGCTCATTTGCATCACTCTGGCAAACTAAATATGCCAAACTTTATCCAAATCGGTAGGCTAATTTATTTTTATTTTTTATTTTTATTTTTAATTTTTAATTTTATTTTTGAAGTGAAGCTTCTTTATGCTTAGTTGGTTGAAAAAGAAAAATATTTTTGTAAGTATGTTTGAAAGTTTGAAAGGAAAAAGCTTTTCAAGGAATTTTCGTTGCTTTTAAAACATTTTTAGAAGAAATAAATTTATTTTTATTAAAACTTAACAGTTTTTAAATTAAACGGAAGAGAAAATTAGTAAATAATATTCTGAAAGGTTTCTATTAAACGTTGACCTTATTTAAAACGGAAATGAAAAAATTAATAAATTTCCAAAACTTCTGTTTTTTGAGTTGAATTCAACATATGAGCGACAAAGGAGCTTCACTTCTCTCCGGCGTAGTTTTGCGCCTCAACAGGAATAAATATTAATTAATTTTTTTATACTATACACCAACAAAATAGATTAGAGATGCACTCGGAGAGTGGCAGCAATAAGCCGGAGCTTATATTTATGGACCAAATCGAAGATATATCCTCCGATTTTATACACTACAAAGGTGAACAGTGCATACAAATTCGTGTCAACGATGGATCTCGTGATGGACGAATAGTTCTTACAAACTCAGTACGTATATACGCATAAATAATAAAAAAGAAAAATGAAAAAATTTAACAAAAAAATAATTAAAACTAAAATAAATAAAAAGAAAATTGAAAATATTAATAAAAAGAAATTAAATTAGATTAAATAAAATAAAATAAAATAAAAATATATATAAGAGTAAAATTAAGTAAAAATTAATAAGATAAAATAAAATGAGCAAAAATAAAATTATAGTGAAATAATATTAAAATAAATAGAATTAAATGAAAAAAAATTAAAAGCAAAATGGAAATTCATAAAATATAAGATAAAAAAATAAGTTAAATTAAATTAAACAGAAAGAATGCAAAATATAACAAATTAAGCGTCAATAAGATAAAACAAAAATATAGTGACCTACATATGTAAATGAAATAATATAAAAATATTAAAAAAATCAACTTAAATTAAAATAAAATTAAATGATGTAAAAATTGAAAAAAAAAATTAAATAAAACAAAGTAATAATTAAAAAAATAAATAAAATCAAATCTAAAACAAAAAAAAAAATAATGTAAAATTTAAATAAAACAAACAAAAAATAATACAGACAAAACATATAAAAAATAAAATATTGTAAAGTGAAGTAAATTTTCTAAAATAAATAAAGTAAATAATAAAATTACATAAAATTCAATGGAAAAATTTATACAAAAATATGTAATAATTATATATGAAAGCAGATAAATAAAATAAAATAAAAGGGAGTGGCTATTCGCACACTAAGTGCACAATATGTGTACTCTAAGTGTATGTGTTGTGTACAAAGTGTACGAGAAGTGTTCAAAGAGTACGAGAAGTGCGGGATAAGTACACAATAAGTGTATGAGAAATGCGTAGGGTGGCCTCTTTGGTAAAATAAAAAGAGAAATTTAGAGCGGTGATTTTTTGCGGCTGCCGCAAACACCAGAATCGCTCTCTTTCGGTTTGTCCCTTCCCTTGGCTAACGAAAAGAGAAAGATATAGGGATAATTTGAACATATGAAATTTCCACTTAAAGTGGCCATAATTTATTGAAAATAATAGAGAATCTATATTTTATTGTGCTACAATTGAGCTTTTTTCGATCCTCTAGGGCGACCTCGTCCTCGTTTTTGACATGGTGTTTTAACAGTTTGTATTTCTGAAAAAATATAAGTAAAATTAATAGATGTTTTCATGAATATTTATGTATGTATGTGAATTTTACCTGAAAAATCTTCTATTATGCTGATTGAATTTTCTTGGTCTATCGGTTGCTCAAAGTGAACTGAGTAGTTGCCAGCTTCTANTATGGCAGCTTTAGATTTTATTAATCTCAATAAATGTGTCCTAACGACATTGAACATTAGCACAGAAAATATAGATTCTCTTTGATGTTAAAAGAAGAAAACGATATATCATTGTTGACAATATGTCCAAATAATACATCGTATGTGTTCTCGCTCGCAATATAACATCGTAAATAAAAAATGATATAACATAACTAGCTGCATTTGGTTTTTTAACTTTTTGACAATAGGAGTTCAAAATCATGACTATATCTTTCTCTTTTCGTTAACCAAGGGAAGGGACAAACCGAAAGAGAGCGATTCTGGTGTTTGCGGCAGCCGCAAAAAATCTTCGCTCTAATTTTCTCTTTTTATTTAAACAAAGAGGCCACCCTACGCATTTCTCTTACACTTATTATGTACTTATCCCGCACTTCTCGTACTTTTTGAACACTTCTCGTACACTTTGTACACATCACGTACACTTAGAGTACACATATTGCGCACTTAGTGTGCGAATAGCCACTTCCAAAATAAAATAAATTGAATTAAAATAATCAGAATGAATAAAATTAAATAAATAAAAGAATATAAAAACAAACTAAAATAGAAAAAATAAAAATTAAATCAGTTAAAGAATAGAAATAACAAAATAATAAATTCAAACACATAGAGCAAAACTAAAATTTTGAATAAAAGTAAATTAACCCAGCTCGTCCGTAGCGTTGTGTGCTGCCATTCTGTATGTTAGGGTTCCAGTACGGGTTCGACCAACATCCAAAATGAAAGGAAGTTCATTTTTCTAACTGCGGTCGGATCTCGGCAGGGAATGTCAAGACTTCCAAGGGTATTTCTGAAGTTAAATAAAAGTTTGTCATGAGAGTTCATCGGTCATCGGAGGATGCTAAGATTAAACTGTAGACGTCTCAATTTGTTGAAAAAAGCCACCTCAAGATGCACCCCACAAAATTTAAATAAATCAAATTGAAATAAAATGAAATTAAATCAAAATCAAATGACAAAATTAAAAAAGAAAATTAAGTAAAATAAAAGTTTAAAAAATAAAGATATATTACACAAAATGAGCTTGAATTGAAATAAATTTAGAAAAAATATATTATAAATATATATAAACAAAATAAAAGAATAAAATGAAATAAAATTAAAAAAAAAAACTTTTAAATTAAACGAATCCTTTTTATAAATAATTTCTTACTTATATAATTAACAAAAAAATATTTTCTCTCTTACTCTCTAGGATGAAATCGGCTTAAAGGAATGGGCTTTCTCACTACGATCAGCACATAAAAAGTCACAAGAACTTTTAGGCTCTATGGCACGAAAAGCAGGGAAAATTTACGGCAGCGAACGTGACGCAAATAAATCTTTGTATATATTAACGGGTAGCAGTCCAGTCTCCAAAGTTTCCAATGGTTCCAACTAGCAAATATACAAGGGACACACACAGGTAGTAGAGTATGGACAATGGCAGGAAAATATACAAATGTTAGAGCAGCAGAAAAATATGCAGACGCAGCAGCAGCAACAGCAGCAGCAGCAGAAGCATGAAGAGAAGCAGCAGCAAATGAAGAATAAGCACAAGCACCAACTAAAGCTCCAATTTATATTTGAGTTTGTTAAGCAAACGTTTTTTTATTACAATGTGTAACATTTTCTAGAATATTTTTGTTTTTCGAATTTCATGATTGGTTTGATATAACTGTTTTTTATTTTTAATTTTTTTTTAATATAAAACTACTGTTAATCGGGAGTAAAATAAAATAGAATGTACTAAAAACCTAACAAAACAAGAACATACATACATACATGCATACAGTAGTACATACATATATTACTGATTGTAGTGTGGAAAATAAGGAAAAAGCTGACAGTAGTCATATACTCGTACATATGTACATACATACATACACAGATACATATGTGTATGCAGATACTCTGCAACTGCGTGGTGAAAAGCAGCTTTAAATGGCAACAATGCAAGCGCGTTAAAGAAACAAAAAGGATTCCACATGTGCATGCTATACAAGTGCATAAAATACAACGGGCATATCAACAACAATAAAAAATGTTTAATTAAATCGCCGCGCATTCCTTGTGTCGTCACACACGTACTAAACACATATACAAACATACTTACACATGAATGTGGTCCCAAAGTTGGTTTTTCGCCGAAAAAAAATGCAAAAATTGCAAAGAACAGTACGAAGTACGAATATGCATTTGACTAAAAAAGTATAAAAATAAATAAATATGCAAAATAACATACAACAAAAAAAAAAATAAAGAAATGTAATCAAATATTAGAACAATCAATGTGGTAATTTGACCGCCGGTCGTGTAGTTATAGTTGTACCACCATTTAGGCAGATTTATATATCTGCGCACATACATACTTACATACATACATACTCGTACATGCATACAACTGTTTATCCTACTACAGAATACTGTTAATTATTCTGTGATCCTACCTACTATATAATAGTATACCCAACTGTCTGCTAACAGACTACGTTAAAACATACATACATATAAATATACAATATATATATACTTATATACACGATTAAACAGTGTATGTAGGTGTAATTGGGCTTTTAGCAGCCGTTTAATGTGCAATTGCAATGTTATTCGAAATCACGCCTAACATAGAAGTAGTAGTTGATAAATCCATACATACATACATACTTACATACATACATACATTACAGAAACATACTTACATACATGCATACATTACCAGTATACATAGTTGTATACGTGCATATGCGTACATACATATGTATGTAAACTTAATCATAATTTTGCTGTAAATCGTACATTTGTGTTTTAAGTTGTTGTTATTTTTATTGTAATTTGTGTAATTATTTGTTAACTAAATGAAATTCTGCAAAGAAGAATATTTGCAACTGTTTTTTTTTTATTCTTTTTGTCATGAGTCATTTATTAGCTTATTGTTAAAGCGGAAGGTATGTTTGTCGTGAGTGAGGTGATTAAGAACTAGTAGCTCCATCGAGAAGTCGGCTCATTATACCGGAAAGACACTTATTTTTGTGCGACCAAGGATTGTCACTCCCGCAAAAATGACTTAAAAACCCTATTAGGAGCATGCCTGTTCGTAACGAGCGTAGCTTGGGCTTTATGACGACGTACGGTCCCTTTAAGGCAGTGTAGGTATTATTCTCCTTTATACTATATGCCTGCCAAGACGCCACTAGTTACTATCAACGCTAGAGGCTCGAGTTCAAACATACCAGGTAAGTGTGGTAACCTCTCTTTTTTTTCAACTCAAAGCTCCCTACAGATAGAGTTTTTTCTATCCTATATGTTGACGACTGCTTAATCCTTGCGCGTAGCCAGGATATTGTTGACTTTATTTCGAAGGTTAATGGCTACCCCTCCGAACTTCTTCATTTTTTCTGCTATTAAACTGGCACTTTTTCGCATGAAGTCCACGGCTATTCTTTTACCTTTACCAGCAGGACCTAGACAAGACATGTGTATCGAAAAATAATCACCTGAAATCGTTAAGCGACGACAAATAGTGCAACATATAAGCCAATCGGCAGGCTGGTGATTAATTGCGCTCCATTCATGCAGACGTCGGACGTCAGCCCATATTGTAACAGCCTGAAGACCCTAAGAGAAGACTTCTTTACACTCTCACAACTTATGATTCCCAGTTCGTGAGCAGGCAGGACGTACAATATATTATCTGCAGCGATACCTAAAAGAACCACCATAACGGGAAAACATACTTGATTATCTCAACTCAGTACAATAATACGTTCCAGAACCGCTGTATGCGAATCATTGATAGGTATTACTTTTCGCCCCCGACTATGTATTATCTCCACGATAGGCCAGGAATGGTACCTCAGCAAAGAACGCTTCCTAGAAGCACAAGGTAAGTGAAAAAGGTGAATGAGCTGTAGTTGAATAGCAACGATGCCCATAACTTACTCAGCGTTTAAAAAATATTTTTATTTTTGTACAAAATTTATTTAAAAAAAAAAACATTATTTTTGAACTTTCTTGGAGTTTCTGGAGATATAAGTGAAGACAGGTCATTCTCCATATAACCTTTCCAACGGAGTTAAGGTTTTCTTTTTCCTCTGCCTTCCCCAGCGGTCAATGCTTCGAATATTTTCAAAGTTGGACAGCTCTCATCCTCATAGCTGCTGTCTTTACTGAACTACGTATACCAACCTCGTCGTATATCTCGTATAGCTCATCGTCTAGCGAACGCTGAGCTAACAACTCAGCTTGCGCTGTTGCAAGATCCTTCTGACTTGTGGTTAACAGTTGAAGGTCCGAGAAGTTTCTTTCTATCACAAGACAAAAGCTGTCAAACTGGGCTTGAGTTTTGGCCGGGCTTTGTCTGCTGGCAGCTCTCGCGATGAGACTTGAGGCTCTTCAGTATCCCCGCTGTTATAGTTGTGTGGAAGAAGAGTTGGAATCATCTATGCACTTTCCGAAATGAAAAATTTTCGGATTGAATACCTTCCCCAAAGCGAACGAGTTGACAGAAAATGACATCATTCGTTCGTCGGAAAAGTACCCTAGCGTTGAGGATAGTGTTACACTTTCCGGCATCACAACGGACGTGTCTTATGTGTCTGTATGGGTTCCTCTAAGGATCAGCCATTTCTATATAATCTAATATCGAAAAAATCTTTCTGTGTTTCCTGCGGTTTTCCTCCCAAATTTTTATGAAAGCCACTTCTTTCTAATTTTGTTTTAATTTTTATTATGGAACGAAATGTATGAAATTACAAATAAACATTTTATAATACAATAATAATAACACTGAATTTTATGTATATTTTTTCTAAATTCGATTTGTTTGCGAAAAATGTTGATAAAAATGAACGAGTATTTTTCTTTCGACGAGTATCTTCATAAAGGACCAAATGAAAACAAAAGAATGATACTAACACTATATACATACATACAAAAATACGAAAGGACACCATCGCGCCCGTGATTTTCATATTACTTAACCTAACCGAGATAATATTGTGGATATGGTGGAGGAAAGTAGCCGGGGAAACCGGGCGGTGTTGCTTGCACAGGAATGGATGTTGTGATGTAGCTGGTCGCACGTGTCGGCACAACTGCACTCGAGAAGATCGTTGTGTATGCCGTACGTGCGCCGAAAGTCAATTTAAGGACTTTGCTGTTCGTTTGAGTCGCTATCGTCTCATGTACAATACTGGAGGTGATCGTTTGGAATTGCTGCAAAGGCAGCAGGAACGGATTGATGGTAGGCGAAATGGGCGGGAATTGTGGCAAGGTGGGCTCTGGCGTGAATTGTGGTACGCTGGGGATGAGTAACGATGAGAATTGTTGTGAGCCATTTTGTAGCTTCCACAGTGCTATTCTTTGAATTTCCTCAGCGGTGAGATTCGACGATTTGCCAAAGAGATCAGCTATATCGGAGAGTTTGGCACGATATGGTTTCTCATCCTTTTCCTTCTCACCATTATCCTCATCACCAAACTCCAATTCCAAATTTATTTCGGAGCCCGCCTCATCGAGATTAGCGCCAAAATCGGTAAAACTTCTCAATGGCAGATCCGTTTCGAGTGGCGATAGTGTTTTCGTCACCGTTATAAGACTTGTTATGTCGTACGTTTGTGTGAGTGTAATATATGTGGTGTCATTGTTGACATCATAGACGATGGGCAAAACTTGTGTACGTAATTTCTTTACCGTTGTGCTGAATGAATCCACCACTGTTTCCAGACTTGGCGTCTCAGCATTGTCTGTTATGTGGAATGGTTTTAGCGTTGTGACTTGAGTATCGCGTAGGAAATTAACTTCCCGCGTTGATGGTGCTAAAATATTTTCGGTAAGTGGTCCATCCGGTATTTGTACTTCAGTTGGGTCCGGCGTTAAGGTCTTCTCTATCGTTGAGGTGACTGTGATGAAACGAGTCTTCTTCAAACCACCGACCTATAAGACACAAATATATATGTATATACATTTATTAAATGCTCTCAATTATTTTCTCAGAACACTAAACAAGTGATAGCATGATTGTCAATGGCAAATGTATAAAACCGAATAAATATTACGAACTGTATAGATTTTTGGGTCGGTGAGGTGTGCATTGAGAATGTATACTGCGAACACTGTATCTATGCTGTGGAAGTGAGTTGATCAATCCGAATCATTTGTGGTAAGTGTTAGAATAGGTTTCACATTTCCGAAAATTTTTCAGAAATTTTCACAACCAAATATCTACTGGATAGTCAACAAAAACCCGTCAGCAGGTGAGAAAAAGTGAGAACACAAATGCCTGGACCAATTCCACACCTTAGTTGTGGAGAGGATCGTATGATAAAAGGTTGACGTTACAGCTGTTCAAGAAGGGCAATGAATGGGACAAAGAGGAAAGCTGGTGAGTCATTGTGAGATTTACTATAGCAGTCCTATTAAGGAGTGGACATTTGGTGCTGCATTTGTAAAGTAAAAGACTCAAAGCAAACCTTCGTTATATAAACTATAATAATTACCTGAAAAGCGTATGGTGTCTTAATTGTAGCTAACTCATAGTAGGTATCCTTAAAATCTGCTGGTGTTGATATTTCCACATTCAAGGTCTCCACAAGGTGTTGGTAATTTCCTCCCTGATCGATGTTATTGACAACAGCACCATTTTGAGAGCCCGACGATTCCAAATCACCATTTTCCGATATTAAATTTAGACTGGGATTGCCACCGAAAGCGTCCAGTGACTTAGTGGTGTTACCCTCGGGATTCTTACGTATTGCCACTCTAGGTTTCGGTGTTGTTGTATACTGCCATCTGCCGGGCGTACGATTCAATTTGAACATATAAACTCCTGTTGATGTTGTTGATTCGACATTGGAGGGCCGAACTTTGGAACGGAAGGTCTTGCGTGTCGGTTCGGCTGAGGATGCCAAAATGATTGCGCTGCTTTTGTGCGCACCAGCAGATGAACGGTTATTTTTGCTTTTCCTGCAAGAGTTAAAGTGTAAATGTGAATACTATATACATTATCACCCATTCTTATACGACCTACCTTTTCGGTTTACTACGCGGTGAACTCTTTTTATGACTCTGACTTGTTTGTGACGATTCAACCACAGATTCGGTTATAGAAACTTGTTCCTGCTCATGTGCCCGATTGCCCTTGCCACTGTGTCTATTTGGACTGGAGAGGCGATTATTTTTCGGTTCCGGCGCCGGTGCTGGTTTGGGCAATGAAGGTGTTGTTGTCTTCAGTACACGTAATGGTGCTGTAGATCTTATTTTCGGCTTTTTGCCTTTGGGGCCACTCGGTGAGTGTGGTTTATTCTCCACCGCTTGACTCGGTTTCAATCTATTCGCTGTTGTTGGGGCTTCGTGCGCTGCAATCACTTCGGAGGTACGACGTTGATTATGTCTATTACGTGGTTTGTCTGATGCCTTGTTGTTTATAACCCGATATGTTTCTTCGGCATATTCGGCTGGTTGGCGTGAGAGCAAATCGTATTCAACATTATTTTCTATTTGTAGCGTAGGTTGCTCTTCGGCTTCTTCGATTGGCGCTTGAGCGGCGACAACAACCGAACTGCTTGTGGTTATTTTATTATTACTATTATTGTTGTTGTTGTTGTTGTTGTCGTTGGTGTTAGTGTCCTTTTGAGCCTCAACAATAGTAGGTTTGGAGTTCTTCTTCTCAACAGGTTTGTTTGTTGTTACCTTATCGGAGTTTGTAGATTTCGTTGGTTTAATACCGTCGTCTTCGGATGGTTTGGTGACGAAGGGTTTTGTTTCGATTATATTTGTTGGTATATCAATTTTCTCTGAAAGGAAAAAAGTTTTTAGAATATATGTGTAGATGTAAGATAGAAAAAACTAAAATGAGTTATCTGGAGCTCATTTGCCTTAGAGCTACTTCAAGCTCGCGCCCGTCGGCAGTTCGAGGAGAAGCTCGGTGGGCAGCGGCTCAGCAAATGCACATATTGATCAGATCATAGTTCTGTCTTTTAGGATGGATACCCAAGACAAGTGTACATTCACGTGAGTGTCTCTTGTGCGATCCAATTAGAGGCCAAGAAAATTGAAAAAGAGAGAGATTTTATGCAGCCAAAGTTATGGTGTCTTCAGACCAGAAAGTAGGAGGGAAGAGAAAAAAAGTAGGAGGGAAGAGAAAATGGTCTGTCATCTTAAGAAGAGTTGTAGGAGAGGAGGATACCATCTTGATCTATACCGTCCATAATAGACTGTGGAGAGGAGACTACTCTCTCCCCTTCCCTTTCTCTTCGTCTACCAAGCTCGATCTGTAATAAATAATTACGGGAGTAGTCAGGCGACATTGCTGACAAGTGTAGGAAGACTTTCGGCTAGCTGGTATGTCAATTCGCCTTACCCATAACCAGAGCGCTTCACATACAATATGAAAAATTAGATCAGAATGGATGGATAACAAGACAAGACTTTTTAAATAGGTCCAGAAGGAGTGTACATAGACTTAGAACCGCAATGCGGAGGTGAAGTTTCCTTGGATAGCATACATTGCCGTAGCTTTAAACCGTAAGGCAGCAAGGAACAAGTTCACCACTTTCTCTCTGAGTGTCCAGGTCTATCACAAACTCGACGTAGAACACTTGGATCCACCAGATATCAAATCATGAATGGATGTCCACAAAAAGACTAACAGATGAAGTAGTTTCCTTGAGAACATCAACTGGTTTTGAAGTAGCGATGAAACATGATTCCAAGCATATCAAGGCTATACCGCTAGCGCTCACTGAGCCTTAGGTTAAAATTTCACGGGAAGCACTCCTGTCTACCAAATGCTGAAACTCATGGGAAGAACTACATTGTAAGATGTACCAAGTACATAAACACCGTATAAATACTGCAGAGTATTTTCATTAATTTGGCGAGAAAACAATTAACTTAGACTGGAGATGGAAATTTTATTCCACCTGATTTTTTTTTATTTATTTAAGTGTATTTGCTATACATACCAATTGGTGGGGCGCTTTGTGGTGAAAATACCATAACTGTATTGCCAATTGTTGTTGTAAAATCCAAAAACCCATAAACAGTCTGCGTAATGTAGGAGGCATCGCCACTATCCGAAAGGATGGGATTAACTGCAAGAAGAAGGAAAATATTTTTTTTTATAAATAAAAGAAAGTTTATCATACTCGTATACATTTATGTATAATAGATATATATCTGTACATATTTTTATATGTAAAAATTTTTCATTTTTAGCCGGTTTTCTTTGAACTACTTTGACCTTTTAAACGTATATTTATGTAAATGAACTCAATAAATAATGTGTTTGCTTTTTTATTGATAAATATTTAAATAAATACATTTTTGTTTAATTTTATTAAGTATGCATAGTTTGACCTCTTTTGTGTGAGCAATTAGCATATGATAAAATAAACTAGATTTTTCTATTTAAAAGGGTCAACATTGAAGCTTTAAAATGCAATTAGTTTGATGGCAATAACGATTAACCGTCTAATTTATTTAATTTTTATTTTATTTCAATTTATTTTATTTTATTTTACTTGGTTTTATTTTAATTTTATTTATTTTATTTTACTTTACTTCATTTTTATTTATTTTCATTCAATTGAATAATTTTTATTTTATGTTTTTTTCAATTTATTTATTTTGTTTTAGATTTTTATTGTTTACTTACTTTTTATTTAGGGTTATTTTATTTTATTCTTATTTATTTTATTATTTATCACTTTATTTTTTACTCTAATTTTATTTCATTTCATTTTAATTTCCTTTATTTTAATTTTATTATTAATTTTATTTTATTATTTAATTTTATTTAATTTCAATTTAATTTATTTTATTTTAATTTTATTTAGTTTATTTTACTTTATTTCATTTTTATTTATTTTCATTCAATTGAATAATTTTTATTTTATGTTTTTTTCAATTTATTTATTTTGTTTTAGATTTTTATTGTTTACTTACTTTTTATTTAGGGTTATTTTATTTTATTCTTATTTATTTTATTATTTATCACTTTATTTTTTACTCTAATTTTATTTCATTTCATTTTAATTTCCTTTATTTTAATTTTATTATTAATTTTATTTTATTATTTAATTTTATTTAATTTCAATTTAATTTATTTTATTTTAATTTTATTTAGTTTATTTTACTTTATTTCATTTTTATTTATTTTCATTCAATTTAATAATTTTTATTTAATTTTTTTTTCAATTTATTTATTTTGTTTTAGAGTTTTTTTGTTTACTTACTTTTTATTTTATTTTATTTTTTATTCTTTTTTATTATATTATTTATCACTTTATTTTTTACTCTAATTTTATTTCATTTCATTTTAATTTACTTTTTATTATTAATGTACTTTATTTTTATTTAATTTATTGTATTTTGTTTTACTTTACTTTGTTTATGCTTTTTCTATTTATTATTATAATTTTTTATCCGATTCTGTGCTGCCAATGCTGTGGTCAGCCGGTATTATTTTAAGCCAAACAATAGTGCAGAATTTTATTTTAGATGTCTGTCTTCGTGACTATATTTTTAACAAATAATTTTACTATAATTTTAAAATCATAAATTGAATATTCATTGGAGAAAAACTTACCATTCAAAATAAAAGCAATCAAAAAATATCGATAGTCCATGCTTGCACCTTTTCTACAGACACAGTTTTAAATATAAAATAACGAATTTGCTGAAATATAAAAAAAAATGGCAATTAGTATTTAAGAGATTTCTAAAATATCATCACTAATTATTGTTAAAATAATATTTATTTTTTAGAATTTGTTTATTATATTAATTTCTATATCTATAATAGTTTAGGAAAATCACAGTGTAGATAGTTGTGAGGTGAGGATAATATATTTCTGAATCTGAATCAGAGTCAGATATAATTACCCCGGCCTTTCGATTTAGGTTATTCCTCCTATTTCAGTGAGAACCAAGTATTAAGTTGAAAATGTTTTGGTCTAGGATTGGTTCTCTAGAAAAAAATTGGTTTTACTAATCGAAAAAAGAGAATAGTGAAGGGAATAATACACAGACCATCTTGCCATATGCTAAGAAGGGAATGCCGATGAAGTCGTGGTTTCAGCTTTAGAAATACGCTGCTGAACATACGAGTACCTCTCCAAAACCTGTTTATACATAAAAGCGGTATAGAGGTCTGAGAGGATACTCTATATCTTATAAAATCCCTGGATAGCTTTACCAAACAAAGTCCACACTTTTCAAGTCAGTTGAGTCCAAAATCTATTTGTGGTATTTTAGTTCAAATAAAAAAGATGAGATTTTACCGGAACATAAACATTAATTTGAATTGGGAAAATACAACGCTTTGCCCATTCAGACTACCGTTAATGAATGTATATGTATGTATCTTCAATTTTTTTCCCCCAGTTCCAGTTCAGAAAAAATTAAGGAAATGCTTTTACCTGAAATGCCAGTAATATCTTTCATCCTCATTGAGAGCCTACAAATATACTCACATACACAATCATTTTCAGCCAAAAACTAAAAACAAAAAAAAAATCAACTTTATTAGTTTACAGGTTTTCATACCACACTTTATGGTACAGTTATAATTTGATGAACGCTAATTGCGCTTCACGAGCCGCTGTGGCTATTGAACTCGACTTATCCTTCGCACATGCGGCCAAAATAGTAAAACTTGATTAAAGTAATGAAAGAAGCAGGTGAGACTATAAAAAAGCTATTATTTCAAAATAAAATAGTTTTAGGTGATGTGTTGAATTTTAAAAACATTTAGAAATAGTTTAAAAAAAAAACATAATGCAACATAGAAGAAAACTATATAAAATTCAATTGAATAAAATAGAAAGACCAAAGTAAAGTGAATTAAAAAATAAATAATAAAATAAAAAATGAAGTAAATTTAAATATAAAAAATTTAATTAAATAAATAAAATACAATATTAAAATAAAATAAATAAATTAAGTAAAATCAAATAAATCATTTACAAGAAAATAAAAATGAAATGAAATAAATATAAATAAAAATTGAAATAGATTATAACAATATAAAGCAAAATAGAAGAAAAATGAATTAAATTAAAGTGCAATAAAATATTTACAACAGTATAAAACTAAATTAATTTAAATAAACAATAATTCTTAAGTTAATAATATAAAATAATGTAGATATAATAATATGAAATTATATAAACGGAACGAAAAATAGATATAAAATAAAATATCAAACTAAATTATGCCGCTTTTAAGGGGCACACCTAGTGTGAAATTTCAAAAAAATCGATCTTTTTTCATTATTCGTTAGATTACACCTTTAAAAATAACATATTGAAATTCAAATCGATATCTCAAATAGTTTTTGAGTTATAGCAATTTAAAGAGCAGCTGCTCGGCAGCTAGAGAGTCTCATTAGCTACGAGTAAAAACGAACATTTTATCTTTAAGCGCGTTTTTCTAGAAACAGCATTTTCCGAATTTGCTGCAGTGATTACTCAAAAACAAATGATTCGATCACTAACGACCAAAATTTTGGGTAAAATTCGACTATTTGTCAATTTTTTATTTTTTTTTATCGTAGGCCATTGTACAGACAATAATATCTAGTAGAGAATTTTTTTTAGATTTCCACCACGGAGCCGGTGAATGACCTTTTTTTCGCGCCGTTGAAGATCGTCTATAACTTAAAAAATATTTCATTTTTTTCTTTAAAAATTTCACTGTATATTCTTGAAACATGTATAAATATATTCTTAAAATTATGAAATAATTGATAAAGTATTTTTTTAATAAAAACTCCCAAAAATTACATTTTTTAGGCCATTACACTAGGTGTGCCCCTTGAATAAATAAATAAAAAAGTAATAGAAATAAAATAGAATAAAATATATTAACATAAAAAAAAATTATTTAATTAAAAAAAAAAAACAAAAAAGAAAACAAAATAAAATATTAATGTTACATTAAGTAATATTAAATGAAATCAACTATAATTAAGGAAAAATTAAAAAGGATTAAAATAAAATTATGCATAGTAATAAATTACTCGTAAATTAAAATATGATAGAACAAAAAAAAAATTGAAAATTTAAATGAAAATAAATTATATTACGTTCAAATAAAAATAAAATATAATGAAGTAAAATAGAATAAACTTAAATTATGTTAATTAAAATAGAATGAATTTAAAATTAACTAAAAAATAAAATATTAAAAAAATTAAAATAAAATTGATTAAATCTAACTAAATGAAACAAAAAAAGTTAGCAATAAATTACAAAGAGTGAACAAGAATACAGTAAAAAAATAAAAAGAAATTTATAAAACGAAAAAAAATAAAATGAAAAAAAATTAAATAAAATGAAAAAAAAATTAAACAAAATAATTAAACAAAAAAATCAATAAAAAATAAAATTATACTAAAATAAGAAAAATACAATAATGCCAAAATATCCATCAACAAAAAATTAATTTAAAATTTTATTTTTGAAAGCATACTGTTATAAGGTTATCGCACAATTCCTACCATTTATTATACAAGTATTTAAATTTTTTACTTCTTTTATTTTTTATTTTTAATTAACTGCCTGTTCACTTGATTTATTTCACCCGCATAACACTACACAACAAGTACACTCCTCGCATATTTTTTTTTTTTTTTTTTTGTTAAAGAAAAAACCAGTCAGTCACTTTGAGTTAGTCAACAAGAGTCTCATTGAGTAAAACTCTCACGCATGCGCATAATAAAAATGCTGTAATTATTGCATACGTCGAGCAAAAGTTTATTACCGTAGGCAATGAGAACGTGTACTTATAGACCAGACCACTTGATAGCTGCTTAAAAAATGCTTAAAAAAATCAATTTGCTTGCTTGTGTGTAAATGTATGTGTGGGTAAGTATTCATGTTCGTCTATTTATTTGTACATGAATGTTATCTAAAAGATTTGGTAATTTTTTAGAGACAAAAGAAATGACCAAATCGAGCTACAGCGACAGACAGCAGAGCTTCCGAACATGCGCAATCACAAAAAGAACTATGTCTTGTGCACATATATTTATTACTCTCGTGCTGTTGCTGTTGTTGTTGTTTTTTTTTTTTTTTTTGGGTGGAATGACTGAATTAAATCTGCATGCATATGCTCATACATATGTATAGTATATACATATGAGTTAATTTATCTAATATATGTAAATACGTTCATTTATACATATGTATGCATATGTAAATATGTCTATTGTTTAACTTGTGAGTTTGGCGAAAAAAAAAATGAGAAATGAAAACAAAAGGCAAAGAATACGTAACAAAAATTCGAGAAAAAAAGTAATTTAAAAACATAAACAAAACTAACAACAACATCAAGAAAGTAAAAGCGATCATGGTGAACAACATTCGAGCTAAATATACTTACATATGTACATATGTGCATATTTAGATATTTATAGCAATGAATATGGTAATATGTGTTTAGTAGATTCGATGCAGTCGTTTAAGAAAAATATCAAAAAAAAAGAAATAACAGCAACAACAAAGCGCCCAACATAATAGCTACAAGGCAAGCTTTTAGCGGCTGCTGCTGCGGTTGCGGCTCGTTTTATAAATTGACTCGACAAGCATTGTAGTTGTATGTAAGTATGTGTGTATGTACTATTTCTTATGCTGGCATATATATATATATATATATATATGTACATAGTACATACAAAAGTAACTAACATTCACTTTTTGTTATATATTATGGAAAAGCGGTAGCAATTCAAATTGGCACAAACAAGTAAACAAGCGACCACTTTTTTTATTTACACGTAAAATAACAAACATACATACATAAAAGGTGTTGCAGATATATCTACCACAAAGTTATGCACATTTATGTGTATGTACATATGTATATACATTGTAGCTTTAATAACCAGCTGTGAAAAAATCACAGGCTTTCACGCAAGCGCGTTAGGATACCCGCAATTGCATAGTTGGGAGCCCAGCCCACCACAGAGCCAAAGCTTAAGCTTGGACTTACAACTGGAAGTTGACTGTGCGTTTGCATTTGTGCCACTTTCACGACCTACATACAATTTTTTTGGTAGTAAATTCTTGTTATTTATACGTTTTTTCGATTTTCGCTAAAATTATAAACTAAGAATGAGAGATAATTCTTTGGTAATGAAATAAAATGTATTCTCTTTATATAATTTTTTATTAACATTGTTTTTAAAATTTTTTTGTTATTTTTTTATACTTTCTTGTCTTATACTAAATGTATTTTCATTATAATTTTTTTTCTTTTTTAATATTGAATAATTTTCTTATTATTATTTTTTATACTTTAGATTTTTTTTTACATTTTTATTTTCATAATTATTTTTATGGGTCGTTTTCATAATTATTTACTCAGTTATGTATATTTAAATTTTTTTTTCATACTAATATACTCATACATTGTGATAATTTTATATTGCTTTACTCTATTTCGTGACATGCTGAAGTAGTTGCGAGATACAATCAGCGAGAAAATAGCTTTGTCCAACCCATTGGTAAATCTTGTTTCAAATATCACAGAATATTACAAAAAGTTACTATATGGAATGCCACTAACACCAGCATATACATATATACAATTGGAGGAACCTACAGCTTATACTAAGCCGCCTCCGTACGGCTAGTGGTTTTTTAAGAGAAACTTTTATTTAATGTCAGAAATACAACCTGAGGGCTCGACTTCCCTGTCCAAGGTCGACCGCAATTAGAAAATTTAATTTAATTTTCTATACATTTTGGATATTGGGCGCACCTGGATTTGAGCTCGGCCCTTCCGAATGGTAGCACGCAATACTAACCACTCGTTGTCGTCATCTTGGACAATTAGACACATTTTTAAAATATTTAGTGTTCGACTCTTTGCAAAGAAGTGCCTCTTAAAACTGAGGAAGACATTGTTGAACCCTTTGGTGAAGAGAATATCCACTTCTGCTAAAAAAGAAATTAACCTAGCTCTCATTCATTACAATAAGCTAATATAAGCTAAAATAAAATACAAAGGACAGGCGTTAATAATTAAGTATCAATTATACCAAATTTTTTTAAGCTATGAACCAGAGTTGAAGATAGGAGAACTCTGTTGAATACTTATAAAAGAGCCAATGACTCGATGAATTACTATGACTTTGAGAACCACTAAGCCGCAGGTTATAACCACATCACTGCTAAGTCCTTAAAATGTTTTCTGACAAAGCCTTTGAACTTATCAATCACCGCCTTCCTAGTGAAAAGTACACGTATTTTTCGGCACAGTGGAGGGTAGTTTTAAAACCAGTTAATTTAGGAGTCAAATTTAGGCAAATCGAACCATAAATATGTGCAAAACTTTTTCAAATAGAACAACCTAAATTGTGTAAAAGAAAGAATTTCAAGTAAAAAGAACTATAAAATATGATTTTTTTTCGAATAAGCCGACTTCCGGTCCGGAATTCGAATAGATGAGTAGTCTTACTGCTAGCCTAAGTAAAAACCCACCTAAGTATGTACCGAATTACCGAAGAGAATCGAACCAGAAATACCCTTTTTACGACTAGTTGGTTAACGTTTTTCGTACAAACCTTTACAGCAGCCATAGAAACAAAATAACAAATTTTTAGTAAATCTAACGGGTAGTTTCGGAGATCACTGGAAGCAAACATGCCAACAAACTTTTACATATATATGGAAATATATAGAAGATAATTTTTTGAAATTTCATTTATTAAAATTTTTTAAACATTTTCTATTAATTTTTTATTTATTTATTTTTTTGATAACAATGATCTACATATCTATGTTATGTAACTTTTTAATGAATTCTATGTGGTTTTAATCAATTCTAATTTTCTCACTTTGTATTCTAATTAAATTTTTTAAGTTGAGTCGTTGCAGTTTTTGTTGTTGCTGCATTTTTTGTGAATTTTTTTAATATAATTAATATAAAAATATATTATTTTTTATTATATTTTTATTATATAATGTAAAATATATTTTATATATCCCTTTTTTATTGTGAGTGCATAAGTTCGTGCCCGATTCCGCTGGATGCCGTTCGAATCGTTTGAGAGTGGCGCTCGTGAAAGAAATATATGCATATTATATATCGTTGGATAGGTGACAGTCCGAACTGTAAATCAAGCATAAAATAACTTCATTTTGATTTGAGTTGCTTAGTGAAAAGACGCATGGAAGATGGACAACGAAAAAGATCATATGCGTCATATTATGTTATACGAATTCCGCAAAGGAAAAACAGTAGGCGCTGCAACTAAAGATATTCGCGAAGTTTATTTGGACCGTGCTCCAGCACTCCGCACAGTAAAGAAATGGTTCGCGAAATTTCGTTCTGGAGATTTTAACCTCGAAGATCAACCTCGCAGTGGACGGCCTTCTGAGCTTGATGACGATGTTCTAAGGACTTTAGTTGCGAATAACTCACGTATTTCGACGGAAGAGGTTGCCAGTGAATTGAACGTCAACAAATCAACTGCGTTTCGTCGTTTAAAAAAGGTTGGGTACACTTTGAAGCTCGATACATGGGTGCCACATCAGTTGAGTGAAAAAAACAAAGTGGACCGTATGTCAACAGCAATTTCTTTGCTTCGACGGATCAAAAACGAACCTTTTTTGGATCGGCTCGTGACTGGTGATGAAAAATGGATCCTGTACAACAATGTTCAACGCAAAAGAACATGGAAACAGGCACACGAAGGGGCGGAACCGATGTCGAAAGGTGGATTGCATCCGATGAAGGTACTGCTGTGCATTTGGTGGGATATCCGAGGCGTGATCTATTTTGAGCTCTTGCCAGCTGGAGAAACGATCACTGCCAACAAGTATTGTCAGCAATTGGTCGAATTGAAGAAAGCAATTGATGAAAAACGTCCGATTTTGGCCAATCGCAAAGGAGTTCTTTTCCATCATGACAACGCCAGGCCACATGTTGCAAAACCGACCCTGGCCAAACTGAAGGAGATGAATTGGGAAATCATGCCGCATCCCCCATATTCACCCGACATTGCACCTTCTGATTATCATTTGTTTCGATCGCTGCCGAACAATTTGAATGGAAAAAATTTAAAAATGCGGAAGACGTCAAAAACCATCTTGACACCTTTTTCAACGAGAAACCGCGCGATTTCTATGAGTCAGGCATCCGTAAATTGGTTGAACGTTGGGAGTGGATTGCCAAACATGATGGCGAATACATAATTGAAAAAAATTTCAATATTAGTTTGCACTTGAAATCGGGCACGAACTTATGCACTCATCCAAAATAATAATAAAATAATATTTGTTATATTTTCACATATTACAACTCTGGCATTTATTTTTTTTTTTATGTTATCAATGTACATTGTGAAAGTCATTTTTATTTTTTCTACAATATATTAGCTTTAATTTCAATTAGTACAATTTGTTCACGCTTCAATCAGATTGTATTTACTGAAATGTTATTTATTTTTTAATATTTCATGAATTATTTCTAATATTTTTATAAAATAAATATATAAAAATTGATTATTAATATTTTTTACATTAGTTTAATTATTATTTACTTTTTTTGGAGATATTTCCATGAGACTAAATTTATTTTAAATATTAAGAAGAAAATTGTTTTGTATTTCTTTTGTCTTCATTTTTTTTTATAATTTTTCTTCTTCTAATTTTTAAGGCAAAACAAAAAAATTAATTATAGTAATATAAACTATTAAATACACTTTTAAAAGTAGTAATTTTATGGTAATAATTTTCTATTTTCTTCTTATTATTTCACACGTTTTTATAGTTTTCTAAAGTTTTTCATTTTGAAAATCGTATTTATTTGTTTTTTATTTTTTTTTTGTTATATTATTATTATTTTTTTTTTAATACTTTCCACTTTTTATTGTCATAATTTTTTAATTCTTTTCGCACAATTTTGACACGCTTAAAATTATTCCAACTGGTTCTCGGCGGTTGTCTTTTAATCTCTGTCTTATGGAAATTTTTTTTTAATTTATAAATTGACTTTTTCTGATTTTTGCATTATTATTAATTATGTATCAAGTTCTTTAATATTATTTAATATTATATTATTTTTTTTATAATTAATTTTTTATAATTATTTTTTTAATTACTTAATTTTTTTTAGCAGATTTTCAGTATACAGCACACCATAACAAAAACACTTTGATTTATCAGCTGGGATTTTTTGCCGATTTTGAACATTTCAAATATTGCGCACAGGAGGTGAATACATGTAAAATGTTTGTATGTACAAAAGCATGAGCAAGTTGGATTTTTGTACGTGTCAAATTTTTTAAATATTTCTTTTACATACATATTATTATATACAAAGAGATAAATAAAACACCATAAAATGAGATGCACAGAAAAAACTAGATTATTGTATAGATATTACAAGGTTAAATACATTCATTAAACGCGTTTGAAATCGAAATGCACCGACTGACATAGGCAAACATATGTACATACAAACATAAATATGCACAACAGAGTTTAGAGTTTAGCTACACAAAGAGTACACGAATGTAGAAGCTTACATACATACACACAAACATAAAATATGTACATATGTAAGTACGAGTATGACAAATAAATGCGCTAAAAGGCGATAGAGCGACAACGACAACGACATTTGTGCTACACAAACATACACGTACATTCCTAAATATACATGCACACAAATAGCACTAAAAGACAACTTTCAATAACAATTTTAATAACACCTTTAGATTATATTTTTTTTTTCGATAATTTATTGAACTTTTTTTTCTTTTGCTTTTACTTCAATTTCATTTATATTATTTATTTTTTTTTTTTAATTTTACTGTAATTATTTATTTTCTCTTTTTATACAAAAAAAAACATTTTTATTTAAATTGTTTTTAATTTTTTTTTCTTTAATTATTTTTTTGCAGTATTTTTTCTTATAATATTTTTTTTGTATAATACATATTATATATATATATGCATATATTGTATATTTGTTGTTGTTTTTCTTTTGAAATTCCGCTTACCTAACACACAGAATTTTCACGCACGAAAAATTGCAAACCGTTCACACTTACACGAAATCTTTAATCAAAAGTTACTAATTTATAAAAAAAAATATTATAAAAAAAAAATAAAATTTAGAAAAAAAATACTGTAGTTTATTAATCTAATTGGAAATGTAGTTAGAAATATTTAGTACTAATCGTCGATTTTGGGTACTCGCGCTCAAGGTGAGCAATTGCAGAAACCATTTCAAGCACAAGAAGTCAAATACAAACTGAATTGAAAGCTCAAATCTTCAATATGCAGCTAGTTGTTACGAAAAAGTACTACAATACAATAGCAACAACAACAACAACAACAACAACAACTTCGATTAACACTCAGCCAACTTTGCTCAAAGTAAGCAAACGAGCTTACAAGCATACATACATACATATGTATATGTGTATATATGTATCTATTCACAGCGTCTTACAACCGCACACACACACACACACAGATACAAATATATACGTAAATAAAAATGCCAATTCCCTGCCTAACATATCTCAGCTGCATACTATGAACATACAAAGGGTGTTTTTTTGAGTCGCGATGTTTTCAATGCGGCAATAATTTTTCCGGAGCGAGTCTTTTTGACAGCTGTCACTTGATTTACGAGTATACTCTGTTTGGTTGAACAGACTTACCCCGAATCAACGAATGTTTACAATCAATCATTACAATCGCCCAGAGTAGTGGGTAAATCAAGCAACTGTGGATCGGATTTGCACCACACTTATTCGTGTGCATAATACGAACTCTCAGAGACGCCGCATTGGAGTCGGTATTGCTGCTGTGGAGCAAAGTATTGAAAAACACTCGAATTCATCTATCCATCGTCCATTTTGCGCAACAATTCCATTTCATGGAAATTTTTGGGGAAGGATTGTGGTTTGCAGGCTAACAAAATTCAACCCATCAAGTGTGTTCCACCTTCGGTGAATGAGCCCAAAACGAGGTGGCCACCAATCCCGTTTTTCACATGAAAATTTTGTTCAGCGATGAAGCTCACTTTGGTTGCGTCGGTACGTTAGTAAACAGAATTGTCGCATTTGAAGTGAGGATGATCCACAGGCTATTGTTGAGACGCCTTTACAGCCTCAAAGTGTCACTGATTGATGTCACTTTGAGGCGGAGAGAACTTTTGGTCTGGTTCTTCAAAAAAGAGTCAATAGAGCATACACTACACTACAGCCATGATTAATGACTCTTTCGTACCTAAATCGCGGGATGTTGATATGAACGACATTTGGTTCCATAAAGACAGCGCTACGTACCATACAGCCAACGAAATAATAAATTTATTGAGTAGAACTCTTGGAGAGCGCATTATCTAGCCTGGACTTCCAAAATCGTGCGATTTATACCCGCTGGAGTATTATTTGTCGGGTTATGTGAAGTCGGGGGTCTATGCAAATAAGCCCGAGACGATTGACGCGTTGAAAGAGAATATTCGGCGCCTTATTGCTGACATACGGTCGCAATTGTTGCAAAAAGTGGTCGGGAATTGAGCTTCTCGATTGGAAATTATTCGAACTAGTCGCGCTGGTCACTAGCCCCTTATACAATATGCCTTTTATTTCTTCTTGAATCCCACATGCCTAAAAAATACACCTTTTATATGTATATACAATCGTGGAAATAACCACACATAACTATACACATTCCCACACTTATTTGCCATACAATGAAACAAACAGACAGATGTATAGACGCAACAGCATAATGCGCCAAAAGCCACCTCCAGCCGACGTTATTTTACACAACCAGCCAAGTCAAGTCAGCGAGAGCGCCAATAACCCAACAAGTTGTTGCTACCACCAACAGCAACAGCCAACAGCCAACGGCCAGCAGTTACCACCAACAACAATAACAGCAAAATCACAAGCACAAACAATAGCAGTAATAACAACAACTGTAGCCGGGCTCAAAAGTGGCTGAGTGAGAAAATGTATATTTTGTTGTATAATTTTTACGAAGCCAAAGAATGGGACGCCGCCGTGGCTCATAAGACGGATCTGTACATGTGTGTGTGTGCATATGTATGTTTGTGTGGTTTGTTATGGCATTTGTATTGTATGTTTGTATGTATGTATGTAAGCTAAGTTTCGAAAGCGCAAGCAAATTGAGTGTGAATGGAGTGCGTGGAGTTGTTGGTAGGAAATTTAGTTAATTTTAATTCATTCAAAATTTTTTGAAAATTTGCAATTTATTAAATTAGACCAAATTGAAAAAAGTGTGAGTAGTTTGTTGCGAAAGACTCCAACAACTTCAAATTCAGTTTGCATGGACCTTTGCAACTCCGAATTGATTCCTGACAGATTTTCCACTACTCCTGTTCCATGATGGTGTAACTTACCATTGACGCAGTCTCTACAGGAAGGTTTCATTGAGAATATAAATTCATTTGTGAATGTTAAAAACGGAGTCGGCTTAAAAGCTTTTTCTTGAGTGCTCTTATAAGACACTTCTGATCTTTTATGTATTACAATAGCTCGGAGGATCGTACGGCATTCACAAAATTATGGATCTCGCTTGTGGTGGGTATCCCAAGTAACATCTGTTCGATTCTGGTTCACATGTGGTAAGATAAACATTGCTGCCACACTTCCAGTTTCGAAGCTGTACAGAGGGTAAAGCATAGTGAAGCCATCAATTCTCTACAAATTGCCTTACTTTTGAAGGATTAAGGTTTATATAGAGGAACGTCAAGTTTGCAGCCACATTAGCTAGCATTCTGCACTGCGTACAACTATGCGAAGGTTCATGGGTTCAAGCCCTTGCGGAGGCAACACCCAAAATTATGGAGCTTTTAATTTTCTGATTCGGATCGTCCCTTGGCAGGGAATGCCAACACCTCCGATTGCATCTCTGACATGATAGGTGCTCATGAAAATCCAAAGTCTTTTAAAGGCGGCTTTCGAACTGAAGGTATCTCCATTTCTTACGACTGGAAAAACAGCATATGGTATACCATAAATTGTAGAAAAAGAGGCCGGCCGAAAATCACTTAAGCGGTTCTACTTCTATACTCACCTCATTCCTTTGTTTCTAAAAAATTGAGTTGTACATAGAACAGTTAAATGGAAAATGTTGCTCAAGGAGCCAAACACCACTTCTTTGCTTTCGCTTTAGTACAATTCTTTAGCAATATGAAAATTCATTATGTCTTTTTACGTAAGGCTTTTACCCCGATTTTTGGTATTATATACAGACTTTACTCAATTCCAACCTTGTCGCGCGACCCAATAACGTGAGCAATACTCGTGTAAGAGAGAGGGAGTTTTGTACAGCCGGCCGTGCCGTGGTGAGTGTCGGTATTGAGACCAGCAGCTCGCATGTCCATCCAGAGGCTACTAAAATTCAATAATTCTCTGGTTGACTCTCGCGGTAAAATCCTCAAACGCCATTTGGGGAAAATTTTTGCTGTTACAGACCACATGCTGACAGCTTCTTTGATGACAGAGATATTTCGTCAAATTCTTGTTCTCTCCGAGTCCCAATTACTTCTTTTTTTGACCATCCTAGAGTGAGTAGAACTCAAGGCAAATTATTTCGATATTATCAGCATACGCCAGCAACAACAAGCTTAAACTGAACTCTCTCTCTTTAGCTTAGCCACATACATTATTCTTCCCAACTCTGAATCAAGGAAATCACGCGACAGAGACCCACTTTGCCTGAAACCTCGAGTGTTGGAATTTTGGAATTAACGGGAGAGGTCCCACGCTTTCTTTCCTACTGGCATTATACAGCATCACTTTAAACATCCATAACTATTTTCGATGCTATCAAGTACATTTTAGTCTCGGTAATGTCAGATTTGTAGAGGTTGTTGTTCTCTTCGCCGGTTGAATGTCCAGATGGTTCTTATTCACCTAAAAAGACAGACATGACTTGGCGCGGGTGTTTTAGTATGCAGATCTTCCGATGTGTGGCTAGTAGGCACCTCTAGAGTTTCTCCTCATTCCGTCTCTTCGGTGTACTCACAGACTCAACATAAAATTAAATTTTTATACAAAGCGGAACTAAACCTCAAATTGACCATAAAAAAATCGTACAATTAAAAGGAATTACTTAAAAATATTTTTTCTGTGTTAAATTGTTATTTTATTATGCCGTTATTTTTTAGCGAATTTAATGCTGAGTAATGCGACTAATGAGGAAAGGCATACATACAGACAAAACAAACTTGCATGAGCTAATAAAATAACTTTATGCACATCTTAAAAATAAAATAAAAAACAAAATAAAAATAAAAATGAAAATAAAAATACAAAAATTCAAATATGTTAATAAAACATCGAAAACGAAATTTAAAACATAAATATTTGTATAACACATTCATTAAACAGTAACAAGCGAGCACCATATATAGACATATGCACATATGTATTTTTGTATACAAAGGTTAAAATTCGCACATCATCAATTCTTAGACCATCGACCCCCAGCACTACACGTATGACCATAAATAGTATGTGAATCATTAGCTTTGATGAAGATGAGATAATTGAGATAAGAAATGTATATACATATATATATATATATATATATATATATATATATAATTTTGTGAATAATAAATTGGAAATTTTCGTCATAAATATTTCTTCTAAAGAATATTTAATTGAAATTGAGGTTAAGTATGAAAAATGGCGTTCGACTTTTTTGTTTTAAAATTTTCATAAATAAATGATAATTTTTTAATATTAATTTACAAAATAAAAAAAAATAAAAGAAAGTAGAAATGTGTTACAACATTTTTTTTAAACACTTAGTGAGATTAAAATGGTTAAAAATAAAAAATAATTCTTTGATGTTTCTATCAGGCCGCGTTACCCACTGTCCTCCGCTGTGCTTCTGTTCTTCTAATCAGCCGACTATTGTTCCTGGCCTTTTTTTGATTTTTTTTATTATTGTTGTTGACTTCGGCTTATAAATTTATTTATTTATTAACATATTTTGTTTAGTTTTTTTCATAAAAGCAAAACAATTAAATGTTATTAATTTCTATATTTATTATTATTTTTTATTTTTTTTAGAATTTTTCAACAAAGTCGCATCAATAGAAAGATCCTGTAGAGTTGGCCAGAGGAAAAATTCTCTGAAAAATTGCATCGACTTACGGAGGGTTTCAAGTCAGGAGCGTACTCATGTGGGAATCAGAAGAGCAATCTAGAGACCAAAGTTCAGAGTATACAGAGTTCATGGAACACTACTCCAGTCAGCTTAATATAGAAATAGATGGTATACCCGAGTAACCCGACTATGATGGCGTTTGAACAGCGGTCGCTCGCTTGAAGATTAACAAAAATGGATGCAATGTCGGCCAAGTGTTCCAATACGCTGACGTAGAACTGAGACTTCATACCGAAATATGTTCGAACGGTAGCATGCTTGGCAAATGGAATTTGAGTGTGCTCTGCTTAATAGAATACATAAGAAGGTACACCCCACAATCTCCGGCAAATTTACGTGCAATAAATCTTCTCAATTTCACATATAAAGACTTCTACAGCAAATTGTGTGAAAGACTAAAGCCCACTGTCCAATTAACTGATTGGATCTTATCAGTGTGGTTTCAAACCTGGTCGATCCGATTAGATATTCACAAAACGAAAATTCTGATAAGATGCGTGAAAAAATAGACAAACGCCTCCTGCTCAACGATAGTCCGAAAAGAAATTGCTCCTACCCGGCTATGTCCGAGTTTAAAGTCTCGGTAAAATTTATACGGTTGTTTTGGGTGCCATGAGCTCTTTCAGAATTGAAAGCACTCCAGCTTTAAAACTATTCGATGCAGTACCGTTGGTGGAAGAAAAATATCTTCACTTCGTTGGAAAGATATGATGGAGAAAGATGTGGTCCCTCCGGGCTGCGATAAGAGGAAACGACGGATAAGCTATTGATAACTCGGCTATAATTGCGTAAGCGAATCAGCCCAATTGAAAAAGAAAAGAAGGAGGAGATTACTAATTACATTAAAAAAACTTGAATTTCTATAATTTCAATGTGTTTTAACAGCTCACTATAATTTTTGCTATAAATTTCAGATAATTTCTGAGTTTCTTAATCTTGGCGTAAATGTCTCCCATGCAAGTAACCCAACCATTTCGCATGGCGTACTTTTCGAGTGACTCTTAGAGAACCGGTTTCGCTTGTCTTTCAACTATAACTTCAATACAATAAACACTTCAATTTGTATCTATGTTTGTATGTATGTTTGCTAACAAAACAAACGGAAACGTAGCTATAATTTTTGTAACAGTCTTGTGGAGAGTCCACAATATGCGCATTGTGGAGACTCGCTTGACGAATTCGAAACAATGCTAAGTTAAGAACAAAAAACAACAACAACAACAAAATGCATATGAAAATATACAAAGATTTGAAAATTCAAAAAGCTGCAGAAAGTCTTTGCATTCAATAAAATGTAATTTGAATGGAAAAAATGCTAAAGAGAAACGTTCCAGCGCCAGCAAAATTCAGCATGATTATGAACATACATACATACATAGGTATGTATGCGTGTACATACATATTTATTATTATATTTTATTACTTTATGGTCATAAAATCTCAAGTTATGTATCACGGTCAAATATGTTATTAAATAATAAATAATTTTTGGCAATTAAACACGCTAACAGTCGAAGTTGTACAACAACAACAACAATAACAACAACGGCGAAGTGCCGCTTACACATGCGCATAGAAATATTTTATGTATGTACGTAATAGCAACAAATTAAAAGCAAACAAATTAATTGTACTCACTTGTGGATGTACAAGGTCTGCTCAAAAAGTGGGGTACATCTTCAAATCTTAACGCTTAAGTACAATCGATTTTTGTTTTCTTTGCGTTACCGTAGATAAGGTGTTCAAAAATTTACTATTGCAATGAACACAGCCAAAACTTGAAGCCCATCTGTCATGTCACAAGCATTTCTTTTCAGTCATTCTGACAACTAGTGAAAAATATTAAAATTTCAAATTAACGCGAAAGTGGAAAATGTAAAATTCTGTTACAAAACAGACAATAAAAAAATGCAATTAAAGTGTGGACTCAGTTCAATACTCAGTTGCGTGCAATACACAAAAATAGATTTCCCTGGATGCACCAGCACATAAAAAAAGCCCCAATGAAGATATTGAGATTGCGGAGGAAATTTTAATGGGGAATTAACAAACAGAAGAAGAGTTTGGACACGCAGCCGGTGGAAGCGAAGTTCAATCCAAAGTGGCCTAATTTTCATTTAAAAAGAACATCACCTGAACATCGCTTCGGGAATGTAGCATGAAGTCTATTACATTTATGCTTCATTTCTACTCTGGTCTATTCTACTCGGGTTAAGCATAAACGCCAAATGCTCTACTCGAGGTGAATTCAGAATGGAGTTTATATCAGGACAACCAAACCCAACTTTCCTAAATTTTGGCAAAATTTTAGATAAATAATTGTATTTTTGGCAAAAACTTAGCAACACATAAACTCTGTATCAATCAAGTTAAATGCAAATCAGCTGATTTCAACTCAGCCCTCGTTTATAATACCGAGTGAACGCCTCTGCATATGTAGAGAAAATGTGTATAATCTAACCGAGAGACACCTTAACTCGTGGTGAAAAATTGTCTATGCTTGCGAGTTTAACTTACCCGAATACATTAAGCCCGAGTAGAAATTAAGCATATGTATGTATATAATGATCGTAATCGGATCATCGTAAAATAGCTGGAAATTGTAACACTAATGGGCTTGCACATTTCGTTAATATCGAACAATGCCTAAACGTACCACTTCTGAATATTTGGATATTGAGCCAACACAGGGATAGCTGAACTAGCATCCCAACTTGCATAGTTGCGTGATGCTTCTGGACTATGGTTAATAGCGGAAGCTCAGGTAAGCTACTTTCCATAACAAGATAGAAATTCTCTCACCTGGTGGGAGATCTGACCGGGTGTACTCCAATTGGAAACTACGCAGTAAGCCTTGAGGGTTTTCCCGGATACCCACTGGCGCAGTTGTTTGGGAAAAACGATAAAGGTACTTATGCACTTTCTTAGGAACTGTACTACGCTTGCAATACTGAGGCTGAAAATTTTTTGTGATGGCATACATTTACCAAGCCGAAGGTGTTTACAGATATTAACATCAGGTGAAAAGTGATCTGGTGTTCAAAATATTTTTTACACCTTTCTTTCTTTCTTTTCACTGTTTGGCGCCAGTTGAAAATACCGAGTGATTCCAGGTCGCTCTCTGCCTGATACTTCGAATAGAGTGGATGTCACTTCATACTCTGTTTTTTACCAGCGAATACTGCATCGAATACTGTGAAAGGCGGCGCGATTTCATTCATTCGTTCGACTGATCGTTTCATCGACTACTAAATTCGCCGCTGTCAATACTCAGAAGACCACAAATGAAGAAGACTCCGAAGATCGACTCATCGGATGTCGACATCGTCCAAAAGTTTTTCTACATTGGATTGTAAGGCTGTAATTTTATAAGGCCTCGAGATTATGACTTTACAACAGTGACGTGGAAGCCGATTGGCAAACAATTGATGACAGAATATATTCTTACCATGGTTGCATTTAGAATTTCTGAGCTTCGAATTCGGCTTTAGAATAATCTTTAACGTGAAATTTTTTTTTCAGTAAAAATGCTCATCTTCTGCCAAGTCATGTCCAGCTCATTGAGCGAAATGAAATCGCATATGATGGCCATGAGGCTTCAGTTCATAGAACATCGGAAATTTCATTGAAGATGTCAGAGCTCACACAAGGTGTAGTTCAAACAGCAAACGGTGAATGGTCCACCCTTTGTTAAGCACGGCTTAGGAAGATTTCCTTGTAAGAGAATAAATGAGGAAACTTTTTATTAAAATTCATCCATTTTTTGAAAAGCCCTCGTGCTCGTACAAACATAGATAGGTTGCTTAGGGAAGCAATTTTTAATTTCGTTATTTTAACACTCATTAAAGACATGAAAGAAATACACTATTGTTAGTAGCGTAAATTTTCTTTGCAACAAATTTTTGTGATTTAATTAATTATCTCTGCGGTTTTATGTTTTGTATTTTCTCATGTTCGCATGTGGTCAATATACACAATTTTTTAGGGAAAGAAAATGAGTTTTTTTCTAATTTTAACACTTTTGGCTTTAGGTCATTTATTTAAAATTAGATGTGTTAATAAATTTAGTAAAATTTCGTTAATATATGTATGTGCGTGTATGTATATTGTTATATATTTTTGCTTCTTTATATAAATTTTTTTGTATCAGTTAAGTTTTTTAAATAAAAAACATATAAGTTTAACAGTTAAATGCACACACCTAGCAAAAGAATAATTTTTAAGTCTATATTTGTAAGCTCACTTTTTTATATGTACATATGTATATGTACTTCTATTTCGGAATTAATATTAATAAATTGTCTCTTTCTATTTTTTTTTGGGCTTGTTTGTGGTCCGTAAGAATACCGACGTACGAAAAAGAACATTATTAATTTTCTGCAGCGTTACAAATGAAAACAAAAATACTGATTTATTACTTAGATATAATTTATCGCATGCTTATACATATAATATATGTATATGTGTGTGTGTGTATTGTATTTATACCACGCAAATTAATTAACAACAAGAAGGCCTCTGCTGTTTTTTCGTACTTATTCCAAGCGTAAGAATTAGTAACAGAAAACAAATTTCCCATTTTTTTCTTCATTTAATCGAACAGTCAAAATTAATAAAGAAGAAATATAAAAAAAATGTATATATTTATTTATGTATATTTAGCGCAGCGGTAAATGTTTTTAAAAACAATTGCCAAATTAATTTCTAAAAAAAAATTTTTAATTAAATGATATAATTTTGCATAATTTGTCTATAGAATCTAGCTACTGATGTAGCTCCCGCTGGGACTCTTCCCAATTTAAGCGTCAATTTTTGTATACTGAATGTATTTAAATGCATTTTTTTGTGTTAAAGAAAGTTTATAATTATGAAAATATGTAAAACTTCATCCGGTTATGTGTTTGGCTCCGGCTGTGGTGCTCGTTGCTTCAACTCAGTAGAGTGTTTTGGAAGTGTCCAGCGCTAAATGTCAGTAAAAGCACCAGGAGGGCATATAATAAATCCATTAGTATTATTTGACTTTCGCTTGAGCTCAATCTAAGATGGTTTTTTATTGGCGCTGCCTCCTACGTAGCGGGTCACAGACCAAGCGAGATGAGTAGATTTATATTTAGGACTCATTCATATTACGAGTCGCTTGCTGCAAGGCCGACTTGCGATCGCAGTCGCACCTCTGGTAAACAGACGTTACCATTGGACCTTAGTGCAGTCTTAAACCGAAAATGTCGAAGATACTCTAATGAAGCTTCTTATCTTTTAGCAGTGACTCAAAGCAGCACTACGGTTGGTTACCACATCTTGGCAAGGGTTTTCGATGAAGCTGATTATGAGGGGCGGAGGACTTGTAATTTCTCAAAGGAGAGAGAGAGATATAAAGGGGGATAAAGGGAGAAACATTCACCGACATCAACACTCTGGGCGAATAATGAAATAAGAAATCCCCTCAAGGGAATGAATGGGGAGTCTTTCCTTGGTTTTTAATACTATTAAATATTTGCTTAATACTTGGAAGGCTATGGAAATTATTTTCTTCTAAAAATATTGGAATTTGCTTGAAGTGTATAACATTAACTTTAATACAACAATATTATTTTTGTCCTCGATGTCCATCTCATATTGAGGGTAAGGTTGAAAAAATATTGTCTATGCTATTTCTTTCACTCCTAGAAAGGTCTAAGTCCAAATTTCTACAGTTGTCACTATATAATACATATATTAATCGTTTTCTTCTTTTTTATTTGGCTCACATCATGCTAAGAAAAAGTTGTGATAAATATTTTGCCCGGTAGATGTCTCCTAATCTCACTAAATTTCTAGTTAACGGACGTCTAAATATTGTGTTTTTTTCATTTTTCAGAATTACTTTCAAACTCTTGGATGTTCGGCTATTCACTACTTCATTCCGGAAAACTTTTGTCAAGGCTTTTCAAACGCCAGTGTCCTATGGCTTGTTCTTAGAAACCACTTTTGCACTAAATCACTCAAAATTAATACCCACACACAAGCAAATACTTCACTGATGCTGTAAAGCCACATGTGCTTACCTACGTATAGTAATTTAATTACCTTTTCTTATATAAATATAAAAGTAAATTTTTTTTCCACTACAAATTATGCAACACTTGCGCACAACACTTTTTGAAAAGTGATTTATACACACCCATATGTGTGGCCATAAAAAGAAAATAATAATAATATTTAACATGCCATATGTTTTATTGTTTATATACAAGTATACATATATAAACACGGAGTATGTCTTTTTTGAACAATTAAAGAATAATATCATAATTTAAGTACAACTAAGCGGTGAAGCTGTAGGCGATTTGACCAACACTATCCATCTACTTCCTGTTTTGTTTTGTTTTTTTTTGTCTTTTTTTATAATAAAATAAAATTTGATTGATTGATACATGATTTAATTATAACTTTGCTTGTTTGTTTGATTGTATATACATATGCCTGTATGTATGTTTGCCCATGCGCATGACAAGCAGTACTCTACAAACGGCTATTGTTTTGCGCACATTTTTCGCAGACCAGTCTTCTAGATTCTAGATTAGAGAACAGCATGGAAAGAATGAAAAATAATCCAGCAAATGTTTTTGAAAGCCAATTTCATGGTAGCTAATGATATTTTTTGATTATCTTAAATTCTTATGAACAGAATTGTATTGTACAACACAAAAGCAGTTGGTAAAATACAATAAGTTAAGCTGATGGTATTTTATTTGATTATATTTTGTTTTATTTATATTTTTGTTTAATTTCGTTTTATTTTGTTCAACTTCATTTTTCATTTTATTTAATTCAGTAATTTATTTTTTTTTTTTGTATTTTGATTTTATTATTTTAGTTTATTTTGTTTTATTAAATACATCTTTATTTAACATAATTCAATTATATTATATCTTATTATCTTATTTATTTTAAGATTATTTCATTTTACTTTACTTAATTTGATCTTTTTATTTTAATTCATTTATTTATTTTATTATATATTAATTGATTTATTTTTATTACTCTTGCTTATCTTATTTAATAAATTTAAAATGTTTTTGTTTTGTTTTTTTCTTTTCTTTAGTTTATTTCATTTCATTTAAATTTATGATTTATTTATATTTTTTTTAATTTCGCTTTATTTTTCGTATGTTATTTCATTTTACATTTTACTCTTATTACTTTATTTTAGTTTGTTTTAAATAATTATTGTGTTTCACTAAATTTTTGTTTTTTTTTAATTTTATTTCTTTATTTTATTTCGTTTTATTATATTTAAATGATTTTAATGTAATATTTCTATTTGCTTTTATTTTATTCTTCTGAATTTAATTTTATTGTATTTTACGATATTTTATTTAATTTTAAATTATATAATTTTTTCAAATCTATCTGATAAAATTTTTCTACACATTACTTAATTTTGTTTTATTTTATATTTAATTTAATTTATTTTTTTTCGTATGATTCTTTTTTATTTAAATAATTTTGATATTTCATTTTAATTCATTTTTAATTTATTCTTCTGTATTTATTCTTTAAATTAATTTTAATTTTTTTCTTTTAGTTTATTTTTTTCTGTATTATTTTATTTGGGCATATTTTATTTCATTTTATATTTTTCTATTCTATTTCATTTTATAAAGTTTGTATTTTATTTTATTTTGCCTTACTTTTTTAACTTTATTTTATTTTAATGTATTTGATTCTAATTTATTTTATTTTGTTATTTGTATTATTTTTGCTTTATTTTTTTTATATATTATAATTTGCTTATATTGTCTTGTTTTATTTTATTTTGTTTATTTTTTATTTTATTCTATTTTATTTAATTTACCATTTTTTTTACTTTATTTTATTTAAATTTATGTTTTATTTATTTTTTTTTTAACTTTTTTTGTTCTATTTTTTTTTGTTTTTTTTTGTACTCCTTAGCAACACCTATTATCAGTAAAAAAAATTGTAAATTAAATTTTTCTTTTATTTACTTGTGGAATGGAAATCCGCACAAAAATCTCAGAAGGCAGCGCAGCCAGTGAAACTCCAGTCTCTTTTGGTAAGCAACTACTGAAGCAGTAGTAGCTTCTTTTCACTGATATCACTTTATTTGTAATTAAGCACTTAAATGTTTTTATTTTTTTTAATTTCAGTGGAAAAAAATCGAACAAGATATTCAGTTTTTTACTAAAAAAATCTTAAAAGAAAAGAACCATTAAACAGTTATTATTAATTTGTTTCCTTTATATTTATTTAATTTTTAACCATTTTTTTACTTATTTAAAATCCCAAACTAAGTGTTAAATTTCAAAAGCTTCTCAAACTTTTCGTTAATTTAGTCTTAGCCTTCGCTAAGCTGCCGCGAAACTAAACGCTCTGCACAACTTTGGGCTATTGTTTGCCCCCTTTTCTGCTTTGCATTTTGACCTTTACATAGTTTTTTCTCGTTTTTGTTTCTTCGATCAGGCAGGTTATATTTTTTTTGTTTTTTTTGCCTGTGAATGGGCTCTAAGCAAGCTGCAGTGCTGGGTATGTAACAAACATTTGCTCTTGAAACTTTATAATTAACTCAATTTTCTTGTTTTTTTTTCTTCATATAAATATATTGTACATTCATATGTAAATTATAAATTTCATTTAAAATATTATCCATGTGAGGATGATATGAAATAAGAAAAGAATTCGTAATGGTTTTCGTCAAACATTTTACTGCCAAAGGAAATGAACACAGTGGGAGCTTGGCGAATTGTTAATTTACATGGATTAAAAATTACATTCAGTTATGTCTGTGTATGTGTGTAAATCCTACAATATACTGTTTGGCCCATTTATTTAAAATTTTAACTGTTATTTCATACCGCGTTACATATATATATTTTTATTTTATTTTGTCTGTGCTTAGCGATAACTTAGAGCGGCATTTTTGTTCAATTGCTTGCAACACCTAAAAGTATGCCTCATAATCTGTACAAAAAAATTACTGTTGCTTATGTTATTTATCTCTGTATGCGTTTATATTGCCGCAAACCCAATAAACACAAAAAACGATGGTCATTTTGTCTCGAATTCGCCTCATAGTCTGGAGTACATGAACTCTCGAATATAATTATTTTTCGGACTGGCTGTGAATTTGAAGCGAGTGATCAAATCAGATTTTCCCGAAAGACCTCTTTTTCAAGGTATACATTTTTGTTTAATATTTAGATTTTATATTAGTAAGATGGAACTATTATATTTGCCATTTACCCATAAGTTCAGTTGAGTAGATGTGACTGTTAGTGACCTTAGTCCTATAAACTCATTACTCATTATGATACCGTTGTGAGGTTCCCATCACCTTCAATACATTTTTCTTCTGCTTATGCTAATGGAAAACCGGTCCAGAAGTATGAGATGTCTTGAACCTTTTGCGTCCTATGCTGGTCGTATCTCTCTAGTGATACTGTACATGAGCACATTCAGCCGTCTGCTAAGAGTACCTCGCATCTTTTACATGATTTATTGTGGTTAAAAGGGTTCCTCTGTTCGCTTGTTGGTCCGCTTAGCATTTGCTCCCTGTGTCGAGTCACCCTGAGATTTCTTACACTTTATCGCTAGTTTTGATCTTATGTATTAATTAGGTCGGCATCATCGGTTTCGGTAACCGCCACACAGATGGTGGAATGATGAGCCAATAAAAAAAAGGTATTATAGATCTCAGAGCTGAGAAAATATATTGGTTTGTGAGCGTAGTTTTGAGGAACCATTCGGCGTCTACCGTAATTACAATAAGTACGAGAGATGATATTTCATTCCTTTAAAGCTAATTTATGAAAGATTTTGAGAGTTTCCTAGTGTTTTCAGGTAGAGCTCGTACCATTTTTGGAACCATTTCTTTTACCTACATCAATAATTTTATAGCAGGATTAAATGAACTAAAATAACTACCAGGAAAATTAATGAAAAAATGATCTGGTCTGAATCGAACTCTTATCAGCGGAGAATACTGGAGTGTCTAGTGTACTTAATTTGCTTCTATAATGAATTTTTATATTCTTCTCTGCCTCTTGGTATATCCCTGATATTCTGATTATAAAAAAGAAGTATCGCGTGAAGCCTACAGACATTTTCCTCTTCTTCATTTTAGGCGAACTTATTGGAAACCCCTTTAAGCATACACATCCATGAAATAATTATAAAAAATGAGTCTGGAACGGTGCATTCAAATTTCAAAATCGTGTGTATGGCACATTGCAGTTTGTTGAACCGAATATTCGAATATTGTATAATTATGTGTAATGTATTATTCCTGTTGTTGTTGCTTTCGTAATTTTTTTTTTAATTTCCCCTACCAACTGCTTTCATTAAGCAGAGGCACGGAGGTACAGAGTTACATTCAAAAAGGGTATTTGCTGCGTTAATGGCAAGTGATAAGCCCACCTGCTCTACACAATCGTGCCAAACAATAGAGAAAAGGGTGGAATTGTCGTGTTAGAGAATGTATGCCAACTCAGTGCCAACTCCTGCATACTCATAGTAACTCTCTTCGCGAGCACTCATTTAATGCCACTGAAAAAAAGAACACGGCGCGGAAACTCAACGATGGCATGTGCCTAAACGCATGGTTGCTGAGCTCAGAGAGCGTTTAATTGCGAACGCAGTTCAAGGTTGAATTGGGGAAAATTAATGCTCATAACGATGTTGAAATAAATATTTTGGTCGCGCTTACTTACATACATATTTTATTTAAATATATTTTGTAAGTTGTCGTAATAAATGTTTAAAGCCTTGTAAAGGGTGTTTTGAGGAAATACTTTTTTCGGAGTTGGTCTTTTTGACGGTTATTATACAATTTATACTCAAGTAGGTTTTTAAAATGATCAGACTTACTCAGGAGCAACGTTTACAAATCGTGCAAACTTATTGCTCGGTAAATAAAGGTTCAGTTCGTGATACATATCGTGGGCTGCGTCAAATATCGGTCAACAGAATCTCCCAGCAAAATCGATAATTCGAGCAACTATGGATCGGTACCGCATCACGTTTACTCTAATGGATAATATGCATCGTCAGAGAGAACGCTCAGTGAGCACGAAAGACGATATTGTTACTGTGTTGCAGAGTATCGAAGAAGATTCGATTGAAGGTAGGATTTTGGTTTGCGGACTTACAGTCAATGGGAAATACCATAGAGCCTTGATTAATGATTAATGATACCTGAATTGAAGGATGTTGAAGAGGACGAGCTTTAGTTCCTACAAGACGGCGCTACAGCCAACGAAACAATCAAGTTATTGAAGAAAGCATTTGGTGAGCGCATTATCTCGCGTCATGAACTTCCAAGATAATGCGATTTAACACCGCTAAACTAAATTGTATGTGATTTATTCCTTCTTGAAAACCACATGTCTAAAAAAAAATTAATAAACTCAAAGTAAAGAAAAAGATAAGAAAATATTTTTTTGAGAAATCTGACGACATAAAAATCTTTACACAGCCGATTGTGCTAAATTTTGTATCATTTATGCTTTAAAATTGCGCGCATAAACTTACTCACATACTTAAAGACGCGAGTCTATGAATCATTTGTAGAATTTGCTGAACATTTCGATGTGATTTTTAAATTTTCTTCGCCTTCGCATTTCATTTGTTTTTAAGAAACAAGTGTTTTCTGTGAATTTTTCGATTTTTTTGTGGCTTTCGGAAACATTACTTGAGAGAATAAAAGAGAGCTATGAAATTTGAAAAAAGTAAAACAAAAAATGAGCTTTCTTATAGACCAAACAAATGTGTATACATACATATGTATGTATGTACATGATTTAAAGACCGTTAGGCAATAAATTAAAATACAAGCAGATATAGTTTACAAAAATTTATACATACATACATATGTTTGCACATTGTTTATACATATTTAAATATAAAGACCTGTCACACCATACACTCTTTACCCTACCCCGTACTGCCCAAACCCACTTGGTATTGGCATGCAAAAGTTTACATCTAGCATATAAAAGTAGATATGTGCTGAGGCATCTATGACATTCTATAATGTGATATACACATATATATATATATATATATATATATATATGTATGTACCTTGCACATTTAGAACAATTGTTAACAACTTGATGTAAACGGCACCACTAACGATTTGATATTCTTCAAATACTCATTTGCAAAACAACAATTTCGTTTTATCCTCTCTAGTGGTTTGTTTTTGTTGTTTTTGTATTTTTCTTTCCTCTTCTTCTTACTTTTCTATCGGTTATGACGATCGCCGCCACACGCTCGTATGTTTTGTGGCATATGTCTTTAGATTGGCGGCCATAGACCACGACGGACGATCACTGGGGGTACAATATGCACTCACACCTACGTATGTATGTACATATGAATGTATGTATGTATATATGTATATTCAACAGTTTCAACAGTTGAGCAGCCAAACGGAACGGACGAAATGTCCGTCCAAATAGCTGACTCTCTCTCTTTGTTTATAAAAAAAACGTTTATTTTTCCTCATTTTTATTCGTTTTTTTTTTTTTTCTTTTTGTTTTTTGTGTGTTTGGCTCTAGCCTCTACATACCCATTTAGACCATACTATATCTAGACTATATTGCTTACAAAATATACTATCTGCATACGAGTACTTTCCATGCGCGCATAATTTTCATTTCGTTATATCTAGTCGTTCAGTTTAATTTTGCCTTACTAGCGGGAAATACGTAAATAAATTACGTATGGTGGTGGGTTCTCGTTGTCGTTGTCGTTGTCGTTGTCGTCGTCTTCCTTTTCGCTTTTTTTTTGAAATTTGTTTAAAGTCTCTTCCGAGGCAATAAGGCTCTACTGCAGACCTATTATTAATAACATTTAAGCAGGAAATTTTTAATTAATAAATAATAAATAATAAAATACAGTAAAGCGGTAAAAATGTATCGGCTACTTTCGACGGTTATAACGGCTTTAACGGTTTTATCGTTCAAAGGTAAGCATTAGTAAACGAAGCAAGCGCAGGATCTGGCGTTAAAAGTTAACAAGTGTTTGTGAATAGTGAAAAATAGGAGAAAATATTGTATCTACATACTATATATGTATTTTTTATTACACATGTGTATGTGTGTTTGCCTTGCTAATGTGCCTTGCTGTTGCTTGAAAACTATTTTTAAAATATTGTAGCTCAAGGTCAGCATGAAAATTCCATGTCGCTAGCATGAATGAGGATACAAATGCTATAATGGATACAAATTTGTGCTCGAAAATTGAATGCTAAAATTAACAACAACATTTTTTTTTTGTGTTAGAAAATTTAATGCAAAACTGTGTGAAAACATAAGTCCAGCTGCTTTCATGGGAGAAAAAAAAAACAATTTTATTGGCAAAACAGCAGCGGAAATTAGTTCAATTAATTTCTTAAGGGCTACATGAAAAACTACAACAATACTACAACTAACGTTTAACACAGCAAAAAAAAAATAATAAAAATTTATAACAATTTTAAATTAATTAAAAATGTTATTTAATATGAAAACCGTAATTACATACATATAATGAAAATATTAGCAAAAGAAAACAATTAAATTAGTTTGAAGGTAAAAAAAATATTCAGTCCGTATCTAAAAGATGGCCGCACTTTTAAATTGTGGCCGATTTTGGAATCGCTCTTCGGCATATTTCATCCTTCAACAATATGTGGGGTACATACATATTTCAGCGTCTATTTCTGACAGCAACGCTGTTTTTTTTTTGCCCCTTCTAAAATGTCCAGATTTGTGTTAAATAAAAAGCATTTGCTGGAAATTCGGATTTTCTATTTTAATTGGAAATAAAGTGCAGTTGAAGTCCAACGCAGGCTTTTGGAAATGTGGAAGAGTTATTTCGACGCTTCAAAAGTGGCCTCAAAGACAGAGAGCAGCGTCTCGGCCAAACCAAAAAGTTTGATGATGAGAATTCGGAAGCTTCACTGAATCAAGATCGGTGCCAAATGCAAAGTGAACATCGCCAAATCGCTGGGAGTGACTCAGTAAACAATAACTGCTCGGTTAAATCATTTTGGATTTATTCCAAAGCAAGAAAATTAGGTGTCGTGGGAGTTGAAGCCGTGAGATGGCGAGAGTCAAAGGAGGTATTTTTCACCGTATCGTGACTTGAGTTGAAATGTGGATATACTAAGTACGATAATCCGTAGAAGCAAAAATACTATGCAAAGCCTGGTGAACCAGATTCATCAACCCCTATATGGACAACAGAGAAAAACTTCCATCGTCCAAAGGCCATGCACTGCATATGGTGGGACCAGACCGATGTGGTGTACTATGAACTGCAAAATCAGACAAAACCATTGATACGAAACGTTGTCGAATAAAACGGTAAATTGCGTGAAAAATAGCCAGAAACGACCGAAAGGTAGGAAAACACTTGGTCATCATTGGCTGCAACGGTTGAAATCTCCCTGAAAACGCTAAAATGGAGCACAAAATGCAAAAAAATAAATAAAGTAAAGTAATAAAAAATAAAAAAATAAAATAAAAGTTAAGAAAAAATGAAGATATTTTAATAAATATCAATAAATATAAAAAATAATACGGTAATATTAAACACAATAATATTAAATAAATAAGAGCACAAAAGTAAATATAAATATAGAGTAAAAACAGCAACAAAATAAAAAAAATTGTAATAATAACGATATAAATATTAATATAATAATAATTGTTACCAAACAAAATAGGAATATTAAACATAGTAATATTAATAAAATAAAAAAATATATACATTAAAATATAAATAATAATAACCCCAAATAATAATAAAATAATTATAGCGAATTGAAACTCTAATTTTAATTACAATTACAATGAAAAGTTCATAAAAATTAGTGAAATGATGAAATGAATATTTGTAATACATATAATAATAACAACAATAATAATATTAATAATAATAAAATAATTAAATTGAATAGTGAAATTAGCGCTTTAAAATAACAAATAGTTAAAACAATTGTTTTAAATATAATAAAAAAAGTCTTACATTTTAATTATAATTTTGTAATAATTCTTTTTTTTTTTATTAAAGAAAAAACGTTATTTCATTGTAATCATTTTTTAACAGTGCCTCTTTTACAAATTTCTTTTGTTAATTTTTTCCAATATTTGTAATTTCGTTAAATATTTTTTGTTAATTTTCTGTCAAACAATAAAACATCTTAAACATAAATGTACATATGTACGTACGTATATATACAATATTTATTTTTTGATTTGCTCGAATTTTCAATTCCATCATATTTAATTATATACTTTGCTACGCGCTCTCAACATAAAGGAAATGTGTGAGAGGGAGAGAGAGTGCTAATTCTTGAGCACTTTCGTTCAATTTTCGTTCGTTCGTCCGTTGCAATTTCTTCAACGTAGTGAGAGAATAATAAGAAATGGTAAGAGAAAAAAGGAAATTATGAAACGATATTTTCGTATATGCGAATAAATATGTATGAGAATGTACATACACGTATGTATGTATGTGGGTGAGATCATAAACAAATGGACATAAATAACTCTATTAACATATTGGTGGTTCAACAGAAATTAGAAACGGCGCCTTTCTCAATATAAATTAAATGGTACCCCTGAAAAATACCGTTAATGAAGTCCAGTTAAGATCGACTTGGTTTGAAAGATTTTTTTTTTGGTTTAGTGTGACAAATTAAGAGAGGACAAGGACCTCGTAGATCTTCGTAGCTTGGAAATACACTCGGAGGGGTTGAATTCCCTGATATATATATATATAACATGATATAAATATTATATATATAACTGGAGAACACTTCAGTTGAAAAGCAGCGAAATGGAACTCGTTTCTGGAGAGTTGATGGATTTCTTTGAGGAATTCTTGATTAAATGTCATTTTATATTACCTACTAGGGGTTCTAATAAAAGTGTATGGCTTAACCGTTTGTGTGATTTGATTATTTGCTTTAGTTTCTTATAACTGAGAGTACCAGTCTCCTAAAGACAGGAGCTCGATTTATAGTAAAAAATATAGCGTCTCAAATGCCTGAAGATAGAGCACTCGCAAAGGTTGCATATTAAGATACATCTCAGCGGGAGGTGCACCATAAATACACCTGCAAGAATATTAACAATTTTATATGTAGTGCGAATAACAGTTTGATCGGTCTGCAATTTACGCTTAGAGCTTTCCTTATAATTATTTGTTTGATACTTGTTTAAGACTGAGGATATATTCCAAGTAATCTTTTGCATAACGAGAGTTTTTTTTTTTATTACTTATTTCCCCTCTTTCTTTCTTCTTCTTTAAAGAAGTCAACTGCCTGTTACTAACCGAAATCGAAGCACCATCAGTGGTTGTTATAGAAGACGATAATGTAGATCCGATACCATTGAATTGTCACTTCAAAGTGGAAGAGGAAAGCAACTCGCTTGTTGTAAAGTGGACCAAGGATAATAATGTCATCTTTCAATATATCAAAGGACATGGCACGTCCGTAATTGTAGGTTATATCAGCGTAAATTTCCTATTTTTCTCTATTTAACACAATATATTTTTAATTTAATTTGCAGCCTGAATTCAAAGATGAAGTAGAATCTTTATCGAACGAGCTGAATGACGAGGAGAGTGGCATAATGCTGTTAAATCCATCGATCGAATCGGCTGCCGTTTACAGGTGTAACATACAAACGGATAAGAAAACCGTATGGATGGATAAAGAAGTACATGTTATCGATATACAAAACTACACGCATACACTGATACTGAAGAGAATTCAAAATGAAACACATTTGGATTGTGAAGTCGAAAATGTATATCCGGAACCCACTTTGGTTATACAGTGAGTACATACATATATATATAATAGGTATATTACATAGAAATATACAAGTAAACTCATTTATTCTTCTCTGCCTTCAGAACCTTCGATGGCGAGCCAATTCCAATTGTTTCAAGCAACGCCAGCACGCTTGGTAATGGCAAATTCAGCGCCAGTGCAATTGCCGTTGTGCGAACTGATGACGACAGCGCTGACGAATATCAATGTGTGACCCTTTTCAGTGGTTTATCATTTAACTTAACAACGATAGTAATTTCAGGTTCTCCGTCCTTTCGGCGGCCTGAATGGAGCCATCTTTTATTGACTGTTTTGATAGCACTTGTTACTTATGAAAAATTTAGATTTTAGCCATGTCTTATGCTTCTAACGCTTATCTACTAACTTTTCTAATTTATTTGTTGGTTTTGTAAATATTTTTTTTTATATATACGGTTATAGCAAAAATATATATGTACATATGTGTGTAAATAAAAAAGTCAATGTTCATTATTATTTAATAGTGGCAACTTAATTTTTTTCCGGCTTCGTTTGTTCATAAATAGATTTTTGAAATTAACCGGAAGTTGGTTGGTTGGTTGAGGACTTGAGCCAATGAACATGCTGTGTTTCCACGTGTATCCAAACTAAGCGTTTGCGAAAAGTTCGCTTGATTTTACAAATTGCTTTAGTTTCTTCCAACCCAGTATGTTCACTCTATGAGGCTGGAACTGAGACATGGTCTGCACCCAATCGAAATTTAATGGGTGTGAAACTTAATAAGGCAGAATGAGTTTTCGAATAGAAACTTTGAGATGAAAAGAATTGAAATCCTTTACAAGTTCCATAGGAAAAGCCAAAAAATATGGAAAATACTGAATATTTTATTCTCAAAGGATCTTGTTTGAAACAATACGCTAACCTATGTATGTATGTACATACATATATATATATGCATATGTTCATAAACATACTTACATACATATATTTTCAGAAATGAGCTTTATTAATTCAATTGCGCATAGAACAATTTATGCCATCTATAATTTCAGATTGAGATAATTCTTTTACGAAACTATTATTATAATAAACAATTTCAAGTTCCCATACAAAGCGGGTTTCTGCTATTTTCAAAAATTCCCTAAACATTGAAAAGTTTTCTATTAAGAACTGCCTAATTTTTCGCTATTTTTACATTGCAATTTCCCCTTAAACTTTTCATTTCTCATTCATGCACACCACCCTGTACCTGAAAATACCACAATATTCCCTTGTTTATTTAAAAACATCTGCTGCGTCTGTGTTATCATTTCATACTCCGAAATCTACTATTTATTTTTATATAAATGTTTAGCATATAGCAAAGTTAATAAAGTTTGTCACAAACTAGCGTCACAAAATGTGGAAAGGTGTAAACTTATAATAAATATGAAATGGGAGAATATTGTTCCTGAAGAAGAAAAAAATCAATACTAGCCAACCTAAAACATCGTGTACACATACATACACACATATTTCCGGTCATCGCTTCATTCATCTAACTTTAAACGAATTTATTTTGTAATGACTTGTTATAGACCCCGAGGGACCCTAGCGCGGGCGATCTTTCAAAAATATCACAATGATCGTTCTTTGGAAGAACTTGATACCAGACTCGTAAGTAAACAGAAATATTGACTTCTTTCTTGTAGGTAGCTATTTGCGAATGTAACTTTGTATTTGCACATGTGATGTAATGGAATTTTAGTAAAAAAAAACATATGTGTATTGCAATTACAATTTTTTTTATAAAAACTAAGGAATTATAAACTCATATTTACACGTCACTCTTCAGGGGTTCAGGGTTTTACAATACTTGCTCGTAAACCAGTTATTTGTAAAATATTTATTAAAAAAAATGTAAATCCTAATTGAATTGATTGAAATTGAAACAAGTTTCATATTTAAATGTGTCTTTAATTGCGCTTACATAATGAATGTAAGAAGATACTAAAGATAACTCTAAAGTAATTAGATAAGGGAAAACACTTGTTGGTTTGGCTTCTCTTGTCTTTCTTTTGATGACACCAAGAACATGATAATTCATATGGACGTGTATATACAGCATATGTATGCATGTTTGCATGTATAATTGTCAAAGATATAGACAATTATTTATTCTTAATAAGCTTTCTTTTTTAATTTTTTGTTTGGGTTATTACTAAATTTGAAACTAATAAGAGAATTTTTACCAAATACTCTTCTAATTTTAGTGGTACACAACTAATCATGAACTACCTCCAAAATTCCAAAATAAATTCGTACCACTACTTCAACCCGATGAATCGACAATGCGTTGGCTAGAACGTGCCAAAGTACTTTCCACAAATATTTGGCTACACATCTGGCATGCTGTAGCGCGTGTAATTTTACAATTCTTTATGACACAGACTGATATAAATGGATATTTAAATCGTGGTTCAATGTTTATTTTATCGGAACAACAATTTGCACGATTGCTTTGTGCCGGTGGCTTTGATGTTGAGACTCAAGATATTGTAAATATATAAATGTTTATTTTATACAAATTTTTATATTGACTGCTATCTAAATAAATATAAAATATATTGTTTTTACAGATACACTGCTTGGATATTGGCGCGGGTGATGGGGAAATCACTGTACGCTTAGTAAAATCAATTCAGAATTTACATCCGCACTGCAAAATACATACACTTGCCACAGAAACCAGTTGGACTATGCGTGAACGTTTAAAAAATCGCAACTTTGATATACTTGAACGTATAAGTGAAGTACAAAACGCCCAACTGATATCGTGTTTAAACGTACTAGATCGTTGTATTGATCCAATAGATCTGTTAGAGGAAATATATAAAGCATTAGCGCCAAATGGTCGTGTGATTCTAGCATTAGTTTTACCCTATGTACATTATGTTGAATCGAATTCGTCCCATTTGCCACTGCGTCCATTACTAAAACATTGGCCAGAACGTTCACAACAATTGAGTTTTGAAGCAGAAGCTATAGCATTTTTTGAATTACTAGAAAATATGGGTTTTCGTATTGAGGCTTGGACTAAAGCACCTTACCTGTGTGAAGGCGATTTAAGGCAATCATTTTATTGGCTAGTTGATATTGTGGTAGTTTTGTCAAAAAAATAAATCAAATATTTAGATAATAACATTTAAATAAATATATACTATGAATCTCTTGTATTATTGCGTGCATATTTATGTATGTATGCATGTATGCTCACAAAGAATAAAAAGTGTTGTTGTAATTACAATTTTGACTAAATGGTATGTAGGCAATTACCTTTAGTAGTTTAGAAGTTGGATTCGGAAAAAGGGTCTTCTTTTTTATTGTTATGAAACATTTTGTGTTATATTGATTTCGGGAATTATTTTAAAGTTGAGTATAAGTATTTTTTTGAATCCAAAAAATTTTTTGAATTGAATTAATATATGCATGCAATATTTTTGTTTTATATGAAACATTATTAAAGTATTAACTTAAGTCGTCATCAAATATTTAATACAATTTTTTTAACTATTTAATTTGACTTAATATTTTTAGTTAATTGGATCTAAATTTAAATCAAACTAAACATATTTGAAATATTCTGGGAAATGTTTTTGAAAATGTCTTTTGTTGCATGTAACTAAAAAAATACCGTTAAATTCACCCCATTGTGCTTGTTCCTATTAGAATTATTACGAAACGCAACTTTTTTTTTATTGCCTCCTTCCGAAAAAATACACAAAATGAATTAAATTTTAATTACTTTTACATTAATTTAAAATTTAGATAAAGTAAGTATTTTATTCCCGTTTTTTTCCGTTTTTCTCAAAATATTTTTAGGAAATCATTGAAAATCCGATTGGATTTTTTCCACTGCACACATCAGTGTGGCATCGCTATTTTTCTTATTGGAGTAACTACTTGAATTTGTGATAGCTTTTCGATAATCAAGTATCGCACATCACTAAAATAGTGCAAAGTGAGTTCTTAAAAGTGATAAAATTTATACTGATAAAAAATCAGTTTTAGGTATATTTGAGCTGCATAGCTATAAAAAAAGTGAAAACTAAATTTTGTAATGTAACACATAACAAATGTACAGAGCGTTTGTTTGCTTCGAATACACATAATTGTATGTATGAATGACAGTGTACTAGATATTCGCGTATATTTTTTCTTATACGATACATAAAAAATGGACAATGTCAGTAATAACTCCTATATAAATGGAAAAAGTGTTTTGCAATGTGCATATTACATGCGCGAAAGTGAAAATATAAACCGTATGTTGATTTTTTCATTTGGGATATACTCGAAATTTGCTCGAGGGTGAAATTTTGCATACCACGCCTAGATTTTCAGAGCATTTGTGCAAAAAAAACCCCATTCTTCGGAGTCGAACTCTAAATTTTTATAAAAATATATGAATTTCTTTCATTTTAAGTGCGTGAAAATATATAGCACGGCAGCGAATTGATTTAATGAATGTGGCATCTTTTTTTCGAAAACTACATATTTTAGGTATCCAAAGAAAGTACAATATGAGCAGATCACTTTTTTATATACTTATATATAAATATGCATACATACATATGTATATCAATATGAGACACACAGTGCTGCTCCTCGCTATAAAAATTCATTAGCTTCATCCTAGTTGCCTTATATACATATATATTTGCATATTATACTTTTTTTTTTATACATGTCGGGGGAAAAAAAGGGTGAAAAAACTTGTTGAGTCAAAATTGTTTCATTTCATGTGTAAAAATATAATTTTTGCAAAATATATTATTCGTAATCGCCACTTTGCGAGAGATTCTAAAAACATATATGGAAAACAAAAGTATACATTTGTATGTATGTATATTCCAAAAGTATGCTGCGCCGCAGACATAGGTCTTTTTATATACAGTAGTGAGCAGAAAAACACTTTTTAGAAGGGATGAGCGGGAGGGAGGTAGAGATTATGAAGTGGGAAGTTTCGTTAATTTTTTTTTCTTTCCTTTAGTTTGATGCATAAAATAAGTAGAAGTAAATTAAGTAGTAGAATGAATGATAGTCACAGCTGATATGAGGATTTCAAAGACAGGTTAATAATATAAATAAATTATATGTATGTATGTACATATCTACATGCAAACATATGTATGTATGTATTATGTGTATGTATGCATGTATGAAAAATAAACATAACCACACAAACAAGTGTATAAATATACTATATAGTATATGATAAAAATACTATAAAACGGATAAATTATATTTCAAAATGGTTAGGAAAAATTTTTTAAATATACATACATACAAGCACATAATCAAACTTACATATGTACGTACATATGCATATAAATATGAAAATATGTTTGTAACTATCAAAGAATATAAACTGTTCTTTATATCAAAAGGAATCAAGATTAATTGCTTCGAATATTGTTTGCATGTGCATATGTATGTATGTATGTAGGTATGATGTGAAAGTAAAACAAGCATTCTAATCAGACCAATTGCTTCGAAAATTATATGTATGTGAAATATTTCTATATATTCGACGAGCGTTTTTATTTACGAAAAACAATATTAATTTAATTAAATTTTAGAAAAAAAAAATAGTAAAAAATGTCTTTTTTTCGCATCATCTACAGAAACGCCATAGGTGGGGAACTGCACGCACATATTATTGTACACAAAAAACAAACGCAACTAGAGTTCAAACAAAAACAACATCAACAACAACAAACACACGTAAAGTTAAAAACACAAAAAAGCACAAATTTATTATTTTTCGGAAACTCAACACCCACAACTACCAAAAAGAAATAAAAATAGTAATAAAACTCAAGCAAATACAACAAAAGCGACGACGCACATATCTTAAAGCAGCTAACTGAACTTTGAGCTAATTAGACTGGCTCAAAACGGCGGCAATAGGGAGGCGGAGTCTCCCGACGGGGCGCAAGAGAATAGAGCAGCGTGTTGGTGGACACCTTGGACGGCAATGGGTTGCTTCGGTTCACCCAGTTCCAAACAAACGGATGTAAATTCAGAAGACTCCAAAAGTCAAAAGCGTCGGAGCGATGCAATATCAAAGCAGCTACAAAAGGATAAGCAACTATATAGAGCTACCCATCGTCTACTATTGCTAGGAGCTGGTGAGTCGGGTAAATCGACTATTGTGAAGCAAATGCGAATTTTGCATGTTGATGGATTTTCCGAACCAGAGAAAAAGCAAAAAGTCGATGATATTAAGAAGAATATACGCGATGCAATCCTGGTAAGGAACAACATATATGTATATGTATATGTATATGTATATAACATAAAATATTTGAAAATGCATGCAATATGGCATACACAAACTTTAAATGCAGTTGTATACAAACTTATATACATATGTACATACATATGTATGTATATTGTTTTTATATGAGCGTATGTGTGTAAAAATCGATTAATCAATTTATTTCTATCTTAGACAATTACTGGTGCCATGAGCACATTAAATCCACCTGTATCTTTAGAGAAGAAGGAGAATGAGGCAAGGGTTGAATACATCCAGGATTACGCTTCCAGTAAGATTTAGATTTTTTTTAATTATAACTACCTACTTGAGTGAGGTTTCAAAAAAATAATTTAAATATATTAAGATGGTGTGTGACTTTAAGGAAATCATTTGTTAATAATTTATAAAAAAAAAATATTATAGAGGCGCAAAACATAAGTACAAAAGTCTATACAAATCGCATATAAATACATACATGAATATATTGGCGAAAAGTTTAGAAAAGTAGAAGGAAAACATACGAACAAAACTTCATATTTCCGGCATCTATTTTTAGTAAATGCTTAAAATAATTCAATGGAGAGAAATTATAGCAAAAACTATTCAAACGTCCATTTATTAAATTCGCAAAATATATTTCGTAATTAAGAACGCCTCACATAATAATTAAAATATTTCCACATATTTTTTAATTAATCAAATCTAAATAATTTATTTTAAAAATAACTCCCCAAAATTTTTAAATACCACGCGTAGACAATTTTGACCTTGAAATTTCACTTTAGTATGTGGACAACGAAAATCCGCAATTAATTTTAAATATTTAAAATAATATATTTATGTAATTTAAAAAAAGTAAAAATAAGTAATTTTTTTGTTTTTTTAATAAATCGAAACTTTGTTTTATATACTACCAACAAACAGGTCCCGATTTTAACTATCCTCCAGAGTTTTATGAGCATACAGAGGAACTATGGAAAGATCGAGGAGTATTGCAAACATTTGAGAGATCAAATGAATATCAACTGATTGACTGCGCAAAATAGTGAGTGTGCATGAAACAATAATTGTATACTAGAAAAATTTATGAACAGTTTTCAGAAAAAATCATATGTCCAAAAAACTTAAAACTAAAACTAAACTAAAAATTATTACTTTATGTGCTTGTGTTTTTGTTGTTATGGTGATTTTATTTATTATTATTATTATTTGTTTATATATATATTATATTATTTTGTTTTACTAATTTTTTTTTTAATTTCATTTCAAGTTTTTTGGATCGAGTAAGCATAATAAAGAAAGTAGATTATACACCAAGCGAGCAAGATATTTTAAGATGCCGTGTCTTGACTTCAGGCATTTTCGAAACACGATTTCAAGTAGACAAAGTTAATTTTCAGTAAGTATCATAAAAATATTATTTTATATCTTTTATGGAAAATTAATAATTACACTTTTCTTTCTTCACATTACAGCATGTTCGATGTTGGAGGCCAACGTGATGAGCGGCGTAAATGGATTCAATGTTTCAATGATGTTACAGCTATAATATTTGTAACTGCTTGTTCCAGCTACAATATGGTATTGCGAGAAGATCCAACACAAAATCGTCTCCGTGAATCATTGGACTTGTTCAAAAGCATTTGGAATAACAGGTAAACAAAACAATCGAACTTTAATGATTGCTTAGGTAGAAAAATTGAACTATGTTTATGTATATCAAAAAATTTAGTTACATGTTTGTGTTAATGTGTTAACGATTATTCTCATATATTTCTTTCACACATAAAATGCTTAAAAATTTGTTGTATTAGATGTGGTATTTAATTATATTTAAATTATTGAATTATATATTTTAATCCAAATAATTTAATATACTCATATTCATATTTCCAGATGGTTACGCACAATTTCTGTAATTTTATTTTTAAATAAGCAAGATTTACTAGCTGAAAAAATTAAAGCTGGAAAGAGTAAACTTTCGGAATACTTTTCCGAGTTTAACAAGTATCAAACACCAAGTAAGTATAAACGAAATACTTAAACAAACAGTATTAAAATATATTTTTTATACTAGACATTGTAATAAACCGTATTATATCTTTGTATGAAATACACTAATTTGCCGAAAATTGCTTCAAAACAGCGGAAATGTTATTCTTGGCATTTTTAAACATATTAAAGTTAAAAATTTCAAACTAGAACAATCAAATATGTTTCTTTAAAAAAAATGTATTTTATTTTATTTTAATATATTTTGCATTTCATTTTATTTTTATTAATTTATTTTTATTTTATTTAATTTCTTTTTTCAAAATTTCAATTAAAACTCGTTGTATGATATACGTTGCTCCGTTAACATACTGTCGTTAAATTTTTAGTATAATTAATCAAATATTTTTTTTGTTTTACGTTAATTTAATTAACTCACATCTTTCCATTATTCCTAGGTGATGCTATAACCGAATCTGGTGATGACCCAGAAGTGATCAGAGCAAAATATTTCATACGTGATGAATTTTTGGTAAGCAATAGCACAAATGCATGTATACTTACATACACATACATTACACGTACTCATGGTCTTTACCTTAACAAAAACATTCACTACAATCATTTTTTAACCCGATCCCTTATCCGACCTCATTATTAACACTGCATCGATATCCCGAAAAGCTAGCAGAGTTCAAAAGGGATGGTGAGAAAAGCATATAGAAGTAGTTTCGTGTGATTAACAGTTAGTGTTTCCATAAAGAGGATATTTTAAAAACTCCACGCTTTCGTCAGTTTTTATACTTTCCATGTATATGTAATGGTATATTAACCGAATTATGTACAAAAGCATCAAAAGGAAAATTTTTTACCGAATAGATCAGAAGAATGAGCTGAATAGATGTATTTTATGCTGTTGAAAACGTTCAGATCGGACCACTATAGCATATATACATAGATATATTACCGCTATTTCAGATTTAAAAACATCGAAGAGTATGGTATTATTGGTATTTTACATTCACATCTATAAATAAACACCGAAAATCATCGATATCGAATCATATCATAAAGCCCTCATACAATCGATTTCTTCAGGTACTAGGTTTTCATTCAAATTTCCTTCGAAAAAGCATCTACAAGTGTGAGATTTGGCATACACATATGTATAAATAAATATTAGGTTGTCAAATATCTCCCTTCCGCTCTTTTGTCTTTCGAATTTCGCGGCTACGTACAAAGCGCTACAGAGCTCGTATCTGGCAACACTATACATAATTTGAAAGGTCTTGACATAATCTACCAAACAACGCTATGCATGATTAGTTTGGATATTGCGTTCAACAGTTATAGACGTGTAAACATGGAGTTCACTAACGCCGAAATACGCGCTATTTTAAAGTTTTCCTTCGTTAAAGGCAAATCCGCTCGAGAAACGTTCCGTGAGATTAATAGTGTTTTGGGGGACGGTACTCTATCACTTCGAACCGCGGAGGAATGGTTTCGGCGATTCAGAGCAGGTGAAAACGACACCATAGACAAGCCAGCCGGCGGAAGACCTGTGACGACAAATACCGATCAAATCATGGAATACATCTAGTTAGAGCGGCATATGGCATCTCGTGACATCGCCCAGGAGATGGGAGTTAGTCACCAAACTATTTTGAACCATCTGCAGAAGGCTGGATACAAAAAAAGTTTGATGTTTGGGTGCCGCATAATTTGACGCAAAAAAACCTTCTGGACCGAATCAACGACTGCGATATGCTGCTGAAACGGAACGAATTCGACCCATTCTTGAAGCGGATGAGCCGGGATTAACGGCCAGGCAGGTTTTGCTGTGTGTTTGGTGGGACTGGAAGGTAATCATCCACTATGAGCTGCTCCCATATGGCCAGACGCTTAATTCTACCATCTACTGCGAACAACTGGATCGCTTGAAGCAGGCGATCGACCAGAAGCGTCCAGAATTGGCCAAGAGAAAGGGTGTAGTGTTCCACCAGGACAACGCCAGACCACACACTTCGTTGATGACTCGTCAGAAGCTACGGGAGCTCGGATGGGAGGTTTTATCGCATCCACCATATAGCTCGGACGTAGCGCCAAGTGATTACCACCTGTTGCTGTCCATGGCGAATGCCCTTGGTGGTGTGAATTTGAAGTCAAAATAGGCTTCTGAAAAGTGGCTGTCCGAATTCTTCGCAAATAAGGAGGGGGCCTTCTAAATCCGATCACTGTAACACTTTTTATAAAGCATTGAATGAAGAGCAAAAAAAAAAACGGAAGGGAGATATTTGACAACTTTATATTTTATAGCTCTCATACAACCGATTTGTTTAGATATGAGAATCTGCAAAAGAAAAGCATCTGAAGAACTCGAGAAAATTAATCCTTCGGATATTTGCCTCTTTCCATTTTGTGGTTTTAAAAGTACAGAGTTTGTATTTTGACTATTTGTCAAACTTAACTGAGAAACCAAACATGTTTTGTTTTACTTAAAAGTCAGACATTTATGAAAATGGATTGCTAACAACCACACAACGCGTTAAAATTGTTAAAACCTACTGAAAAAATGATGATTCAAACGATGCCACGTTTCGTAAGGAGATTATCGCGAACACAATCGTCCTTATAATTGATTTTAAAGAGACTGGATCGGTTGCAGATATTGTGAAGCCGATGAATCAATGTATTGCTCATTCCACCTCAAGTATAGCTACGGTAAGTGAACGTGTAGCCGAAGACCAAAATGTTTAGTGGGTCTCGCCGTTCTCAGGATCTGCGACTCTCTTACGGCACATTATGGCGTGTTTTGCACTTGGGCTTACACCTACATTCATATAAAGACCCGCGCATATTACAATTGAATCCGATTGACCATTCAAAGCGCCGTACTTACGTCGTTTGGGTGATTAATCAACAAGCAGTGTACGATAATTTTCGAACAAAGTTTTCTTAAGCAACGTGACACAATTTTCTCTTGGAGGAAACATAAATAATCAACATTGTCGCACTTGGGACTCCAAGAATTTTCAAAAAATTTGAAAAGAGGCCATTGTACACTCAAATTTACTGTCTGGTGTGCTCTTTGAACCGGAGGAGTCTTTGAAAATGACAACGGAGGCACTGTCACTGTCTATTCGGAACGTTATAGTCCTGTGATAACCGTCTTTTTTTGTCCTGTAATTGAACAACACGACTTGGACAATGTGTGGTTTCAACAAGATACGAGCGAATATGGCCTTACACGGCTGAAGAGATTTTCGGCCGAGTTTCACCTCCAATTTGTGGTTTTGCGTCTTGTTGTTTTTCCAGCCCATTGAGGGACCTACAGTTTATACTAAGCCACCACCAAACGGCTAATGGTTTTTTATGAGGAGCTTTGATTTTCATGTTAGAAATACACTCGAAGAGGAGTTCACATTCCCTGCGACGGCAATTAGAAAATTTAACTTAATTTTTTATTGAAATGAATTTTCTATAACTTTTTGATGTTGGTTGCACTGCCAGCTCTCAGGTGATTTTAATAAATTTAAAAGCAATTATCGGGTTTTTTGTGTAGTTAACCCTAATTTTGAGCTTTTTTTTTTGAAACGCTATGCTTTCGTTAGCTCAACAGCCCCTATTTTCTAAGCATCAGGCCTAAATATTTTTTTCTCGACTCATGTGTCACTGCCATTTAACGGTTGTAGTTGAATATACTATATAACTGTTGATTAAAATCAAAGATAGTTTTTTTTGTACATAATTTCCCCATTTTCCCTAACATTCCTCACTGTCAACTTCGTGTGAACCTAACCTAACACTGTGTAGTAAATCATCGCCTATCATTAAATCGCTATATTGGTAAACATCATTGGCCATTAATATACACATGCATGCATGTCCGCTCGCACATACATACATACACGTTACGCCACTACACCCGCCATATATGAGTATGAAATTCAAAGAGAAAAAATTAAAAAAATTCAAACGATTAAATGTAAACGAAAAAAAAAAAAAATAATTCCAAATATTTTACTGCCATTTGAATACATTTATATGTACATATGTATGTACTACTGTAGCTTATACCTTCGTATTTGTCTTATGCTTCATTCCAGCGTATCTCAACTGCTAGTGGCGATGGCAAACACTACTGTTATCCACACTTTACATGTGCAGTTGATACGGAAAATATCAAAAGAGTGTTTAACGATTGTCGAGATATAATTCAAAGAATGCATCTTCGCCAATATGAGTTGTTATAGGTTTATTTTTAGTGTCAGTGGAAATAAAAATATGCAAATAAAAAACAAAATTCTTTAAGAACAATTAAATAAAAATACCAATGTTTGATCAAAGACAAAAAGATTCACGATTTCGATTTCATTCATAAATGGCAAATCAAATATGTACTCGTATATATCGGTGAGTATTTTCTATAAATATGTATAAGTGTAAGTTTTCTCAATATTCCGAATGCAATGAATGAGACAAGCAAATCTGAAATAGCGAAAAATAGCGAAAGACGTGCTGAAGCTGGACTGCCTGGATGTTCTACAATATAAACCCAAGGAGGAGCGTAATATTAGTTTTGGCAATGTTCATGACGTGTTTTAGATATGTACTTAAGCGACTTTCAGGCGAGCTTCTCAGGCGAATTTAATTTTGTTTGCAAGTGGTGGTACCTAAACAGCTGAGGGTTCTTTCTATTGAGGTCACCCACGGCAGGTAATGTCAAGCGCTCTTCTTAAAAATTCATCAGCTATTCTGAGACGGCTTAGCATAAATTGTTATTTTTCGAAAGTCTATCACCACCTTTTTCGGCACCCTCTAAGTGTGTTCACATACCACTACCCATAAGAGACAAAAGTTCAATATTTCTTCCGAGTCTTTTGTGGATTTGGCATAGTAAAGCTGAGATTTTTGTTCATTGGAGCAGATTTTTAGACTTCAGATCGTCGCCAAAGAGATGCATGTTGATTAACCAGAGGATACTTGAACTAAGACTGGATGTAAGAAGTTTAAACAATGCTCCTGCAAAAAAAAATCGTTTTTGGCCTGGCTGGCTCCGGTGTAAGGCAGGCAAAAACTTCTCTAGAAAAAAAGTTCGGCAGATTTATGATCTTTGGACCGAGAAATCCAGGCTGACGTAGCTTAGCGAAGTAAGGGACAGCAACTACATCTCTAGCGGAAGCGGAAAGAGAGGAAGACGTTCACTTGGCTTCACTTAGTATCTCCAATTAACGCCTAAGTCCGCTGGCACGCTATTATTGATTTCACTGCAGTCGCATAAGTGCTGCCTATGCCAATTAGGAAGTATAAGATCATATCTATATACGAACTTGGCAAGGAGACAACCGAGGCGTGCAATGAGCCTATCACCCTAGACCTGAAAAAAACCTAACGTTCCATCGGCTTCACTTCACCAAATTGCGACTGAAATTGAATTTATGGAAGTGGGGGAAGGAAAAGCTTATTTATCGCAAAAACAGATGGCCGAGAGCTAGTAGAGTTTAGTGAAATCCACGTAATATTGAGTTGGGGCTTTAATCCAACGTGAGCTACATTTAAATGCAAACGTTCCATTCACTTGCTGAGGTAAAGAGTAAAGTTTCCTTTTAATAAACACTCCAATAATCTCCCAGTGGAAGGGACTGTCAATCTTCCTCAGGTTGTATTTCCGATATGAAATAAAAAGCTCCTCATTTGAATACAACGGCCGTCGGAAGCGACTTAAACTAAAGTGTAGGTCCCTTCCATTTTTGGAAAAGCATCCAAAACCACAAATTGAGAGAGTAGCTTGCCCAAAAATGTTTTAGCTGTTATTGAAAGCCAATAAAGGTGCCCATTACCCTCTTAAATTTCGAAAATTTGTATTATTCTTATCTTCTAACGGCCAGCGACGCTCGCATATTACCCGCATTGTTTAAAATTGTTTAGAGAATTAGTTTCCTAACTTTAGTAAATGCTAAACCAAGCTACCAGCTCCCGCTACGCTTATTACCCGCCATCAATGATGGATGGGTAAAAGTAGTAGCAGCAAGTTCTAAACCAAGCAGTGTTCATAGTGTGTAACGGAGCTTTTAAAAATGACCTCGAAATATTTCTTTTTCCAAATTATAGTATTTTTAACGCTCCTCAAATTGATCATAGCCAATGAGAATGAAAATCAGCAAGATCTTGAAGTGATAACTACAACAAATAGAGGCGCACGCACCTGTCGCCGCTGCATTGGGAAACTACAATCCACGGGGCTGATTAAACAGCTGAAGACCTTGAGAATTAATAGGCGTTGGGAGAATGAGAAGGAATTTCGTAAGGGCATACGTTTCAAATATTATAGGTATGTAGACTTGTGGATGGGTGAGGTTTGGGAACTAGAACAAATTTCAATTACTACATATTACTAATACATACTCACACACACTTAGGGATGGTGAAAAAGTGTACGAAAGCGCTAGCGATGATCCCGAAGCTTTGTCGAAGTCTGGCTGCGCGCCTGATGATAAATTTGCATTTATTTTGCATGGTTGGCGTCAGAGTTGCGAGACCGAGTGGGTGCTCACGCTCATCGAACGTAAGTAATAGAAGTGTGGCTATATCGGTATATTGGCTAAAGCATGTTTCATTAAAGGTCTCACATATCATCGCGGCGGCTGTATCGTATGCATTGACTATGAGATATTCGCCAAGGACTCCTACATGTGGTTATATCGTAGTTTTCGGCGCATTTCAAATATAATTACAAGACGCATATTGCTTTTGATCAACGAGGGCTTCATGCCGGATAATGGTTATATGTTTGGTTTCAGTTTCGGCGGACAGTTGGCATCGGCGATCGGACGAAGTTTGAGTCAAAAATATCTCTTTCGCAGCATCGACAGTAAGTACATACATGTAAGGTTAAGATCGGTGTATATCTAACGGTCTATTAGTCGAGTGGTTAGCAGTGTTTGCGCTACTTTGTAGTGTTCTGATCGGAGCCCATAGCTTGCCCACTTTTTAGCGAACCACGACTAGTCGCTCCGAGAGTATTTTTGGCATGAATTGCAGATATGCTCATAAAAATTTATCAGCCATTCGGTCGGGTCTTAGAGTTAAGGTGTTGAAAACATCAAGACGACCCGAATGACGAGTCCGGCAGAAAGTCATTTGTTTCTAGGAGAAAGTTTTCCCTATTTTAGATATGATACATGTAGATTAGTAATATTAAAGAATAAATGAGTCTCTACCGCAATTGAAATTCTTAAATTTCTATTCCCATACAACACAGCTTGCGATATGGCCGGTCCCGGCTTCGATGTCTTCATAAATATCGATCATCGTCAGGCTGCACGGCATGTGCAATGTTTACACTCTAGTCGCGATAAAGGCACCCAGGTGTATACCTGCCATCAGAATGTTCGCTTGGGTAGTTGTGGTCACTTTCAACCGGCTGCCGCTAGTCAACCCTATTACAGCAGCCACGGCTTGTGCGTACAAATCTATATAAATGCCTTCGATTATCCTTTCTATGCAATGCAATATGAGCCATCGTGGTGTGCCTCACGAAGAGCGGCAACAAATATACCCTATAAGTATACTATTGGTTACAATGAGACGCCGGATTCGTAAGTAATTTGATTTAAATTATTTTTTATTTTTTTATTTATTTATTTTTATTTTTGTTTCGCTTAGAATTTAATTTTTTCATTTTCATCTTAAAAATTTGTTTTTTATAATTTTTATTTTTAAATAAATTTTTAAATAAAAATTATATTGATTTATACTAGAATAATTGAAATTAAAAAATATTTTTATATAAAGTTTGATTTTTAGGCGCGGATTTTTTATATTTTCTTATATAACCATAATTAAATTTTGTTTCGAATTGCAATTATTTTTGATAATATGCAAGTTAATTAGTGGCTTCACAACACTGTATGTTTGTAGTAAGTGCAGTTTGTAAAGGTCATTTTAAGTTAAGCCAAATCTAGAGCTACCAATTTTTCTAGGTTAGGCCATTTTAGGGGCTCCATGTTTTTCAGAGCTTCAAATAAGGGATTTTTTATTGTATTATTGCTTGTTGGCTCGGTCGAGGGACCTATTTAAAAAAAAAAAATTTTAGCAAATTTTACTAAAATATTTTTTTCTCTTTTCACTTCCACTGATCCTGATATGAGTTCTGCTGTCAACGCAGGGGCAATTTCTTTCCGACTTCTCCGATGGGGTCACAATAAAAATATATATTTTATGCAGAATTAAGCACATAATAATATAAAAAAATAAATAATAATATTTTTATTATATATTACTAATTATCTAAAATGCAGGTAGGCTTAGTGAAAAATATGAAATTTCCCAGCGCCCCTCAAATAGTTGCTCATACGCCGTGGCTAACAGTTTTTTCTTATTCTTGAGCTTGAAATCATATACATACATAAGTGCATACGTAAATATTTAATATATATCTATATTTATAAGTGGCCGTGGTAGCCGAGTGGTTAGCTTTGCGTACTGCCCAGGTTCAAATCTCGTTACAACCAACATCTAAAGTTGTCGAAAATTAATTTAAATAAAAAAATTTTGTTAAATTTTCTAAATGAGGCTCCCCCTCGGTGTATTTCTGACATGAAAATCAGAGGTCCTCATAAAAACTAGTATAAACTGTAGATTCCTCCATTTGTTGGAAAAACATCACGGCGCAAAGCCACAAATTGGAGCAGCAGCTCGGCCGAAAATCGCTTCAACGGTTACAAAACGCCAATTATATATATATATATTATTGTATATATATCTATATTTATTATTTAGATTTATTTTTAAATAAAAATATATTTTATTTTATTTTTAATTTTTTTGTTAAAAGAAAAATAGTTATATCAGCTATATCTATTTTGTTTAATTTAAAAATTTTTTTTTTCTAACTCTCTGCTATAATCATTATTTAGGAGTATACGCGGTGAAATTTTCGTGCCAACTAGTCTACATTTTCCATATAATTTTTCTGAAAAAGAGATGCTGATGCTGGGATTCTTCGATGAAAATGCGGAAATTTAAAGCAGGAAACTTTAAAAAGTAAAAATATTATAATATTATTAATATTAATATTTTCGAAAAAAAAAAACAAATATTTTGAAACAGAACACTCAGTTAAAAATAAAAAAAATCAAACAAAATGTATGTGTAAATAAGCAATGTACATATGTATATAACATGCTAGAATTTTTTTAAATAAATAATAGTTAAACAATGATGAGTAACATTTTGATTGACAATAAAAACAGCTTGACGCAATCTTTTTTTTTTTATTTGTACGTACATACATATACACACGAAGATTACTATTTTATGCTAGAAAAATATCCTTGTAAAATTTAGTTATGCAAAAATAAGCTGAAAATCGAAAAGGCTTAAAACTAACAAAGATTTGAAAGAGAGTTGTGACCCAACAAAGGCTAAAAGACGATTGTATGAGAATGATAATTCAAAACATTGTCGGCACACAAATATTTCTTCACTACCGTAAGTTTCATATCTCTATATTTTACCGTTTTTCAATGAATCAAAAAGAATTTAATTTCTCCGTATCTTCTAAAGTGATTGTTATAGAGGTTAACAGTAGTTCTTTTAGTTCATAACATACTTAAAAAAATTGAGGTTATGTTTAAATTACTCTTAGTTTACATTTTCAACCATTTCATGAGACAATAACTAAAATACTTCCTTTGAATTGCTCATTTAATTTACTATAAAATGTGAGTTTCGTAAATTTTTCAAAAAAAAAAAAAAACTTTTTTACAATAAAAAAAACTAACCTCAAAATTTATTAAGCAAACAAGTTCTGTCATCAATTATATTGCAAGTTTCGAAGTAATAAAAATATATGCAATTAACAAAGAATTTATTGCCTACATACATATATATAAATTTGACCAACCAAATAAAAATGTAAAATATATAAATTTAGTGATGCGCAACAGAAATTTATGTCATAAATAATTCGCTTAACAATTATAATATTTTAAATAAATATATATATATTCATATTAATAGAAATCATCATCAAATTCCGCTGCATTCGATTTTTGATTCTTGACTTGATCTTGATTACGATACAAATAAGCCACTTGTTGCGCACATGTGGCGTCCTCAGCAGATTTATCATCACGTATACGTATGAAACGTGGAAATCTTAGCGATATACCCTTTTCTGGGTCAATAATGCCAATGCCTGCCTTATGCACGGGACTCAAAGAAAGATCTGCACATTTTACTTCCCAAACTTGTACCGCTTCGAACCATGTATCTGGCTCTAAGCTGCTATCGAAACGATAATACGATTTAGGCGTTGGTATGGTGTGTTCTTTAAAGAATTTCGCATGCGTATTCAAATCTTCATCGTTTAGACCTTGAGAATGGGAAAATAATTGGTCATTAGAAAAGTTATTATACACTTTTTCTTTTAAATCAAGTACACACCTGTCCCTATTTTGCAAATACTTTGATATTCCTCATTTTCATCATCGTAGCAAGCCAGTAGAAAGCCACCATACATGCCAGTGCGCTTACCCTTGCCTATATAGCCACCAATTACTACCAGATCTAGCGAATCGCCAACACCCGTCAAATAATCCTTTTTCAGTTTCAACCATTTGTGTGAACGTTTGGCAATTTCGTAAGAAGCGTCATTATCCAGTGACTTGATCATTAGACCCTCACAATTTCCTAAAAATTCATGTAATGATTTTCATTGTAGACGTATTTGAGTGTGTAATGATCAACTCACCTTTAATCGAATTCTCCAGGAAGCCTTGTATATCATCCGGATCATTTGTGTCGCATGAAGTAGCAAATTGAAATTCACCTTCCACCTCATTGAAATTATCTCGCAGCAACTGTCTTCTTTCCTCGAAATTTTTTGATGTCAGCGCCTCGCCATTCAAATAGAGCAAATCGAACGCATAAACGCACACCTGCACTTTAATCTCTTCTACGTCGACATTCTTACGCTTCCTTGTACTTAAAACTTGGAATGGTAAAATTTGTTTCTGCTCAATATCCCAAGCAACGACTTCACTATCAACTATATACGATTTGACAGTATCCTTCATGAAGTGTTCGATGCGGTTTATAATATCAGGATATTTCGTTGTGTTATTTTCTTGATTTCTTGAATATATATTTACATTGCCCTTTTCATCGCGGTGTATTTGCGCTCGTTCGCCGTCGTATTTCCATTCGCAAGTGAAGTTGCCTTTCAAACGATCCATGACCTCGGAAACACCTCTGGTGGGATGGGCCAACATAGGTTTCAACGGCACACCGGGTTCCATTGAACAATATTTAAGTAAATCATCCAGACCATGAGTGAGTAGCGTAGAGACAATTTTATCAAAATTTGGGCATTGACTATAAAAATTTTTATATGAATTATTAATAAGTATAAATCAAGATTAATTTATTTGCTAAATATTACCAATAAGCAGTTTTCAAGATAAAAGTTATGTCCTCAATATCTTTCTTAATATCAGCTTCAGATTGTTTTTTCTTTTTATTTTTATCATCATATTGTCTGCTGTTTACTATCGCTGTAGCCAGAGCCTGAAATAAACTCTTCTCTGCTATGCCAATACGCATTTTACCAATTAGGGATCTGATTATGAAACGTGCCTCAGAATAACGTGATGCCACAAATAGATCATGTATGATTGGTGACTTTGCTTTGCCGGAACTTTTTGCTATTGCACGCAATTTCTGATAAACTGTTTGTACAGTGAGCGGTTTTGGCGTAAACATCATACGTTGCGAAACCCTCGAACGTTCAGCCACAATACCCAAATCACCAATTTCTTGCGTTTGGGTCTTAATGAACTTAAGCTCGCGTCCTGTAGAAACGGCTATGACTTTCATTAGTGTAGTTTCGGCAACACCGAGCTCAACACCTGAAATTTTCAAATTGATTAGAGGATATCAGCTACTCTACCTATCTAACTTCTACCTTCATAAGCTGGAGCTAACTGATTTATACTCAAATAAATGCAGGAGAGCAAGTCTTCTGGATTTAATAAGAGCACTGAACTTAAAAAGTTTGCTAATATTTCCACCATCTTGTAACGGCCTTTGGTATCTTCAATCATTTCAAAAGTTCTAGCTAAAGCCAGATAAGGTGTGCTGTTGCAGGAAAATTATGCATTTAGTAAGAAAAAAGAAATATATTCAACAAATCACATATGTACCTTTGTTTCTCTTTCCAATATGCATCTTTTATAGGATGGTATTTAGACGCCGCTGGGTTATATTCTGCACCACATTGATTAGACTCTACTGAAAGTTTTTTAACAGGCGTAGCATCATTTTTATCAACTTCTTTTTCTGCAGTACTGCTCGATGAAGTAGCCTTTCCTGTGATTTCATCATTGTTCGTTGCTTCCTTTGTGTCCTCGCTTATTTCCTTTTTGAGTGGTATTAAGTTAGCTTCTTTTTTGGCCCCACTAATTTGTTTTTGAATGGGACCGGCTGTAACTTCCTTTTTAAATGGACTCAATTTAATTTCCTTTTTCAACGGGCTTGCTTTAATTTTACTTTTCGGCGATGTTTTCTTAGCTTTAGGCGATTCTTTCTTTGTTTCACTATTTTTCGATTTATTTTCCTTTTTGTCCGATTCTTCAGATTTTCTTTGAACTTTCTTTTCCGGCTCTCCAATCTTCCCATGGGATTGTGGACTTTCCTGCCTTGGATTAGTTGGGGGAAATTTTACAATCAGAATTTTAGCGCGCCTTTATTACACTTTACCTGCTGCGTTTTGCGCTTGAAGATTCCTCTGTGCCACTCGTACCGCCGGCGGGTTTAAAGAACGACCTAAAAGCAAATTTATTTGTTGTGTTAACTTGCAGCAAGGTATGTCTTAGATTATTGATAACTAACGTTATTGATCTTTGTGCCATTTTATCGTTATTTTGCTTAATATTTTTATTCTGCTTGCAAAATGTAAATAGTTGCAAAATCGCCGGCGAATTGTTTAAGGTATGTGAAGTCTCCACAGGGTGCTAGATTTTAATTCAAAAAAATCAACTTTCAGACCTGCCAACTGAAAAGAGTTTTTGAATTTTTTTAAATTTCTTGCCCATTTTTATATTTCAAGGGATTTTACCGATATGGCAATGTTAATCAAAAGCGTGGTTGAAATAAAAACAAATACTTCCACTGTACACTTACCATCAAGCAATTTTGTTAAAAAATTTTAGAATTTACAAGTTTCAAAAAAGTGATTTCAGCAAAATGGGTTGGAAAAAGAAACCAAAACCCAAGGCGCATAAGGGCAATCTAAGTAAGACGGTTAAGAATCTAAAATACAAACGTAAAGCAAAGGAAATGATGGAACAGCACCGGAAGCAGGCTATGCTAGAAAAGTCCTACAGAGAAAAAGAGGAGACAAAAATTGATGAAGCAGAAGGTAAAATATTTGAATTTATAAAAGATGATGTCGATGATGAAAATGGTGAGCTAAATACATTCGATGAGCTAATGGACACGCTGTCAACGAGAGGTAAGCTTGTTTATACATTATCCTAACAGGTAAAATAAGACTATATTAATAATTGTGTCATCAACAGCACCAGGGAAGGCGCAATCAGACGATTCGCTTGATGACGAATTGGACGACGAGACTTTGCCCATTCCAGAGGAAGAGCAGTCTGAGGAAGAAATAGCTGAAGAGATCCAGGAAATACCAGAAGTTGAAGAACTAGAAGCAATGCAATCAAATGATACATTCGCATTACATTTTGATTATGAGTTACCGGTCGAAAGTGTTGATAGTATATGGAGTACTCAGTCACAAATTAAGAAAACCATTTTGACTTGGCCCAATCTCGGCATTTTAAAATCTCAAATACCACAATTTAAAAGTGAAGACTTAACAACTGAGGAAGTTCACTGGAATATGAATTATAAAGTACTTAGTGCAGAACAACTGCATACGCTCAATATAAGATCAACAATTTCAGAGAATTTTATAAAGGATCTCACACCGCTGCAGAACGAAGTTTTCCAAATACTCAATCACTATAATGATTTTTGCCATTCCAACGTGCAAAAAGATAAGCTAGACGAGTTAAGATTGTGTTATAGTGCACATGTACTCAACCATATGCTAAAGACACGTACTCGCATATTAAAACATAATATGAAATTGGCAGCTACACCAAATCTTGTAACCATACCGGATAGCTATCGGGATCAAGGTTTGGCACGGCCCAAAGTGCTCATTATATTGCCATTCCGAAAGTGCGCATATCAGATAGTGACAAATATGGGTCGCTTGATGTATGGCAAAAATATGGGTATGTGCGACTAGTTTAATTTAAATAAATATTTAACTTTAATAATATAGATTTGTTCCCTTTTCTTTTATTTAGAATCAAAATTAATGAACTTTGCTCGCTTTACTGATGAATACACCGGCGATACTTTACGTTTTCCGCAAAATAAACCCAAAGCCGAAGACTACGTAGAAACGTTCAAAGGCAATATTGATGATAACTTCAAAATCGGCATTTCCATAACCAAGAAGAATTTGAAACTCTACACCGATTTTAATGCCTCGGACATTATAATTGCCTCACCATTGGGTCTACGATTGGGCATAGCCTCGAATAATAACGAGTCGGGCTCATTTGATTTTCTCAACTCCATAGAAATTTTAATACTGGATAAAGCGGAGATGTTTTTGGCACAAAATTGGGAAAATCTACTACATGTAATAGATCATTTACATTTACAGCCACAAACATTGAGTAATGTAAACTTGCAACGTGTGCGGCCTTGGTGCTTGAATGGTCTATGCCGTTTTTATCGACAAACGATCGTGCTTTCCTCCCACGAACTACCAGAAATACGTTCGCTTTTCTTTAATAAATGTGTCAACTATTGTGGCAAGGTGTCTGTATCGAATCCCATACTACAAGGTGATATAGGCAATGTCTTCGTGACAATACCACAAATATTTAACTTGATAGACACTACCAGTTTGGACTCTGTTTTCGATACACGCTTCCGTTATTTCGTTAAAGAAGTATTACCACGCTATAGAAAACCCACGCATGCGCATTGTATGATATATGTGCCGAGTTATTTTGATTATGTACGCTTGCGTAACTACTTGAAGGCTGAGTCCATTAGCTTCTCTCAAGTTTGTGAATATACCAAAAAGGAAAAGGTGGCGCGTGCACGTGATATGTTCTATCACAGTGGTGTACACTTTTTGCTTTACTCGGAGCGATATCACTTCTACCAGCGTACACGTATAAAGGGTATACGACATTTGATAATGTATCAGCCACCAATGTGGCCACAGTTGTATTCCGAAATGGTTAATATGATGAATGAAAGTAATCAGAATGTAGCCGATGGATTGGAGGATTCGATGAGTATAACGGTGTTGTATACAAAATATGATCTAATACAATTAAATGCCATACTTGGCACTGAATCGGCGGCAGAATTACAACATTCAAATAAGGCAATACACAGTTTCACTATCAAATAATTATTGGTTACTAAATAAATAAAAAGAAAAATAGATCGTTAAGTTAATTTGTACATATCGCTGTATGCATGTAAATAAGATCTGTTAATTTAAAAAATTATGTGTTTTTTGCTGTTAAAAATTGTTCTTTTCTTTAGAGAAGACTTCCATTAGAAATACAACTTTCGCACACGAATTAAAATTAGAATGATAAAGAAATTGTAAGCGTCATTTATCTTTTATTTTAAGCATTTTGAATGAGTAATAATTTATAATTTTCATAAAATGTAAGGTTTTTCATAGCATTCCTTTTTTGTAGTCCCTGTCTTAGTAAGACTGCTCATTTCCTGCGTCGTCGGCTCATGCGCGATAGTTCATAAATGATGAGCTGCAATGTGTAAACAAAAATTATTACAAAATTTTTAGATACAATTTTCCTCCCCCTTACCCGCCAAACATCGGCTTTGGTGCATTAGGTGGATTAGTGGTCTGTGCGAGATTACCAAATGACAAGCCTGTATCTGTGGCGCCCAAAGCTTCGAAGATATTGCCACTTTGCGTTGTGGGCGCGCTGAACGCTGTAGTAGTGGGTGTAGCAAAAGACCCAAATCCTTTCGGGCTACCGAAAGTCGGTGCGCCACCAAAGCTGGGTTGAGTGCCAAACGCGGGCGGACTACCGAATGTCGGTGCACCACCAAAGATCGGACGTGAAAACGCGCCTGCCTGCTGCTGCTGTTGTTGTTGTTGTGGCTGTTGCGGCTGCGTAGGAGAACCAAAGCCAGTATTAGCGACCGATGAACCGCCTTGAGAGAATGAACTAAACGGTGAAGTACCAACTGCTCCACCAAATCCACCACTGTTTGGCGAACTGAATATGTTTCCTTGCTGTGGTTGTTGTTGTTGTTGCGGATCTGCCGCCGTTGCTGCTGCACCACCAAATATTGAGCCACCAGCTGGGGCAACAGTGTTAGCAGTGCCACCAAAAGCAGAGCCAACAAAACTGAAACCAGATGCTGTTGCGCTTGCGTCAGGTTTGCTAGCAGCCGCAGCTGCAGCAAAAATATTGCCGCCAACACTAACACTACTCGGTTGACCGAAAATCGAACCACTGCTCACGGCTGGATTAGTGGAGGTTGGTGAACCGAAAACGCTGACCGACTCAGCAGGTTTAGCAGTTGCAGCGCCACCACCAAATATAGAACTACCTGTGTTCTCGGCGCTCTTGGCGGCAGCATTGCCAAATATCGAACTAGTGTTTTCAGCTGGTTTGGCAGCGGCATTGCCGAAAATCGATGCAGCTGTAGTGTCAGGACTCTTAGCGGCAGCGTTGCCAAAAATAGAACCAGCAGATGTATTGCCACCGATGGGGCTGTTAGCAGCGGCAGCAGCAAATATGCCGCCGGTTGAAGCTCCAAATCCGCCACTGCTAGCATTACCGAATATACTGCCACCGCTAGCGGCTGGCGCTTGACCGCCCAAAGACAAGCCGCCGAAAGCTGGTACACTTGCTACCGATGTTGGTTGTTGTGGTGTGTTTTCACTTTTAACAGCGTTGAACTGCCCTGGTGTTGACTGGCCTGAATTACCAAATATTGAACCGTTCGAGGCATCGCCTTTATTAGCAGCGATGGTTGAGAAGAAAGAAGTAGTTGCGCTTGTTACGGGAGCGGCGGACGAGACCGCAGCAGCTGCGCTTGCAGTAGGCGATGGTGTTGGCGTTAGTATGGTAGTCGTAGCAGCAACTGTTATCGCAGCGGTAGGCGAGACGGCAGCGGAAACAGTTGCAGGGGTGACTGTGGCTACGGATGCCGGAGCGACCGCGATAGGCGCGGCCACGGTTGTTGAATTAACGCTGGCGCTAGATACAGTAGCGGTTGTGCTTGCAGAAATGGGATTTTGGAAAGTGGGCAGGGGCAGTTGCTTGAATGGTGTTGAGTTAGTAAATGAAAAAGCGGACGAGCCGGCGCCGCCAATAGTGCTGGTTGCGAACGGGGCGGCGGTGGTAGTTGTAGCAGTGGTTAAACTGCTTGCGATAGTACCAAAAGCGGATGCAGTGCTGTTGTTGCCACTGAAGATTGAAAACGCAGGTTCTGCTGCTGCCGTTGTTGTAGCGCTCTTGCCGAAAATCGTTGTTGTCGATGTCGCGACTGTAGCAATATTTGTCGGTGTTGTTCCTTTTGTGTCCGAAACGATTTGAAAAGCTGTTGGTGGATTATTCTCATTATTCGAAGTGAAGGAAAATGTATTGCCCTCATTTGGCTTGACGGTTTCTATACAGCACGGCAAAATAGGAACCAAATGTGAGTTTTTTTTTTAGTGAGAATTTTAAAAAAGCAATTTAAAATTACCTTTTGGTGTAGGCTTACAGATATTTAACGATTTCAATATCATATCCTCTGTATCGGCCGTAGTTTTCGTTGCATCACCACTGTCCGCAACACTCGCCCCTTTTGCATCCTTCGTTAGAGCAGCAGTTTCAGCCGCGTTCTTCGGTTGAACAACCTCGGTTGGAGTTTTAGGTCTGCCAGTACTGAAGAGTAACAAAAATTTAGACATACATGTCATTTATATTGTACTTTAAAATATTCATTTTACACATACCCATAAGCGGAAAAGGATAGAGCTTGTGGCGCAAATAATGGATTATCGTTTTGTTTATTGAAAATTGTTGGTTGCATTGTTGTTGTGCTTGATAGTGTTGATGGTGGCGCTGACGTTGGTGGTAAATTGCTCTGATTAGAAGCAGCACTCGCTTTCAAATCAGTCAATGCGCTGAAAGTGTTACCAAAACTAAAAGCTTTAGGCACGTCCTTGGTTTGACTGCCACTCAAATCAACCACTGACTTATTCGGATTATTAGCAAACATAGTATTTGGTGCATTGGCATTAGTTGCCTGCTGTCCGAAACCGGCGAATCCCTTTGAAGCAATATTAAAAGCGGCTGCTGGTTTAGCGGCATCGCCCGCATCGCTTTTATTTGTAAATGAGAAATTCGCTGCTGCCGCCGGTGATTTCTCCCCAGCTTCGGCGGGTTTCGGTAATATAGTTTTGTTGGGGGCAGCAGCAAAGGTGTTGTTGGGTTTATTTTCAGCAACAACATTGGCTTTAAGAGTGTTACTGTTATTTCCACCCATTTTTGACATTTCTGCATTAATCTCGACTTTATTGGGCTCAGTCTTGGCAAATATGTTGGTGTTGCTGCCGGTGTTGAAATTAAGCGCCGCGAATGGAGTGCTCGTTTGTTGGTTTGACTGTATAGTGGCGGCGGCGGCAGCAGCACTAGTAGCAGCAGCAGCAGCGGTTTGTGCATTGCTGAAAAAGCCCACTGTTGGTGTTGCCTTCGAAAATTGTAACTGTTGTTGTTCGGTTATCTGTTTTATTTGTTGTTGTTGTTGCTGCTGTTGTCCTTTTTGTAGTTGCATTTGATTAATTTGAGTTTGCATTGGTTTAAATGTCGCTGTAGTCGAATGTTTTACCACATCTTGTGCTTTAACAGCAGCGACCTTTGCTTCTTTGTCTTTCGTTTCTTTCTTTTTAATGAGCTGCTTGGTCTCCAAAATAACCTCTGATGTGAGCTCAACACGATTCGGCCGTTGTGGCTTGATTATTTTTACTTTTCCCTGTTCGCTGACGAAGTTTCTCAAAGCTGTCAGTTTATTTTCGGATAATTTGCTACTCTTTGCATCGGTAATACTTTGTATGGTCATGGAGAGTATAGAATCAGCCAAGGATACCAAGCCACTGAAGTATGCGGCAGAAAAAATTTAGTTTTTAGTTGTTCAATAAAAATAAAAAACAGTGTAAAGGAAATATTGTGCAGAAAATAATTTAGTTAACAAAAATTTGTTGAACCAAAAAATCTAAATAATATAAAAATACAATTTAGTTATAAAAATATAAAACAAAAAAATCTTTGAAGTTAAACTAACAATTTTTGTCCACTTACCCATCCGACTTTATCGTTTGTGCGCTTAAGTCCTTACGACTCTCACTACCAGTTCTAATGCTGCCCAAATCCTTTTGCTTGATAATGCTCTTAATATAATGCAATTTAGATTGCTGTTGCGTAATAAGATTTTTCAATTTGGTCATTTGTTGATATATGCCATCCAGGCAAGGTATTCGCAAATGGATTCTCGAATTACGACGCACTAAATCTTGATAATGTGACCACTGGGTATCCATTTGATCCTCTAAACGTTTCATTATGCTTTGATTTACAGTTAGATAACTTTGCAGACATTTTAATTGACGTTGACTAATGCAATCGTACAGTGATAAATACTTTACGCCAGGTGTGCTAAAAATTACAACAACAACAAAATAAATATATCTATATACATATATATTTAAAAAATATTAACTACAACATAGAACAACTTTGAATAGAGCTTACTCAGGATTTTGATATGTTTCCAATTTAGTGCGACACTCATTTAGCATTTCATAAGATTCCGTTAGTGAATGCCGTAAATCTTGTACATCCATTATAAAGTCACGTTCGTTGGCTTGTTCGATGATTTCTTGTAGATTTATTAAACGTTTGCTGTAACTTTTCATAACACTGGGATCATCATTCTGAAAAAAAATATAAAATTTACCATTTTTAAAACATATGCTATTTGTTTTTGCTTGAATATAATTTTACCAGCGCCAGCTTTGCTTTCTGCCCAAGTTGTTTAATTTCTTTATCGAAAGACGAAATTTGCATAACAATCATTTGTTGTATAACAGTGTTTGTTTCGTTCAAATTCAACGTTTGTGCTTTTGATTTCGAAATCACTTCATATTGTGGCTGCTGATTTTGTTGTTGCACAGATTGCACAGTTGGTGGTGCAAATTCCGGAGAGACAGTATATAAAGGTTTAAAGACTTCATTTGTAGACTGTGGGGCTTTCAATGTTTGCTGTGTCATTCCCATAGGCGCAGCTTGTGCAATTGGTTTTGCTATAATAAAGTTTGAAAAGATTTTTTTTTAATATATTTTTCAACTATTCTCAACTTTTAAAATTTTAAAGACTTAACTTACTCAACGCTATTGGCGCTGCTTCTTGGCTTGATGGCGGGGCACCAAATTTAAGATTTTGTGACTTCTGTTCCCAACCAGCCGAAAATAAATTTTTATTTGCTGGCGCACCAAACATAGATACCATTTGCGGCGCAGCATTTATTTGTGGTTGCGTATTAAAGGATAGTGGTGGTGCTGGGGCAGGTGGTAGTTGCTCAATTGGTGGTAAGGAAATATTTTTGGTATCCTCCTAAAATATTTCAAAAAAAAAATTAATGAATATTATAATAAAAGCGTCCAAATACACACTTACCACTACACTTTGTGTAGAGCTCGATTTTGTTAAACTGCCTTCGTCTAGAATGCGAAACTCTGACAATGCATATTGTATGGGTGCAGGTGGTGAGCAAATATTTACCGCATTTTCCGTTAAATTCAAGAAATTGAAACACAACAAATGACCGTGTGTGGAGAGTACATGTATCACGGGCATGGTATCCAACTTTCTCTCACCCATTATCAATTGATGTGTTGGTGAAATGTCCAAAGCCAAACCAATGGGATATGTTTCATCACTACCCTCGGTAAGCGGCATTTCAATACGTGCTTCATCTAATAGCATATAATGTACCCATTGTGGCTGATCATTACTATCTTTGGTGCCTAATAAACCTATCTCAACGCCATTTGCAGATGTAACCAGTAACAGATTCCATTGTGCAATATGTATAAATGAAACTTGTTGTTTTCTAGGTTCACTGCCGCTATAACATACATCATTGTAATTTATATATACTGGCGTACCACCTTTTGGCGCATTTATAAGATATAAATTTGGCATAGCTTCATCGCCATGCTGTAGAAAACTAGCGACAAATTGAAAAGTGGATAACCAATGCAGTGCTATGGTATCGAATGGACCTGGATGTATATTCGGTGGACAAATTATACTTTTGACTATCGTAAGATCAGGCTTGAATTGTTGCAACTTTCCATTGGGGTATCCAAATACGATTTGCTTGCCTTTTGGTGACCAACAACCCGATTGTATTTGCTGATTGTTTAAAGAGCGCATTTCCATTGCTCCACCATCTTTGAGCGTATATAAAACAAAGTTGCCATTGCTTAGCACCACACCTATTATATTCGACAACACAGGGTTCCATAAAATGTGTAAAGCATACACATTCTGATCAGGTAAACGTATGCTATATAAAGTCTTAACATCCTGCAAAAAGTTATTATTATATTACTCCATTTTATATATGTATGATTCATACTAACAGAATTAGCAAACGATGGCACATGATAAATATCCAACACGCCAAAACCTTGCAGTGTGTAGTTCACTGCCAACATAGAGCCATCAGCGTTGCATCCAATCGTGTTAGCTACATTGGGCAGTTTTGTGGTTCTTACGTGCACAGGCTGCTGTTTTGATTTAGCATAGATTATATCCGGTAACATAAACGCTGTAGGAAAAATAATAATAGCAATTTCAAAACATCTTACTACTTAACGGTACTGGGAACACTTACCAAGCAGTTCAGGCTCATTCGGATTGCCAACAAAAAGTAGCCCATGATTACTAGCGCAGGCTAACAAGTTAACGTGATCTCGCAATTTAGAATTTTCACCAAAAATTTTGTGCTTACTTTGTAACTTAAATTGTATATCCTATTTAGATAATATTGGAAAATATGTACAATTACTTCACAAGTCTTAATATCATATGTTCCAAATTTAATATTTATATCACTTACGGTAACATCCACAGAAGCAGGACATTGTTGTGCCATCGTAAAAGATATATTTATGGTCAAACAATAACAGAAAGTGATACAAATTTGCAAAAATCACGAAAATTGTACAAATTTAATATTTCCGGCTAAACAATACACATTTCGCGCAATTCACAATTTGACAATTGGTTAAAGTTGCCACCTTAAATGATTTGCCGATTTTGCAGAAGAAAATGTTATCGGTAATAATTTGTAGGTAAATAAGGTGTTAACTTTTTATAAGAAAAATCCTCTGTCTTCTAATTGTTATAAGTTCTCTGGAACTCTGCGTCCTCTGTGCCGGCAAGAAAAATACTGTAACGAATTTACGCAAAGTGCTATCGGCGGTTCCGACATTTTCGTAATTAGTGCTGCCAATTCTTACACAAACTTTGCATCAGTGCTACCAAATCTGAAACTGGTATAAGAATTACTTTTCTACTCAGTTGACTGTTGAAAGAAAGTTTCCGTTCAAAGTTTGCAATTAATATTTATTAATTACAACTTTTTATAACACTCGTTCCTGTCTCTTGGACGCTACATACAGCGTATACTTATCACGGCTTCCTTCACACTATTGAATCTGTCCACACGATGACTTCCTCTTCCGGTTGTTATCGACTTAGTTTTGTTTAGAGACAGTTTGCTAATAAGGGAAGTTTTATAGTCCAACTGAACTTGTAAAATACAAAAAGATCATCGTTTCACACGGAACCTGTGGAGCCGATCTCCCGAATTTGGTCGTGACCACGCATTTTCCGCGAAACTTTCATATCGGCTCCGTTGGAATCAATAACACAACTAACAGTTTTTAAGCAGCGCCTAGTTATTTTCTTTAAATGCAACTTCGCTTGTTTAAAAGGCTGAGCTCAACTGAGGTCCCTTTATTCAGAGAGATTGACCACCCGCCGGGTCTTACGCCGGCTTTAGGAACATAAGATAGCTGGTTTGTTGTAAAACTAATGAGATCGGAAACAGTAAAATAATTTCGCATTGCATTTCCCTTTTCGGCTTTATATCCTAACATTAAACCATATATGGAAAGGTTATTTCTTTCAGTGTACGCTGGTCATTCTGAAACCGAATCAACCCCCTCATCATAATAATATTTTTTATAGTAGATGAATCAATACAAGTACATCGTTTGCTTACTCGTGTGTATGTATGTATTGTACATTTAGCACATAATTTTTCAATTTACGCTTGATAAATGTACACACATTGCCGAGACTGCGGATATAACATAAATACACATTTACAGATTTACATTTTTAATTAATTACATAAAACTGTTAAATAAAAATAAATGATAAAGTTTTTCATCAAAATACGGAGTTGTCTCTCCATTCGTGTTAAAAATTATGTATGTATGAATGAATTTGTTTGTTTCTATTTTTTTATGTCTTGCTTACAACCTTGTAGAAAATGTCAGCCAACAGTCATTTGCATAGATGTCCTGCCGATGAGACTTTGGGCATCACTTTTATGAGAGTCTTTGATGAATTTTGCATGACATTGTCACTCAGTGCCAATTGACGTCATTCCAGAGGTTGTGAAGTGACAACTGTAAGCCAATAGTCTCTGATGACAGCACATCTGCATGACATTGTCACGAAACTCAACTGTCAGCTCTTTATCGTTTCCAGTTTGCGCAACAAGTGCAATGTTGTCCCCTTAAACCCCACTATTGACGTTGACGATTGGTGGCCAATTTCGCTACTGGGTACTGAACTGTGATTATCCTGGGTTCCTTAATTAACGGCAAATACAGACATTCCCCATAAATACCATATAAATACATATATACACAAACACTTGTAGGTAAACAATGTTTAATGAAGCATATTTAACATTGGTTTGTTTGTTGCATTCCATATGGTTGTATTTGTTGCCTTTTTGTGGTGGTGTGTAAAAAAACAAAAACCAAAAAAGGAAAAACAAACCGAAAACGATAGGATTTAATTTGTGATGGTAATAAATGTAGATATAACGAGACGATGACTATAAATTTGTGTATATACGTAAGTACGATGTATATATGCATAACGTGTGTATGTTATGTTACCGTTGCATATCCGGGTTGTATGTACACAATACTAGAAGCGCCTCCCATAAAATATAGATAAAATATTGTTGAATTCGTACTGCATAGGAGATTCTACTAATGCGCTACGAGTGGCACAATGAAAGTGGTGGAGGAAGGTTTTAATATGTTGTAGAATTGCTAGTTTTTTAAAGGATTACCTTATTTTTTTCGGGGAATAAAGATTGTTTTTATATAAAAAATTAAGTATTTTATTCAAGCTATTTGTAATCCGATTGGTCATTGCCAACACGTTTAACCTTAGGAAATGAGATAATTGCCATGTTTGGGGTGCTTTGTACCTCCATAGAAGTCCTGGGTACACATATAGCGAGAACTCTGGATCCAAGATTTTGAAAATTCAAATTCAGATCAAATTTAATTTTAATGGAGGCATACAGGGTATGATGATAGTATCCGTCTTTCTAATGAACCAGTACAGGTAGTACAAAAGTCGCTATAAACCATCTATAATGAAATTTCCGATTGAGCTGGTTGCCGGATTGGGGTGAGATACAGCGCATTAGCGACATGCAAAATTCCCTGCAGCAAAGAAAATAACTATTTGTTGCTTCTCATAAGGAATACAGACAGTTGTTGGACTGTTGTGACGGGAAACCACTCACCTATCCCATCCCATTAGTACCAGTGTAGGAAAGAGACACGAGTGAGATGTTAGAACACCGATTTAGCTGTAATTCATCTCAGACATCTCAGAGCTTCGCAGTTCAAAGAACAAGGATAGGCGACGAAATCTACGGTTTACAGTAAGCCGCCTCTGAACGACCGATGGTTTTTGATGATGACCTTTATTTCATGTCCGTATTACAATCGATGGGTTTAAAATTGCCTGCCGAGAGCCGACCGCAGTTAGAAAGATTAATTTTCTATAATTTTCGATGTTGGTCCAATAAGAACTGGAAACCTTCATAATGGCAGTACGCAATGCTAACCACCCTCCGAGTGTATTTCGGACATGAAATAAAGCTCCTCATAAAAAACCATCAGCCGTTCGGAGGCGGCTTAGTATAAACTGTAGGTCCCTCCATTTGTTGGGAAAACATCAAGACACAAAAAACCACAAATTGGAGGAAGAGCTCTGGCGAAAAAATCGCTTCAGCGGTTACCAAGCGCCAATTATATATTATATAATGCTGACGACATGGCTATCGCGGCCAATGATATAACTTTTCCCCTTTATAAGTCGCACAACCACCAAAATTTGTTGGGTTCTGCTAAATGATGCCTTGAATATTATTTAGAACTTGAGTCAAACGCAGGGTGAAAAGTAAAATGACCATGAAAAGACCATGAAAATTGATTATTATTCGTTCCTGAGCTATTCCGATTTTTTTTTCAAAATTTCCGTTGAATGAAAGTTGGGCTCAGTGCTCATACCTTAGGTACATGAATGTGTAAACAAAGTTTCATCAGAATATCTCAAACCTTGCTTGACGAACGGTATAGTGGACAGATAGAAATGTCTAAATCGATTCGTCTCGTCATTTCATGAAGCGGGTCCGAGTAGAGTGTCAGCGGGGTAGTGTCGAGACATTGGAAAAAGGTGATTTGTAAGTGTCAAGATATTATTTTCAGATATTTTTTTCATGACGACTTACGGTTTACTTCATTCCAGTTAATCACAATGCTATATTTTTTCTCTCAAATGTCGCCTTCAACTTGCTGTAGCGTACGCGGATAACTTAACTTTCACCCCTAAAATCGCCATGAAATTTCGTTGACACCCACAAAATGTGTTTTATTCGCATGTGGCTGCGTATGTGTGCATGTGTATGTTAACACACAGATAACACAGAATCACTTTTATTATACATCACAGTAATTGTTTAACTACATCCATGAATACAACTTTGCCACTTTTAATATTTTGTATCAATTTTGACCAAAAAGTGCTTCATCATAATTTCATAAATGATCTTGCGCTAGTGATTGTCTGATTTGAAGTTTCAAATGAAACAAAAAGAATTAATGCTAAAAGTAATAAATAAATATCAACAACAACAACAACGGCAAGGCACATAGTGGAACAAATAAAAGAAGAAAACAAGTGTTTTAAACAAAAAATTTAACCAATTTAAACTAATGAATTGTATACTTTGGAAAATTATACGTAAAATCCAAATGTTTGTGAAATATAATTGTGGCTTGGATAATAAAATGAACCCTCAGACGAATTTCTTTTTAAGTACAGAAAATTATTTGCGTTCTTTTGATAGAATCTCGATTGAAAATAACAAAATTACAGACTGTCCGTCAAGTTTGTGTCACACGAAAAGTGAAAAATTTCGCACAGAATCTCTCAATAGCGCTGATACGACGGCGGCGGCGGCGACGGCGACAGCAGTGAGTTCAAAATCGGAAATAAGTGGATCGCTTTTATATTTCGGCTACAATTCTGATGACTACGAACGTGGCTTAGGTGAGTGTGAAGTGAGCATGATTTTAAATTTGAATATTTTTTAGTGAAAAAATATAATAAAAGAACAGTGAAAGAAAGTTGAGCTAAAACAATTTTTATGAAAACAGTGAAATTACTCATCTAAAAAGTAAGTGGATTTTATATAGATATAATATTTCATTAAAGTCCACGAAAATGTTACAGTTTTGACCAAGCGACGGCATCAAATAACCATAACGTGCCGAAGAAGTCTTCAGATTGGAAGTACAAATTAATTCGGTCCGTTTTTGTGTTCAAAAAATGTACTTTATTGGTAAAAAGTAAAAAAGTAACTTTAGAATACCATGTCTAAACAATGAGTCCTCGCAGTCTTCGATGCAATCATTGAACCATTCTTCGATTTCTACCAAAAACTTTTGCAGCCGTCGAAAGAGCCAGTAGTGAAAAGAGGCAAGGTCCGCAGAATACGGCGGGTGGGGTAAAACCGCCCATTTCAGCGTTTCCACTTATTTTTGGCAGTTACAGCCACGTGGGGTTAAGCGTTGTCATTTTACAAAATCACCTTAACATGCCTTACGGTGTTTTAGTTGTAGTCGATAACGTTACGCCTGCCCATTGGACACCACATCTACCTTGTTCCACCATATGCAGAACATGACCTTTGAACCGTGGGTGTTTTTCTTTGGCTTTGATGGAACGGTTTCACCAGACTTGGCATAGTATTTTTTCTTCTCTGGATTATCGTAGTATTTACTATTTTCAAAAAGAAGTTCCGAGGTGAAAACTTGTAAGACAACCGATTTCCTTGCTTTTCAATAGATCCAGTTGCGTTTGACATGGATCTTGATTCAGTAAATCCCTCGATTCGTCATCTTCAAACTTTTTGGTTTGAGCAGGACGCTCTTTGTCTTAAACTTTAAAATCACCATTCTTTCATACTTCCGCATGCAGCATGCGCATGAGCTTCAATTGAGTACACCATAAGTGCTTCTAAAGCCGTAATATCCATTGCATAAATGAGAATGTCGCTCCAGAGTGGTAGGTAGAACTGTCGCTTCCTTGATTCCTGTTGTGGCTATGGAAAAAACATTAAACAGGTCAAAGCGCCTCACTCAGAACCGATTGCGAACACTCGGCAGAAAGCTCTCTCTATCACTCAACCTTAATGGAGAATTAGAGAACAAGACGACAAGCAACAGTCTCAAAATAATTCAATAGGAATTTTTTTGCCTAACAAATCTTCAAAAGTAATAAAACAAAATGTAATAATAAAATACTTTCAGATTGGTCCTCAAGCAACTACAATCCCATACCATTTTATAAAGACAAACAAAAACAACGGCGCGTTCGTACGACATTTACGTCCAAACAACTCAAGGAGCTGGAAAAGATATTCCAAGAGACACATTATCCTGATATTTATACGCGCGAGGAGATCGCTATGAAAATAGAGCTTACAGAGGCACGTGTGCAGGTTGGTGAATTTTTTTTTTTTTTTTTTTTTGCGAAAAGTAATTTTATCTAATTTCCTTATAAAGGGTTTTTTTTAGACGTGTGGTTTTCAATAAGAAGTTGGTATTTTTGATAGCTGTTGATATATACGCAGTTTGATTAGGCATTTCATAATGAACAGACTTACTCCGGAGCAATGTTAATGGTGCGCCGCGTCCAATATTCCAATAATCGCTAGACATAATCGCTAAACAGAGTCGGTACTTTGAGCCACCATGGATCGGTTTACTCTAGAGAATAATGCACATCTTCAGGACACACCGACGACACTGCTGCTACTGTGGAGCAGAGTATCGAAGAAGACCCGAATGAGCCCATCCGCTAGCGCGTGCAATATTTGTAGTTGCGCCCATCCACCTTTGCGGAAGGATGTTGGTTTGCGAGCTATACAAAATCCAACTCATGCAAGAATTGAAGCCGAACGACCATAAAGCGCCTCGCATGCTCGGTCAATGGGTCCAACACCTGATAGCTAACGATGAAGCTCCTCAGTTTTGTTGGGATGGGAACTGGCTTCATAAACAAAATGATATCATTTGGAGTGAAGATAAGCTGCAAAACAAAAAAAAACGCTTGGTGTGCTCTATGGGCGGAGAGAATAATTGGTTCACATTTCTTCAAAAATGAAGCCGGTTATAATGTCACAGAAAACGAGGAACGGTATAGTGCCATTTACTTGAGCTTTTTCGTGCCTGAATCGGAGGCTGTTGATGTGGTTTCAACAAGACGGATGAATTTATTGAAAGAAACTTTCGATGAGCGTATTATCACCAGTGGTAAGGATCCAAGATCGTGCGATTCAACACTGTTGTACTATTTTTTGTGGGCTTATGTGAAGTCGCTTGGCTACGCAAATAAGCCCGAGACGATTGACGCGTTGGATGAAAATATTCAGCGCGTTATCTCTGACATACGTTCACAATTTTTTATTCGAGCCAGTTGCGGCGGTTTTTCAAACATAATGACAAGTCTGAGAGAGAGAGAACTTAATTCTTAGCCATAACATTAATTTATGTTAGTTTAATTTCTTCTTGGAAACCACTAAAAAAAACACCCTTTTTTAATTTAATTGTTCATCAAATTTTATTTTCACACACAACAAAATCACAAAAAAAAAGAAACAATTAAACTTCAAAGCGAAAAAGTTAAGCTGGAATGTTACATTGCGCATTTCGCATGTCTGCTTGCAGATCCCAAAGGAATTTCTTTATGTTTTTGTTTTGTTGATGCTTCTTTTTTTTTTTTTTAATTATGAGATGGAATCATTTTTCACTTTTCCAAGCTCACAAATCATCTCACTTTAACGCTTACGAAGTGTCTGTCTAGAAAATTCATATAGAAATTTGTAAGGATGTGTGTAAGTGTTCGTGTACTCCTGTGCGTATGTACACACATGTAGTAGGTTGAGAGTCACGTGCCGAGATCTCTAAACAAGTCACAACCAATTATCGAGGGGAGAATCGTAGATGAACTAATCCCGCAATAGAGAATGTTTACTGTTGTAAATAAAATTACTGTTTAAGGGTGCAAAAAACAAAAAGAAAAAAAAAACAGAATGCTAGAGCAGGAGAGGTGGTGTAAGTCAATGTTTTTGTTTTCCAATTAAGTTAAGTGCTTGGTCATGCCCCACACCTTAAGGGCGTGTAATTAAGTTGAAGAACAGTTAAACTCCTGCTGCACCATAAGAGACCCAAATATTTTTATAATTTTCTTGTTATCAACAGATTAATTAGAAAGTCTGGGAAATATGTAGAGAGCAGAGAGGCTATGGAAGTGAAGTCTTCTTATGTACATATGTAAGAGAAAACGGCTCGTCTACAGCATAGTTATTTTTAGAGGAAATGATATGATGACGGCTACTGCAAACATGCTGAGGACTATTATATGTATATTGGCATGTTCCTAGAATATCCCAGCTGATTCCTTATATGAAAGAAAACAACTGCCTAGCTGCTTGGTCTCCTTAATAACGCGTTGGTTGGGTCAAGATAAGAAGAAGGTAGATCCTTCTGTTGATTGTAGCTTACAAATGGGCGTAAGTTCGAATGTGTGGTAGAGCTTTCTCACTTGCGAAGTACTATCGTTCAGAGCGGCAAAGCAAGATATGCGCCCACACTCCGGCGGACGATATAGTCGATGTGACCAAAAAGGAATTTCTTCTACAAGTGTTGCTCTCGCTACGGTATCAGTGGTTGATAAATTCAAACTGGGACATGAATCTTGTTAAATGGCCTGATGCTAACCGACGTCGTTCGGTCAAAATTAAAAACATGTTATGGCAAATGGAGTACTTGCATACTCTCTGAGGTCCTAATATCGACTAACACCACTAACTTGTCACAGCCGAAAAATCCACTCGCTACTTTACAGCCAAGGACGAGTGCTTTGCTTTCGTTAGCCGACTTTCACTCATGTTCTCTTAAAGCAATGTCGAAGGAAGAGCGCGTACGATGATAAATGCTGCGCTGTTGTAGGGAAGAAAAGAACTACGGTTACGAATATCTAGATATTAGATTAGCAACTGCCGGGTTGCCATGTTATTTATTTCTCCAGTAGAATAATTTCTCTAATAGAATGGTCAAAAATGGTCATTCTGATGCTAACCATTCCGATATGACCCTCAACCAAATCGGTTTCATTGAAAAATGGTTCTACGCTGTTAAGAGATATACATTAACTAACCTTGAGATCACCAAAGGTGTATCCAAAGGCATGATATACACCAAGCTTGCAGATAAAATGTTAGAGTCGTTCCGGAACAATATAAATACCACTTCTTTGATTTAGAACCGAAGCTGATTTCTTCATAAATCAGAAATGAAATTATATAACCTTCCTTCTATGAAGTTATTAGACCTCTTGAGAGTTAATTTAAATATGGTAAATCCACCTTAGCCTACATACACACCATGCTCCTAAGCTGTAAAAAGGCCAATGAATAAAATCGACACTCCACTCCCATGATTTTACACCGCTCTGTCTAAATTTGGTACTCCTGAGTCCATCAGAATTGAGAAGGGCATCTCCAAGGGGTTCTATACTTAAAGAAATTTCATAGAACGTTACTTATGGTATGACTTTTTAACATTTGGCGAAGAAGAAGGTTTAAGATATCAGGTGTACAACTTTGTTTCCGCCATTTTCCGATAGCTAGTGGCTGTACCGGCTGAGGCTGGTTGAAATACACAGACGATAATGCCTCTAAAGTGAGTGTGGACTGTGCCTAACGAATTGTCATCGCCGTTTCAGTGACAGTTGTTCTTGTTTTCGTATTATTCACGCTCGAAAATGTCCGTTTATGGGCCTAATTATCGCCATTTGCGGGAAGTTTTACTTTTCAGTTACAATTCGAAAAAAATGCAGCTAAAGCACATTGAATGCTCTCAGAAACTTACGGTGATGCTGCTCTGAGTGAAAGAACGTGTCGGGAGTGGTTTCAACGTTTTACAAATGGTGATTTCGATGTCGAAGACAAACATGGTGGTGGAAGAGGCAAAACCTTCAAAGACTTACTACGAGCTCTTAAAACCGGGTGAAACCATCTCAGGAGATCGCTACCGAACGCAACTGATGCGCCTAAATCGCGCAGCCGGGATCCGAAAATTGCCGGAAAGATGGAAGAAAGTTGTCGCTAGCGAAGGACAATACTTTGAATAATATATCTGTAGGCATTTTTTCGCAATAAAGCATTTAATTTTGGAAAAAAACGGCGGAAGCAAAGTTGTACACCTGATATAAAAGCCACTTTTCTAAGGCATCCTAGTTTGATATAATTTTACTGTCAATACGATGTACGTACTATTGTATTGTCTATGCTGCGGCATATCATGATCAATTGTTCCTTGGAATATGATGTGATGTATTTTTAGTGTGATGTGATCATAACGCCGTGAAGTGATGTGATATTTTAAACACATGAGTCTCCATAAGAATAATTGTCAGTGGAAATATAAGATGATTGCTTTAGGTCGTCGTGACGTGATGTGAAACACGCGACGTGATTTTTTTTTTATTTCGGAGCCTATGTAGGGAAAGAAAGGCAATAGTGAAGAAGTGATCTAAAGTTGATACGTTTGCGATGACTTGATGTACTTTTGAATAATGAATGAGATGTGATTTGAATGACGTGATGTGTTATTGTACATTTTTATTTGAGAGCCTCTAAAGCAGGATAGGTCTAATCAAAGGTAGCACTCCATAAATGATCTTTAGTTGATGTGATCTCGATCACTTGATATGTTTCTTCTGCTCTTCAATCTTGAGCAATCAGTAGGTGACTTCTACAGGGAGTTGTGAAGTGATGTGATTTTATGCCCCTTTCACGCAACTAATGCAAAGTTTCTGAGCGTGATCTCGATGTGAGCCTTGGCCATACCACTCGTGAGCGTTATTAGGTTAGTTTTCAAATATTACATTAATATTCTCTCATCTCGTTTGCTTTACGTTCACAGCTTCGGTTAGTAATTCCTTGCATTATTTACCTTTATTTATATATTTTTTTTCATATTTATAGATAGATTTTTGAGAAAAATATATACTAAAATCACTGTGCCTTGCACTTTCCAGGTTTGGTTCCAAAATCGGCGTGCCAAATTTCGCAAACAAGAACGACAAGCGAATATAATCACAACAAAAGTACCAGATATTACACAAAAACAAATGCAGAATCACTTCGGAACGACAAGTGCTAAGTGTCTGTCGCCATTTATGATGTCCACACTGCTCTCAACGGAGACAAGTCCGAAATCTTTGCAATTAATAAAATGAAATTCTTTGTAGCGGTAACAATTGACTTAATACATACATACATACCATAGATATATAATATTATATATAATTAATGAATTTTGTAGTCTGAAAAATGAAAAGTGCGTAAATATAAAATACCTACTTTTATGTAAATGTGCAATATGTACATATGTAACTATAACTGCATACATATCTTATTAATTACTTTTACATACATAAAAAAAAAATGGTTTTTATGTGAGAAAGAAAGAACTTAAGATTTGAGAAAATGTTTTTAAAAAATATAAATATAATGTCTTCGATATTTTAGCAGGCAATCAACGAAAAGAGAGAATGATTTATTAACAACTAAGTCTATTTAAGGCGCTACATGGGTTTATTTTCAACATTTTTTAGTATAAAAAATAAATTTTTTTTTTCAAACTATGGATGTCATAAAGATATGTGTGTTTGAAAAAGAATTTTTTGAAATTTCCAAAAAAAGGTATGCACAATTTCACCAATTTCGTCATTTGCGGTGACCTCTCGTACGGAAAAAAGGTGCTTCTTCGTTGAAAGTAGAACTCATGGCAGATCCGCCAAAGTGAAAAATGAAAATCGTTTTTGAATTAATACCATAAACTAGCATTCAACGGTAAGAGTTAAACCTACTTACCATACGTGTTTTCATACAGTTTCCACCGTTATAACCACGTTACGCGGAGCGTTGTCATATTGTAAACCAACTTTGCGATGCCTTTTAGTCGTCTCAGACCGTTTTTTACGCTTAAGCCAGACGAAAGAAATTTGCTGAGTCACTCACAACCATTCTACGAATTCAAACTTCCTAAGACTGTACCTTCGAAACATTTTGGCGGATAATATTCTCGAGATGTTGTAGAAATATAAACAATAAGACAAAATAATAAAAATAGATATTTAAAGCTGTGCAACTCTTGTAAGGCCATATATGAAGTTCTTAATAATATCTAATATTTTTTATTTAATAAAAAAAAAAAACCTACTTTGGGATTTGGCGATCGAACTCGAATTTTGCAATTAATTTTCACACCACTAAATTTTTTTGCTGCTCACCAACTTCTCAAGGGTTTTTAAAAAATATAAATAATTTTTTCTTTACAACAAATACAAGTGGCTCATGAAAAATTTTCTTGTTGATTGAAAATGTACTACGTGTTTGTATTTACATAAATATATTCCTTTCCACTTAAAAAAAAAGTAACGTATACCACACGTACAACCAAAGTGCCGTGGGAATCAAGGCCAGTCTAATGAATTTTTGTAAGTCGAAAATTTATGCAATTTTCTTCACTTTCAAAAAGACCAAACTATCAGGGTGACCATCCCGACATTGAAGCGGGAGTGTTCCTTTATTTCAAATTCAGCATTAGCCCAATTGTAACCTTTATAAAGTCAGTCGACCTGCGATTTTCGGCAGCCAGCGAAAATTAAAAATCGAATGCAGCCAAAAAAAAACTACTCTGCAAAGAGAGTAACAGTGATATAAGGCCAGGATTATCCACCAAAAAAATTGCTAAAACGATGACTCTTTTAGTGGAAACAAAGCATCCGGAAGTGCAACGAGAACAAGCTTCTAATTCGAACTGTAAAAGGACTGTAACGATAAGTTGTCTATAATTTAATGGTGTTGTAAAGAGCTCCGGTGCGTATAACAAGCTGTTGGGTTACGGTTTGGAATCTTATCCAAACCAACATATATTTCATCTCATTGGCAGGAAATGTTAACACCTCTGAGTCTATTTGTGATATCAGACATCAAATGTTCAGAAACTGTTCGAACCATTAGTTCTCTTCATTAGTGGATAAAACAGGAAGACGCACATTACAAAGCTCGTCCAAAAATAACTTAAGAGGTGATAAAGCACCGATTATTTTTTTATTTTACCAATTTTTAATTGAGCTTGTTCTTGATTTTTCAAATGTCACTGGATATCTTCCGTTTTGTTTCTCCTTCTCTCTCTATTTCTAATTTTTATATACTTTACAAATCTTTCTCACCTGATTTTACCAATGAAATAATAGTCCATTTCCATTAGATGTAAGAAATACGAGGTGTGTTCAAAAAATATCGCGAATTTTGTGTTTTTTCAAAAATTATTTATTTATTCATGAATATCTATTTTGTCCCCTTTAAAGTAACCCCCATGAGATATTATACGCTTGTGCTAACGGTTTTTCCAACCTTCGAAGCACTTCAAAAAATCATTTTTTTTTATCTTGTTCAGTTCCTCCTTCGATGTCGTCTTTATCTCGTCAATCGTATCGTAACGACGTCCTTTCATGGGCCTCTTCAGTTTAGGGAACAAGAAAAAGTCACAGGGGGCTAGATCTGGGGAATACGGTGGCTGCGGCATCATTAGTGTGTTGTTTTTGGCCAAACAGTCGCGCACAAGCAACGAAGTGTGAGCAGGGGCGTTATCCAGCGTAGCTACTGTCCTGTCGCTGACTATGTCGATTTCATGGAGGCCGCACTAGCCGTGTGGTAAGGGGTTCGACCTACTATATAAAGTTAAGCCATGACTCCTTTATTCAACTCCTACCCAGTCAAGCTCGACCCCAAACATACCCAGAAACTTTAAATACCCAAAGGATATGCTGCAAGAAATGAGCCATGAAAACTTGCTCATCTAATATCGAGCGTATCGAAATAAATCTTTTCCTGGCCGTCTCATTAGATGGCCTCGAGGACATCGACTTTCTTTGCCTGCTTTTAAGCTAACACAACGGGTACCCATCCCTTTTTACGTTCGATCTAAGACATGTAAGTCTGCTTGTCTGAAACATCTGTTACTATTGAGATTCGGTGAGTTTTTTCACAATACTTCATATGTCCTACGAAAACAGACTTCCCTCTCTCAAGAACAAATAAACTACAAACCAAAATATTTACAAGACGTTTTCACATCAAAATTTATTTTATTATTTATAAAGTTGAATGAAAATTTACAAATACTCATTGTGATGAAAAAAAACGTATATAAAAAGAGAATTGGAATTATTATACATATGTCCCAAGGGTATAAAAATATTGCAGGTTCTGACAATGAGAAATATTCTGCAAACAAAGTAAAAATTCAGGTCACTTTCCGTCTTCAAAGTACAATTACACTTTTTCTTTTATAAGTATGCATGTGTGTGTGTGTGTGTGTTTGTTTGTTTGTTTGTTTGTTTGTTTCTTTTTTATGTATGTATGTATATGTCAATGTGTGTGTGTGTATGTGTGTGTGTGTGCGTTGTAATGCATGTAATAAGTATGCAGCTATGTTTTCACGTATGTATATGTATGTATATTTATATGTATATGCATGTAAATTTATTAAAAATAATTTAAGCTTTGCTTGCATTCTTTTATTCGCGTAAATTTTTCGTTAGCAGCAAATTATTATGATGTCCCGATAAATGCCTCACTAACTCTTGTACTGATTCGAAATACATTGAACAAAAACAGCAACTGAACCGATTCTCCGTCTCAGCACCATTTGTCGTCGTTATGACATTTCGATGGACCGAACACAAATGTTTCAATAGATGGGCCTTCTGTTTGAACATAGCGACGCATAGACGGCAAGCGAACGGTTTCTCGCCCGTGTGTACCCGCAAATGTGTTTTCAAATTCCATGACATGCCAAACTGTTTGCCACAGTATTCGCAGCGGTATTCGCGTGCCGTATTATGTGTGCCACATATATTCGAATTATTATTTGGGGGATCTCGAACACTTCCTGGTGTATCACGATTGCCAGCATCGATGCCACTGCCACTGCCACCGCCACCACCACCGCCACCGCCCACACCAATCGGTGGTATACTACCAAGACCGGCTTGCAGATTTGAGAATGTGGATATGGCAGGATTTTGCGTCGATTGCCATTGGTATGCGAACTGTGGTGAAATGTGTAGTGCGGCAGCGTCGGGGCTTTGTGGTCGGGGTCTTTGATTTTCAATGGATTTACGATTTTTCGGCAATACTTCTGAACTGCCCAGTAGGCCTTCCTCTAATGGTGATAACAATTTACGATCGGACATGTACGGTGATATAGGTGACGAGGCTGTTTTCGCGGAGCGTAACTCATCGATTAACGAATGTTGATATGACGAAGCGAACGGTTGATTATGATTCGATGAGTGATGAAAGCCCGGTCGACGTTTTCGATGTGGCGTTACGACATAATTTTCCGGTGAATTATTCAAATCGGGATCTTGTAGAGATTTTGTAACATCTTTATCCGCATCGAAAAAGAAACCTTTACGCTTTATACTCTCGGTGCCGTTAAACGATGAACTATCCGTATTGAAAATATTCTTGTCCGTATATGATAATTTTCTTGTACTGTTTTCATGTTTACTTCGTAAACCCAATGACAAATTGACGGGATTTAATGAAGGTATGTTATTCTTATTGGCTGTGGTTTGGAGCTGCGCATCTGTATATGCTGCCTCTTGCTCACTGGTCGCAGGGCTATCAATATCTTTTATATCCTTATTTATATTATCATCTAATGAACACTTAGGGCTGCCCGGATCTTCCTTGACCGTATCGGAGTCCTTGGAACCATCCGAACATTTTTTTATCTCATCACTACCATCTAATTCAGGGCTATAGGAATGCTCGAGTTTTGTTGAACAATACATATGCGGATGTTGTTGCTGTTTACCATTACCGTTACCGTTACCATTGGAGTCGCTGTTTAGACGTTCACGCAAATTACTACACTTACTACTCAAAATCGCCGTATCAGTGGTTTTCCAATTGTCGGATTTAATTTGCAACAACAACAATAGATCATGTAAATAATTAACATCACGTGATGTTATACAAGTTTGTCCGGAGTAGAGAAAATCCAGCAGGAATTTGAAATATGTAGCGTTCACATCTGGGAAATAAACAGTGGTCGCGCAGTCGGAAAGTTGCGTGTCCTCCAAGAGGGTTCTGAAAGAAGAGGAAGAGCCAGTATTAGTTCAATCAGCGCAAGGAGTGAAAAATTAAACAATAATTTACTACATTTCAAAAAAATATTCTTCACTGAAACACATACATATGTATACATAATAAATAAAAAATAATAATATATAAAAAATATTAATAATTTAAAAACTAATAATTAAAAAATAGAAATAATTAAAAAATGATAGTAATTAAAAATCTAATAACTAAAGAAATAAAAATTAAAATATAATAAAATATAAATAATAATAATTAATAAAATTAATATAAAAAATAATAACAATAACAAAAATTAAAAATAATTAAAAAGTAATGAGTACTAACATTTTTTTCAATTTTTTGGTTTTTTCTATTTTAAGATTTTAATGAAAATAAATTTGAAAGTATGGAAGAGTTAAGATAAAAATAAAAAACTAGATTTTCACCAATTAAAAATGGAATGAAAAATTATTGTTTGTAGGCTTTTTACTAAATAAAGATTGAATTTGAAAAATAAAAATTAAATTCTATCGCGTACCTGAGCTGAGATCCCAAGATTATTTGCGGCATATTAAAGTGAAAATTTAAATTAAAAATTTTTAATAATAATTAAAAACATTTATTTTACTATAAATAAATTGCCTACTTAATAATTTTTTAGTAAATAAATCTTTCTGACACTTCTTTTTTTAATTTTTATTTTTTATTTTTTGGGATTTATTCTTTTAGCGATTTAGTCACTCGGAGGTGGCCTAGTATGAACTGTAGGTCCCTCCATTTGTTGGAAAAACATTAAGACGCAAAACCACAAAGGAGGCCGTAAATCGCTTCATCGGTTACAAAGCGTCAAATTTGTTTATTTTTAATAGAAATTCGAATTGGAAATATGATGAGTGCATAAGTTCGTGCCCGATTCCGCTGGATGCCGTTCGAATCGTTTGAGAGTGGCGCTCGTGAAAGAAATACATACATATTATATATCGTTGGAAAGGTGACAGTCCGAACTGTAAATCAAGCATAAAATAACTTCATTTTGATTTGAGTTGCTTAGTGAAAAGACGCATGGAAGATGGACAACGAAAAAGATCATATGCGTCATATTATGTTATACGAATTCCGCAAAGGAAAAACAGTAGGCGCTGCAACTAAAGATATTCGCGAAGTTTATTTGGACCGTGCTCCAGCACTCCGCACAGTAAAGAAATGGTTCGCGAAATTTCGTTCTGGAGATTTTAACCTCGAAGATCAACCTCGCAGTGGACGGCCTTCTGAGCTTGATGACGATGTTCTAAGGACTTTAGTTGCGAATAACTCACGTATTTCGACGGAAGAGGTTGCCAGTGAATTGAACGTCAACAAATCAACTGCGTTTCGTCGTTTAAAAAAGGTTGGGTACACTTTGAAGCTCGATACATGGGTGCCACATCAGTTGAGTGAAAAAAACAAAGTGGACCGTATGTCAACAGCAATTTCTTTGCTTCGACGGATCAAAAACGAACCTTTTTTGGATCGGCTCGTGACTGGTGATGAAAAATGGATCCTGTACAACAATGTTCAACGCAAAAGAACATGGAAACAGGCACACGAAGGGGCGGAACCGATGTCGAAAGGTGGATTGCATCCGATGAAGGTACTGCTGTGCATTTGGTGGGATATCCGAGGCGTGATCTATTTTGAGCTCTTGCCAGCTGGAGAAACGATCACTGCCAACAAGTATTGTCAGCAATTGGTCGAATTGAAGAAAGCAATTGATGAAAAACGTCCGATTTTGGCCAATCGCAAAGGAGTTCTTTTCCATCATGACAACGCCAGGCCACATGTTGCAAAACCGACCCTGGCCAAACTGAAGGAGATGAATTGGGAAATCATGCCGCATCCCCCATATTCACCCGACATTGCACCTTCTGATTATCATTTGTTTCGATCGCTGCAGAACAATTTGAATGGAAAAAAATTTAAAAATGTGGAAGACGTCAAAAACCACCTTGACACCTTTTTCAACGAGAAACCGCGCGATTTCTATGAATCAGGCATCCGTAAATTGGTTGAACGTTGGGAGTGGATTGCCAAACATGATGGCGAATACATAATTCATTAATAAGAGCGCTTTCTTCAAAAAATTTCAATTTTAGTTTGCACTTGAAATCGGGCACGAACTTATACACTCATCCAATACTTCTGCATATGTGGTGTAATTTATATATTATTTAATGTATTATTATTTATTTAATTGTTTTTATTTCTCCATTTATATATTTTTTCATTTATTTGATAATAATATACATATTATTTATTTATTTATTTATCTACTTATTTATTAATATTATTTCATTTAAATAATTTTTATAGAACTTATTTTTTTACTTCAAAATAAAAAAATGTCCATAAATCTTTGAAATAATTTTTTATGCGTTTTATTTATTTATATATTTCATTCTTCTATATTATTTGATTTATGTTAATTTTTTTATTTATCAACTTTTAATTTTTTCACATTTATTGGTATATGTGTATATTTTTGTATTAATCCATTTTTGCTTAAAATTTTTCTTCATTTTGTTTCTATAATTTTTATTTATTTTTTTTTTAATTTAAAAGAACTGCTGCATTTCCAAAAATATTTCTTTTAATTTTCTTACAAGTTTTTGCTTGCGTGCACACACACACGTGTCCATATATCCCTTTCACTTTCAATTCTATTTCACTTTCAAAGCTTATTTGCATACTTGCAAATTACTTTTCGTTTTTTAAATTTATTTTTTGCTTGTTTATTTATTTGTTGCGATTTTTTTTACCTTATGAGTGGGCTGGCAGCAGCCAATACAAGTTTATGTGCATGAAGTTTAACTCTATTTTCACAAACTATCGTCAAATCGGCTGGATGTTCTCCACGGAATGCGGCTCCAATTTCTTTGAGTATACACTCTCCATGCTTGCTGTACTGCAACATCAGCATTCTAGGAAACTTTTGAAAAGAAACACAAAGAAAATTGAGAATTAACTAAAAAATGTATAGGAAAAGAATTTGCAAAGGGCAAAATGCATTTTATGTATAATAATGTATTATATATGTACATATATAGTTTGCAATAAATTCAATTATTTGGTTGGTGTGTAGAATTCGTATTAGTTTAAAATTTTCTAGTTGAATTCTTGTAAGCAAAAAGAAAAACATAGAGTGTACATACATACTTTTTTTTAATATATTTTATATCAAATTTTTTCATCTAAGACGAAAAAAAATGGTAGAAAGGGTAGGTAGAGCAACCAACTCTAACCCTGCCGAGTATTGGTTAATTGGTAGTTTTATTTTTTTAATACATACATATTTATATATATTTAGGAATACAAATAAGAATAATTGTTTTAAGAATTTATATTAATCGAATTGTATTATTTGGCCTTGGACTGAATAGAAATGTTGAGATAAAATTTTTAACAGATGAAAAATCAAGCAACAAAAGCAAATTAACGCACATAAAATAGCACATGAGAGCTAGAATTGTATCACAAAACTTAAAATGGTTTTTTTTTCAATATAGTAGTTAATTAAACTTAATTAATTTAATTTTAATTTGATTATTTCTTTTAATCTTTTGTTAAAGAAATATAAAATTTATTATATTTGAAAAAAAATTAAAAAAGAACACAATAAGTTCACAGTATCTTCTATTTAGCATTCATTATTACTTTTTTACTTTATTTATTTTTTTTACTTTGTATTAAATTTTTTTTTTGTTTAATTTGTTTAAGTTTTTTATTTTATTTTATTTTATTTTAGTGCATTTCATATAATTTTTTTAATGTTTTTAATGTATGTATTATTTTATTTTATAAGATATTTTGTTTTATATATTATTTTTTATTATTTTTTTATATATGTATTTTATTTATATATGTATCTTTTTATATATTATTATTACTTTTCATCATCTTATTTTATACACATTTTTTATTATTTCTATTTTATTTCAATTAATTTCATTTTATTTTAATTTATTTCAATTCCTGTGATTTATTTTAATTTTTTAGGTCATCACAAAGTCGTGACAATAAAAAAATAAAAAAGTATTATATGCTGCTTTATTTTATATTTATATTTTATATTATAATTGTTTTATTTTATTATTTAATTTTTATTTTTATTTTATTTATTTTATTATTTAATTTTTATTTTTATTTTATTTATTTTATTTTATTTTAGTATTTTTACTTTACTTTGCTTCATTTTATTTATTTATTAATTACTAATTTTTTGCCTTTTAATTTATTTCATTTTCTTTTCTTTTCTTTTATTTTTTTTATTTTTTTTTTGTCAATATTATTGTTTATTATGTTTAGTTTTTATTTTTATTTATTTTACTTTTCTATTTTTTATTATCATTTAATTCTTTTTTTATTTTTTTTTTTACTTCATTTTACATTTTTAAATTAGTTATTAATTTTATACTCTTTTGTACTTTATTCCATTTTGTTTCATTTTATTTTATTCTATTTTTTCTGTTAAGATATATTTCTTTTTTATTATATTTATTTTAATTTTTTTATTTAGCTAAATTTATTTAATTTATTTAATTTAATTTTTTTTAATTTCACATTAATTTTTTTTTAATTTTTCATTTATTTTATTTTTTTTTAATTTTTCATTTATTTTATTATATTTTATTTTATTTTATATTTTATTTTATATTTTATTTTATATTATTTTATTTTATTTTATTTTATTTTATTTTATTTTATTTTATTTTATTTTATTTTATTTTATTTTATTTTATTTTATTTTATTTATCTATTTTGTTTACTTATATAATTATTATTGTTATCTTTTTAATTAATATTCTAACAAATTTCTGATATAATTTTATTTAGTTTCATTATTTTTTACGTTATACATATATATATATATATGTATGTGTGTACAATTTCTAGTTTTCCATTAAGCACATAATTTCATTTGGCCTTGAGCTCGAGTAAAAGTTTGATAGAAACTGAATATCTTAGAAGAAAAACGGCAATTAAAAACAGAAAAGTTAATAATTTTTATTTCATTACAATTCGTTAATTTTATTTAATAAAGATTTCTATTATTTTATTAAGATTATTTTAAACACATGCTCTGTGGCGCGCACATTTTGTTTAAAAATCTCAAATATTTTTATATACTCGTACAATACAGATATAATTTTTTTCACAAATACTTTACACATACATTTTATTTAAATTAATTTAGTTTCTTTGATCGCTGCACAAATGTTTTAAAATGGAAAATTTGTGTGAAACGTCTAAAAGCAAAGCATCCGCTTTTCCAAACCGCACGCATGCGCAACAAACTTTTCAGTACACAATTTGAAAACTTTTCGCATTCGTAACTATGCGCACACACTCATACACACATACACGCATGCAAGTGGATTTAGATTTTTGTTTTAGCAGCATACAATGTATGTCTGTATGTATATTAATTATTAATATGCAAATTTGTTTTATTTTTTTTCATGAATTTTTTTTTTCTTTCTGTTATTTACAGTAGTATTTGCACAATAAAAACCAGTATTTGTACATTCACTAAGATTTTTTCCACTTTTTTCTTTTGGATTTTTTTTATTGTATTATTATGTGCTTACTTCCTAGCCTTTCTACTTTTAACTCTCTACTATACTACAGCCACTACTTGAACCCTTCACTTGATACTGAAATTTCAAAACTGAATGTATGGAAATTTCTTGCATACACAACACTCTCTCATAGCCACAAACTACAGATGATTGTGTACTATATATGTATATATGCATACATATATATGTATATATGAAATACATGTATGTATATTTGCTAGTGTGTGTGCCTGTATGTCTACTTGGGGCGCATGTGTCAGTGTGTTTGTGTCTGTAGCTCTCTCCGTGATTTAGCAATCATCATCATTAACATTGATGAAAAGAAGTGATCCAACATTTGCGACCTTGAACACACCAACATTCTATACACATTAATGAAGTGTGATTTTTTTCCCAACGTTTTTATGGCACTTTCCAACTAAGGCAAATTGCCATTGGCTGTTATACTTTCTACCTAGTAGGTAAAACGTATTTCTGGCTTGGCTTTACCGACTGACTGACTGAGCGCTGCTGTCGCTGCTGCCTGCTGTTGTTGCTTGTTACTGTTGCTGTCGATGGCTGGCTGACTGGCTGGCTGGCTGGTTGGCATTTTGACGTCGTGTCGCGCCAGCCAACTGGCTGGTTAAACAACAGTAACAACAAGCAGCGAAGTCAAACGATGATCGAGGTTCCACGATCGCAAGCTTGTGAGTTTGTGGAGAACGGCGGATATACACGTACATATGTATGTACGGACATAATACGTAAAAAGTTGCGCTATTACTTTTTTCCATGGCTTTCTTGTTGTAGTTGTAGTTATAGTTGTTGTTGTTGTTGTTGCTACTATTATATTGTGGTTAAAGTAGTGAAGGCTTTTTAACTTGATACAAACGAACAGACAGTGTCGTATATATGTTCGAGCTTATATGTACAATATATACATACATACACGTATATACATACATAAAACTATATGAAAGTATATATAGATATGTATGTACGTTTTTTATATTCGTAGCTTTGCTCAGACATATGGTTGGTATGTTTATTTTTTGTATATACAATATGTATGTATGTATGTATATGTATTGAATAATGACTGCAGCATGAAAGTTTTATATAATTTGGAAATTTCAGACTTACTCGTGCATACTCTTTTCATATACAAACTTACATACATACATACATATAATGTATTTGAACACACATCACAAGCATTCGAACTCGTAAGCTCACTCGCGTGCATGCTTAAGTAAAAGCGAAGGGTTAAGTTCGATTGGTACCGATTATTGAATATCCAACTGTTTCGGTTGTGAGGAAAAAGCATGCAATTGAGCAATTGTGCAAAGCATTTTTAGTGGAGGCTTTTTACAAACCGAAGAGTTCGAGGTCACCAAAATGTTTCTTTAAAAGCGATCGTTTTTCAGCCGAGGTCTGGAGTGGCTTCTGATGGACTGATTGATTCTTATGAGAAGGTTTTTATTTCTAGTCACAAATACATACCGATATCAGCAGAGGTGACCACATTTGGAGAGAAAAATATTGACGATAATGTTCAACCATGAACGGAACTCGAACCAACGACCTCCATAATAGTATTGAGTTATTTGAGTTTAGGGATGATAGTAAATGCCACGACGAAATAGTCATATCGTACACTAAATTGAAAACGAGGTCATCAAACAGCTGGCTGGTAACACTTACTCAATAAAGGAACAGGGACAAACCAAATGCACACCCTCCAATTGTGGTGCTCAAAACGTTTGCAGTAATTGTTCATGATAAAAAGGGTATTTCATCCAAGGCGTGTTGGAATTATTCATAGGTGTACGGTTTCTACGTGACCTAAAATCCACGTCCAGCTCACAACTTCGCCACTTCGTGATAATTCACATAGGACACATTTATATAGTGTGATACACCAAAATGACGCTATTGAGCTCTTAAGCCGTATATGTCAGATTGTCTACGCTAAAACTCCTTTCTGTTAAGTCATGACTCAACACTCCACATGCATTGAAACCAAATCTTGCACAAGAGTAGCTTATATTTCCAGGATGTGCGACGATGATGCAACTGTAAGAGGTCGGTATAGTCTGGCAAACAGTAACTCGGCAAGACTATACCTCATATATCGGCTATAAACGTGTAGTCCTGCCTACGTCAATCAAGCCGAGAGTCGAAATTTTCGACAGAGTGGCATAGCTCATAATACAATCTTTTTTTCAACAGTCGTAAAGCGAACGCAGCTCAGTTTAAAAGCATAACCTAAATAAAATAAATCGTTCCATTAAAATGACGTTGTATCGAAGTTTTCTCTGCTATGTACTCGAATATCTAGATTTTGTTAGGTTTTTGTAATTTTTTAGTT